ACAATGTATGTCCTCGCCCTCGGCTTTGGCCCCGTCATCGGCGGTCCTCTGTCAGAGACCATCGGTCGGTACTACATCTACGCTGCGGGCGTGCCCATCGGGGCCTTGTTCACCATCGGCGCGGGTCTCGTGCACAACATGGGCGGTCTGTGTTTCCTACGCTTCATGGCTGGACTTTGCTGGGGTCCTGTGTTGGCTGTTGCGTCTGGGACCTTGTCGGAGACGTTTACGCCCAGGAATAGGGGGCCTGTGTCTGCCGTGTTCATCCTGATGCCGTTTTTGGGACCTGGATTTGGGTGAGTATTTGACTCTCCACCACTCTGTTAATGTTACTAACCCTCTAAAGACCAGTTATCGGCTCATTCATCGTCAACCGCAAAGGCTGGCGCTGGACGCAGTGGGCTCTCATCTTCTTCGCCATCTTCGCCATGATCTTCGCAGCCCTCTCGGAGGAAACCTTCCACCCAGCAATCAAGCGCAAGCTCGCCAAGAAGATGGGTCTCAAGGTTGAGCCCTCGCCGCCATTGTCTACTCGCCTCAAGGCCTTTGCCGTCGTGGCTGTCGTGCGACCGGTTCGGATGCTCTTCTTCGAGCCCATCACTGGATTCATCTGTCTTTACGTTTCGGCCGAGTTTGGAACGCTCTTTAGCTTCTTCGCGGCTGTACCGTATACGTTTGGAAAGGTGTATCAGTTTTCGATCGAGGAGTCGGGCTTGGTATTTCTCTCCATCGTCATCGGATGTCTTCTCGGACTCGTTACTGTCATTCTCTGTGACGTCTTCCTCTATCGTACAAAGGCCCACAAGTATCCTCCCCATCAGATCCCTCCTGAGCATCGTCTTTATCCAGCCATGATCGGGAGTATCGGGTTGCCCATCGGCCTATTCTGGTTTGCCTGGACTGCGCGACCGGGAGTATCGTGGGCCAGCCCAGCAGCAGCCATGATTGCATTTGCCTGGGGAAATCTATGCGTCTTCGTCAGCACTATCCAGTATACCACTGATACATATCACGGAAGTGTGGTGGCCAGCGCATCCAGCGCAAACAGTCTTGCCCGATATGGCTTCGCTGGAGTGTTCCCGTTGTTTACCATCCAGAGTACGTGCAACCCACCCTCAAGCATAGACGATAGCTGACTCTTTCAAGTGTACCAGAAGTTGGGAATCGACTGGGCGAGTAGCCTCTTGGGATTTATCGCATTGTCATTGCTTCCTGTTCCTTGGGTGCTGTTCAAATATGGCCCTCGCATCAGAGCCAGGAGCGAGTACGAGACGGTTCAGTTCACCTAGCATTGATACAGAAACACACGACTACTATTTGAATCATTCTGCTTCAATTTATTATTCGTCTCATTGTTGCCTCTCATTGAGGAAGAGATCGTAACATCCATGTAATTACAAGACAAAACCGCAAGTGACAACAAGAAGGCTCCATGCGAGGCAACCATGAGACCAGGGCTTCCGGCAACGGAAGCCAAAGCCAAGGATACTTTTCCATCATCCAAAAATCAGTTTGTTGACAATGTATCCCTCCGAAACTTAAAAGTTGACGAACGAAGCCTAAGCTTGCTGAGTCTAGCGTTGTCCCTGCCCAGGTGTTCCATGAGCAGCTTGTCCGCCCTGGAGTTCTTGACTGAGCTTGTCATGTCTGCGATGCTCGTGGTTAAGCTGTTAAGTGAAGAGCCGACGTCTATGTTGTTGCCCGGGTTCGTCGTGATGGGTCCGTCTAGGTGTGACTCTTCTGCTGTTGCAGAAGGTTTAAAAAAAGGCCACTGTGTTAACATCGGGTCATGATCTTGTGATGTGTTGAGAATCTGTTCATCATTATAGTTGCAACCCGGCCCTTGATGGGTTAACTGAGCCCGGAGATCGTGACAGGTCCGTTGTGAGGCGGAGGGGGCAGAAGGCATAGGATATTGGTTTCTATACTGGGCGGCGGTGACGATGTCGTACAACCCAGTAACTGTTATTGCTGGATCGATTGTGGTTCTTGTAGGCATCGTGTTGAAAGACAATGGGTCGGGAGAATCCAGTGTTGAGAAGGTGAAAAATTCTCTCTTGTTTCTCGTACGGAAGTTAGAGTAGTTAAAACACCCCATGAGAGGCTTAACCTCTCAGACGAAGGCATGATTGTGGTAGCGAGAGAGAACTGTGCTGCGAGCGACGACGTTAGAGACGAGAGAATAAGAAGCAGAGGAGAAGGCAGAAGAGGTAGAAGCGAGAGCTGAAGCGGCAGAGACGACTGTGACGGTCGGAGAGAGGAGAGGGAGCGTGTCAGAGGAGGCGGAGAAGATGGAGGCGAGGGAAGAGAAGAGAGGAAGAGGGAAGAAAGAGGGTGCGAGAGAGAGAGAGAGAATAGAGGGGATTTACCTGGATGGCCTGTTTCTCTGGTGACCGGTGACCTCATAACGTTTTGCGCCCTTACGAAGCTTGCGGACCTCTTCGGTAAGGTCATCTTGGTCATACAAGAAGGCATGCCGATAGGCATTGGTCGCGCTGCTTTGAGCGCTTCGTCATAGATCTCTGCGAAAAGCAGCCATAGTGATCTTCTTTTGTGTTGTTGATCAGTTGGCCGGTCGCAGATTGGTTGACTGGTGACTCTTCTGCCGCAGGGCGTTCTGTTTCTGAGGTTGAGTTTGTTGGGCGTGGACTTGAACGTGTCCTTTCCCACCCAGCCGCCGCCTATGTCGCTGGACAAGTTAGCTTCTCATCAACTTTGTTTCCCTTGAGCTGCTTACGCTTCCGGTATGAGGTCCCTAGCGACGGTTCATCATCTGCATGTACACGGCAGATGTCGCCCACTCCTCGAGCCGCTTGATAGCCACGCCCTGGCCACACGTAGGCTTCCACTCTCCATCGTGCTGTTGGTTCCAGGAGACTCGAAGCACCCTCCTTAGGGCGACTCGAAGTTCATCTGTCCGAGAAAGGCGCTGAAAGTCGGAAATGTCAAGCTTGGACAGCTTAAGCATCAGGTCGAGTTGGAATCTGCCATTGAGCAGGCTGATAGCCTGCTCGGCAGTGATGGTGTCCGAGTAGGAAGACATGGTGGCGTTTTTGCGTGTCGGAATGATCTTGAAGGTGTTGTAAACAAGTACGGGATTGCGTAGTGATGATGGTTGAGCCAGAAGGTAAGTGTGGGTGGTTGTAAAGGGAAGAATTCGTGGGAGATTCTGGAGGAGGAAGGCGGTCTCCTTATAGGTTGGGGGGAGAAGTAAAGCTTGCTCTTGAAGTTTCTTCTGCAAATTATATGCTTTAATCTTGCATGATGAGCCTCAAGCTTCTGGTGAACCTTGATTTTTATGTGTTGGGGTTGTTGTCAGGGCCATGTGTGTCGCTCCATGGACTTGACCAGGTGTGGGCGAAATGCTGATGTCTAGATGACTCTCAATGGTCAAAAAGAGAGCAACAAGGGGACCGAGAGTGATCGTATGGTCTTGATGGTAGTCGTCTCTACCCCCCTATGTGCCTCAAAGAGTTGGGATGTCATGTTCTTGACATGTTCGGCACTTGACCACATCAAAAGGGAGTGGCAGATAAAAAAGCCGAGAGGCTTTCTTTGTCTTTTTAAACAAAGTTTCGTACACCTCAACAGTAGTTTATTCTTGGAAGAACGGACAGAGGCCAGTGTAGGCTTAGGTATCCCAAGAAAGACGCGTATCCACGAAGGGACATGGGATTGCGCAGACGATGCCCGCCCTTAACAAGCTCGCTCGTCATCTGAGATGCCATCATCTGGGAAGCCCCGTTGGCGATTCTATCCTCAATTTCTGGGTGGTCCACGGCAGGGACAATATATGCTCTCTTTGATGGTGTCGCTATCGTCATGAGAGGATGTGTATGTATAAGGAAGGAAAGGGGGGAAGCAGAGGGAAGATCTCAGAGACGCTCGAGACAAAAAGAAGTGCCTTTTCGGTGAGGAAACCCGACAATTTCGTTAACTACAGGGGTCGATTAGCTAACACGAAGGGCTCCAACATATGAAAAAGGTACTTACTCACTCCCTAATTACAACTTTGCGAAAGCTTTTTTCTCAATCTCACGAGATGTCCTCAACTTTGTCGATGGAGCATGCACCATCGGAGGGTGAAGACACAATCATCTTTCCGATGCTTGCGCTACATATAAAGGACGTGACGATGATATAAAAAAGGTGCGACGTGAGTGTCCTGAGCCGTAGACACGGCAGCAACTCCAAGGGGAGGCTTGGAGAAGTATTCCCGGAAGATGTTTCGGTTATACTCATCAAGCTTCATTTTGCATGGGCGAATGAAGAAGGTGCGTGGGGAGGAAGACCGAAGCCTACTTCCGTAGGGGGTGTTTCCCAGTGGGGACGGGCTGGCGACGATGTTCAAAGCGATATAATAGCTCGAAATTCGCTGGTGATGAATGAAGAGCTTCAACGAACAACCACTTCAAGGGCGTTCTTGATGTGCCTGGTCCTTGGCCGAGTTATCATGATCGTTGACAACGAACAAAGAGTTCAAGGGAGTTCTTGATGTCGGCCAAGGACACGGCACATCAAGAACTCCCTTGAACTGGGCCAAAGGCATCTTGATCCTGGGAGCCGATTCGCTCAGGGCGCCGCTCAAGGTTATCTCTTCCAAGGCATAACTCGGTATGTAATGTCGCCCCCTTTCATGGATCCTAGACAGTGACGATGGACGCCCGTCCCGATTACGGCGGCCATTTCTCTCTTTCCAATTGAGGGTTGAGCCATCTCGCCATGTTGCTGGAAACAATGCGATTCTGACCAGGGAACCTGGGGAAACTGATGCGTCTGGTTGGAGCAAATGATCCTTCCTTTGAGGGAGAGCCTGGCCCGATCTCAAAGCCTTCTCACCAGGATAAGACGGCCCGTCGATTCCTGCTGATGTTTAGAGTCGAGGCCGTTAGTGAGAAAGTGGGCGCATGCTCAAGTTCAGCGGCTGGGTCTTCGACTTCAACCGAGGCGTCATCGGCGATGATAAGCCCGGGGATCGTCTCAAGGTTTTCGAACAGTTCTTAGAGCTCTTCAGTCTTGAACGCTTCGCCTTCCGGAAGCTGGAAGTCCATTTTCGAGCGCCCATGAAGGTAACGCGAAATGAGGTGCATGGTGACAGTGCGTTCAAGGGGGAGGCGGCTAGCGTATGTTGCACGTTGACGCGCGGAGATGTGGAACTTCTCGGGCTCTTGAGTTATTTCTCTCGTCGCTTTCTCCTGTTCTTCATGCTTGCGCGTCGTCTCCCATTGTCGCAGTGGGCGGGCAGTTTCTTGCGCAATTGGTCGTTCCACGAGTACATCTCTCCTAGCACTTCCTCCAGAGGGGTAAGCAGGGTTATTTCTCTCCCCTGCCACTCCCTCCGTACGGGTAGGCGGGGTTTCCCATCTCTCTGGAGTGCCGCCATGGAATGTGCCCGTTATCTTTGGTAGCAGCGATAACGTGGTGAATAAGTTGCTGCAGGTGAGGCCAGGCCGGTTGGGAGGAACCGTGCCATGGCCCCTGAGACTCTCGATATGCCATACACATAGCCCCTCGAGAATGAACATGGCTGATGGGTTCTTCGTTAGTGATAAGTTTGGCGTGGTGAACGCAGGTGAGACATACTTCGTCTTCATCGAAATCGGTCTCCAAAGGACCAGGACGGTTCTTTTTATCCCGCCGGCGGGGATTGCTTTGGGGTGAGGGAGCTTGTTGAGGGTCTTCCGAACAAATGAAAATTCTGGGTACCCGAAAGATGAAATATCGAAGGGGGGCGTGAAGAGATGCCTCTCGGCAATGACGCCATGAGACGCCATCTTCCTGAGACTGCTGTTGACTCGAGCAAGGGTGGCCTCAGGCACGCAAGAGTGGCCATCTTGCATGCCCGATTGCGAAATTGTAGAGGATGCCCTTGGTAAGATAGAAAGAGGACCCAAGGGTGAAGAAGATAAAGTCGTTCTGGCTTTTGAGGTTCGAGGCTGTTCATGCTGCGAAGGTGACGCCCGCAACGGCGGGCTCGTTAGAGTGTCAGTCCCAAGCTACTCATCGTTGAGGTCGAAAGGGCCGCATGTGCACTTGACTTATTGCCTGATCGCCTTGGTCATAGCAGTCGAGGTTGGAACTTGGATTGGCCTGTTGGCATTTCCTCCATGATTATCGAGGAGGATTACCCACAGTACCCGATGCCGTGCACGTGATAGTACCAGGTCACGTGTTACCCCTGGGAGGCTCCTTGCATTAGCACGGGTACCTCAGCACGACCTTGGCATCCAACACCACTTCCAGATATAATTTGTGCGATTTCCATTACTAAAGAATCTTATTTTCTCAAAATTAATGCTCCTCTATGAAGAAATCATCACTTAATACCCTTATGCCAATCCTCATCACCACATTCCAAGTCATTTCGCTCCAAGTCAGCTGCTCAACCGTCTTGGCAAGTATCGGGAGGAGCAAGCTCTCCTGTAAGCTCGTCCATAAGATCATTAGGCGGGTAGTCCGTTATCGCAACTACGCCCTCACCCATTTCTGCCGTAGGCACAACCTTAGGAGTAGTCATGACCACTTTTCGTACAATGCAATCGCAGAGACGTTCCGTGCAAGGTTGAGACTGCACACTGGAAGCCTGGATTGAAGTTTTGTTTTTCGTCGTATCCCAACCGGGATACTTTCTAGGCGTCCACATGTTGGTTCCAATCTCTGTAAGTTCCACTCAGACTCACTGCTCGCCTCAACCATTCCAGCTGGAGTGATCTTCCGTGGTCGATTATTCTTCTTCGGGCCCTGCCCGGTCGAAAACCCGTGTCATCAGGGCGCCGCTCAATGTTATCTCTTCCAGGGCGAAACTCAGCACCGCAGATGTTGCACCGTACTTTCGGGCGGCTCTCATCGTCTCCATGGGGTGTTTGCGGTCGCGACATGATCCAAAGGTCGCATGAGATAAATAAAGTCTGTTTAGCTTTGATCCCATAGGCAATATAGCAACTCTTCAGCATGTTTGACCGTGACGTATAGACATTAGTATATATATCTGGTCTTGGTAGAAAAGAGATCAGAAGAGTGTGTATCGTAAGGACGAGTTCCAAAAAAGAACGAAGAACCGAGAGGGGTGAAGCAAGTCCAGCACGGCGACGAAAAGACTTTTCATTTCTCATGTTGCTCGGTACAGTGTGCAATCATCGTTGCTGTTATACCACTGCTTCAGGGCGCCTTTTGCCCCAGGGAGTGTTCGCAGTACACTCCAGCAAACCATCAGGATGATGTAGCTAGTACTCTACATCCCATCCGTGATTCATCTCCATGGGCTTGCGGAACATTCTGAGGTCGCCATGCACCAGTCCATAAGTGAAAAGGAAAGCTAAACAATATATATAGAAAAAATACCGACCCAGTTGAAGATGGCATCAACCGTTGTAGAGGTGCCAGTGGGTAGTCGAAAAAGGTCAAGCAGCAGCAAAGAACACCAAGATGGCGGCCAGAACGCTATATATCCGGTGACTAATGGTCTCCAGACTCATCTAGAGACCTACCGACAGTCCTTTTCCGCGGTTTTAGCATAACTCACTGTCCAGTTAGGTCGGGCCTCGACCCAGTCCCTAACACGCTCGGCACGGTCATAAACCCCGATGCGTTGGAGGTGCCCATATCTGCTCCTTAACGCCGCACCATCTCACCATTCTAGCTCCCCATGGTGGCCACGAGTCGCTCTCCCGCGCATCTCCCACATCGCTACAAATGCATCATATATTTGACTGCTGACCGCGTGAACGTCTGCGTGATACGCCAGGTCTGCCGTCAGATCCCATCCCAATTTGAACAACAGCCGCCTCCGGAACTTGCGGAGGCGGCACGCGACGGCCTCACCCAAGATAAACCAGTTTTCGTATGTGATTCCAGTCCAATCGAGGATGTTTTCAGCCGTGTCACGGAGCCGCTGGTATATATAATATATAGATGGTGTCATTGGATGCAGAAAGGATATCAAGGGAGGCGCTAGGTTGAAAGATGCTTGAGCATGTCAGAAGAGCAAGGAATTAAAAGAGACAACGATAAACAGTGTGTGCGAGTGAAAGAACTTTATAGTCATTTGATCGAAGAGTTCTAAGAACTGTCGTAACTGAACCCGCGCTTGCCATGGCATCTTCTGCGCTCCCAGTCATCTGGGTATTTTCAATGCGTCCCTAAGGACAGTCCGCTCGGTGGAGCGGAAGTCCCAGGGGTCTCCGTCTCATGGCTCGCCTCTGGTAAGTTTCGACGTGTACGTCGTAGTGGAAGGTGAGATCTCTTGTAAGATCCCACCCGTACGTAAGCTCGAGGGGCTGGCGAAATTTCTCAAGCCGACCATGAGACGGGCCATAGATGGCCGCCAAGAAGATCCAGTTGACGTAGGTGACATGTCTCATGTTGAAGTTGCCAGTCAGGCTATCAAACATGATCGAGTAGATATGATGGTGCTCTGGATCGGTGACAGAGCCGCTCGAGTGCCGGTAGTAGCCAGCGCGGAGGAGGGAAATGATGGAATTGTAGTGATCATCTCGCATGAGATGTCCATGAGCCTCCAGAATCCCACAGAGACGCTGAACAGTTGCATAGTCGCTTGCCCCGAATTCGCCCAAAGGCAGCTCACGTGGGTCAGGGACAGCCTGTCGGGGCGAATCCAAGTCCGACATCTTGAGTATAGTTGATAGGCTATAGGTTGTCAGAGCCAGTTGACCTAGGTCGTTGGAAGAGGTGATGGCTTACTAAGGTATGGTTTGAAGGCAAATGATCGTTCACCGATACTGGGAGCGGCGGCGGCGCTCTGAGTACTAATCAAAGAAAGAAAGAGTCAGCGACAAGACTGAGTATATTCAGAGAGGAGAGCCTCGCGACCACACATCTCTGACATGTTGAGGGAAGGGCAAGAGCCCCTGAAGAGGACGAAAGAGCTTGAGAGGAAAGGAAGAGGGAGGGGGGAAGAGGGGATGGGGGGCGCAATAAATACCTGTTGGGCTGTGATGTTTGCCACCTTTGCGTGACGTCTATCAAACGTTTCCAGTCCTTCTAAACGTAGCTACGAAGCAAGCGGAGGGAAACGATCGCGGCTTCTTGGAAACTGGGTGATCTTTGCCAAGGGCTCAGGGTCAAGCAGACACCAGGGGCGGAAGGCAATGATGAGAAAAACAGGTATTGTTGTCGGGGTGGATGTCGTCGCTGGTGAGTGTGGCGAAGAATGATGAGGAAGAAAGAAAGAGAAGAAGAAAACGAGGGGAGAAGAAGAATAAATGCGTGACCAGGCCGCAAGTGTATTCGTTTGGATCAGGTCGTGATTAATTTTCCACATCTGGCGGTCACTAGCAATGAATGGAGAGGCAGTCTAACGCCTGGTTGGATATAACCTGAATAGTAATAATACAAAAAATCACGTACTGAACAAGTAAACATTCTTTTGTGAACAATAGATACCCTCTGGTATTGTCCCTTTTGAGACTGACCACAAGCCTCCATTGTTGACATCCCCAGCTTGCTTGCCCAACCAGGTGTGACGTATTTACATTTCCCAAGCATCTATGCCATGATAGCAAAGAGCAGTGGTGCTAGGCAATCTGATAACGATCAAACCAATCTCTGCTTCCATGTGACGAGATACGTGCAAACGTCATTCCTCCTTACCCTTTAGTCTCTACCGCCAGTACAACAGCTCACTCCCAAACCAGGCCCGACCATAAGCTTGTATCATAGAGATCAATGAGAAAAATCTCGTCCCTGTGCAGACCATTCCAACTGGAATGGTCATCCGAGGTGGATTCTTCCTCCTCAGATTCCTCCGGGTCGAAGACCCGTGAAAGCAGCGCCTCGTGTTCAAACACTGGCGCAAAGTCGGCGAAAAAAGCCAAGGCCAAGCTGCTGTAGTAGTAGGTTTCGCCGTTGACGATAGTAATCAAGTCATCTTCGAACTCGTCGGAGCTTTCATAGGACTCTTCCTGGTCGGCCAGCTCCTCGGTGAGGGAAAATTCGTATTCCTCATTGTACTCGAACCAAAATGTCGAGATCGAGATCGATGTCGATGAAAGCTCGGTACTCGAACAAAAGCTGTCGGTGCGGTCCTCCTAATACCAATGATTAGTACCGGCGATCTCTTTCTGTGATTTTGGCACAACTCACAACGGATTCCTCCTCACCCATAACCCACTGGATAATCCGCTTCGCCCGGTCGGCTGTCCCAAGCTTCCTGACTCGGTCCTCAGTCGGCCGCATTCTGCGCGGCTTATTAAAGAATAACACGGGAGATAGATCCATGCTCAGAGTCTTGTCGTAGTTCTGATTTGGGTTCTACGTGCTGAGTATGGGATGTAGTAAACAATGGGAGTGACCAAATAACTGTGTTGGTGATTGTGGTCAGTTGGGGTTGGTCGATGAAGAGAGGTAGGAGGAAGAAGAAATTTGGAATAAACAAAACGCGTCAAGATACCCTAAGATTTTGAGTGCACTGTCAATGACAGATCCTACAGCTCGTTGACGGTCGTTGACAGTGCCAGCAGGTCTAGACGGCCGCACAGCCGATGAAACGGAGCTGGGTCGAGCGTGCAGACCAGGGACTTGATTTCAGGGGCTCACGTGTCTTGGGAAGCTTTTGCAGAGGAAATTTAGCTGTGTGCTCTAAAAATTGCTGAATCCTACCTACGAAGCCAACCGCGATGGTGTTGAATAGGGGAGTGGGCGGGGGGGTAGAGGGATATTGCCCTGAAACCATCACCCCTCAGCAGCCTACTGATTCCTTACGCTGCACCAAAAGCTGAGATGAAGAGAGAGCCAGTAGATGTCATTATGACGTCTAGTTATTCTGTTTAATATAGAATGACTGTGTCGAGCCACCGAGAATCCAGGGTATATGTCACGGCGTAGCCGTACACACCCAGTAAACCCCCCTATTATGTTCATTTGGATCCGCCAGATGTTTATTCTCTGCTCTTTATTGCACAAGTAATCCCAGTATATGCATCCTAAGGTCCTACGTGGGCCCTAGATGGCTTCTTCGTCGTATACGTTGTTCCAACCTCGCGCTTGAGTGTCGAGATCGTTCGTGGTGCTCTGCTCTCTTCTGCTGTTTGTTGGCGTTCGATCTCCTTCAGTGCTGCGGATCTAGGGCTTAGTGTATCGCCCGTTTCATCGCCAGGACCAGCAGTTACGGGCTCTTCTTCTTCTGTTGTTGTCTCTGGCATCTTGGGCGCCTCTGTCGACTTTTTCCGAGACTGGCATCGATGTCACCCTCGTCTTTTCGGCGTTCTTCTTCCCCTAGGCTTCAGGTGCCAAATTCTAGGGCTTCCCAAGGCTGAACGACGATATCTAGATCAGCTGAAGGCATCGCTGTGGTAGAGTGAGGGTACATACAAAACACCCCCGTGAGGATAAACAGGCATGGTGGGGGGGATCGGGATCGGGATCGGTGGTGGGCCAGACGGAATACAGATGTCAAGTATGCATCGGATGGAGATGATTGATTGCAAATGGAACTGCTCTGTTGTAAAGAATACACTGGCTTGATCTGACCGAGTTGGGTTGGCCGTGATGGTGAGGGTGAGGGTGATGGTGTTCAGGGACTGCGAAGGTGCGCGTGCATCAAAGAGAGGGCATGAACATTCTGGATCCCAAGCCTTAGCCAAGGTCACAAAAGCGCGGCCTCAACCAAATTTCCCTGATCCATCCAACGCGTTCACCCATTTTTCGGCACGGGAGCTCCTCTCGCCTCAGGCCAACTTTCCCACTTTCTTCTCTTTTTCCACTTCTTCTCCTCCTCCTGCCTCTCCTGCATCATCACCACTCTTGTTTGTCTTCTCTTTCTTCATCTCTTCTTCATACAATGCCCGATGAGGCTCCCACAAATCTTGAGTATTTTCAGGGTCTGATCTACGAACGGTACCCGAACGACGGTGTACGAAAGTCCCGACAGCGGCGGAAGGACGCGAACAAGGTGCATTTTCCACCTGTTCATCGCCGGACCCCTTACTGACGCTTCCCAGGAGAACATTAACGTTCTGGTCCGCGGCGGCTCTGCGCTCCGTTGTGAGCGCAGACGCACAAGCCAGTGGAGGCTTCTTGCCATTTCCAGGCTGTTGGCACACACCTTGGTACAGGTTTCTATACTGCGGCCGGCAGCGAGAAACAGGTATTGCCATCGCGCAGATACGAAAGTCACGATGGAGCCCCTGATGAGGGTGGGATCAGTTGGAGGTAAGGATAGGTAACTCACCCCCCAGGATACCTGAATACCGACCTAACATCTCTTTCAATCAGGTGCGCTATCGGGCCTAAGGCCAATGGGCTTGCTTGCCTTTCTGGCGCACGCCTGGGTACCATACTTCTTGCACAAGAGTCCACCACAACGGCCGTATTTCCTTTCCACAGAGACTGCTTCGACGTACTCAAAACAGCTCACTATTCTGCCGCAGTTGATCCTGATCTGCTTTATGACACGATCAGGATCAACTGCGGCAGAATGGTGAGCTGTTTTGAGTACGTGAGGACGACGCTCGGAGAGTACATTGCGCCCGCCAGTACCACCCCGTCAAGAACATTCTGGAGGGACCAGATGCTTGATTCCCTCAAACATCACAATACAACGGCCGACACTATGCAGATTCGGAAATCCGTCTGAGAGGGGATAGCTGCCGTCGGACCTCAGTCTGCACTGTCTCACACTCGATCCAGTGGACCACTGTCCTGGGGACCCTCGCCTGCTATGACTTATGTCTTGGGGTCTCGCTGATGAATACTGAGTTTCCTAAGCTGTGGTATGGTGATGGCTTTGAAGCACGGGCTGTGCCTGGAATACATTCTACAAAGATATTTCGGAGGACTAGATATGGTTCATCTCGGGAGGTATGTCAGAGAAGTGAACATTATGTACAGAACTCCGGGCTAACATCTAGAAGCAGACCGAGGAGACCATGGCCGATGGCATTGGAGCGTCTAAACGAATGGCGCTCCCCAGATGGCAAATGCGCAAGCAGGAACCAGCTGAAGCCCTTCGTCAAAGGGCGAGAGACACTGTCACCTTTACAGTGGTTGAGAGACAATACGGACGAAATGGCATTGCTTCATGGTTAAACGACACAAACACGGAAAGACTCGTCGATTTGGAAGCAGGAAGAAAGGCAATATCTGATCTCCAGCGGGGTGCTGGAATAGGGGTTGATGAGGGACCTTGGGATATGTTGTCGTCATTGGGGAACTATTATTATTATCATTGCCTGTAATGATGACAAGAAGCCATCAGCCACAACAGCAAAAGACACGATCTTCAGCCTCAGTTAACCCATCGAGGGCCGGGCCGCAACTATAATAAAGAGCAGATCTTCAACACATCATAACATCATGACCCGATGTTAACATAGTGGCAGCGAAAGACGCAATCATAGACACATGCCAGCAGTAAGCCTTAATGCTGTAGACCAGAGCTCCATCACCCTCCCGTCGCTGCAATGCTATTCACATCCACCTTCCGTCTCCCGGGCCTTCTAATCTGGTTTGCCAAGCTTTTCATGAATTAGTGTACTGTGTTCTCCATGTGAGGATTCTCTTCCATGAGTTTACCAAGCAGTGGCTTTTCAGCCCTTGCGGTGGTGAGTGCTGTGTGGAGGAGTTACGCTCTAGCTGGACGCCATGCTAGTAACACAGGGCACAAAGAAAGCCGCACAAGCCATCAGTACAAAGGCCTTCGCTTATCTTCCTCCCAAGGTAGCTGGCGTTGTATAATAAAATTAACAAAGTATTGTCTCTTTTTAGGATATGTCTTTGTTGTTTTTCATGATATCTTTTCTAAAATTACTCACATTTTTTGAGAGGATTCAACATATCCTTTACCGTTCTGGCGTGCGTTATCCTACACTCTCGCACCCAGTCGTGCCCAGTAATGCCTTGAAGCTACTACTGTTTCAAGATGTTTGGTCTTTAGTAACCATTGCGCGATGCCGAGCCTCGCCCCATGTCGAGGAACCGACGATCGATCTCGGTGAAACCCACAGGGGATCTCGGTCAGCAAGCTCCCGTCGGCCCCACTCGGCTCCCGGACCCCCGAGTCAGCATGATCAACGTCATGAGGACGGACCTCTTATCTCGTGACCACCCCAAGCTAAACCTACAACCCTTATCGCCAACACCCTTCACGACGCCCCCTAGCGAAGAGTTGAAGCCCTTCTCGCCCTCAATCGCCAAGCGCAATGTCGGTTGCACTCTCATACCTATCGCGAGAGTGCTGATTGCGAACTATCCGTCGTCGTCATGTCAGGCGCGTCACCTTCTTCGTCGGGGCTGCTTCCCATGCCAGGCTCGCCTTCGTCTTCATGGGCTGTCTACAAGGCGAAAATTGCGGCTATACTGGGACATAGGGATATGAAGGTGATTGTGGCCTTTTGGCTATTCGGTAAGGCGAGAATACCCCTATTACAACAACCTACTGATCAGGAATGTGCCAGGCCTCATCAACAACGTCCTGTATGTCATCATCTTATCGGCCGCTCAAGATCTCGTCGGTTCGCTTCCGAAAGGTGTCGTCCTCCTTGCCGATGTACTCCCCTCGTTCCTCACGAAGCTCGTCGCGCCATACTTTATCCATCGCATCTCGTATCGCATCCGTATCCTCATATTCATCGCTCTATCCGCGGTCGGCATGCTCATGGTGGCCCTGACTCCCCGAACACAATCAGTCGCCATTAAACTTGTCGGAGTCGTCCTCGCGAGTATAAGTGCTGGAGGCGGAGAGCTGAGCTTCCTGGGTCTTACACACTTTTACGGACCGATCAGCCTCGCTGGCTGGGGGTCTGGTACTGGTGCTGCAGGCTTGGTTGGCGCGGGGCTCTATGTGGTGTTCACGGACTGGTGGGGTTTAAGCGTCAGAGATAGCTTGCTGATCTCGGCGTGCTTCCCCGCGATCATGTTCATCAGCTTCTTCGTCATCCTCCCACTGGGACCTTTGAAGGAGGGGACTAGACGGAAAGGTTATGATGCTCTTCCCGAGCGAGACCTGGAGGATGAAGACGTGGACAACATGGACCAAGGAACTGCCTCGTCGGCTCTCCTCGCTCCGGGACCGTCTGTCGCATCGACTGCGTTCTCTGCCAACAACACGTCGGCGCCACTCACTCTCAAGGACAGGCTGAAGAAGGCGAAGGGCCTGTTCATCCCATACATGTGCCCTTTGTTGCTTGTGTACGTGGCAGAGTACACCATCAACCAAGGAGTAGCACCGACTCTGCTGTTCCCTCTGAATGAGTCTCCCTTCGATGAGTTCCGCGGCTTCTACCCGTTCTACGGGTTCCTCTACCAGCTCGGTGTCTTCATTTCGCGATCCTCGACACCCTTCCTTCGCATCCATCACCTCTACCTCCCGTCGTTCTTGCAGGTTGCCAACCTCATCCTTCTAACCCTACACGCGATGTACTTCTTTATTCCCTCGGTGTACATTGTGTTTATCGTCATCTTCTGGGAAGGTCTGCTAGGTGGAGGCGTATACGTCAACTGCTTTGCCGAGATCATGGAAAACGTCCCACCAGAGGAACGCGAGTTCAGCTTGGGAGCGACAACCGTCAGCGATAGTGGGGGTATCTCCATTGCAGGCATCATCAGCATCATCATGGAGACTAGATTATGTGATTACCAGGTGGCGCATGGTAGGGATTGGTGTCGGCGGATACATGCTCAGGGGAGTTAGGTCGTCGGACTTTGATACCCAATACATCTGGCGTTATGTCCGGGTAAGTTTGATACATATATCTGTATCTCGGTTACATACAACGTATATACTGGATCATGCATTGCATGCAGGGGAGTTCTTCAGGTTATCTAGCTTTGTTCGTTGGTCAAATACAATCCCGGGACATGTATCCGTACCCCGGCCTTGCAAACCTCGGGGAAAGCAAAACTAAGGAACGTGCCTCTATGTCCGCGCCAAAACGTTTATCCTTGCTTGGTTATTTTGATCACCTCTTAATGGTCGATAAGCGGGATTACATCTATCTCGTATGGGGCGGTTTATTGTGACAGTTGACTCAAAACCCTGCGATGGCAACCCCCGGGACAAGTTCATTACACCGCTTTCCAGCTATTGTTAGGGAGCCTGGAAAACAAAAGTCTTGCTCGCTTGTCTCAGTCCTTGAGACGATCCGGGGGCCCGTTTACTGGTATGGTATTGCTCCTGAAGGAAGAGAACTGGATCTTGATGCGAAACATGGGATGACAGAGAGCAGCCAATGAATCGGAAACACAGGCGACCAGAGACAGGTCTCCGCGTCCCCGTCTCCAGTTAAGATACGTCCAGATACTGTACCATGAGGGGCAAGGAGCTCCCTGCGGCGAAAAAGGGACGACGAGTTTAATTACCTGCAGGCGGCATAGCCGGGCTTTATCACGAGTTGGCGGGATCCGGCTTGGCATTTTTGTGGTTCGAGATGAAGTCATTCCCGAAAAGTATCTATTCTGCGCTCCCCGAGAACTTTGGTCCTCGGGATAGGTAAGATCTGAATTGGGTTTTCGAGGCCAAGGATACGGAGTGGACGGGTTGCTCGGTGGAAAGTTTCATTGCCGGGACAAGCGACGCGATGGCTTTGAAGGAGGAGACGAACAACGCCATCTCCGTTGACAGCTGCAGAACCAGTTCGAACACGCCAAGAGGCTCAACACGCGGAAGAGCAAGAGTTATTCTATATACGAGTTGAAGGCAGGAGACTTGTGATGGTATATCACGATGCCCAGACCAGATACGAGACCGGTGCATCCAAGCGAATTACGTTAACCGACAGCGAAGGTGACAAGATGATGGCGATAACGTCGCATCGTGACTCTTGACCGTAAATGGCCTAGCGCTGACCGGGCCACTTCCTACCCAGTTTCACTCCCCTGCGAGATGAAAAGAGAGTTGGTGATCAGCAAATTCTCTATCCCACGCTAGGCTCGCATTGCATTGATCCAGTGAGACGCGGCCCAGGCGCTACGGGAAGCGCTGACGCGAAGGGAAGGGGGGAGGAAGGAGGAGGAAAGTCCCCGCTCAGCTTGCTGACATCAGAAATCGTGTTGGTTTGCGAGGACCCCCTGGAAGGGCTGAGATGGATGGATGAAGACCGTGGCACCGTGGGTCTGGAGAATGATGCTTGTCAGCCGCAAGGCCCAAATTCATTGCAGTTAACCATGAGGCTTGAAGATTCTGAAACGATCAGGCCTTTTTCTCGCTGATCTCGATTTTTATAACCGAGTCAAGGCTTCGAGTTTTGCGATGCAGGGGAGCGTGTTCTCGGGAAGCAATGCGGCTTACGGCATTATTGCAGGGAGACCAAGACTTTGAGAATGGCGTGCCGCCGAGATTCTACCTTTTCAAGGGATACTAAATGCCTCAGAACAATGATCATCATTCTTTTTGAAGGTAGGGGCTACAATAATTCATCGCCTCCTGAATTTCCTGGGGGAGGAAACTGCACCTCTTACCGGAATGGCATCAGATCCTCTTGGTCTGCATCGAAGAAAAAAAAAGGCCAAGCCTCATCTCCGCCATGGCCGACGTTGCAGCCAAAGTGCACCCATAAGCCTCATCCTGATTGGTCAGACGAGAATGCAATCAAGGCCGGGGCCATGCAAGCGCGTGCTGGGCTTGCCATCCAATGTTTGGCACAGATTTGAAGAAATGAGTTCTTGCCCCCTATCAGAGATGCAAGTCTGCGGGGAAAAAGGCCTTGGAAATTGCAATGTCGAAATTGTTCAGTGGGATCTTCTCGGAGAGATGATACAAGGTGATAAACCATAATTCAAGCTTCTCCTTTTTGTCTCACGATGGAGCCCAACAGCGCAGTCAGTGGCTGGTCTACAGGGCTGAGTCAGCCACCAAGAGCCGTCTGTCTTCCAGCACTTGAGCCTGAATGTTCAGGGGGTTTATCCAGCGCTGAATGAGGATGGATGGAGCAAAGTGTCCACCTCGCCGAGGCCAGCGAAAAAGGAGACGTGCTCCCCCTGATTCACTAGGGAACAAGTCAAATCGCCACCTCCAAACATTCGCCAAGTTGACTCCATGCCCATCCCATGCCCATCTCATCCATGCCTTGACCCGCCTTCCGCTTCCTTCCTTCCCGAGTGAGAGGTCTGCTGCTGTTTCGTGCCACGCCATTCGCCAGGTCGCCACCCGCCCCCCTTCCAAAAAGCGTTTGGGGCGTTCCTGCCTTGCACTTGCAGTTGCCTTGCTGTCTGTCGCTAGGCTGTGGGTGGTTCCGTAGCGCATGGTCCACGGTCCTTGCTTGAGTTGAGAGGTCAAGTCCGCCGGGCGCTCCTTCCTTCACTCCACAAGCCAAAATCAACTCGCTTCTTCCTCTCATCATCATCCTCCCCCCCGGGCCCCCTCGTCCTTTGCCCCCCCCCCTTCCCCTGTTCAGATTTAATTAATCCCAGCAAGAGGAGCCTTATCTGAACCTTGTCCCTTTATTCTGTTCATTTTTCACTTCCTCCTTCCCTCACCGTCCCCAGTCTCCGTCTGTCTTCTCTTCTCTTCTTCGACCCCCTGGTAATTTGCTTGGCCCGCCAAACGTCGCGCCGCGCTTCGGGTTGATTTTTATTGCGTGTCCTCGTCGGCGCCATCCACTCGCTCTCTTCTTCCCACCCGGTCCGCTTCGCTTCGTTCGTATTTCTTCGTCCCTCTTTTTAACTGCACGGCTCGTATCGCAGCACGCATCGCAATCCCCATTCTCTCTCTCCAGTCATTCAAGTCTGCGACAGAGGCGGTTATTGCGACCATGTTCGGACAAGTGCGTACAAATCGGTCGACGGCCTTAATGGCCGCCACCATCATCTTCCTCGTGGCTTTTGTTGGCCTTGCCTACAACCACTTGGATAAGTGGGAGCCTCCTGCTGATGTGTGAGTTCTCATCCTTTTGCGACTGATCTAGGTTGATCTGGCGGCTAACAGAATGGAATCTACAGGACCGATACCGACACCGTCGTTGAGGAGCCTCATGGCGCTTTCTCCAAGCCCGATCACCCTTCCAACGCTTCGACCGAGCTGGGCGATTACTACCTGAAGTACATCATGAGGCCTTCGGTCGGTCCTACTACTCCCACATACGCGGCCTTTGGCGCGTTCCCCTTCGAGCTGCCCGCCGACCCCAAGTGGACTGAGCTCGTTGGCGAGGACCTGTGCATCATTGATCTCGACAACCGACCTTTCAACGAACCCGGCCAGATCTTCTCCCCCGATTTGATGAGCTGGGACCGCGGCTCCGAGGTTCACGGTCTGTCCGCCGGTGTCTTGAACCACTGGGTTTACTGTGCGTTTTGCCCTTGTCCCGAAACTCTGCTCTTGTTGCTAATTCTTACCAGCCAAGATCCACGGTTACAAGTACTACTATGTCGACATTACCGATCCCTTTGAGGACCGCCGCAACTCGTGGAAGAAGCCCCCGATCCTGACCAAGATCCTCAAGAAGCACAAGGCCTGCATCTTCCTCGACTCTGATGCCATCTTCAACCGCCTCGACCTCCCCTTCGAGTGGCTCATGAACTACTGGCAGCTTCACCCCGACACCAACTCGATGGCCCTCGCTGCCGATCCCAACGCCAAGAACAACCAGGATAAGTTTGGAAAGGTTTATCTCAACACTGGTTTCATCATTCTCCAGAACAACGAGAAGACGTTCGAGATCCTTAAGGAGTGGGAGGACTGCCCCAACGAGGGCGGCAAGCACCCCGAGTGTGTCGATTTCCGAAAGAACCGCCCCGGAAAGCCTACTGACCAGGGTGGCTTCGGTACCTACATCCGCTACGATTACCCCAAGGACATCAAGGAGCTCAAGTGCACTGAGGCCAACGGCTTCCCAGAGAGCCGCTCGGGATGCGATGGCAAGTTCATCAAGCATCTCTGGACCGGAAAGAAGGACCACATCAAGGTGGCCATCGGCCAGCAGCTCCCTGGTGTGTTGCTCGAGACTTTCCACCGACAGTTCATGGACGAGAAGAAGGACTTCTTCGTGTCCGAGAGGGACCTGATGGGTGCACCTGACGCCGAATGAAATGCTTAACGAAGTAATAAAAGGCGGGCATGACATGGGGATGGCTTTGAATCTTTTTAATAACTGTACTATACCATCCAGGAGAGGGTTCCTCTCCAAGGGGTTTCACGGTGTTCTTGGGAGTGTTATGGTTGCTTATGGCCTTGACCGTTGAATTAGGGAAACTTGGATTTCCCATGATGCAAGATCAAATCATGCGTTTCTAGGAGACGAACGGAATCTACGCAATGACTCGGGTATATATGAAACGAGGCAATAGGGAATATCAGAGTTATGGATCTCTACGACGGCTTGGCTGTGGATGTGTATGTCTTGATCGCGTGTTGATCATTTTGGTTGAGCTGGGGGACAGAGATGGTGCTCCTAGCCACCTAACTCTTATGATAATAATAATATTAAGAAATGAATATGTTTTCCAATCAAAGGGCTGTGAATATTGGGCGAAGGAAGAAGGAATGTCTCATTGAAGTTTCATGCCTCGCAAGAATCGCCTTGTCAGAGGACCCAGTCGGTTATCGACTCCACGTGGCAAAGCTACCCTATGCCATGAGAAAATGCAACGAAGGGTTTCCACTGTTGAAGGCTGGTATGAAATAAAGCATTGTCAAATATGCAATGCGTTTCTTACTTGTTCACAGACATTCGCAAGATGTGTTGTTTCTGGTCGCTCTTGACCGAGTCGAGCGTGTGTGGTCTTTAACTCTTATTGGCATAACATGCCAAGTGGCCTGCATCCAACGCATTGAAACCCTTCCTAATGGATGCCAACCAAGACTTTTTTCACTGTAGCACACCTTCCAACGTCGCCATCTGATCATTGCACAAACTTGACACGAGACGTTACCGCCCAAGCAGCGATGACACCACTTCCAACCACAGGCCGGACGCCCCAGTCCAAGATCTTGGCGTCGGGAATCGGCAAGCCTTTTGCGTGTCGGTGCAGATCGTCTCTTGGTCCGCTGACGATATCGTAAATACTCTTGGCATCGCCTCTACATACAGGAGGCCTCTATATATTATCGAGGAGTTGAGTTCAGTGTTGGTCCTGTAATCGCGTAGTTCCCGTTGATCCTTTCTACGTGCTGCTGAGCCTCGTGTCCTGAAATAGCGCTGACGGTAGACGTCGGGAGGTTCCGGTTACGTGCTCAGATGGGATGCGACACGGCTTTGATGTGCTCTGCCCTCGATTTTCAAAGGGGATTGACGTAGCACCTCTTCCCTCGCTGGGTCAATGGGCTTTGTGAAGGAAATGGGGCATGTTGCTGCTGAATAGCAACAGCTTCGAGGAGGAAGGATTGAGGACCAAGACGGAAGACAATATGAACCTGAATGAACAGCTGTAGGGATTCACATAAAATTGAGAGGACATCAAAGAGACTCTCGGCTATCGATGTGTTGATAGCTCGATCTGAGGCGTACGTTCTGGTGGCCGAAGCACGCATGTCCCATCTACAGATGGTCATAGATTATGATCATCTCCTCTTTATTTTATGAGTATCTACTCTATTCTTATGATGATTTAGTTTTTATTTTATGACTAACTACTCCTAAGTTTGTACTCATCCCTTCCTTCGTGCACGACAAAACGTGTTCCATCAGAGGAATTCTGTATCTTATCACATGACTGAGGTTTATCGAAGGCCATTCAGATGTGAAAGCATGAACAAGAAGAACCCGTACGAAAGATTGAAGGTCTTGAAATGATTACCTATCTGTCAAGATCACGAAGTTTTTCGAGTCAGGTTGTGGTGTTGCGGTTGCAAGGGTGGAGGTCGCTCCTGCCTCACCTGTGGCAGCCACTGCAGACCCACCCGAGTTTAGCCACATGGTGCCTTCCCTCGCATCAACGACGCGGGAACGTTGAGGAAACAAACATCACCCTCCTCATCAATTTCATCAGCGAACATACTTCCACACTAACAACTCAACTTGCCAGCAAATGGTTTGATTGCGCTGCACATGCTTGACCGGCGCGACGGGAAAGTTTCCCGACTACAATATGCGGAAAACGTTGCAACGATGAGAGAGTGATGGAGTCCTGGCGCATCTGGCCGAGTGCACCGCTCAGAAATCAAGCGAATTCCCAGCGGACAAGTCGACATGCCAGCAATGGCAGCACCAGCAGGTCCAATGTGAACGACAATTTCACGTACTGTTTAACTCTCTTTTCAAAATTTCGGAAATCTTCAACTTCTTGAGTCGCAGTTCCAGTTCGCCGAGGATGAAGACGATGTTCCTAATGATAACCAACCACTCTCGCACCACGTTGAACTCACGGCGAGAGCGCTAGGGATAACGACAACGGAGAAGACATACGCTGGACTTCTTCTCTCTCGGGTGGCAGCAAGCTCCATTAAGGAAAAACTCTTGAATTTTCTCTCCCAGCCAACTGCTCCCGCCGACAAGTCGCTCACCCCCCTTGATGCGTTTCACGGCGTACAAGACCGCAAGGATTGGGACGTGCATTGTCCAATAGTGAAAGAGAGGCTGGATCAACTTTGTCAGGAGATCCAGGAGGTTTCCAACGGGGAGGTTGACATCCCAGCATTGGCGGCACCATGAGTACGACCTGGCGTGAGAATTATTTCTTCCCGCGGATTTTCAAGGGACGTCGAGAGCGCAATGCGGGCGTTACTTACACCCGACAACGACGTCCCGCAATACAAAGTACTCGCATGTCATGGACCCGGACAACCCATGCCTTAGAACCCAACAAGTATGTTTGCGTTGTTGTCATTTTCGGTGTTATCTCATCTAACATGTCGTAAAGGTCAAGATTGGGCTGAACCCTTCCGTCCTCACTTTCAATGTGATTCCAATCCGAATGAAGTGCGATCCAAAATCGAGCCCAGACTGGAAGGACGAGTCCACCAATTGGCCGAGGATTGAACAAGCATGCATCAAGTTCGCAAGCGACTTGTTGCAGGAAAGCCGGATCATTATTGTGATAGGAGAAGCACAATTTTCCGACACTTGCTCCATCCTTCAATCCCAGGGGTTTTCGCTCAGGCAATTACAAGTCCACTACAAGCTTGTATGAAGGGACACGCAGTGGAGGTCTGCAAGATCAGGTACAGTGGGCGCAGCGCCGTCGAAGAAGAAATGTCCGGCAACGTCCCCCACATCTTCATCGCCATGGACGCCTCTCGCCAAGTTCGTCGAGTTATTTTCCGATCGTTCCATGGTCAATACGCCTTCCGCAACGACAGCCTTCGTCGGGGTGCCTTTGGGATGTGATCTACATCGCCGCCTGTGAAATGGCTGGTGTTGAGATCCACAAACACACCTTTTTTGAGTATCGCGCAATGGTTACTCAAGACCGAACACATAGCAGCCTCAAGGCCATGGTGGGCCAAGTTACCGATCACAGCATGTGGAAGGCTCTCCAGCGACGAGAGAGCGATGGTGTTGACCTCGTGACGATCCCTCTACTCAAGGAGCTGTTCCCTCGACTCCTGGCAAAAGTTCCGGCTCTGGTAGCAAACATGGAAGATGCAGTCTCCAAGGGGTACAGCCCCCTTTACGCCATCACTTCCCACTTCAGTAGCCTAACGGTGGCTACGAAGACCAAGCGCCAGGCCACAGAGGCACCTCCCACAAAGGTGCCTCCGGCGAAGAAGCAGTTGTCGACCTGCCAGAGCACTCACCTGCAATCCGACAAACACCATGCTTCAATCAATAAAGGGAATGCGACAAAAAAGGGAATGCTCAAGAGCAAGTACCAAGCCTTTATGGGCTCGTATACCGTTCAGCGCATACTTGCCAATCGGGGAAAGTGTCCTGTCACGCCGGAAGCAGCCAAAGCACTTCCCAGAATCGATCGAATCGTTGGCTGGCACGATGCCAGTGAGGGCAGACGACTAAGCACCGACCTCTGCCAGTTTGTCGTATTTCGGTCGAAGACTGCGTCCTTTGGTCGACCGGAGTCATATACGTATGGAAGGGGGCTACGGATGGTAATTGTACATGAATGGGAAGCCCGGTCCTTGATAGGTTAACTGAGCCAGAAGATCGTACATGAATGGGAGGGGATGGCTGCTGGTCTGTTGCCAGACCCCGACCTCGAAGGACCGTCCACCCGGATCAAAGAACCATTCTCGTCTAAGATTAGTTGAAAAGATGTGATAAATTCAGAAGATAGCAACTATAAATTTTATATACTTTTTATCATGACTCGTCATACAGTCTGAGTGGGGTTAAAAGAGCTGGCTCCGTCTAGCCTGACCGTTCGTAACCTAACACCAACCACACAGGGAACCAACCAAGGAACTATCAGCGCTGGATGTCAATGATAACATAGATATCTAACGATGTATTGGGAGCTATGAGAGACATCTACGACACCTCAGCTGCTGCGTCCTGGAACACCGCAAATGGTGCAGCCTTGGAGGGATCTCAGGGGCACCCTACGTTCCACGTCAATCGGTTAAACGGTAATATCTTCCAGCTTCTTAACTTATCCCCTCGCCGGTCTTATGTTGATAGGAGGGCTCGAAATCTAGTCCTATGTATACCTAGGAACGGGTGGGTTCGAATCAGGATCACGCTCTGAACCTTGCGTGCGTCGAAATTGTTTCCGGTCGCCTTGGTGTTTGAGGTGAGCGATATGTTGAGCTTTCTCGACTTGCTAGATGAGATGTTCTTATCGGCCATTGTGGTGGCTTCAATCTCATTGACATTGTCGCTGCCATCGATCGACGTGATCCCTCCCGGTGGGAATATGTTCTTGCGCTGCGCCAGTCTGTTGCCGACTTCGACTCTGTTCCGGTTCGCACCGAAGTCGTTTATCCTAGCACGTCATATTTCCTTGCTATAATTGCCCTCTCTAGTCGGTCATGGTGATATTGGCGATGTCTCTAGTTATCCGGGTCATGTTGTCAATCAGGTCAAAGAGACTCCTCTCAGGCTTGATGCGCCATCAGCAGCTTCGCATTCTTGGAGCCAACCCTCATCAAGATCCATAGAAGACGTGGCAGCAGATAATAATTCTTTCGAGATCCATGATATTCTGAGAAACATGTTAGATTCAGGCTGCTGGGGGCGGTCTCTGGTACTAGTTCCACATTTTCATCGCGGTGATGAAATCATCGACGAAAGAATGAAATCATATAGATGACATCATTTCGACCGCAATCACTACAAATAGCCAACAAGAGACTGCTTCTAGAGCTGAATGGATCAGATTCATCATCCTCAACACTTTATTCATTACACAAAGAAAAAAGCGCACTTACCACATCCACAATGTCCAACTACGAACAGATCGCAAAGCAGGCCGAGCAGGACCTGAACACTTATCAGGCCAAGACCGGCAACGCCCGACGTCAAGATGCGGACAATGCTGGCGTGAATCCCCGTGCTGAGAATCAGTTTGAGGGAGCTCAGGTCGAGTTTGGCGATGAGCTTAGCATGAACCGAGGCTACAACAAGCGCATCCCTCCTAGTGAGGGCGGTATCCTTGATGACCGAGGCCGGTAAGTACACTCGCTCTCTTTTAAATGGTAGTAACTTACGCTTAGTAGACAAGCTCGTGGAGAGCAGTATGAAGGCGAGGGAGGCCCTATAGATAAGCTTAACCAGTCGTACCAGCAGCAGGGCGGCCAGAACGACAACGATGTTGTCGGCGGTCGCGTGCCCCAGACATCTGGCTTGGGCAGTGCTGGAGATATCGCATCTCAGGGCCAGGAGGCGACACGCGCTAATGTCGGACGGAACCCTCCCGGGCCTGGAGGCTCTCAGTTCAAGGGCGAGGACTATTATCAGCCCGAGAGCGTGCCTGATAGCATCTCGGCTGAGGGTTGGGTTGCTCCCGATAGCGTGACGCAGGCGAGCAGGGAGAGTGAGCGACCGTAGAAGTATCAATAGTGTGGTTGGAATTGTATCCTGTATGAGTATCTTGAGTAGTTTGTAAGACTTGAACGATGAATACCTGAATCTTACCACGTTCGAAGAGGCTAGCCAGCGCTCGTTTGATGTTGATCAACCGTCGCGCGATCCTCAAATGATGTGTGTCTTGAGGAGGTCTCGATACCGGCCTTTTCACACGCTGCACTGCACATGTCGTCTCAAATCGCGCCTGAATAATGAACAGGGGATAGAAGCGAGGTTTCGATGTCTTTGTGGTCTTGAAAGTAGCGAGCGAGAGGGTGTGTCGTGCGTAGCAAGGTACCGGATCGGATCTGTCAGAAGGAATCAGTATTGCATGCCACGCAGAGCATAGCAGTAGTAAGACAAATCCTGTCTGTCACTCCTAGGAGTCTTTTCCCTTGTGAAATGTGGGCGTTATCCTGCTGCTCCTTTGTCGGGAAAGAATGTGAACACATCGTGAACGTTGGCGGGGCTTTGAGAGATGCTGAACATGATGCCATGCGATCGCATCTTTGGACTGCCGACTTTTTTGTACCAACTAAATATATGTATACCAACTAGACTCCATCGTCTGCAAACCTTGGATTATCTAGGCGCCCTTTGTGCGGCTGAGAGAAGAGTGCCTGACACCTCCCCCCTGAAAACGCCCCCTGAAGCGATCGCAGACCGACCGATACACTCCTACTGAGCAAAACACCGATGTTGAACACAAACGATATTTCTATTCCGACTCGAATTATGCACGCGTTTGTTTACAATACGCTATTGTAAACGCGGGCCTGAGAATTGTGCAGTCGCGTAGCGCCAAACGGCTGCAGCCTGTTGACACTGCTCAAACCAACCTCAGATTCAACCTCAGAAAAGATCCACCGTCCGCCTATTGTCGACACAGTTTCTAGCTTCACGCAAACGCTGTGGTTCAGGCACTGTGCAGCAGCTACTTTATCTTTCTTTCCACTTCTCAACATCGCGACACGACTCTTCCTTTGCATCTTTCTTGATCATCGATGCCTTTCGTTTTTCCAACCTGAAGAGCTACTGTCATCGTATATCGATTTCCTCCATCGCTGAGAACGTCCTCTGAGCACTCTCTTCTTTGAAGCTCGTCATTCGCCTTGCTTTCTCTCTCTCCAAGCATCATCGGCCGATTCTCTTTCTTGCGTGCGCTCTCACACCCCTGCGAAGGACAAATCGTAAGGAAGAACGACTCGTACCTTATCTTAACCCTTGTTTGGTATTAGCTACGATATCTCTCGAGCTGGATCATCGGATCATCGCCCTCCATCCGCCATCTTCAGCATACTTGCCGTCGGGACCAAGGATTATTTTCTCACGAGAGTAGTCTGTGGCACACCTCCCCCCTTCTTCATTCACTGAATGATAGAAGAGACTTCCCAACTGAGGACTTCGGCGACTTTTCATCTGACTTCACCTTCCTATCCTCCCCGATCATCCGTCAACACGACAGCGACACCTTGATCCTGAATGGTCCTTGGTTTCGGATAGGGATTTACTGCATCGTCAAGAACCGCCTCTGTCTCTCTTCATTCGACTTGTTCATTTACCGCAAGTGTCTTCCGTGCTGAGTTCTATCCTACCGAAGATCGTCGACAGCCTTCTTGCTTTGTCACTTTTACTCTCACCTCTTGGAGACCTACGCGTTGCGGAAGAAAGCTTCGGCGTTTATTTTCATATCCCTTATTCATTCACCGAGAAGTAACCAGAGACTTCTTTACATCCAAAGCCTCTTGAAGACCTCCGATTTGCGTCCGAACTCCCTTCCATTCGCACAAACATCCTCGTACGCGTAGCTGCTACGTCACTGCCCCTGAGCCGACAGAGTTTCTTCACTTTTGATCGTCGTAAGTAGCCGACTGTGTTTCTGAAACCCTCTCAACTAATATCCGGCTTAGCGGCGACGTTAGGAGACACTCTGATTGTCTCTCCTCCTACTCCCTTATTTTAATCACACCCTCGTGTTCGTTTCGTCCGAGTGCTGTCCGTTGAGCTCGATCGCGGCTTCTTGGCTCAGCAATCAGGCATTTGATACTCGCCGACAGAATCACCACAAACGATCTTCACCCGTTTTTCGACATTTCGTCTTTTGAGCACTTGACAAGATGGCCCCGTCTAGACCGACAACTCCTCAACGGAGATCGGCTAGCCCAGCATCGTCCGATTCAAGTGACAAAACGGTAACCAACAGCCCTACTCGGTATGCCCCCAGGCATCGGCTGGTGTCAGCTGCTTCGATCAAGAAGCCTAGCCCCAGAAGCTTCCGAATGTTTCCAAAGCTCCCTCTCGAGGTTCAGGACCTCATCTGGAAAGAGGTCCTGGACCTTGACGCCGCAACGGTGCACGGAGTAGAGATCCGACGCTCGACAACAGATCAGCCTGCTACAATGGTACGGACCGCTCTGTGGAACTCCGATTCAGGGATGGAGAGAACCGAGATTTACCCCATCCGCGACGCCCTACACGAAACCTGCCGTAGATCAAGAGCAGCAAAGAGAAGAGAGAATCGAGTATGGAGGGCCCAAGTGCCATATCAATTGGAATCAGACACGCCATGGGTGCCGGGTCAACAGGCAGACCTGTCACGGGATCTCTTTATAGTCTCGAATGATCTGCAAGAGGACATTAAAGAATCCGAGAGAGTATCTGGGGTTCTTTACGCCGGCGTGACGTGGGAGGGTATGTGGGACCTCCACGTTGCTGAAAGACTGGAAAAGGTCGTCGACCTTTTCCCAGACGCAGAAGTTATCTACGTCGTCGTCACAGCCAACTTGACAATCCATCCTCATCTAGAGGCTTGGAAAAGTGAGAAATCACATATTCTGGAGGATTATCTGAGGGAATGCGAAGGCACAGCGTCCAACGACACCAAGATTGAATTTCTTTCGAAAGACTTGGTGTATCGGGAGATTTCTGCCGAGAACCTCTCCGAGATGGGTGGGCTCCATGAGCCGCTTTCATACATCAATGTATTCTATGAAAGATTTGACCTCAAGTGCGAAGAGGCCAGGGCAGAGGCTAAGGCTAAGGCAGAGAAAGAAGCGGAAGCGGAGGAAGCTGAGGAGGTGGAGGTGGAGGGAGGCAAGGATGTGGAGGTGGAAGTCGAAGAATGGCGGAGACCGGTCATCAGGGTGATGACGTGGGAAAAATCTCATAGAGTGAGCCCACGTTTCTCCTGATGGCCGGCCCGACCAGAACTTGTCAGGGAGAATTCGGATGACGGTGATGTGCAAAAAGGGACTCAGAGTGTTGTTGTGTGATTCATGTAAGAGAGGAGACACGGCGCAAAGGGGGAATTTGTTATTTAGACATTGAGAAAATGCTCATAAATAAGATGAGCTGAATCTGCTCTGTTCTGTTATACTTCTAGACTTATGCCTGCTGTACCACTGTGAAAGTTCACGAAGACCCGGCGCGTCCGTTGTTGACTCCTAGCACTTCAACCGAGACCATGCGTCTTGTAAATCTTGACTGTCCCCAACCAGCCCCCGGTATGAGGAGGATCGTTGGAAGGCCCTGGCTGCAGGATCTCCGCTGTAACATCATGTTAGATCACTGCCGTCAAGATGACTTGGTAATAACATACGGCTGTGTGCCATCGAACAGCCCTCCTCTCCACATAGAGAATGTCAACAATTTGTTGACTTGGGGTCAGCGGCAGCGAGCCAGGAGCCACATTCGGGCTCGGCGCAGAGGGTGCAGTGGGAGCTGGGGGCGCGGGAGCAGGCACATTGTGGAGGGGGAGGCCTGGGCCGGTCGAGGAGGAGGAGGCTCGGTTGCCACGGCGACTACGGCGTGCCATTGTTGCGAATCTTGAATATTGGTCTGCTCAGAGTCATTTCTTAACACATGTGTCCCCTTTGGCAAGTTCGGCCGCAGGACTAGGCAGGGATGGCAAGGGGGAGACCAACGGCAGAGTCAGTGTGCGGAACAGACGAGTTGGGCTGGCACGAGTGGTTGAAGCGCGACTGGACGAGATAGAAGCCAACGCCTCTGTTGTCAACGTTGAAAGAGTTCTGAATAAACCAGGGGATAAACTTTCTGAAGCCAATCCCCTTGAGGGAAACTGTGCATCGAAGGTGTGTATCTTGGATCACCGCCTCTTTGCAAAACATCTTTCTAGGCCGCGGGCGATTGTTATGGCCACCGGCAGTGGCCTAAAGACCGAAACCCGGTCTGAAGGGCCAGAGTAAGGATGGCACTGCGCAATTGCCGTTGAAGATCAAGGGCCAAGGCGTGAGACGGCGGTCGCCAGTCAGTTGGTACTGGCCTGTCACTATCAGCACTCATTAGCCGGGTATTTCCACTGAGATCGAAGCTTGAATGTCTAACCTGCCTTCATCGTGTCCGAGGCTTGTTCTCCAAAGGTGGTGAACAAGACTAAGACTAAGGTTTTGCGTTGGTAGCTGGGTTCGAGGAGAGACGCTCAAAGATGAGGGTGCGGGTGGTAGCGAGGTGCGCTGGCGAGGAAACAACTTGGTGAAATGCCAAGAAGGCAGTGTCCAAGGGAATGGAGGTCGTTTCATGACAGGATTGACGGGGTGAGAGCTTGGGGGGGATTTGATGATGTTTGAAGGAGGAGAGGGTGGAAGAAAAGGAAACCTCAGGCACGATGCGAGGTGGTAGCCCACATGGTTCGGGCTCACCAGAGCAGAACGGAGTCCTCTGTCCCCTTGGGCATGGCATCTTGTACTTGAAGCAGAAACTGTCTTGATCTGTATGTGATTCTCTACCAAGATTGGACAGAGAGAGACTAAAGGTACAAGGCGTCCGCGTGATGGATCCCAGGCGTTAGGCGGGCAGTGCCAGTCGACAGGAGCTTTGGCACTACTAGCGGGGAGCCGTTTGCTGAAAATTATAGGGGGTCCATTCACTAAACAATGGCACTCGCATCCATGGCCGGCTCTCAACTCGCCTGGACAGTCCATTCATCCATGGGGGCCCTGGATCTATTGGAACTTGCCCGGCCGTAGGTAAGTGGACCATCACGACGAAGGCCGATGTGGTCGGGGAAACGTGCCCAGCACCTTGGCCGATACCATGCGATCTGGGCACCCTTGGACGCTCCCAGAAAACAGCAAAAGCACCCCGAGCCGATACAGAGACGACAAGACCACGATGAGGAGATTGGCTATATCACTCTACAAGTGCTTTACCCCGACGAAGAGGTAAGCTGGTGGTAGGAATACCGCAGGGAAGGCCGAACCTCATTTCTGACCTTCGGAATTTAGTTTTACTGTCGATAGAAGAGTTTGAGAATCCGCAAGACGAGGATAAGAGACTCTTACCGACAGCTACCTACCACGAGAACGATCCCTCCCGAGTATTCCTGCCCGAGCCCCTGAGGACCATGACACATCTACGGCCGAGTGGCATCGCAAGTCTGCGCCTCGCTCCACGAGTATTGATCACCTCGCAGGAACCAGAAAGACTCTCGCCTTCGACGTCCTGGTCTGAAACCGAGCTTGTTCTTCTATTCGTACCCATTGATCCCAGTCCTGGGTGAAAAAAGGTAGCTGCAGCGCAATTCGAGGCCATGGTTGACCAAGTTTGCTCGTTCAACTATGAACAGTAGGAAGCATGCATAGTATCCAGCTTCTTGTATTCTTGGCAGATCAAGCTCCGTCTCTGAGGTTAGTTGTGCGATGTTTCCCACGGTTTGGCCTCTGAGCGAGGGTCTCCGCGACAGGGCCAGGGGTACCGATGGCATGGTATTTCTTTTCGACATTGAGCTCTTAAGAGATTCGACTGTCGTTTTTGAGCTAATTGTGACACCTTGAACAGATTCTCCGATTCATTGGCCCGATCCGACGACGCGACGTACGCCCCGAGCACTCGGGTGAGCTTTAGGGATGGCAACTCCAAGCAGCTTGGCTTTCAAAGAACCCGGAAGGATGAGAGTGTTTTTCGAATTAATTTATCACGAAGTCAAGGCTTCGGGGGCCCTGTCGATCTACGATGCGCTGGGGGTGTTCGTCTCGTTCGCTGCGCCAGTGGCTGAATGCTTGGGTTGGAGATTACGACGATCTGGACAAGAGGTCTCCCCTTTCGCGACCGGAAGACATTTTGAAGCCTCCAATGTCTACAGAGAAAGGTTTGAAGTGAGTTATCTGCCCTGAAACGAGCTGTTACTCTGCTGACGATGCGTCAGGCACTGGCAATGGCACCCTTCTCACTCCGAGACCACGACCACAAAGAAGCACATGGCGGCACAAGTACACCGAGAAAAGAAAACGAATATCCTGATCCGCGAGGCATCCATATCTCGGATCTTGAGCCACGCTTTCCGACCGTTGACCGACGAGTTCCCAGGGCACCGAAGCCACCCCCTTTCCCGCTCTTGTCGTGCGGCCTTGATGATAGATCTACCAAATACCGCACAAAGCTTACAGTGTGAGCGATATAAAGGATTCTTTTCTACGATGGTGTGCGTATACAGGGGGCAGTGTCTTGCTTCGGCCACCATGCCCCTTACCTTGGGTGAGGAGCAGGCGCTTCTGGCTTCAGATTCTTGGTAGGATTCTTGGCAGACGATTTCGTAATGTATGCGTATTGTAATTTTCGAGGCTCAATTCGACCAAGAGTGCTTTATGTTGGGCATTGTCGTGGGTAGTCATTCGTTGTCTCCTTTGTCACCTCGTGAGGTGAACAATGTATCATCACCACCTGGGAAGAAGGAAGCATGAGGGTCTCGGCCACTTGGGCGCACGTCATTGTAAGCAGTCTTTATTCTCGATGTATCGTGAGAATGGGATTCCAAACGTCCTCAGCAAGGTGATCCCTGGACATCATAGGCCATCCAGCATGTTTCCGGGACTCGCCTCCGTACCGCCTACATCGCATCACCACGGACATGGCACATAACCCGCACGCAGATACAGACAAATTACAGCTCGGGGTGATGTAATTCTGTAATGGGGAGCCTCAGGGCCTTCTAAGTTAGTCTTAGAGGCCATGCCCCCCTATATCCAGTATCGTGCGCTGCCCACTGCATCTCGTCCCCTACGGCCCCCCCGCCAGTGCTGGAGCTTAGCCTCATCCTCAGATGCGTTTGTGACAGTGATTCACTGTCACTGTCGATGTAAACAAACAAATTCCATCCTCAGGCTCATTCTTCCACGCTTCTCTCTTCTTTTCTATTCCTCACATCTTTCTTCTTCCTCCCCTTCTCTCCCAAACATTTCTCTCATCCAAACCTCTCTTCATCTACACCACAATCACCTCTCTCTCTTCATCCGTTCAAGCAATCATCTCAGCCTTTGGCTGGTCGATACTTGACTGGATTCTCTTCATTTTCGTCAACCGCAAGGTGCACGCGTCCAACGTCCTTCATCGCTAGCAAGCCCTGTTTTGATAAAGCCCCCTCCTCAGTACGATACCTCTGAACGCCAGACGCATCTGTACCGCCCTCAAATCTCACTCTTATTCATCTGTTTAAGCAATCATCTCAGCCCCTAGTTGGTCGATGCTTGACTGGATCTTCTGCCTTTTTATTAAACTCAAGGAGTACGCGCCTGACGTCCTCCGTCGCTGGTAATCTTTGCTTTGCTAAAGCACTATTCCCACCACGGTGTCTCTAGACGCCAGACGCATCTGCACTCGCTTGGGTCATCGCCCAAAACTATACCTTCACAATCGTCTGCCATCGCTCTGCCACCTATCGACTTGAAACTAGATCGCATACTAGCATCACGTCGCTCATCATGGCGCTAAACCTGGCATCATCCGCTCACACAACCGCCGCTGCCCCCCTGGCCACCATGGATCATCCTACTGGCTCGGCCCTTACTACCTTTCACATCTTCCCCAAGCTCCCACAAGAACTACAGAACCGAATCTGGGCTCTTGCCATCGATGTGGACGAACCACGAGGGTACAACTGCGCATTCACATGTACCAAGATCGAAGGCACGACGACCTTCCGTTGGGGGTTGCGAAAGATCCGGCAGCCAGACCCCCCGTTCATTGGACTCAATGGACGGACACGAAAGATTATGTCCGCAGGACGCGCTGCAGCCAAAGTTGCCAAGCTCGAGTGGAAAAACTGGAAGCCCGAAATACTCTTCAAGCTGGAGGACCGTTCGAATGTGGGCGATCCCATGTCGCTTATCAAAGCCGAGTCGGACACTACTCCAAAGATTGTTGTGAATGCTGCAAAGGATCTGATGGTCATACCCAACCTTGGAAGATCCAAGGTTCGGCCTGGTGTTGTCCAGACCTTCCTGCCACACCATATCCTGGCACATCATTCTGACTCTAGACTCCTGGGCAACCCTGGTAAGCTGTGGTTCAGACTTATGAACATGCTACCCCTGTGTCCGGATATTCGCATCCTCTACATTATCATTCACGACTTTGCAGCTGCGCAGGCAGAGCCGCTGGCGGAAAACTTCGGATCGACTGCCGGACATTTACTTGAGCGGTACAAGCGGGAACTCAGAGAGGTCGAGCCACATTCTTCCTCGACAACCTATCCGCTGGGAGATCGAATCTACTATGAGATCAAGCCTGAGGACTTTCCTCGCACTCAGGAGTTCATTGGGCTTTTGCAGGATATTTCGCACGTGCTCGGGTGGCACGTTGGGCAATACAAGGATCGCGAGCAACGACTGGCGATCCGCTTCATGACCTGGCGCTATGCCTGAGAGCGAGGCCTTTCCTAGCATTGTCAAATGCTCTTCCTAGCCTTGTCAAATGCTCTTCCTAGCATTGTCAAATGCTCTCACTTGGAGGAACATGATGGAAACTGAACATGGTATGGAACAAAGGTATTCGGTTCGGCGAGGTAAGAACACTTGATTGGAATTCGGAACATGAGGCGTTAGGGGATTACGGTACGGAAAACAAAGGACTCGGATTGGACTGTATGACAATGATTGACGACCTGTACAATATCAAAATGTATATGACTTGTATTTGAGCTGTACCAACATCAACCAGACATTTGAGGTTGTCCCAAGTGAAGCCATCACCAAGTGAAGTTGAAGATGCCGAAGCCCGGCCGAGCCCGGACCCGGTAAAAAACCGGCCCAATTTTTTTTTATCTCTCCATGACAAAGACAGAACCCAAGCCAATCCATCCCGGCGCATTACCATTCATCCTCATCACGACGAATTACGCCATCACGACTTGCCATTGAACTCTTCCACGAAACGATTCCGTAGCACAAATTGTCGATTGATTACACCGACTCGAGAACCGAGACGCAATGGCCGACGACAACTCTGCCTGTCCCGTCGATCACAAGGCCCGCGAGGCCTGGCTTGAACAAGCTCGTCAGGCTGAAGCCGCAAAGGCGCAAGCACAACCTGCAAAGTGTCCCGTCGATCATACTGCGCAAGCGAAGCCCAAGTCGTGGTCACAAACCCTCACATCATACCTCCCGTGGTCCTCTTCGCCTGCGCCTCCCCCCGCCCAGCATCCTCCGACGCCCCACGGTGGCCTAGATACCGATCGCGTTGTTTCTACGATTCCGCGAAAATCTGGAGGTCCTGCTGTATGTCCAGTGGACCATGGAAAGGAGGAGCCTGCGAAACCTGCGAATCATGAGATGGAGACGGGTTTGGACCCTTCGGGCAACTGGGTATATCCTTCAGAAAAGATGTTTTTCGATGCCATGAAACGCAAGGGATATGATGCGCGAGTGGCGGATATGAAGACTGTGGTTCCTATTCACAATGCTGTGAATGAAAGAGCATGGAAGGAGATTAAGGAGTGGGAGGCTCCCTATCTAAAGGGCACCAAGTAAGCCTCCAATCCTCTTATTCTATCCGAAATACTAACTTTCCAAGATGCGATGGACCCAAGCTTGAGTCCTTTGCCAACAAGATGGACCGCATGACGCCTACTGCCCGCATCAACACTATCCTCGGCTACACGGCGCCCTTTGACCGACACGACTGGGTCATTGATCGCTGTGGCACCCGGGTTGACTATGTCATTGACTTTTACGCCGGGCGGCCAGACAACAAGGGCGGACCCAGTTTCTACTTGGACGTGCGACCAAAGTTGAATACGTGGGAGGGTGTCAAGATGCGAGCCATGAGGTGGGCATATTTGGCGTAGGATGTGTATGCATATGTGTTGTATGAAAAGCTGTATGATGAATGAACTGTAATTGGGCGTTGGGAAAATGTACAACATGGAAAGGCATATAGAAAAGGCGTAACGAGTCTGGGGGACTCTAGCAAAATCTCCAATGTATCATTTGAGAGCTCTCTTGAGCTGCATCTCTGGGTATTACTCTACACATGACAAACTATCGCGCGAATGAGGCGATCCCCTTTTCCCTTGACGCCAAAACTCCATGTAACCCATACCAGTTTGTATCTACTGGTCCTTCTTGTCTTCATGCTGGATGGCCATGCGAACAGGCGCTTCGGTTTCAAAAGCCTGAGACGCCAGGTTCCAGCCCTTGGCAAGCATCGCCTCCCAAAGCTCACGATCGTCATACTTTTGCTGATAATCTTCATCGATCTGATCATCATCCTTCTTGGATTCGGTGTTCCAGTTGCTAGGGCGAGAACTTTTACCACAGAAGATGCGATCGAGTCTCTCGGTGTAGCCCTTGCCCTTATCCATCTGCCAGGCAATCTCCATGGCCATGAACCAAGCGCTGATGGCATGGACGGCCTCGGAGTCCTTCCAGAGCATGATCTTGATTGGAATGTGTTTGTGGCTTGCGTGGGACCAGATGAACAGGGTGCTCATCAGACCGTCGAGGATGGCGATATTAACGCGAGCTTCCTGGCCTCCCATGGCGTTTCCGAAGCTATCAGCCATCTCGATGCGAGCGATACGCTGTCCGTGTTGGTTTCGAACAACAGGGCTCCAGAAGAGGATGCTTTCGCGGCGGGCGACTTCATTAGGAGTCAAAACGTTTCCTGACTTGAGATACTCCTTGTATAGGATCGTGGCGCGCTGTCGGTTGAGAACGTTCATGCAGACGCTGCGGACGCCCAGATAATTCATCCACAAGTGAGCGAGGACAAGAACCGTCATCAAATAAACAACGCTCGTGTGGTCTTCAACATGCTTGACGACGAATGTGCCGACGAGTAAGCCTACCAAGCCGACTGCAGTCTCCTGGCTGGCCTCCTTTGCGTTGAGTTCGGCGAGGTTGTCGTGTTTTGCAAAGTGAACACTCAGAGCAGCCTTGCTCGCTCCACCCGCAACACCACAAAGGGCACGAAGAGCTTCACCAGAAGTAAGAGCCAAGATCTTGCCGTAAGGACCAAAGTAAGGACTGTAAAGCTCCATGAAGAAGGCCGTATCGTTGAAAAGATCAGCCAGGAAACGGTACCGCTTAGCATCAGGTTCAATCCGAAGACCAAACTGCTGAGCAAAAATGATGGTGGCGACACGAGACATGGCATCCTTGAGGACTGTGAGAAGCATGGCAAATGTGGCGGACGAGTTGGCATCTCCGACACCGAGGCCCTGGAGGAGGGCTCTGTTTGCGAGGAGAGCGGTGATGGTGGAGAAGAAGGCCTGCAGAGAGTCGAAGAATTGATAGGCGAGGTAATCATCCGAGACAGAATGGGGGTATCCAACGGGGAGAAAAGCGTCCATGAGAATCTTGCGCATCGAGCGCTTGAAAAGGCTGGGCTTGGCCTTGCGGATGATCTATCGTGAATGTCAGCGGCAGCTCTACCTGTGGTGGAGGACGACGTACGCGGTTGCTGGGCATATGCACCCAGCGGCGGGCGACATTTCCTGACTTGTCGAGGTCGATGACTTCGACCTCGCGGCCGCGACCGAGGTGCTTTGTGAGGCCTTCCATCGCGATGGTGTTGATGCGAGGAGGAGATGAGCTGGGGTTGTGAGAGAGAAGCGTCACTTGTGGCACAGTGCTCAAACAGCTACCCCAGACTCATCACTGCTCTTCGTTTGACAAGGCCAACATAATGGTTACCTAACCGTAGGGACTAAAAATGAAGATGAAAAAAGTACGACACATTTTTTTTATTCTATCGGAGCCATCTATCCTCATTTGAACCCATCTACTTCTCTTCTGGCGAGCATCTCCTGTCGTTGAGGTGCATCTTGCTGCAGATGCTGGTGATGTTGTCTCAAGTCTTGTAAGACGACTGGGTATGGACCTCCAGACATCATGATGGACAGCATTCTTCTCGTATTTACAAGAGGCAATCTAATGGAATTGATAACCCCAACCCCCAAAAAGAGTGGTTTTTAGGTGGATGGTAGGTTTTTAGGTAGCGCCTGGTCAGCGGTGGATTTAGGTGAGCGGATAGAAGAAGAAGGTTTATAGGAGCTGAGTTTAGGAGAGGTTTACCACTTGACCAGGACGCACGCTGAGCACTGGTATGTGCTTTTAGGGTGGGAGAGAAGGGGTTTAACCTCCTTATAAAGCTCTGGCAGCTCTGTTCTTGACGAGATAGGCTTCTCCGTCTGCCTGTGTACGTGGCCATGTCAAGATGAAACTGTCCACCCCCCTCGCTCGTGTCCACTGAATACATGACCCATGATTCATCTTGGATATCCCAACATCCTGGTAAGAGAATTAGGCCATCTCCTTATATCTAACTGCATGCTGCGATATCACCTTGCGTTGTTGTGAGGTTGATCCGTCTGTATCGTACAATCACGCTGATTCTTGGTCCTGGAGAAGCACTCGAATCATATATGCGGTGCTATTCCAATGTGTATCATTTCTGTCGAATTATTTACTTTTCATTCCCAATCTACCGTCGGACAGCCTCGCCATCCTCTCCAACCAGGTACTCCTCCGTCTTGATAGGACCCTCACCGACAGCAGTCGAGATGACTCTGCTCACACCCTCTCTCAGCGTATCAGCAAGTCCACTGTCAAGCTCGAAAGCAGACTTGGCGCTGGCTGCATTCTCCTTGAAGCCATCAACGCCGGAAAGGGCCTGGTAGAAAGTGCCGAGGACAGCGTTGGCGTTCTCCTCCAGGTAGTACACGACACAGTTGGGGCCAGCGTCGAAAGTGTAGGCAGCAACGGTCTTGCCGGCCTTGGTGTTGATGTCCTCAACGGCGCGGATGGCGGCTCGGGACACGTCGTTCATGTAAAAGATCGGCGGGTAGGTGTCGGCGCAGGTGGCGTGGAAAGAGTTGGACTCGCGCATCGTCACCTCGGCAAACTTGGCAAAGTCCTTGTTCTTGACGGCTTCCTCCATCAAGGCCATGTTGGCGGGGACAATGTTTGTTATCCTCTCCTTGAAGAGACCAGAGGTGGCGACGGTCTGCTGCATGCCAGAGGTCGATGAGACACCCTTCTTGGCGGCGCTGGCGACGAGGATAAGAGCTCGCATCTCGGGCCAGTGAGATGCAGGGGCGACAAGCTCAGCCTTGGAGTCGCTTCCATCGTCCTTCTCTCCCATTCTCCATGCGACATAGCCACCGAACAGACTGCGGCAAGCGGATCCAGAACCTTGTCGAGCAACGAGCGAGAGGTCCGAGGGCGAGTCGGGGAGCTCGTAAAGGAGAGCAATGGCCTGGACCAGGGCAGCAAAGCCAGCGGCGGAAGAAGCAAGTCCAGCAGCAGTGGGGAAGTTGTTCTCGGAGACAAGCTTCAAGTTCATGGCCGAAAGCTTAGGCAGCGAAGAGTCGGCAGCCTCAAGCGCGGCGCGACGAGCCCGAAGCTCACGGAAGCAAGCCTGAGTTCTGGCGCCAGAGACATCAGCGGATTCTCCATTGAGGGTGAGGCTGTCGCCGCTGGTGTACGAGTTGGAGCAAGAGGCGGTCGTGAGGGTTCGAAGGTCGGCTTGCGAGAGGGTGACGGAGAGGGAGCTGTTGGTGGGAAGGTTGAGCTTGGGATCGCGCTTTCCCCAGTACCTGTTCAAAGTTAGACATGTTGAGGATATTCAGACTTGGGAGATGTACTTGACAACGGCAATGTTGACGGGCGCCGTGGTGCTGGCGCGATAGACTTTGTTGTCGGCCATTTTGTCGCGGGGGGTATCTGTTGGGTGGGAGGGGAAAGAAGATGACGATAGACAAGGTCTAAAGGAGTGGAATATCTCAGAACTCAAGTACTCGCTCAATTGAACAACAAAAGACAAGACTCGTGCCCGAGGAAAAAGCAATCTCGACTACACCGACTTGTTTGATTGTCGGGAAGAGTTGGAGATGAGCACTTCTCGGCGCCATACAGAGGTGGTAGCCTGAAGGGGCTTAGTGCGGGGTTCAACCCCTCTATTGGACCCCTGGGCTTGTTGATCCGCGAATCCCCTCAACCTCGACGTTGGATCCCTGTCGTTTTCGGGCAGATGCGACCGAGGCTGGTTGATGGGGCCTGCAGGTGATGTTGAGTTTGCGATATTGGCTCGGGACCTGTCGTCGTCATACATGTTGGACGCTGAGGTTATCTCGAGTCACCCGGATATGCCCATTTGTATCACCGAGCCTCAATTGTAGAAAACGGGCGACATGCAATCCAATTCGTGGCATTGTGCCACTGTTGCTGTGGTTACAAGACGATCTACCGTTGGGACATCTAATAATGCTGCAGAAAACTCTTAGACAAGTAGGTTTGTTGTTGAGTTAACTTTGCCTGACCATGTACGTCTTTCGCAGAGTTCACACCCTGGCCAACCCTCTCAACCATTCATGCAGTCGCCGCAAAGTTAACGGTAATACCACAATACATTCCATGGAGTAAATTGAACTCCGAAGTTGCCCAGGTGAACGTAGGTGGTCTTTTACATGATTTGTTGCCTGCTGATACGCCCTGGTCTAGCTCAAGTCAACACAGGAATGGGTGACCCCTAGGGCTAAAGATAACTCCCTGGCAGGACTGCATGAAGAAGAAAGAAGGAAATTTATCAGCAAGTCTGAATCGAAATAAAATATTGGCTTCATTAACGTGAAGAGTCCACGAAGAGAAAATCTACGTGGGGACAGAACTGTGGCCATGGTCAGATTGGTCAAGCGTGAGGGCCAGCATCAAGATAGAACCTGGTTTCATCCTTCCCCCGAAAGGAATAAGAGCAAGAAGTAGACGTAGGAGAGCCACTGTAATGGATACATTGGGCACGGGTAGCTTATCAACGCTTGAGCTAGGGTGCGTCCATCCTACAATGGCGAGAATCGAGAGAAGCTTTCGGCGAAGCATCGCATGCTTTTACAATCAGGTTCCCCAGTGAGTCAATTAAACTTCTTTTGTTTGTTTACTAATTTCGTTGAGTAGGCTGCAATTAGGAACGGGAAGCCGTACCGGAGTGCTATATAATGCCTTCGTCGCTCTCTCTCAGTCGTCCTTCTCTTCTTCCTCTTACATCAACTCAAGACTCGAGAATCACCATCGACTTATGATTGCTATCATCAAAAGCTTACTATCAACTTACTCTCTATTCTCCTCACACTTACCTACTACTCATCTCAAGCTACACTGAGTCTTTGGTTCTCTACCAACACTTTCAACATCATACCAACTCGCTCTCGGCTTCCCCGACTGCCAATATGGGTTTCGGATATTCATCTATCGGCAGCCAACCAGGCTCAGCCCACCAGCCTAGATCCATACCAAGCCGTGTCTCCATCCCCATCGATGAGCGAAGTGTCCCAGGAGGCTCAGAATCCCACCATGTTGAGCCAATACTCGATCGGCTCACAACAGGCACAAGCGCCCCTCATGATGATTACGATTAGTGGGGATAGACTTCCCATCAAAGTCGTCGATCCCTGTATCCCGACTGAGACGGAGGACAAGGAGTTGGAGTACGAGCATGACGAGTTCCTAGTTCTCGACACGTATATCTGGGTCGGGGAGAAGAAGCGCAACCGAGATGTTTTGGCATGGGCAAACACCTTGGGATGCAACAGGTTCTGGACTCGAGAGCAGAAGAAGGGCTTCAAACAGACGGTCAAAGACCTGAAAAAGTTCAAGCCCAACCAACTCAGCGGTCACGTCAGCAACAACGTGAACCGGAGGCTCGCCAAGCTCGAGATCATGCAGATCCGAGTCATGGCAGGCCATGACAACTCGTGGTTGTTCCACTCGCTTTCGGAAGAAAAGCCTCGGATACAAAAGACGAGACATGCCCGGGAGGAGGAGGAGAGGGTCAAACGGGACCAGATCAGAAGGGAGACAGTAGAGTCACTCATCCACTGTGGTGCGATGACTGCCGGGGATTTGTGCGCCCTCGACTCTGTATAGGCCGACTCAGCGGGACTGGCCTATATGGTGGTTTAGAGGGAGAGGCAGACTGCTTGGAGTTGATGGGTTTTTACTGCACGTATTCTTTGATGACTTTGCTCGTGGCTATAGACAGAAAAGTGAATTGCTTTATGGGAGTTAATGAACCATCATTACCTTAAACTGTCTGGTGTCGACGCCTTGTTGGATCAACTTGTTTAACCAGTATCTCTAGCTCTGATCAAGCTCTCCTCGGCGGCCGGCCCCAGGTGTCAGGCGACCGGACATGTAATCTAGCACCAGCGAGCTTAGCGCCACAAAGGGAGAACCAAGAAACCTCATACTCACGTCCGGACGCCGATAATTGGTACGAGCTAACCGCAACGTATCCCTATTATACTAAGCGGACTAAATTTCTTTTGTCTATTCATTAAACCATCACTTTACTACTTACCTACGCTTCTCGTCTTGACGCGCCGTGTCTGGCTTGAGGCCCTCCTTTAATCGGCGTGTATGGGTATTTATATCGGTTGGGCGGATGTCTGCACACTCATCTCCAAAGTCACGGTAGGTTAAGAAAGTACGCTTGATTCCCTCCACAAGGTGTTCTTGTACTAGTGGGCCTAACTTAATCCCGCGCCTCCCGAGCCATACTTCGACAGTCTCAAATTGTGTCTCTACATCCATTGGTTGGGGTTGCTTTGACCACTTGAGCCTTCGTGGTGGTTCCTAGATGTCTAACTGTCGGATAGTCTTGATGGCTTGGGGAACTACACCAAGATAAGTTACTGAATCTGGCTATTGAATGCTCGATACATCAACGCTGTATCGAATATCTGTAGGGGAAACTAAGTAAAGGACTGATCTATCGTACACTGAGATTCACCTCTTCCGAGAAAAGTCAACTATTCGGGACCCCCCTGGATAAAGATCAATTCAGGCGGGTATTAGATAATGCACATAGGTATTGGATATTATGTGGGATACTATGGAGGAGAGACTATCGTGATCATATGTGGTGTCTCTCGCATTCTAAGGTTACTGACATGCTCCATCTCGCACACGCGGAAGTGGGATGTCTCGGCCCTGTCGAGAGGCATAGAAGCCGAATCGGCCCGTACGAGGCACGAAAAAGACATTTAGCAAGGCAAGGGATGAATACACCGAATTTAAGACAATGGATAGCGAGACCGGTGCTATGCGGTTCTCATGCCTTGTTCATTTCTTGACCCGCATGAGGAGGAATGGCCGGGGACAGAAGCCAGTGCTGGATGAACAGAATCCTTGCAACACATCAATTGACGAGGAATCCCAGGAACAAGGAAGATCGCGTGCAAGACACAACCAATCAGAAGCTAGGTGCATGATGATGCCAGGGACAGAGCTCTTAGCTGCCGCGGATGCTGACGTCATGACCATTGACGGATGCCTCTGCCAAGTTGAGCTGAACAGCTTGCGACGGCCGTGAATAGAGAGGCCAAGTGATACCAAGACCTGTAAATAATCTTATTTCCACTTCATACGTCCTTGTCTTGTATCCTCATCACGTCTTCTATCTCTCTTTCCTTATCACCCCTCGAGAACCACCTCCAAGATGAACCACGCACTAAGACGCGCGACGCTGCGCCTTTCTCCAGCTCTGCGCACGCGACTGCCAACCCAAACATTCTCTCCAGCCTTTTGCAGATGCGAAACACTCCAGAAACCCTTCACACGAACATTCACAACATCAAAATACACCCAGCAGGAGCAAGCCGCTAGAGATGAAGACTTGAGCGACAGAGCACAAAAGAGACAAGTGCGCAAAGTTACCTCTGGCACGAGCGCTCAAACGCTGGAAAACGACCGGCCATGGCATCGAATGGACAGTCAAGCCGAGACGGGGGCTGGTGAAGAAGATCTTCCCAAGAAGGAGGATATGACCAAGGGTAAATACTCAAGATGCCTCGATCGAATAGATGCTAACGAACCCAGGCCGGCTCCTAACGACACCGACTCGGCTCCTTAAACTGATCCTACCGATGCCCTTCCACCCCGAGCAAGAACATGTCAATAGACCAGTGGGTGGTGAAGATGTAAAGGACGCGGACGATACGGTTGAGCCATTAGCGCTGCTTGTTCACCCTCAACAACCCTTGTCCTACCTGGAGCGACTCATTCAGGCCGAGATTCCCCCAGTACAGTACAAGGGCCGCGAGAAACTTCCCGACATCGTCTTCCGTGCCGAAGCGGATCAAGAAGAGCAACACGGAAAAAAGGATGACAACAAGAATGGGGCCAATGTTGCCTCTTACTCTGGTCTTGGCCATGAAGGTCCTTCTCGCAAGGAGGCCAACTGGGTGCGCTGGAGCGGCAGCACCGAGGTCGGCGACTTTATTCGAGACGCAGCCAGAGGACGTGAGTTTGCCATTGACATTGAGGGCTACAGCAACGAGCTTCGAGTTGCCGTTCCCAGCTTCAGAGACCGCACATACTACATGCGCATGCGATTAAGGCGCATGTCTCGCGACATTGATACCATGGCCAAGGTCAAGAATGAATGCGATGCGCTCGCCCATCAAGGAGCCCACAGGCTCGCGCAGGGAGGATTTGCGGCTCTGGCTGGATGGTGGGGGGTCGTGTACTATGTTACATTCCACACGCAATGGGGATGGGATTTGGTGGAGCCCGTGACATATCTCGCGGGACTGTCGACCATCATGGGCGGTTACTTATGGTTCCTCTACATCAGCAAGGATCTCAGCTACAAGGCCGCTATGAGGGTGACAGTGTCGAAGCGTCAGACGGCTCTGTACCAGGAGCGTGGCTTCAACCAGCAAAGGTGGGAACAGGTGGTGCACGAGGCCAACACTCTGCGGAATGAGATCAAGGTGGTGGCGAGCGAATACGACGTTGATTGGGACGAGAACAAGGACCTTGGTGGTGAGGAAGTGAAGAAGGTGCTTGAGGAGGAGGAGAAGGGTAGAGACGGCACCAAGGCGGCCAAGAAGAGCGACGAGGAAGCGCCAAAAGAGGTCAAGAAGAAGCAGTAAGAGGGTGTTGAGCGCTTAGACAGAAGGCAAAGGCTGTACAGTAAAGCATCAGATCATGGCGAGACCAGGAAGTTTAGAACAGACAATGGCTTGTTGTGGTGGAGGGTGAAGATAGCTTGTTAGTGGTGAGACACTCAAGCTGAGCTGTACATCAGATTGACCATGGCATTGCAAGGGAGCATTTAGCGATAGTAAACGTGGGAAAGGACAAGAGTGACGCATAAGTCGGCTGCGAATTAGGGAATAATGATGACTCTCGTGATTTTACGTTTCTTTCTTGCTTTTTCGGATTGATCCAGGCCGGCAATTTGTCTTGTGATTGATTCATGAGGGAAAGCATTCCAGGTCCGTGGGCTGATGTTTCTGATGACGTATCACAAATAGTGAGATGTCATATTAACACTGTGTCACACCCTGAAATTGATGGTCTCACAGTGCGCGCCTCAACTCCATCCCGCGCCTGAGATCCCACCACCCACCACCATCCCACCAACAACCATAAAAGCGTCTCTCCCAACTCCACTGCAGCGTCCAACCATTTCTCTGGCGTTTGTCACGATCGCCTCGTCCAAGGTCAGCATGTGACCGGAAGAGGCAGTCTTCTGGAACTCTTCTCGACGTCTTCCAGAAGCCATGTCCCGGCGAGCTTCGGAGCTTCCCCTCTTTGAGCCCTCATCCAGCACTGCGTTAGCTGCTTAAAAGCCCGGAGTAGAACCCCCCCCCCGCAGAACGAACCGGAGATCGGAACTACCTAGCACGATGGCGCCCCAAGTCATTCGTCTACCAGACGGCCAGACCTTTACCGTCACGCCTGTCTTTGCTGGCCTGGGCTTCAAGAGCCACGAGCTCAACACCCACCACAACGCCTTTCCCATCGGATGGACTGTCGTCCTCAACACCGAGACCGAGACCGATGCCGATACGGAGGCGGATCCTACTTCGGAGGATAAGGGCGATAACGATGTCGAGAAGCAAGGACCTGAGAATGAGGGCAACGGCGTCGCCCTCGATGGGGAGTCGTCGTCGGCTACTCGCAGCGTGAAGCGCCATATTCACTCGTTCGCCAAGCCCACACTGCAGGGCGACAACCTCTTTATCTCGTCCATCGCGAACCCCTCGAGCTCCGAGTTCAAGCCCGCGGCGAGCCCCACACGCCAGATCGCCATGATGCTGTGGATCACGCTCTACTGGTACTTCCACCAGCCCGAGCCTGCACCCCAGGTCCCTGCCGACGCAGCAAAGCTCACGCCGCACGCGGCCAAGCCACGAGGCGAGTGGAGGATCAATATCAAGCGGGATGGCGTGCTCCGGGGCCGCAACCTCATCCCCAAGCTCGAGCGCATGGGCCTGATTGCGTCTGCGAATAGTGCTGTGGGCACGAGCCTGGACGACAACAGCGATGGCTGGTCCAACATGTTTGTGTCACGGCGCATGTTCTGGCAGCTACCAGGGAGGTTGTTTCTGTTCTCCCTGCAGCCCAACAGGGTTGGAAACTTTGACTCGACCCCTGGATCACCCATCGGTAGCCGTCCGGGTTCTCCCATTCGAGGTGAATCCCAGGCGCCTTTCCACAAGGCGTTTCCTCGTCACTCTCCCCATTCGTCCTATGGGCGATTAGACACGGATCTTCCTGGGGGTCCTATGCCGACCTCGATGGCGTCAGTGCCGAGTTTCCCTATCGGTCCATTCTTTTCAAGTTCGCATCTGCCGACTTACTATCCTCCTCCGCCGTTGCAGTATGTATTTACAAACAACATTCGGCATCCTATGCGGCCCAAGCCGCCGAGGATGGGAGAAGTCTTCTATACTCGGTTCGTCCCAAGTGTCTGCCAATACTTGTCATTTCGAGTTGCTTCAATCTCGCCCAACCCAGTGCCATACTTGGGGCCTGTTGGACCCAAGCCTCCAGAACAGACTCACTTGTCAGCGCTCAGCGACACGTCTCTATTGCAGATGTGGATGGGTAAACCGCGTGTGAGTGCGTTCTGGAATGAGTACGATCCCCAGTTCCTCACAAACTCGTTGAACTCGACCAATTCTTTCCCTGTGATTGGAATGTGGGATGGTGTGCCTTTTGGGTATTTTGAGATTTACTGGGTAAAGGAGGATATCCTGGGTCAGCACTTGGGAAGTGATGCTGGAGACTGGGACCGAGGTCTTCACGTCTTGATTGGAGAGGAATGGGCCAGAGGACGTGTTCCAATCTGGTTGACAGGGCTGGTTCATTGGTGCTTGACTTCGGACTATCGAACAATGAACATTTGTCTCGAACCAAGAGTGGACAATGCGAGGTAAGTCCCTTTGACAGGGGCCAGTGCTACTCTAACAATGCCCAGGTTCTTGCAACGCCTCGAGTTCACTGGCTTTTCACGGGAGAAGCAGATTTCCTTCCCGCACAAGCAGTCTTGGTACGTACGCCTGCGCCGCGAGCAGTGGGATGGGCCGGCGCTTTAGGAGTTGATGCGTTTGATGGGATGCTTGTTTTGGTGAGGATTGGGAGGGGATACCTAGAACCTATGGCGACGATAGAACGAGATACGACTTACGATGATGGAGTATGCCATTGGCTGCTCAGAGCAGTGAACATGAATCGACAATATTTCTTTTTTCGAGTCTTTGATGAATATGGTGTCTGGTGAAAGACGACTGGCGATGTTCAGTGAGTTGGTGGGTGATGAACAAGTCCGAGGGAACAAAGACATGCCTTGTCGCAACTACCTGGCGCTCTTTGATCTTTGGCTATTCTCTTCTATGCAATGGACGCTTAGAAAAGTCTTTCAACAAACTGTGTTTATATATGACTGCTACCAGAGCTACTTGGTTCATTCAGAACAACATCAGCTCCAAACCATCCAATCTCACTTGAACAAGCTAATCACTCACACAGCACACCTAGATTACCGATTCCACCAAGTAAAATGCGACATTCGAAGAAACCCAGCATGGCTGACGAGAGGGACACCTACATCACCCGACTACACCAACGCGGCCTCCTCATCCCACCCCCGACAAAGAAATGTTTCAACTGCAAAAAGAACTTTACCGGCGCCTCCAACATCTGCCGTCCATGCGCCAAGAGCCTGTACCCTAACAAAAAAGCCAAACCCGATGCCTACCTCGACGTGTGCCAGAAATGTCTCCCTCAACTGGAGCCCAGGGTGGATGGGCGTGTTCCCAAGACTCTGCATCTTGGACCTGGGTGGTGCGTCAGGTGTAATGCCGTGCCTGGTAATGAATTTCCTCTCATGTGTGATGAGTGCGATATTGTTGAGCCGTTGCCCGTATTGGTCAAGAATGATAGGGGTGGTGAGGTTAATCTGTATGAGGACGTTGAGACGCTGTGGTGCGTCAAGTGCGAGAAGCAGGCTGACTCGTACTGTCGTACATGAATCATTGGAGTTGTTATCAGCAGGTTCACATAGAATAGCATTTTTACGTACAAGAAATCGATGTAGCTTATGTACAGTTTTGTTTATTTATTTTTACACTCGGGTTGTTGACTCTCGCTTCAAACAAGACAATGAACACTAGAGGTTCCGCGTATGTACAAGCGATGCTTCTGTCCTCCCACTGTAGTAGTATAGTATAATCAAGTGCCTTACATGATTTCCGTTTCATGACATGACTTTCATTCAAATCCTTTCAACGCCCAGTTACTTTTTCGTACCTTTTTTGTCTATCCCTTCCTTCCCTAGTCAAGTGGTAGAAGAGAAGAAGTGCATCGCTGCGTTTCATTCGTGCTCTGTTGAAGATGGCACTGCCATTATGGTATCCGTCGCCACCGGTTTTGAACCGTCTCAGGGTAGTCGTCTGTGTCGGAGGGTTGTTCAGAGTCTTGTGATAGGGAGTTGAAGGCCTCGATCCCACGACCGACGCTTACTTCAAAGGCTGCGTGGTCGAATTGGTTTGGGTTGTTATTTCTTCGAAAGGCGTTTCTGTTGTGATTTTGGATGTTGATGGGATTCGAGGGGGTAGGAGTAGAGGGTCCAGGGATGGTCGAGGGTCCAGGGTTGGCCGGGGATCTTGTGTTAGGCAGTCCAGAGTTCGTTAAAAGGCTGGGGTCTATCGTGTCCATCGAGTTTCCAAGGTTAGTCGGGGGTCCATAGTCCATTAGTCCAAAGTTGGCCTGTCTAGCAATCATCCGGTATCTAGGGTCTGCTGTGTTCATCATTGAAGGGTTCGGCCTGAGTGCGGGGTTTCCGGGAATCGATGTGGGATCTACCGGAAGCCTGGGGTTTTGTCCGGGGGGCATCGTGAAGGCAGGGTTTCCCCATGGCGCAGGGTTCATCGTCCTATGATTTGGGAGTCTGGTGCCAATGCCTCCCTGGGGCATCATGAGCCCAGGGTTTGCAGGGAATCCGGTTGGCGGGAGGTGCTGATGAGAGGTGTTTGGTGCTGGCCGGGGAGGTGGGGCCTGGTGACCGGCCGGCATCCGGTTATAAATAACTGGGCCCGGAGGACGGGGCGCGGGTGTGAGTGCGGGTGTGGATGCCGGGGTCGTGGCCGGGGCCCTGTGTCGGGCTATGGTCTGTGGGGTATGCTGGATGTGAGCCGTAGAGGGTCCGGCATTCGCGGAACCCCTCATGGCGTATGTCGGAAACACATCCTCCAACACACTGTCGGTAAGCGCTTTCATTTGATCCCGCAGCGCACCTGGCGGTAATGGGGACATTCGCTTCTTCAGAGCTCGCTTCAACTTGCAGAGGATGCTCGCCTCTGTCCCTTGGGCAACATCCTCACTATAGGGCGTATCTGGAGCGTCGTAATCTTCGAAGAGCATCTTCCATGTTTCATACCACCGTTGCCAGTCGGACCCGGCTGATTTAGAGCCCTTGATGAGTTCGTACTCATCGGGTAGTAGCCTGCCCGTGTCCGCCGCGGTGGCTTCTTCGCAGTCATCATCCCTCTTGTGCGCAGCCCACAGGGCTTCAGAGTCCTTCCGTTTCGGGGACCAGACGGTGCGACACCTCGCGCAGTAAAAGTGTCCCTCGATTAGGTGTTGACGTCTGAGGTGCTGTAACAGGTAGGCGAACGATGTGAGTCGGCGTTGTCCGCATATCGGCCATCGGACAGGATCCAGCTTATGAAAGATGCAGCAAAATAAGGCTTTCTCCTTGTCTTTGCCTTTGGCGACACCTATGCCTCCAGGTGTCTCGCCGTCATTGTTATCGTGGTCGCGTCCGTTGTCGCCGTAATCGTCTGGATCATAGATATCATCATCGTCGTCGTTATCATCCTGACGAGGTTTCTTGTTGCTACCTTGGTTGTTGCCGAAAGAGAGTGTATGTTTCGTATTAAAGGGGGTTGATGATGATGGGTATGATTCATTTCCAAGGTATTGGATAAGAAGTAACTTGAGCAGAAAAAAGGCCAACAACCAAGGCGGGAATGGCGGGTACCCTTTCTGCGACGCACATGGAGGGAGGGTGTTTGAACTGCTTAACAGCTTGATCTCGTTGACTAAGACTGGCTCCAAGAAAGACGAGAGATTGGCCAAGGTTTGGTCCAAGTCCAAGTCAACAACTAAGAGGCGATGGCGGTTAAGCAGCGTTCAACGGGCCAAATGGTCAAGTGAAACATACCATGACCGTCTACAGTAAACTGGCACTGGGCAGTGAAGAACGGGTCAGGATAAAGGACGAGGCACTGTCCCGTATCCTGACCTCCACTATTGGCGTTGCAGGTAGACGGCGTTAGCGACCTGGATCCAGGTATCTTGAAGCTGTTGGCAATATGACGAGTACGATATGAGGGCTGGATAATGAGGGAGGAACATGGGCCCGAGTCCTCGCCAGGGGCCCTTAACAGATGGGGAAACGCGGAAAGGTACATTGTGGCTGTCTGCCAAACAAAACCACCCGTGTACCAGAAAGAACAAACGTTATCGAGCGGAAATGGATGAATGTAATGATTTTGAGGCCTGCTGTATTGTATAGATAAAGAATCGAAAGTATAACCGATGCTGGCCTCGAAGGACAATGCAGTGAATTTATTGAGGCGTGGCCGATTATCCAACCATCTGGTACATCCAAGGCTGAGTCGACCTTTTTCAACCACCTTGTAACAACCAACCCACGCCTGTGGGCGAACCACCTGGCGAACCACCAGGCGAACAACTCGCCGCTGCAAATCACTTGCGGCGACGCTCCCTTTAAGAATGGCAGACTCGGGATCAAGGCTGACTGCCGCGGAACTGACGGCCTCGGGGTTCGGTTTTGTTCAATTTCCTTATCTAGCGGGGCGTAACCATCACGAATGTGTTGATTGAGAGCTTGTGACCTTTTCGCAATGGGCAGGTTGAGAGACGTTATTGGTCATCACAGCTGTGATGCTTCAGTTGAAAGACCGCGCGTACGCTACTGGGTACACCAGGTGAGCACCCCTGTCATCACAGGTGTGGGAGAAACGATGGCGAGTGAACCCCGCAGAGAAGGCGTCGTTTCAGACATGGTATGTGTTAACACAGGTGGGATACACACCGCAGCCATACCTTGGAGGGAAAGACAAGAGTATGCCTCGACACCGATGCTTGTGTCGAGTCTGTCTGTCTGTTAACTACAGTGCTTGGTTTAAAGACCGATCGCCCACGATTGAGTGAGAGCCCATCACAGCTGAGTAGTCAATCACTCAACTGTGGGAGGAAAATTAGAGTAATATTAGAGAAATTGAGTCTATAAAATCTCCGTATATCTCGTAGGAATAGAATCAATATCTATGTCTTCAAAGATTGACTCTATAACCGTCATTCAGCTTCAATCCAGGGTATTTCAAAACATCACCCAACGAAACACCAAGATTTCGGTGCACTTTGACGAACAATGTCCACAGCAACACAAAAAAGGTTAGTGTTATCCTCACCGAGCATCGCGCGCCCCAAACTCACACAAGGTCGCCCAGCGGCACAAGCCCTTGGGAGAACAAGCAGCCCTCGGAGCAAGAGTACAAGCAGAGGATCCAAGACTGGCTGTCAGACCCTGGTCTCGACATCCAAGGCAGACTTCTTAGCGGCCGCAGCAGGAGGTCCACACCACCCCGAGGCGTCCGCCAAGAGGGCGAAGCAGTAGGCAGAAAAGTGAGGCAAGCCGTCTTGTGATGGAGGTGTTGTGTTTAATAGGAGGCCGCAGGACGGAACTCTGAGTGACGGTGTGGCGCCCGTGTTTCTGATGAGCGTTCTCCGTAGTGATTTAACCATTTTAATTGATGATTTCGAGCGTAATCGAGTATGCTTTCCATGCCTGTAAGACGGAGGAGGAGAAGCCGCAATCCTGTAATCGTAACCATGACGGCGCAAGATAGAACTCGGTCCTCCGCTCCCGTGTCAAAATTAGGACCTTAGCTGTAACAAAAGGGAGCACAAATTGTTAATGCATGTTTATCCTTGCATAAGGAGTCATGACCTAACGGCCTGGTACATGTCTCGCTCCCACCAAGCCCTGTAGGCCCCAGCCTGATCAACTCCCCATGCCCAGCACCAGGAAAAGGCGTCCCATTTCCTCCTGTTCTTTTTTCCATTTCAACCTGCTTTCTTTTACCGAGGGCCGAAAAACCTGCTTCATTTTTTGCCACTCAAAGAGATTAATTGTTCTTTTCAACCTGTCTTACGAAATCGGCCTGACCAAACTCGAGTCAATCCTCCCACTTGTTACTGCTGTCTCTGCACAGACATGGCATCCACACGTACTGTTACTGCGAGTCGATACCCTGCTCACTCTTCGAAACCGAAAAGGTTGAGGATATCCAAGGACAAGTTGAATATGCGGGACGAGATAATCGTAGCCGGAGATGAAAGCGACGCAAAGCGTCTACCATCACGAGAGCCACGGTCGTCGCCGTCGGAGCCATGTCTCGACGAGATTACGATACCACTGCCCGAGTCCACAGGGACCAGTGACAGACAAACAATACCGCCCGATGGGGACGATGCGTGTAAGATGGAACCATTTGTTGCAATTGTCGCGGATGCTGATCGTTGAGCTTGAGTGCTCCAGTATCTGAGTATGATCTCCTCTGCCCTGGCGATATAGATCGGGGTGCACCGATGCCTCCTCCAGGATGGCCAGAGGATGGCCAGACGAGGTGGAATACTTTTCAGAGACAAATACCTTTGTACACATCCGTGTTCGGTCGCAACCAGCTAGAGCGTCCGAGTTCCTTCACGCGCCTCTTTGTCAGCGACGGTTCACATCATGACGACGCTTCCAGCGTAGACTCCCGTCAAGATGATATCAAACCTATCCTCCCACTACAAACTCGTGTTCTTGGTACGACCAAAAGAGTATCAATTCCATCGAGGCGAGGCCCGAAGCAAGCATCGGTCGGCAAATCCTCCAGGCGAAGCCGCAAGGGCGCATCTCGCGATGATCACGACCAAGAGGGGGATTGCCTCATGGGCGAAGCTGATGCCCCCAAGAAGCAAGAGGACAATGGCCCTTGGGTGTGTCCGTTTTTTAGAAAGGACCCAACTCGCCATATGGACTGCATAACCCTGACACTAAACCGCATCCAAGATGTCAAGCAACATCTTACTCGACGACACACGGCTGAGTTGTACTGCTCGAGATGCTTTCAAGAGTTTCAGCTCCATCAGGATTGGGAAGAACATACTCAACGCTGGGACTGCCCGAAGCGGCCTTGTCCGCCTCACCGAGTCACGCCACAAGCCCAGGACCGTCTCAAGGTCCGTGTCGATAGGACAATGACTGCTACAAAGCAGTGGTATGAGATCTGGAAGATTCTGTTTGAGGATGAGAAACCGCCACATAGCCCTCAGCAGGGCAGTGTGATTGGGGAGGTGATTAGCATCATTCGTGATTGCTGGAACGAAGAGAGCGGCCAGATTCTGTCTGAGCTTGCTAGAAGCGAAGGAATATCTGAGAGTGAGGCTGGTGTTCTTGGGATGCTTCTTCCCAGACTTCTCAACCGGATCCAAGATCGAGTTGACCCTCCGCAGCGTGACTCTGGGGTGTCTGATACCCCTTCTAACACAGACAGCAGCACCACCTACATTACTGAACAGACGGGACAAACTCTTGATATGGGAAGCTCAGCGTTTCTTGCGCCGACCAGCGACTATAGTGCTACTCCCAAGCTATCCAAAAGTCCTTCGCCCACGACTCCTGTCTTGTTAAGCATCTCGGACTCGAATTTCCAACCGTTGATGAAACTAGAACAGTTTGGCTGTGATCCATCCTCGCAAGAGGATTCTTTCGACCAGATGATGGAGCAGCCGTACACGACCTCGGCTGACAATGACGACCTCGCCGCCATGACCTTTAGCGGCCAGCTCGAAGGGAACTGTCTGGAAAGCCGAGGAATTCAACCTGGATTCGGCTACATGGATCCTATGCTGGGGTTCCCTTGGACGGCAGACTCGGCCTTTGGGCCCAGTGCTCTTACACCGGAACAATATCCCAACAACATCGACATGTATGAAGGGAATGATGTGACTGGTGAGTTGGTGCTGCCGCAGCCATTTGATTATCCTAACGCCAGAGGCGCAGATCTGCCACCCATGGCGAATCAACCCTTGAAGCAGAGTTGTCAGGGTGATGCCAACATACGTTAAACCAAACTCGAGGGGTTTATCTACCCAGGAAACAGGCCTGAATATGAAGTGTGTGGAATAGACGAGGGCATATATCACAGGAATTCCGTAAGATTCAGATTGGATTTTAATAATATATCTATACCCGTGTTTACTCAAAACCAGATCAAAGGTAACGAAGCTCGACCAGTCTACTTTGGGACCTCAGAGTCTATACTTCAAAAGGGCTCCAAAAGAGGCCATCAGCGTCCCACAGCTTCTTGACCTCTCTCAGCTCCGCCAACCTCTCCTTGTCAAACATTTCTTCCAAGTTGATTCCAAATCGCAAGTTGTTGGGAAAACTCCTCGGAACAGTCCCTGGATCACCCTTTCTGAGTTCAGCGACGGTATCGTCCATGAACCCAGTGAGGGCAGCCATTGTCTTCTCCTTCTCACAGATGGTGACAATCTGGGCGGAAATATCCCTGTTCCGACCCTCGATGAACTTGGCAGAACCTGAATTTCCTAGGCCAAGCTCTGTTGGCTTCGTGCTGTTGAGTGAAGAAAGCGCCAGTGGGCTCTTTTGAGAATCAGGATATTTGGTCGTGACTGAAAGCCATAGCTGGAAAGCTTTCTTGATGACTTCAGTGTTTGTCTTTTCCAGACGGCAAGAAGCAATCGCCTTGTGCCCACCGTGTGTGTTGAGCGGATCAAGCTTGTCATTGATGTTTTCCATGGGAACGAACAGCGTGTTCGCCATGACAGCCTTGCTTACCACGTCTTCCTGGAATAACAAGGCGGCGTGCTTCTCAGCTTCTTCGGTAGGACCAAAGTATGAATATCCCAAGACGAGGATGGGGGCTCCGGCTGCTGGTGTACCCGGTGGGCTGCGCATACCCAGGAGGGTGATGCTCGCGGCCGGGGGAGGACGTAGAAGATTCAGGAACAACTGTGCAGCTGTGTCGATGGCTGCTACCGGAAACACAAGCGATCGAGTCCAAACTTTGCCTTCTGGCAGGTTGAGGTCGGCGATAGCATAGGCAGATGTCTCGATGGACGTGATGACTGCCAACCCGTGACCCGCTCCGCAGAGAGCATTGAAGAGTGTAAGCTCCTTTCCTGTTGATAAAGAGCTGACCTCAATGATGTCCCCTCCAGCAGTAACGATGCGGAACGAAACGACAACATCAGCCATCCATCCGTGAAGACCGTTCAACGGCGTGTTGCCTCCTCCAATCACGCACCCCACGACTCCAACGGCATTGGAGTTGGGAAGGGGAGTGTAGTAACCCTCTTTAGCCAAGGTCTTGGACAACTCCCCGGTAACAACACCACCGCCAACTCGGACTGTTCCTTTCTCCTTATTCAAGTCGATGGTTTTGAACTCTTTCATGTCCAGGTATAGCGTCTTGGGGCTCACAGTGACAAAGGTGCCGTGGCCTCCGCCGCTGGCTACGACGCTAAGGTTGTTGGTTTTGGCAACCTGAAGAGCGGCCTGGACATCTTCCTCGGTCTTGGGTGTGAGGATCAAAGCAGGTCGCTCAATGTTGGTGTCAGACCAACGCGACGGCCTTTCGGAAGACACGTCCGAGTTGACGAGGTGCCTGACAGAGTCAAGTCCTGAAAGCGTGGTTGCCATATTTGCAAAGGATGGCGTTGTGCAAGGAGTTGAGATGAAAGAATGGTTGGAAGAGCTCGAATTTCTTGGCAGAGAAGAGACGATTGGTAATTATATGGACTCTGACGGGCCGTGGCTCAGCGACTAAAATCTGACGTCAGGTTGTCGAGGTTGCAACGCAGACGATATCGCTTACTAGGTCTTTGTCAACCATCATCATCTTTCTATTTATATGCCTCAGATCGATGACTTGTCAGGAGTCTCTTCGGTTGTGTACCGCTTCTCACATCGTTGCCGCCCCTACATTCAGGAAATCGACCACCATCGATCATCCTCCTACGCATGTTAGGGGCCTATGGATAGCCCATGTGCCATATGTTGCCTTTGGGCCAGTAACAAAGAAACAGCTACTGTAGATCGAACGGCGGGACGGGTATTGCTTCTGCTCGATGAACTCAATTGCTGTGAGATCGTTGCATGGTGTTTGCATAGCACCGTTTCGAATCCGACTCTGTGGTACACACTGTTCAAGTCAGGGTTTAGAAGAATAAAATAAAATGTGGGACGGAGAAAACACTCGATTCACATTGTTGGGCTCGGAGCCGAAGGCTGTAGTTTGAAGTAGTGTTGAGTTGGTGGTTATGTTTGAGCATCTCAATGAAATGGAGGAGGGGTCTGGGATCGCTTCGGTGTTTGAAACATTCAAAGGTCTTTGGAAAGAAGACCCCAAATTCCTCTTCTTCGGAGGCTTTATTAACTGACTTCAAGGCTGTTTCGTGGAGGACGGGTAGTGTAGAGAGCAGCCATTCTCATATCTAGCGAACAGGGACAATCGATATAGTTCTAGATGTAGCGGTAGGAAACCTGATAGCAGGGCCAACACGAAAGACAAGAATGTAATTTCAATTAGTCATGCTACCGGAAGGTGTGGAGGTATGTGCCAATCTCGGCGGCCGAAGCGTCTGGATATCCCAAGACAGCGAGGGTGATGGATCGAGTAAGGAGATACTCCATAGCGGGCACACTCTTGTTGACCTCTTGATGAAATCAATTCGCCAGCCACTCTGGGCCAGAGCAACAGGTCTTGTCTCTATTCCCGGTCATTCTGTTGGTGTATTGACTCGACTTCTCATCAGCTCAAGCGGTTGTTTGTTGAAGTTTTCACAAGATCCCAGCGACGAATTGTGTCATAGAAGAGAGAAATATGAGAGAGCATATTCGGCTTCTAATTATTTTCATTCTTTTAAAGGATTTGGACCCCACTCTAGAGCACCCTTCTAGAGTGTCTCACTCCCCTTCTTGCAGATATAGAGAGTGGTCTAAGTATTGAACACACACTATCCCTACTGTTCTGAAAAGATTCTATGTGTGGCCGGTATTGACACAGCTAGCAAAAGATATAGAAAGCTCTCTAGGTTTGCAAACCGGCGCATGTAGGCTAAATACGCTGGGCGAAGGCTTCAATGTGGTATGGCTCACTGTACGTGTAGACGGTGGGATGGCTGGTTAGTGAACTGCTTCTGAGTATCGAGTTTTACAACAAAAAAGCAATTTAGTGAAGGGCGCCCAAGTCAAGCGACTTAGAGACCTATTCCGACCAATCCAGTCGCCCGGGGGTTGGTATGTGCTCACAATCCTAGCATAGTAGTAAGGTTACCGTTGGGCTACATACTTGTTACTTCCTTTTGAATCCTCATATTACATGAAAGTACTGTCCCTGATGCCGCTTTGGTTGTCTCTAGTTGTCTGATATTCAAAGTGACTGAAGTCGACAACGATTGGCTATTACTGTGTTGTGTTGATCCTCAAGAGACATGAAACTGCCGCATCTAGATATTTACTCTCGAGGTCGGGTGTTAACAGTGGCAGTTAAGGGGTAGGACTCCTTGAAGTTGCCGCTAGGATCTGTGGTTGTAGGCCAGATATGTTAATAAACACACCCCATATATATATGCAAAAGGAGTTCCTAGTGAATTCCTGTTGAAATGTTTGATGATTCTTGGAAAGCTCTCATAGTTGCTGGGCTTCCCGGAGACTTCCCTTTAGACTCAATTAAGAGACTTCGTGGCATACCTATCCCACTGTATTAGCATTGAGATATGACGCTGTGAAGTTTTGATATTGGTTGTGATCTTTGTTATAGTTGAAGCCCGGCCCTTGATGGGATAACTGAGCGAATAGATAGTGGCATACCTATCGTGTATCACTAGATCTCATGGCCAGAGTTCTGGCGCTGTAGAAACCTACTGAGTGGTACCACCTAGCTGGTGTTGCTCTGAGGACTCTGAAGCACAGAGGCTCTGAGTATCACACCGCCCTGGCGTTGATTTGGAATGAAGGAGCTCGACATACCTGCGATAATTCCAGAGCACGATTAAACATCCACTGTATATGGCACACGTACGTCGTGCTTAAGAAGAGAAAAACGATATTCCAATTAAGTTCCTCCTTACAAAAGAGACTATATAAATATACTTCAGCAAAGCATTCTATCATCAGTCATAATCGATATCCGTGTATTCCCAATCCCTCCCTTCACAGCAGCCTCACTGACGCCCATACCGTCTAATTATTTCCTGGAGTACATCCTCCAATACCAGCTCGCACAATGCCTCATGTGCATCCTCCTCATCATCATCCTCCCCGAGCAACTTGCGGCTCTCCAGGAACCTGGAGACGCTGCGTCGGCCCTTTGCCGCCCAGTAATCTCGGGCCATGGAAACAGCTTTTCCACATCCCTTATCTAGGTACGGAGAAGGAGAACGGTCCGAGGCGGGAAACACAGTGGCATAGATGCGTCTCCAGCGCTTTGCCTCACCGAGATAAACCCGGTCTCTTCTTTTCAACTTGGACTTTTGGTAAAAGTTGATGCCGTCGATAGGCTGTAGGTCACGAAGCTCACACTTCCTCTCCAAGATGTGAGAATCCCTGCTAGACAGACTATCAAAAGTCTTGGAGCAGATAGGACAGTAGGGTGGCTTCATGTGGTTGCGCCAAATATGGCGGATAACGTCTTCATTAGACTGCAGGTCGTGGTGCAGTAAACAATCTTGATATTTGGCCGGGTTGGCAACGTAGAGTGGGCAGGCTAGGTGAAAGTACCCAGTCGGGGGGTCGACAACTACGAACCCGTCGTCGCTGTCTTCACCCTCCTGCCAGTGTGATGTCCGGAGTCTTTTCCGGGGTGGCAACCTGTCGTCAGGCGGCGAAACGTATCGAGTAGTTTTCATCCAGCGTTCGAGAGAATCTAGGATGGATTGTACCAGTTCCGGTCTGATATCCTGGAACCGGTGGTTTTGGGGCAAAACGTATGCAGGGACAGCGCCTCGCCAGCCATGCTTGCCCTCGCATGAGCTGTCATCTGAGTCGCTGGCACTGGAGGATGAACTGCTATCCAGTTCGTCGTCGGAACTGGACCAGTCCGAGCTTTGGAAACGTTGGTTGCGGGCAGGGGTCCTGGGTTGTCCGGACCGCTCCCGTTTAATGCCAGCTGAGTTGGCAGGTGGCGATGTTTGAGATGATTCGCGTGAAGGACCTGATACAGGTCTGTACGGAATCTGGTAGATGGCAGATGCTGGTTGGTTGTCAGGTTCGTTCTTTGGAGTTTGCGGTCGACCAGGGGAGCCGTTCCCCCGGCAGGACATAATCCGCCGGGCCATGATGTTTAGATGAAGCTACTGCAGGGGCTTCCTGGGAGAAGAGGTAGAGAGCCATGCAAATTGATGAGTTGAGCGGTTCGGGCCGAGCTTAAACGTCCAGTAGCCTCTGTATTTGAAGTCGTGTCTTCCCTCGCATTTGCGGACAAAAAGCTGCTGCACACCACACCTGTGCGATACGGGGCTGGGGTGATGCTCGCGTCGTCGACCAATAAGACGCGACAATGGGTTGTTCCTCTGCCGATTTCAACCACAGGTGTGACGTTCAGTGCCGGAGTTAAAATAAGGCTGATGGGTGGAATGACTGTTCATAGTACGGTTCACTGCAATTTAAAAGAAGAGAACACCCGTGAAAGTTCTGCGTGATACTGTAGCCGCGCGGTTCAACACCACAGCTGTGTAGGTGTGTATGACGATTGTAGTCAGTTCCCCGCGACTGTGGCTCCCTGAGTAAATGACTCCCGCGCCTTGACCAGATGACTTGCATCGGCAGCGCCCGAGATTCTGCGGGAGCGGGATCCAGGCTTCCATCATGTGACCCTTTGCAAGACTCACGCCGAGTGACTATGGCCAAAGGGCACTAGGCATGCAGGACTTTCGGCGTACGTGAGAAACGACTTTGGTCCATACAGTTTATTTAAAGTCAGCCTGGTCCTGCGAACCAATTCACAACTTGAAGAATATGCCCCCAAGTAGAAAAAAAAATGGCTAGTTGCCCGGGTAGATAATAATGGTTGTTCAGCTCTCGGTCAAGGGGGTCAGGCAGAAATGCAAACACCACAGCTGCGCGCATACACGGCTTATCTGAGACTAGTTTCAAAATGACAATAACAAGCCACAACTGATGAGTCGCCCTCCTGAGCTGGGGGTGACCGTTCGATCACTGGCTCTCACTGCTCAGACTTGCGGCCCCCAAGGGGAAAGGAAAAGTCAGGCGCGTCGAGTTGCTCAATCTCCAACACCTCCTTGACGCCCTGCAGCTTCTCAAGTGCTTTGCCGTGCTTGTGCAGAGCAGGATACACAGTTTCAACGTCCACCTCGAGCTCAAGTATCCATCGGTAAAAGATGTACAAGGTAAAGTCAACCACCGTCAAAGCATTGCCAACTGCAAACTCTTTGCCTTGAAGTTTGCTGTCAATTCTGGCATACGCTTCGTCAACGGCCTCTCTACCCTTGGCGCGGATACCGTCGAAAGTAGCAGGATCATTGCTGAAACGTCCAGGTCTTCTCATCATGCCGTAGGCTCGACCGTGCACAGTTCCTGAAAGCCAAGCGAGCCACTCGGTGACTCTAGCTTTGTCAAGAGCTGTGACGCCTAAAAGACCCTCGTCGGGGATGAGAGAGGAGATGTAGCCCACCACGGCAGGCAACTCGGTGATGACCTCCTCGTCGACGACAAGTGCAGGGACATAGCCCATGTGGTGGACTTTCCGATACTCGGCATTTGTGAAGCTTCCGTCTGCTGCTTCGAACCCATCAAGGCCGCTTCGCATTCGAATGGCTGAGAAGGGGATCTTGTAGTGTAGGAGAAGAGCATGAGGAATGAGGGCACAAGACCCGTTGAATCGATAAAGGGTAAGTTTGGGGATGTTGGTAGTCATGTTTATGGATTAGCTGTGTAGTGTCTTGAGTGTAGTTGCGATATGTGAGCAGTGCATGGCTTAGTTCTGGTCCCTACATGAGACACAACCTCTTATACGTGTCCACTCAGCCCTTGGTGATGTCGTGTTCTCAACGTCATTCGCGCCCTTGGTCGGACAGATTCATGTAGCGCTGACAAATGGCTTGGATTGTGTCACAAAATACCATGGCCTTAGGCAACGGTACATTGAACCGAATGCGGCACGAAGGATTTCACGACCATAGCGCGAGAAATGGGTCTTGGCATCTGACGTTGATATACTGTGCTTTGAACTACTCATCATAAATAACGTAGAAAACAAGATATCACGAGACTGTTGTAGGGAATTGTTGATACAATTACCACCTAACTTTTCTCAGATAATGGGTGTTGAGTGCAATGGCAAGGAGCCTCACTTTCATTCCATAGGCATCAAACACAATCCCACAAAACACCAAGGAGACATCAGCAAACTTGCTTAAAGGGGTATCAATTCATATTTAATCAACTAGCCGCAGCTACAGGCTGCAAAACTGGAGCCACATCATCACTCAACTCCCACCTCCTGCTCCCTTGAGGAAGCAGAGCGTTGAACCTCGCCATCCACCCTTCAGCAACGCATCTGCAAAGCGGTATACTATGCAGTGCAGCTGTACCACCAGACTGTATCCAACTCTCCAGCTGAGCCGTGCTCTGCAGATTTGTCGGGTCTACCCCAACGTTTATGTGACTCAGGCTTGGAACGCAGTTGCAGGCATGCTCAGAGAACATGAGCCATGTCCAGACTACGAGTGCGCTCATGGAGATGGCGAGATATGCTATGGGATCTATGGATTGTGTTTGGGGTTCGTTTGTTTGGATGTCGGCTTCGCATCCGCGTAGCACGCTAACGGCGTGGAGGAGGGCCCGTCTGCTCTCTGAAGTTGCAGCCCATGCGTTGAGTTGGGCTTGATGCTTCTGTATTCGTAATGACTTGGAGGAATCCTCTCCAGTTCCTTGAGCAGAGAACCTCGCAACTGTGTTCATGATGCGTATGTCGGAATAGAGCTGCATCCCTTGAAGGTGATACGTCATCATGCAGTCCGAGACAAGGCATTTAATATGGTTCATCGCCGCCACCTTGGCTCGTTGTGGTTCCTCGTCGTATTTACCAACATAGGCAAAGAAGGGAAACTCTTCAATCTGATCAGTATGGAAGCACTGTGTGCACTGATGAGAGATGCGCTCTAGATCTGCTTTCCATGTCTCAAGTTGCCAAGCGAGCGAAGTGAGTGAATTCGGCATTGGCCTTCCGGCTTCGGTGGTTCGTCGCACGATCTGAGTGTGGTTCCATATTCCAGGAAGTAGCCCGCATAGAGCTAGGTGGACGTCTTCGAGAAGCACGAGGGACTTTGCTTGGGAGTTTGGGTTGCTGATGACTTCGGAGAGCTTGAATCCCACGCGATCGGTTGGTTCCTGTGAAAGCCGTCTAAAGAAGACGTTCAAGCCGTATGCGTTCCATAGAGAAAAGGTCGAAGGCATTGTCGCGTCGATTTCTTCTCGGTGTAGGGCTGAGGGTTGGCCGCGGGCCATTGAGAGGTATACGTCGATTTTGAATAAAGCAACGATGAGTCTAAACAGTCAGCAAATGGCCGTAAGAGGCTAAGAAGGATACTCACCTCTTCCATCGTTCGCGGATTGTTTGTAACCAAGGGATGAATGTGCCTGGAAAATGAACTCGTTGCTCATATGCTGCGCTTTCACAGACAAAGAACTCCATCTCTCTCATGTATACAACAAGCATCCCGCGTAATAATGTTGCCCTTGCAACCAACTTTTCGCTCTGTGGCACTCAGTTAGCATCTGACCAGTGAGAGCAGTGGAGATTGTACGAACCCCGTAGTAAAAGGCAAATATGATATTGAGAACAATACCTTGGAATACATCCATCGGCCAAGGTTCTTCCAAGTTATGCCGGGGCCGGGGATTTGACTAGGGCTGTTAGATGCTGGTGGTTCCTCCAGTGAGATAGACACAACTTACAATCCACTCAAAGAAACGTTCCATCAAGACCTCATGCAGTCTCAGCACAGGCTCAGCCATCCCATCAGGGTTCTTTAACCATGAACTTATCATGACAACAGAGACCGACACAACAAGTGCATGGTCCATGGGAAAGAATGACGGCGCATGGAGTATCGGCCAGCTATCGTGGAATCGATCAAAGAATTCTTTTGAACTCGCCTCCATCCAATCCTTGTCGACGCTAGACATGCGGGTACTACCGTCGATAGAGATTTCCCCAGATGCCAGCTCACCAGCAATTCTCTTTAGTCCGGCCGTCAATTCGTCTTCTTTTGGGCTTGATTGCAGTGTCGTTCTCATATTGGCAGCAGCCGAAGCAAAAGCCTCTCGAAATCCGATAGCCGCTGCGGGAGAAGAAGAGGTTGGGGAATTTGAAGGCGAGGCATTGCTTTTGGATGTCTTGCCGTCGCTGCTGCTTTTTGATACAAGCTTGTATGTGCAGCTGATGCCTCTCTTGGCACAGAGCGTGCACTGGATACCTCCATCGCACTTTGTCTTGTTTGCGTGACAGGCATCGCAAGCTCGACCGCGTCTAGGATCTGGAGCCGCTGGCATGTCATGGCGTGTCAGGTGACGACGGAGCAGGTCACTTAGAAAAGTCAGCACAAAAGAAGACTCCGGGGCGGTCGGGGAGTTAACTGACTTTCGTGTAAACGACCGTTGGCATACGGAGCATACAAAGTTCCGCTCTCCGTGGGTGGCTTGATGCCGTCGAAGATGCTCCTTCCTGATAAAGCCTTTTCCACAGTGGCAGACATGACGAGTGGGAGGTTGCTCGGCTGATGATCTGGCGAAAATGTGTCAGCTTGGACGTGTGTAGGATTGTTGACATCGGAGATCCCACATCAAGAGATGTCATGATGGAAAGATAGACTCACCTATTTTCAGAGTATAACTCCTGAGTGCTCCCCTGAGAAACATCCAGAGCGGATGCCATACTGGGTGACGGTGAATGCCAGTGAGAGTGACCCGAGTGGGATTGATCAATCAAATCACGCAAGAATGGGATAGCAAGCGAGTAGCGAAAAAAGCTATGTAATACAAAAAAGAGGATCGAATGTAAAGGGCCTCCCGCAAGTTTATCCCACACCGAGACGCGCAAACTTGGTGGTATCCCGACTTGGTAATCCTGTCGGTGGGAGGGCGGGATGACCGGGATGCGAGTGGGATGCGAGTGGGATCGGCGACCTCGGGGGTGTTTCTGCGGGATGGGATAATATGGGGAATGGAAGCCACACCACGTACGCTATTGGATTTGATTCGTTGTCGGCTTCTCCGTTGCCCCAGTCACTGAATTGTCATCCCGCTCGGTTATCCCACTCGGCGATCCCACGTCAACGGGATCAATCCCAGTCTCGGGGCCGGAACCAAAACACGGAGTCAAGACGGGATGGACGATCTGGATCTCGGTCTTGAAGGAAGTGCGCGGGTGCGGCTCATGCCTCAAACATGTTCTAGCCGATTCAAGCTCGCGCGAGGCGTTGATCTGATCGGCCAATATTGCCCAGCCGGTCCATCTAGAGTAATTCTCCTGCTATGTAATGGATGTCAAAGTTAAACCCATACCCTAGACGGTTTGTCAAACCTTGAGTAATGTGCCAATGGACGAGAATGGTGTCAACTCACTATCACCTCATGACAAAGCATGTCAATGACGCCGTCGAAGTGCAGATTGAGTATATCAACGATAGATATATAACATGAGACAAGATCTCTTCATCAACAGTCCTTTTGATCATCATCAACCAGCTCAACATACCACCCCACAACCTTAAACACATCCACATCCACGTCCACACCATGTCTGCCATCAAGACTGTCGCCATTGCCGGAGCCTCTGGCGATCTCGGCTCCCACGTCTTCAAGAAGTTTGTCGCTAGCGACTTCACCATCCGAGTCCTTAAGCGCGCCGGCTCCGAGTCCACCTTTCCCGAGGGTACCGATGTCGTCGAGGTCGACTACGCGTCTGTCGAGTCTCTCACCGCCGCGCTTAAGGGCCAGGATGCCGTCGTCTCGACCCTCACCACCCTTGCCGCTGGCGCACAGGACACCCTCATCGAAGCTGCTCTCGCTGCTGGTGTGAAGCGCTTCATTCCCTCCGAATTTGGCTCCAACCTCGATATTCCTAGCGTCCGGGCTCTTCCTCTTTTCAGTTCCAAGGTTGCCATTCAGGAGAAGCTCAAGGCCTTGGCCAAGGAGGACAAGATCACATACACCTTTGTTTACAACTCGGTCTTCCTTGACTGGGGTCTGGCCCACAACTTCTTCATCGACTTTTCCAAGTCCGAAGCCACTCTCATCGACGGCGGCAACGCCGAGTTCAGCACCACCACCCTCTCCAGTGTCGCCGATGCCGTCGTCGGCGTCGTGAGCCACCCCGAAGAGACCAAGAACCGTGTCGTCTACATCCAAGACACCGTCCTCACCCAAAAGAAGGTCCTTGAGCTCGCGAAGAAGGCCAACCCTAACAAGACCTGGACCGTCAAGGAGGCCGTCCTCGACGATCTTATCAACACTGCCAACGAGCGACTTGCCAAGGGTCTGCTCGACTGGGAGACTTTTGGCGCTTACCTTTACCGCGCCATCTACGACCCCACCAGTGTTCCCAAGTTCCCCAAGCTGGACAACGAGCTGCTCGGTCTCAAGGGAAAGACTGATGAGGAGGTTTATGAGCTTATCAAGGCTGCGGCTCAGTAAAAGTGTTTGCTCATTAGCGCTATAGGGTATTAGCATGATAATTATGAATAGTTAAATTTCTCACCATTTGCTCCTTTTTCCGACGTGATGTGCTCTGGACAGCCTCTATTCTTTCGCCATTCGTGAAACCCCGGGAGGACTCAGGCCTTGTAGATGTCCTTGCCTAGTTGTTGTGGAGGATAGAAATGAAGGTCCCTCTGAGGGTTTGGGCACGACATGTCGACAGACCTTCCGGATAAAAGAATTATGCCCACCTGGTTCGATGAGAATTCGCACAGGCCTACAAACCCGAATGCTCAGTTGCCACTAAAAGCCGGATTTAACGGAGTCAACGCTCGATCATGCACGGTCTATTGCCTGATAATGCTAGTTGCGTCGAGGCTTTGCGTCAAGACTATAGTGGACCTCTGGATCTACGCTTGGTTGTTGACTATCCACTCACTCGTATTGAATAGTCGTATTTGAGATAGTGACCTAGATGTTGCAAGAAAACGGCAATGATGAGCTTGTAAAACGGCCTACAGCCATTTCTCTGGTGAGTGTAGAACCTCCGTGTGAGTGATTGAGATAAAACCCAGGAGTTTCGGGACATAAGTGAGGCAGTACAGGCAGCGTGAAACACCTGTCCAGATGTCTTGCAATATGCAGTTAGGTTAGCGATTTGAGCTAAGATCCCGGCAAAGCTCTACCCCTGCCCAGCGGAATCATCAGATCGGACCTGGGTCTTTACTTTGCACTGCAAGGATGGATGTACTACTGGTTATTTTCGGCCTCGGACCCGATCAAGAATGACTAGCGAGATTCACTCATTTTCTTTTCGTGATTGATTGCGCGATTTCGTCTCTAAACGCTGTAACCGGCTGTACAAGCACAACTGCGTGGGTCTGAAAGCCTCCTAGTCGACACCAAGAGGGTTCAATGCATCACAAGATGGCGAAGAAATCCTGGATAACCGATAGTCTAGACAGGGCTTACAAATGCGAAGCGATATTTACCCACAGCAGCTCTGGCAAGCAAACTTCAGAGGCTGCCGTTCCTCTGAATCCTGAATGGCGTCATCTACATAGGGGTGTTGCACCATCGACATCCCACAAACACCTCAGTCCTTATACCCGAACCTTTCCGCCTAGGCAGCATATGCGAATGGAGAACCCCGCAAAAGCATGGTTGAGTTGTCGATGTGCGATCCTTGCCGGGATTGTTATGCTCTCGCGGGGTGAAATGCCGGCGTACATGTCCCGGCATCGCAGGTGAACTTGAAGTTCTTGGCTCAGTCCGTGTTAACTCCGGTGCCGATAGGAGTCATGTTGAAGCTGACGAGATACGCCCTAATGAATTAGATGCGTTCCGCAGTGTTGGTTGCCCTGGATTGATACCCCGTCAGATGGAACCGGTAACGACCGGCCAAGCCTCAAACGGCAACTAAGAAGCATCAAGAAAAGATTCTCCCCAATCAACATCTCCTAAACCTCCATTGACAATCCCCAAGCGAGTTGACCAAGAAAAGGCTAAACCCAAAGTGAGCAGACATCCTGGGGGTTGAGTGATTGATAGGCGAAATAACACCATCGCCATGTGTGGAGACGCCTCGATCTCAGCCCGACACCGGCAGACGACAACCCAAGTCACGTCATCTAGAAAATGCGGGCATGGGATAAGCATCTCGGGCTTGATTCGACAAGAGTCGCCATGACGCCATCCTTCGCGTGGGAGCGCTAGCCGATGCTCGTCGCCGAATTCGACGGGTTGGAACAAAATGCGCCCTCTTCCCACCCGAGGTTGTTTGGAGGGGTGAGGCATTGTTAACTTCTTACGTGTTTGCTCCGAGTCAGAGGAGGGCTTTCTTTTTTTGCTGTAGATCATTGAAAAGGGCGTTACCCCTGGTTTTAGACGTTGTCTTTTTTCCAAGAGTCGATTCGATAATCTCGGCTTATACAACAACTTGATCGCCCTGACGAATAAGCAAACGGTTCGCCCACAATGAGCACGAGTACTTTTGTCACCCTCACACCGGAGCCGGTCCTCGAGGCCAAGTTCCCTCAGCTACAAATACAAGAGACCACACAGAAGGAGGAGCAACAGCCCGCCTCTCAGACTGCCCAGCCATCACCTGCAGCCCAACCTCAGCCAACACAACCTGCCGACCAATCGACGTCGACGGACTCATCAGTGCCATCCCAAATACCCGAGACAACAGATGAACACACCATACCCCCCGCCCAGACAGTCCTATTACTACACGGTGTGAGGCAGCAATATGAAGTGACTCATGGCTACGCTATTCCCGATACCAAGCACGATCATGAGCTATTGGTGCGCACCAATACTATTGGTCTGAACCCTATCGACTGGAAGTCACCGTAAGTAAATGAGCCGAATTCAACTGAAGTCGGTTCTAATTGGTCTTAGGGACTATGGCTTTGGTATCCCCGAGCTCCCCTACATCTCTGGCCGCGAGGCATCAGGCACAGTCGTCCGCGCTCCACTGGGCCCCTCAAGAGTGAAGGTCAACGACAAGGTTATCGTCATCTCCACCGACTACCGAGACCTTCGAAAAGCCACCTACCAGCAGTACGTCGTGGCGTCCGATTTCAACGTTGTGAGGATTCCAAAGGAAATCACTGTCAACCAGGGTGCCACCCTAGGAGTCGCCTTCGTAGCTGCGTCACTGTCACTTGGTGTCTGCCTCGGCGTTGATTTCACCAGTGTTCATGACGGACCTAATGTCCTCAACCTTGTTCGGGAGGTTCCTGAGGAGTCGCTTCCACAGGATATCAGGGGAGAGTGCTTGAATGGTATCCTTCCCGGCGAGGGAGCCAAGCCTGGAGACTGGATTGCCATCTGGGGCGGTTCATCAACTTCAGCTGTTATAGCCGCCCAGCTCGCCCGACTTGTCGGTCTTCGAGTCGCCCTAGTTGTCGACAACGCCAAGCATGGCGTCCGCATCTCCGAGAACCCCGTCCTCCGCCCAGATCTTCTCGTCGATAGCCACGACCCCGAGCGAGCCGTGGCCATTCTCCGTGCCAACACTAAGGGCAAGCTCCGTTTTGGTATTGACACCCGAGGAAAGGATACGGCTGAGATCCTGCTGCGCGCACTGGGACCTGAGGAGCACCGCAAGACTCCTCCTGTCAACTCGCCCCCGAGCACGCCACCCTCTGAGCCGACAGTTCCTGCTCATATCGTGGGCATGAGTGGATTGCCCAAGCAAGCGACTGCGGGAGTGATATTCCACACCATGCCTGTGAAGTTGTACCATGAGGTTCCTGAGGTTGGAGAGGCTCTATCGAGTTGGCTGGAGAGGCTGCTAGCTACCCGTGCGCTTGTACCCCCTAGAATTATTGATGTTGAGGATGGGTTGCATAACGTGAACAAGGGCTTGGATAGGATGAGGAAAGGAGAGATTAGCGGTGGCAAGTTGTTGGTTGATATTGATGCATAAGAAAGTCAGGGTAGATAAAAGTTGAATAAACTCAAGTGTTAATCAAGAGTTCCGACAAAAGCGCTACTTTAAAGCTTACAATACCATATAAAGAGTGAATTTCTTTTTTAATATATACTGATTATTTAGTATTATGACAGGTGAGACTTCTTGGGTCACGGAAAGCTAGGTAGGTAAAATAGTTGTATTGCACTGAACCTTGTGCCAGAATCAAGGGAAAGCCCGTTAATGCGCGGGTCTGAACAAAGCCGCGTAACAAGTATATCAGCGAGTTTATTATAATTAACTATTATACTAGATTGTTTAGGGACATCTAGGTTTCAAATTCTTTTTATACTTAATAAGACTATCCCCCTTTTCCCCCAAGGCATACTACAGCTTTCGCACATACCCTAACCTTATTTAATTAGCCGTCGTTCGCTTAGCCAGTGAGTATAGATATATATACCTACCCTTAGAGCAATTACTTGGAGTTATTAAAAGCCCGGCTGACTTGATCCACACTGTACGTGCTCGCGAAAGAAGGACCTTTACGCGGTTCAAACACCCAGGGATTAAATGGACCATCACTCCGCGCCTCGTTAAGCCACACTTCTAGCATAGTTCCTTTGTCTGGATAACGTTTATCTTTGTTGTCGATGTCTGGATCACGATCATCTCTGCTATCGATGAGGTAGTGACAGAAGTAGTACGCGAGTGATCTGAGGTGTTTGCTGATGCACCTCTCCGTTTGCTGGTGATCCCGCAACGCTTCTGTTGCGGAGGAAGAAACTTGGGGCAAAGTAAACTGTATAGCTGCGTTGCGGGAATTCTCCCCATGCTCTTTAGTTCCAACCTCTGACTGCTGAGTGGGATCGCCGCCGACCCAAGTTCTGGAGTCCAAGTGGTTATAGTCGCAAATTGGGCAAATATTCAGGGGTTGAGGCAAGGGAACACCGCTGCTGCTAGCCAGGCTTCTCAGGTGGTCCTCACTCTTGAAGAGACCCTTGTGTTCAGTCTTCATGTGCTCTAGTAAGCCTTCCTCCGTGCCATGTTCAATAAGGACCTTTCCGTCGTGTGGTAGTGCACACTTCCACAACACAGGATTGTGCAGATGGCGAACCCACATCGTGGTGTGTACTTGTCTCATATGCAGGACCCAAGATGTGCTGTTGGCAAAGAATAGGAGGTTCTTGGCGCAGTGCTGGGAAATGCAAAAATATGGTTGCAAGTCTTGGTCCACATGAGATCTGGTGTTGTCTGTGAGTTTCTCATGCGCATCAGAAATCCCTAGTCACTAACTTACCTCCACTGTTCTCCTTCAAACACGGCGGCGGGATATGTCTTTTTACAAATCGGGCAAATGGCGTTTTCCTGTTCCGCAGCGATGGTAGGGGCTTTGGGGTAATCGACATCTCCAGTCCTCGGGAAGGGTGTATTTTGATATACCTTCTCTTCATTAATAAAAGTATGAAACAATATTCAGTGCTGGGAATACCTTATCTCTCATGTAACTATCCTTTTTCGACTGGAAACGCTTCTCCTCACTGTCGCTCCGTCTCTGTTGTCTTTGGCCCGTCCTACGTTCGTGAAGAATCCGATAATGGCGGTAGAGAATGGAGGCAAAGAGGAGCTTTCTGAGCCCAGGAGAAGAGCATCGAACTTGGTGGTTCACATACTCCTCAAAAATGAGGTCCCTCTTTTCCCCTGCGTATGCAAATATTCGTTCTTGCAAACTCCCCGCCGCACCTCTGTGAATTGCAGAGACGATCTTTTCAAGCCTCTTTAGAGAGCCATCAATGCCGAACAGGGCTATATCTAATGTGCCTAGTGGATCGATTTCGTCTGACACGCCCACTTTCTCGCTGTCTTGTGTAGGCTGCAGTGCTAGATGATTTAGCTCCCGATTCAGTCAGTTATTCCATCATTGGGCCACTTACCAAGTTTAAGATTTAGTCTTAATACCCCAAGCAGTAATTCTACTCGTTGTTGGGTCGCCGCATTCTCTCCCTCATTTGCCAGAAAATTGAGTGGCAGGCGAGGTCTCGAGAAAGAGTTGAAGGCATGCCACCAGGCCCAGAAGCGCTGTTGAGACGACTGAAAAGCGAACTGTTGCGGCCGACTCCCATGGACATACCGCATAAATAGTTCGTCGCATTCACGCGAGATATCGGAAATCCTGGTATGTTCTTGTCGGTCTATGTTCCGCGCTTGGTCTTCCAGGGGATGGCGTCTCGGTAGCGGCAATAAGTCGCCAGGACTGATGTGTGAGCGACTCCCATGGACATACCGTGTGAATAGTTCCTCAAATTCACACGAGATTTCGGAAATCCTGGCCTGTTCTCGTCGGTCCATGTTCCGCGCTTGGTCTTCCCGGTGATGGCGTCTCGGTAGACACAACAAGTCGACAAGACTGATGTGTGAGATGGACGACCAGGGGGTTGAAAATGAGACACATGATCTTCTGACTTGACCTGCAGCCATGCAAGCCTCGTCACCATGATAGGCCAGGCTACTGCTGTCTCCGTCAGTTGTTTCGCCAAGCAGCGCGGGGGCTTTGGCTGGCAGACCGAATCCATCCGACCCCGTTACTTGATTATACCTCCATATGTCCTTACGGCCGAGGCTGGCTTACTGCACTGGAAGAGCCATATTGAGCACAAGCTTAGAATGAGCCAAACCAGGGCTCCTTTGCACTGGTTACAGTGTTATGTGACATTGAGTCTACCATAGGGATTCCAGCACCAGGCAGAGAACCAAGATCTTTCTGACTGTGGCTGCTTGTCTGCCCTTATTCCATTATGCAATTCAGAAGCAATTTGCCAATGTCCCTTCCCTGGCGCTCCCACAATGTCCACGGCTGTAAATAATCATAGCCACCCCGTTCCCCGGCCATCTCTCTAAAGATCCTTCGTATACAGCTCCCAGTGTAGAGAGTTCTCTTTCTATCCATGGTGAGAGTGAGATTATACCTTGAGAACTCAAGGACATTTGCTGCGATCGCAACAGCAATCGGCGTCGCGAAGGAGGTGCCTGTCACGTAGATCTTTTCCTTGTGTTGCTTTCCTTCAGGTGTCCACTCTATTTCGATGTCCTGGCCGAGCGTTGCAAAGTTGTCCCCCATGTGGTCTGGATTAGCATTGATGTTCACGGGAGATCCTAGCCCGTCTGTGGCGTGGATAGCGATGACCCCATTCCTTCGTGCAGGCCAACCCATAAGAGAGTTGCCTCCACGGTTGCCAGCAGCCGCAAACACGATCTTTCTCGAGATCCCCGGGCCCTCGTACGAGGGGTCAATAGCTTGCGTCAGTTCTTCTTCAATGCCCGGATGCTCGTGCTCGACAACAAAGGACATGCTGATGATGTCGACCTGCCAGTTCTGGACGGCCCAGTTGATAGCCTAACAAGTAAGCTTCAATTCGCATCATGCCGGGAGTTGATCCAAAGTGGCATTGGGAAACCATACCTGGCTCACGCAAAATAGCCCTTTTGAATCAATCCTGGACCCCTCTGTGACTTTTGCGACGTATATATCGGCATTTGGGGCATATTTGAGCAGCAACCGGGTCACAATTGTCCCATGCCCGCAATCGTCATCCCAGTCATGAGGGTCTGCCGAAGGCAGAAAATTCCTCCCTCCCTTTATTTTCTTGCCTCTAACGGCAGCTCGGATGCGATCGTCTATCATGCTAGCTCCACTGTCAATGATGGCAATTTTGATCTTTGCCTGGGAGTGAGTATTGTTTTCTGGCGGTTTCATGGGTCGAAGCGGCTTGATATTGAGCTCTAGCCAATCGTCCATCTGCTTCAAAAAGTTCCTGGCAGTTGTTGATGAACTAAAACTGGTTAACCCGCTTGTTTGCCCGTACATAATCATCAGCAGAGGGCTAACTAACTTGATGGTGATGGGGGTTTTGCCGAGTTTGCTGTCATAGTCTAACATCGTTTCTTGACAGACACTGTTGACTGCGAGGTGTTTGCTTAATGCAGAACACCTGGACAGGTTTTGTGGCCTCTCTTTTCCGGCGACTGAACATCCCAAGTTGACCACAATATTTCGATAGATAAAGTCTCGGATTTGGCTGGAGCCACCTCCTCCAGCCGCAGCAATCTTCCCTTCCAGGCTCAAACAGGCTTTGACAGCGGCGACAAAGGCGCTATCCTGAGGTAGGTAGCTTCTCTCGTCTTGGATTGCCATCAAAAGGGTTGTTTGCAACTCAAGACCATGGACTGGCTCTTCGATTCTTTCAAACGCATGGATTTCCATAAGGAGTCGCCCAAAGTGAAGGAGATGAGAGTCGCAAGCAAGTTCGCCCATGTCTCTCGCATTATCCTGCACACTGGGAGTCGACATAACAACCCAAGACAAGTATGGCTTTGTTTTTTCTTCCACAACTCCAGACAAAGGGTTCTTGAGAAAGAAGATGTTCTCAGGGCACCATACAATCTGTCGCCACTCGTCTTGGGAGAGTTGGAGCAAAGAAAGGGCTAGGTTCAGACACAGAGTGGCCCTGTCAAGTGGAAGAAACCTGTTGGGATTATCGGCAGATGGAAACTGACGGTTTAGGCCGGGAGTGTCCAGTAGCTGACCGAGAGACATGGTAGGAGTGGAAATCGATGCATAACAGTCTGCTTCATCCGGTTGGGGCAGGAGGCGACCTCCCTGTCGTTCTTCCAGGAGTATACACAGCCGCTTTTTGGCCTCCTCGCAGTCCCGGATTAGGCCACAACCTGGCTTCGCAGCCTCCAGGATTTCCCTAGAGGCGGGATGTTAGTCGCAAGAAACAGTTTTAAATGATGGCCACATTACTTTGTGATAACGCACCGACTCTCCAGCCACCGACACGGGATCCAGTCAAGTCGTGAAGATAGATAAAAACCGAAGACCCGGTGTGATTGATCTTCGATCTGGTCTCTGAAACCAGTGAGATGTAGACTCACGGTATGACGATGTTTCGACTCGGCGCTGAGATCACAAGGTCCGAGCTGCTTTGTTAGGCCTACATACGTAAGTCACTTTCCTCTCACAGGAACAGAAAGAAAATCGGGCTAACAGACCTGTAAAAAGAAATTGGAGACAGTTTTGAACCCGCGGGTCCAACAATTCCTCGCTCCTGAGCTGGGATTCAGAGTGATCCTGTTCAGGTGTCAAGGCCGGGGACACATTTGCCGGTTCAAGATCATCCAGCATGTCAAAAACCTTGTTATATTCGCCCAATGCCTGCAGCGAAGGAAGGGGACTGGTGTTATTTTGCGCCTCGAGCCCTGAATCATGGTTCTCAATAATCTGGAGCATTTGTTGCTCGACGTTGGGTGGCACCGCACCTCCATGAGATATAGCCAACTGCGCGACATCTACCTCTGCAAATGAGCGCAACGTCTGTGACAATACTTGTGCTGGGAATGAATCTTCCTCGCCTGGCTCCAAGGGCTGGCTCGCATCATCACACGTTTCGACCTCCTTCAGCTGCTGGGCTTGTCTGCGCCCTGTAAAGGCTCCCAGGGCCCTTTTTAGTTCGGCCAACACTCTGTGTTTCGACGGCATGAAGGCGAAGTGAAGTCAATAGAGCGTTGACCGAGAGGTGAGAACAGCCTGTCTGCGGAGTGCCGGGAGCCTCAAAATACTCGACAAATGACCCGATAACTGGTATTTTCGCTTTACACGGTATCCAGAAGCGCCATGGTTACCGCGGAGGCGCATGCAGCACCCGATTCAGTTGCCCGCAGGTTCAGCTCTCCCCAAAATATCCAATCCAGACTCGTGCGCCTGCTGCCAAGGCCAATGTGCAAATGATGGCTACCCACGGCCAACTGATGCCTAATTTCCAAGACAAAAGCCCAGATTGCGAAATTCACGCAAAGACAAACCCTTTTCCTACACAGCCAAAGAACTCCACCATGGTCGTCACCACACCAACTTATCACATCATCTCGAGGGTGCCGCCGCCTCCTCAAGGGCCGCTCAAACTGGGCACTGTCATAGACAGCCTAGAAGAGCTCATCCCGCTGAGTGATAGCCTGGATGTTGAAGGCTCTCGCGTAACCCAATTTCGCGAGGAAGATTTTGAAGTCAATCGGGCACAGATCCTCAAGGGAGCAGGTGGAGTTGGCTTCAAGGTGCTTGGTATGCCAGTGGGCATTGACATATCTGGTGGCGGCGATACCGCAGTCAACGACACTTACAAGTTCAAAGAACTTGACACCGTTTCCTTCAACCCCACTCCCGATGACTACCAGAAGGCCGTCGCTGCATCCCAGCTGCAAGACTACCTCGAAGATTCGGGATATACGCCAGTGTATATTGTCACAGGCATGAAGATCGGCCACAGGCCGGAGGTGACGCTTAGAAGGGGTAATCAAGTCAATGGAACGTTCACTATCGGCATCAGCGATGGGAACGCAACCCTCGGCACCAACGCGAACGCATCCTCATCGAGCAATATCGTTCAGGGATCCAAAAGCTCTCCAGACAGCATCGTGTTTGCGATCAGGGTGAGGAAGTTATCTTTCACCAAGCGCTACTACATCTGGGGGCCGAGGAAACTGCGCAATGATCCCTACAATTGCAGTGCTGAGCTGGTAGGTGTGGGCCGGGAGGCGGATAAGAGTAGCGAACCTGCTATTTTTGACGTGAAGGAGATGGATCTTGACGAAGAGATCTTGGGCCGGGCTACGCAAGAGCGTGGTAATTCTCAAGAGGGACGATTTATACTTGTGCTTTGAGGGCTTGTGGGATATCGTTAGTCGCCAACTTGCGTGAGCTTCTCTGTACCCATGGCTCTGCCATGTCCCATCTCTTCACCTACGCTTACTATAATCCATGTGCTGGTACATTTGATTCTGGTATGAGTTTGATGAGCTACATTAAAAGTAGTTGGTAAGTTGAAGTGCAGAGTGGTCTCCTCGCACTAGCATAGCCCAAAAGTAGGAAGAAGATTGACAGTAGAGCCGTAGAAAACAAAGTGATATATATCCAAGTTACACATACTACATGAAAATGAATTTATGATATGTACGAAATTCTATCCAACACCGTCTTTAACGCTAGGAAAATGGTCTATGTCAAGTTCCGTAAAGGACTTGCCCAATGACGCCTTCGCCGCCTTCTAATCTCCGATAACGCCGTAGAGTTATTTATGTACAAGTTCATCCTTGATCCCGCTCCGCAGAAAGTGAGCGTATCTCCAGGACACTTGAAGTTGCAGTCGTCCATGGTGACGTTCTTTCCGGGAGTAGCGCCCGTGTTGCCCGCCAAGTTGAGAGTATCACCACACCAGCACTCTCGGCCGTATTCGACACCGGCGTACTTGAACATCCAGCACTTTTCGAGGCAAACATCGATGGTCATACCGTCGCCGTCGTTGAGCATCTGTCGTGGGAGGATGCGGCCGTTGGAGGGTTCGGAGACGCAGTTGTACATGGTAAAGTTCTTGTTTCCGGCCACGACAGTGGGAGTAGCTGCCTTGGTTGTTGTAGTACTGCTTCTGGTGCTGAGAGTGGTGCTTGAAGTGGTACTTGAAGTGGTAGTCGGCAGGGCAGCGTTTCGATAAAGCTGAAGCCTGTTACCAGCACCACAGTACTGGGTCTTGTCTCCAGGGCAGGTGAATGAGCAGTCCTTTTGGTTGTCGGCCTTCACACTGCCCGAGTTAAGGAAGTTTCCACAATAGCACTCGCGTCCATACTCCGCTCCAAAGTAACCGAAGCCATCACAGAAGGAAGCACAGTTGTCGAGCGTCATGTCGTCCTTAGCATAGGCCTTCTGGCTGAGGGCTCGCATGCTGGAGGCTTCCGTCCAACAGCCCTGGAAGTCCCAGTTTCCGATCTTGTCAGATATTTGCGGCCCAGTGGGAGTGGCCTTGGCACTGGAACTTGTGGTTGAGGAGGTTGTTGTCGTGCTGCTGGTAGTTGAGGTGGAGCTACTCGTCGTTGAGCTGGAAGAGGCTGGGCGGGATGTGGATGAGGAAGTTGTCGAGGACGTCGTGGAGGATATCGTGGATGATGATGTTGAAGTCACACTCGATGAAGATGTACTGGAGGTCGTGGTTGATGTGGATCGAGATGTGGAAGTAGCGGTTGGGCTGGATGAAGTTATGGATGATGAAAGGGAAGATGATGTAGTAGTGGAGGAGCTATCTCCAGCACCAGCTGGATTCACTGCGACTTGAGATGTAGAGGAAGTTGCAGATGAGGATGTGGTGCTCGAAGACGAGGTGCTAGATGCTGTTGAAGACGTAGTAGAACCAGAACGAGACGTGGTTGAACTTGCGGTTGAGGAGGTGGTTGAGGATGAGGAAGTGGCTGATGAAGAGGTAGATGATGAGCTGGAAGCTGTGGTTGACGTCGGGGCGCTCGAGGTTGTCGAGGAGCTTGATGCCGTCGTAGACACACTCGAGCTTGACGTAGTTGTTGTAGTAGGTCGTGAGGTAGAAGCAGTGGTGCTGCTCGATCCGCTTGAGCTAATCTGAGTGCTACTTGAGCTACTCTGCGAGTTTGTCGTACTGCTTGAACTACTTTGTGTGCTCGAACTGCTGCTTATGGTACTGCGGGAGGTCGAAGCACTCGAAGAGCTGGTGCCGCTGACAGTGCTGCTGCTGCTAACGGTGTTGCTGGTAGTGGTGCTGCCTGATGAGGTGGTCGACACGCTGCTTGATACGCTGCTGCTGCTGCCACCTCCCCCAGCAACATTAACACTCACCGTGCTTGAACTGCTGATGCTAGTACTCGAGGTGCTTGAAGAGCTAGTGGTACTGCTTGATGTACTACTCAGAGAAGTGCTCGACGTCGTTCCGCTAGTCGTGGTGCTACTACTAGTAGCTCGGCTAGTAGTGCTGCTTGTCGATCCGCTCGCCGTGCTACTCGATGCGGCACTCGAGGTGGTGCCGCTACTCAACGTGCTGCTGCTTGTGGTGCTTCCAGATGTAGTGCCACTGCTCACGGTACTGCTGATCGAGGCACTTGCCGTCAAAGAACTGGTAGTCGAACTGGAACTGCTAGTCGACGAGCTTATGGAAGCAGCAGTACTGGAGCTCGACACTACGTTCGAGGAAGATGAGGCCGTCGAGAGTGAGGACGAAGCGGATGTTGAAACGGTACTGCTGCTCGTGGTGGAGCTAGACGTCGACGATGAACTGCTCACAGGTGCATTGAACTGGTAAACATTCAAACGGTTGGGACCACCACAAAACTCAGTCGTGTTACCTAATACATGTCAGTATCTTGAATCAGTCCAAGAACGGAGAGGAACCAACCGTTGCAGAGCATGGCACACTCCCCGATAGGAGCAGGAACAGACCCAGCAGAGAAGTCGTTGCCACAGTAGCACTGGACATTGTTAGCACCTCTGTCAATAATTCACCTTGAAGGTATACTTGCCTCTCCACCGTACTCAACTCCGGCATATGTGAAGCTTCCAGCCTTGCAAGCTTGGACACAGTTGGCAACTGTGGGCGAGTCTACACCCTTACCAGTTCTGAGTGCTCGACCGGTAGTAGCTTCAGTATAGCAGCCGATACTGTTGTATCCGTAAACTCCAGGGTTCACAAAAGGGCCCTTGGGACCATCGACACCACCAATAGTCCCAAAGCTACCGTCCCATGACAGCGTATCAGCAAACAGACTGATGTAAGCACCAGCGCCATCGATACCGTTGCCGCCACAAATCTGGTTCAAGTCGCCAGAACAGTCAAAGTTGCAGTTCTTGTCGTCGACCTTGAGGTTGGGTATCTTATTTCCGCTCCAGCACTCCCGACGGTACTGTGTTCCGCAGAATGTCGAGCCCTTCTGTCCGCAGGCGTTGATGCACATCTTGTTGGTATTTGTCTCATCGCCGTACAAGAGGTTGGACAACTGACGACCGGGGTTGTTCTCTTTGAAGCACCCCACGTAACGGTACTGACCGAGGCCATTGGGAAGAAGAGGAGCGGCTTGCTCTGTCACGGCGTTGCAGAAGAATTGGACAAACTGCTTATCCCAGGTAGGATCGTTGGTGTTCATGGTCCACTGCGCCGTTCCGTTGTAGGGCTCCAAGTTCCACTGACTCTTGGGGACAGTACAGGTGAGCACTGCTGTCTGACTCTGTCCTGGTGCGAGCAGAGTTCCCTCAGCCAGATCAATCTGGTTGGCAGCCCGGATAATACCAGCAACTCCGAAGGGAGGTTTGGACACGGTGAGAGAGAGTTTGACACCGCCTGCTGCGACGTTATTGGTGACTCTGAACTTTAAAGATCTCGAAGTGTTCTCTGTGACATTGCCAAAGGTAAAGGGCTTGCCAGATTCGTAGGTCACCCAACCAGAACCATCCGGTGTCTGAAACTCGAGCAGGGCTGATGCTGGATCACCTGCTGATGCTGCCATGTAGACAGTTCCGTTCCCTCCAGTCGTAACAAACTTGACCCATCCTTGGAAATTGCCAGCAGAAGATGTATCAGGTCTGATGGAAACGGCAGTCGAGATACCCCCGTCAATGGTGGCTGGGATGTCTGTCAACGAAAACTTGCCAACCTTGAGACTTCCAATGCCGGTCCAGGTGTCAAAAGGTCCATCGGCCGATGTGTTTGAGAACAACACGGCTGACACCTGGAGTTGATTGGTTCCATCGTTGGATAACAGAACAGTCTCTCGATCGGGGTCCGTCCCTGTAACCAGCCCAGCAAATGTGACAGACTTTGGATTGACGGAGAGCAAGGCACTGGTACTCTTGCCGACTCCCGTCAGCCGAACTCTAGTCGTCTTGCTGTACGAATCATCCGTAACGCCGGTGGTTTGAATGTTGACAGTTCCACCAAGTCGACCAATGCTCTTGGGGAAGAACTGGGCCTTGAAAGAAAACGACTTTCCCTTGGTAAGAGTCAATGGTAGAGTAGGCACCGTCGAGATGTTGTAGTTGGTGCCATCCGCGAGATCGATGCTGTTGATGGTCATGTCAAATGACGCCGTGCAGTTCACCGTCTGCGGATTTGTAACGTCTTGAAAGTCGGCAGTTCCAAAGTCAATAGGTGACGTGCAGTTGAGAGGCACCTTGTTCGTAGCACCAAGGCCGTAAAAGTAACCGACCGTCGTTCCGATGTAGGCCATTCCGTCGCCAAAGACTGGCCTGCTGAATTTGGTGATACCAACAATGGTAAAGTTCCTGATGACATTCAAGTATCCATCCTTCGGAACAGCGTCGTAGACCTTGAAGTTGGTGTTTTGAACGTCAGACACCCAAAGCAGACCCGTGCCTGGCTGTCCGTTCAAGGATGTGGTTGTTCCGTGGCTTACGCCCAAGATGTAGGCATTCTTGGTCGGACTGTCAGCAACCTTTGTGAAGTAAGGAACGCCGTTGGTGCATGAGAACTTGAAGACATGCGTAGGATATTGAATGACTGCACAAGTTAGCATCACACCCTTACAGATGTCTCAAAAACGTACCGTTGATGTAGATGTAGCCGCCCTCAAGGGGATAAACACCAGCTCCAGCGTAGACAGAGTTCTCGTTCTGAAACGTCTGAAGCACTCTATCCTTGCTATTCGGCCCATTTCGATATCCACCAAGATCATCGAGGTTGAGCCAGTACGTCTTGCCTGACTTTCCCGTCACGACGCCCATTCGTTTGACATCGCCACACGAGAATTGACTTGGCAGAAGTTCCAGAGGACTCGTTCCCAAATCCTTATCTGCACCATCCAGCTCCTGCTTCTCGAATGGCATGAAAAAGTCAATCACGCTGAGTGAACCATCGTCGTTGATCGACATGTGAACCGCTGCTTGTTCCATGGCCGTAGGCGGCGTGAAGCCATTGACAGGGATCGTCGAGAGTTGGGAAGCATAGCCGTTTCCACTGGCAAAAAACATGGATCCAGCATTGTCGGACGCAAGACCACCTCCAGACATCCAGACACCAGCGCCTTGGATGGTGTTGGGGACACCCTTGCCCTCCGCTGCCCACTTCTCAACAATCTTGCCAGTTGTCTTGTCCCAACCAATGATCCAGCCTGTGAAGTTGTACTGAACGCAGTGGGAGGCGAAACCCGCATAGACGTACTGCCCCGTGTGGAGCAATCCGGGGCGCTGGTGGTGAATGCCACCTGTAAACATTCGTTCGGGGTTGTTGTTAGCAATCAGACCTTCGAGGTTTATTGGAAAATTTGGCCTCTCGGTGAGATCGTTGACGTTGATAGCATGAACGTAGTATCGACCAGCCGGCCTTCCCTGCGCGACCTGTCCAGCCGTCTGATCAATGTACGTCTTTGCCGTAAGATACCAAGTATCAGTCGAAGGATCGATGACGCCCGTCGCAGTCACGCCAACTGTCGGGTTCACGTCGACACAGCCGTCGAGATCGGCCGTCAGGAAAGGAATGTGGAGTTTTCGCGAGGCTAGAATCTCGCCTGTCTTTGCGTCGAGCTTGTAGATGTTGTTCTGTGTCGTCGCGAGAAACACGTACTGCGTGGTGCCGCCAGATGGAGTGTAGACGAGAGGTTGTGAGAAGATCTGCTCGGTTGCTCCGATGTATCGACCGGGGAGTGAAGTCTTGAAGACGATGTCGAACTGGGAACTACCAACGACAGCAGGGTCCATGTTGTGGTTCCTGTGACCCTCTTGGTTAGTATCACCAACTCACACATCCTCAAGCATCACTCACGTCTGATATCCTGTTCGGGAATTGTCACCACCCCATGTTATAGTATCTGTAGAACCAAGAGCCCCAACCCGGCCTACTAGGGCTGAGAGGAGTAGTGCAATCAGGACCTTCATGATGGCTATGCAGCTGATACCTCGAGCCCTCAAGAGTCAGAATGGCGTTTGACGAGAAGCTTCAACTTCTTCCCCTCGGGAGGCGTTCGAGGTGCAAAGGTTCTTCATATATACCCTCAAAACGTTCGGTGGGGATCGACGCCAGGGGTAACCCAGGAGTTCAAAGGTCTAGATTCTTCTTCGTCACCGCAAGTTCGCCAAGGAGACTCCATCGTCCTCGGTTCAAACATGGTGACCTGACTTCTCAGTCCGGCATGTCATTCACGCTCCATTCAACACGCGTTTGGCCGTTAACCTTTTGGTCAGGCTCACCAAGCAGGGCCGCGAACTGGCGCCACGAGGCGGCAGCATTCCCGTGTCGTTCGACGGGCCCTTGCAGCTTGCATAATCTGGGTTATAGTGCCGGAGCATATGGAGCCAAGATTGATGCCACGAGGGGCATTCGATTGTTTGCGATAGGGTTTCTATGCCACATGCGGGTAAGACATGGGGCGTGGTGGCGATGCCCATGAGACACTGTCAGCTGTATCGGGCATGGCGCTCGTCCAAATCCGATTGAGCTGGGGACCCTGAGCCGACGACTCCTACATTTGCATTCCATTGGGGTTCTGGCGTCAACACTTCTTTGTTTTTCTCCTGATGGCTTGCCAGCTGAATCTGACCCTGTTGCCACTCTCCTTTGTCTTGAAGGGGGAGGCTGTCTCACGCGGCCCGGTGGATGCAAGGGGGTTATTGAAGGTTGCTCGCATGGGAGTGAGCCGTCCCCCCGCCTTCTTGATCTCGAGAAGACGGATTCCAGCTCTTATATGTAAACCTGCTATGGAATGAATAGCTCAAGGTTCAATGGCGGCCGAGGCGGCGCAAAGGATGCTAGATGTGGAAAACCTACTTATTGCCGATCCTCCGATTGAAGTTCAGCTTAAATCAAACCTTGATCAAGAAGCCGTGCCTGAGATGAAGTCATAAACCCTGTGCCTGGATCCCGACGCCTCGGTTACGTGTTATCTGAGATTCCGGAGATAACCGGGGTCCGATGAGACATTCCACTTGCCCAACCCTCATTCGGCCTTGGACGTTGATGAGTTTTTTCTCTGTCGCCTACCACATTTCCGGGTACATTTCTGCATCTGAGACATTGTCCAGAGCCGGCTGTCTTAGTCCTGGCTTTGCTAAGTTGGAGACTCGCATCCAACCAGTCAAAAGAAAAGAGGGACCCTGAAATTTGAATTGTGACACAAACTCGCTGGATATGCTCTAAAAGGTTTCGGGATTTGGTCTATAAAAGGTCTTCCCCCTGGGTCTCCGGCGGAGTCCTCCAGCGGGTTGGAAAGATCGTCGACTAAGTAGTGATATCGACGCGAATAACAATGAACCTTTTGTGATTATAACTGTTTTTAGATAAAACGTTTACGATATTTATGATCCTATTAGGTTCGTGTCTTCATCTACTCAACACTTACTATTGTTTCATTTCACACCAGTTTCCTACTTCTTTAAACGCTTTCGAGTACTGCATTGCTACTTTCCCTGTGACCTATTACTTCCCGGGGCCATGAGCTGACAGAATCTTTTAGACACTTCTTTGTTCTTATGATAAAGCGTGATGCTAAGCACTGAATACTTAGTGACTATTGATCCTCTAGTTGTCGGCCAAACAGCAAGTCCTCGACATTTTTACCTAATGTCCATCCTATATTCTAGACCTCCTGGATTCTCTGTATTTTCCCGGGTGTGATCTTTCCAAGAGCAGGGCTCAATGATTTGGATAAGTAGACATGCCGCCTGTGAAAATGGATACTCGGCAACTCACACAGACATACGGTAGGTCAACGCGGCTGGCTGGGCTGATTGCAAATAGTAAACATTATCTAGTAAATCTTTATATCTTTAGCATCAGATAATATCTCTTTATGTTCTACTATGCTTCCATTCTTATTCGAATCCTTTACGCCATTTGTGGGTGGTTCTCGTGTTAGTTCCTTCACTCGCCGTATCTCGCTGGACATGGATGTCGTTAGGGCGACGATATCAGCACCGCAATTCACAAAGTGAAAGCCTTGCTTATACTTTTGAGCGGCTAAGCTGATGTTAGTAAGATTCTCTAGTTTAATGGGTATATATGACCTGCCTGTGTCTGCGTCGAGAGCGAAATGCCCTGCGTACTTTCCGGCCGCCAATGCCGCATCAAGAATCATCTGGGAGGCTTGCTGGACCTCGGGGATTGAAGCGTGGTCAAAGGCCACATACCCTAAAGAGGATGCCAGATCATTCGGTCCAATGAACAGCATGTCTGGGCGAGGAGAAGTTAGTCCACGGGTGTTATGGGCAAGCAATTGGCTGGAAGCATACCGATCCCGTCCACTTTGGCAATCTCCTCGACATTTTCTACGCCCCTGCGAGACTCAATCTGCACAAAAACCATGACCTTGTCGTTTGCATTGAGAAGGTAATCTCGTCCGGTGAGGTTGAATGACGCTGGAGCAAACATGGCGCCGGTGCCCCGAACCCCCTCAGGGTGGGCTTTTGATGGGTACTTGGCAGCTCGAACCAACTGTTCGGCCTGCTCCTTGGTCTCGCACATTGGCACCATGATGGCGTGGGCTCCGGCGTCAAGGGCACGCTTGATCATCCAAGGCGCATCGGCGGGGATTCTAACGACCGGCGACACTCCGCTTGATGAGATGGCACCGATCTGGAGGTACATGTTGTGATCATCTATGTTGCCATGTTCACAGTCGATGAGCACCCACTATAAAGCAAGATCAGTCTCATCCCACGGAGACGAAGGGCTACTAGGCGTCACTAACATCTTGCCCCAAAGGCGCAATGGTTCTGGCAAGTGTATAACCTGGCAGGGCGAGCCATTGCCCGAGACTGGGGCCGTGGCCATCTCTGGCTCGCTCAAGGGACCGTTGGAGACGGGTCTTGCCGTCGACTATGGGGGATGCAATTTGATTCGACATGATGATAGATTTCCCACAGTAGATATGTAGTGGGTAGGTATTCTTGGCCTTAAAAACGACTCCCTTCTACTTATTCTACCCGTCTGCTCCGGGGGGTACACGTGACTGCGTGCCCGACCGGCCGGAGCTCGGGCCGTGGCGGCCTTGCCCCGATGATGGATCCATCGACGATAACGTTCATCCCTGAGCATTGGGTCGCTAGCCGCTCCCCTCTTGTTTTATCAGAATGGCTAGCGAAAGATTCATGGATAAAGGAGGATAGGATAGGCGACCGTCCCCGCACTCGGCCCACAGATATGACCCCGAGTTCCAGCGTTATCAAGCTGAGGATAACGAAGACCGAGCCCGCGCCTGGGGCCCATTGTTCTGAGTCGAGATGGGCGGACGGCATCGGCAAGCGGCTATGTACCAATGGGTTAGGTGGGCAATGGGCGTGTGGTGGAACCCGACCGCGCGACAATGGCATCTTCGCTTGCTACTCACTCGGCGATCGATCTTGGGACATCCAATTCATTGCTGTCCGCCATTTTCCTGCTGCTGTAGCATTGCGCATCCCAGGCTGATCGACTTGACTAACGAATACTATGAGTAAAGAGCCTGGTGACGGTATTGCGCCTCGTGTCTGGCAAGCATGTGTTACTTGTCGGCGCAAAAAGGTGAGTGGGCGACCAAGCGAGCGAGCAGTTTCATGAGGCTTGCAGGTTGATCGAGTAATACGAATAATGCCTTATCCAGATAAAATGCGACGGAAATAACCCTTGTCATAACTGCGACTCCCGTCATCTCACGTGTGAGTACCCTGGAAGCAACGACAATGCTTCTAGCAGTCGCAGGTAAGCATTCCCCCCCACCGGCTCACCGTGGGCCTACCGCGCAGTGTCATTCATCTAACCGCCGTAGCTATGCTACCCTGTTCGAGGCTCGCTTCCAACAGCTCGATACCTTGTGCCAGAGGCTTGAAGCTGTCACGTCTCAGCTCACTCACGCCATTGAGAAGCTGCCCAGTGAGGTCCAACTTTCACCTCGAGGATCCGCCGCCACGGAACTTGAGCATGTCTCTCAGCATCTGCAATCGCTCCTCGATCCTATAGACTCGGGAGCAGGGTCGGGCGCGTCCCATACCGAGTTTGCGCCATCTGAACAGGAACGTGACCCCGATTACCGCAATGCATCCCATCATCCGAGTCCCGACCCAGAGATTGAGGTCGACCTTTCCGATGAGTCTGTCGACTTGACCCTTCGGCATGACTCGAACCTTGAGACCTTTGGGTCGCTGGTTCCTGACTCCTACGGGAAGCTAAGGTATGTCTTCAGCCCCCAAATTGTGCCATTTCATAGCTGCTGACTTGTGTGCTAGGTTCATTGGCGGTGCCAGCAACCAGCTCCTCGTCAAGTCAATCCAGAGTCTAGCTACTGATAATCCTCAAAAAGACTCAGACCCCGACACTTTTGTCACAAGTATGCGACATGGACCAGGTCAGAGGGATGGTAACCCTTCAGTCGAAGTTCCTCTGTTCATCCAAGGCCTCAAATGGCGCGAACTGCCCTACCTACCAAAACCCGAGGATCTAAACCTACCCCCGCGATACATTGCTGACATGCTCATTGGACTCTACTTTGACCAACTGCACTACACATTCCCAGTCTTGTTCAAACCTCACTTCATGGATCGATACACCCGTTTATACGTTACCCAAAAGCAGACCCCCCGGGACCGGGAGTTCCTCTCCGTCTTCTTTGCAGTCTGTGCATGTGCGTCAGGCCTCATTGCTTCCGGAAACCAGTCGGCCTTCCCCGGCTTGGAGTTTTACGAGAAGGCTCTACTGCTTCATTTCTCAACCATCGGCCAGGCAAGTGTGGAACGGACGCAGTGTCTAGCACTCGTGTCAATGTGCTGCTCTGGGTGGAATACTCTGTCATCGAGTTGGCACTTTGCTGGGCAAGCCGTAAGGGCTGCCCAGGATCTCGGAATGCATCTCAGCAACCTCGTAAGTCTCCTCGCCGTAGCAAAGCCGCCTCGCTCACGTAAAATAGACGGCGCCATCTCAAACCTCAAGAGATCCAGGGGCATCTTTGCTGGAAGCCGAGGTGTCTCGACGAGTTTGGTGGAGCGTGTACTGCCTCGACAGGTAAGCCATCTCGTTAAACACTTGTTAATGACTATGCTGGGCAGCCGTTGATGACTTCTTCTCGCAGAGTCACGTCCGTCTGCCTAGGACGGCCAATGGCTGCTAACGATGGTGATTGCTCCTGTGCCTTGCCGCGATCTACCTCCGACGAGGAACTAGAAGCCACATGCACCCGTCCAGAGGGTCTTGATGAGCAGCCGGTGTCGTCTAAATCACCTTTATCGGGCTTCCTAGCATTTATTCAGCTATGCCAGATATCCAGTAGGATCCAGGACCTCCAGGCGCCGGCCAGAATAGCAAACCTCGGCTCGCCACAAGGCAGAAGGCGGATGGTAAAGTTGACCAAGCACATTGAGAAATCTCTGGACGAATGGCTCGATGGCTTACCGGATGAGATTCGTTTCTCTGCCAAGTATATACCCTGCTGAAGAGAACCACCAGTAGAGAATTTGCTGACCATTGTTAAAGCACCCTCAATCGAGGACCAGCCTTGACAATGTCCATTCTTATCTTCGTCATCCATGCAGGGTCTCTCCTCAATTTGTACAGGTAAGATGCCCTGCATCGCTCGCGGATGTGCTTCCTGCATGCTGAACAACGGCCTAGAACCTTCTCCAACGATAAGCAGCCCTTCAGTGAACTCGACCCCGCGAAGAACTGTATTAGTGCCGCCCGTAGCTGTATCAACGCCGCCGAGCTGGTACGGGACTTTGTTCCGCCATCACACTACTTGGCGTTGTCTGTACACTGCCTAACGATATCTGGTTTGGCCCTGTAAGACATCATTCTACCTGCTTTCAAGTAAATATGAGGAAACTAGGAACTAACAATGGCGATTGCAGATTATGGATGCAAGATCCATCCCCTGAAAAGCCTGACCCAGACGTGGAGAAGTGTGTTCGATTTCTACACGATTTGGAGGGGGCATGTTCTGGGGCATCCAAGGGGAGGGCAATAATTGAGCAGACACTGGGGAATATGACAAGAAACCGACAAGGTTCTTCACTCGATCTAGATCTTCAGTTTTCAGCCATGCTTCACAGCCAGATGCCCGACTTGTTCAGCTTGGAGTCATCTATGACAGGGGGCGCAAACTTCTGGGGCACACTGTAATGGATAAACTTTTGTGGTTGAAGCTGAAGCCGACGCTTGAGTTCAGTCTCTGATGCATCGGGAACAGGGAAGAGGCTATGAACGCAGTACCTCATATTGTCTCCTCCCAGAACTGGCCCACTACTTTCCTGAGACGCTTCACGCCCTCTTGGATCTGCTCTTTCTGAATCATAGTCGTATCAGCATCGTCATCTTACAATCGATCGGGCGCTCATTCTTACCGTAGGAGTTGCAAACGAGAATCGGAAGTAGGCGGACCGTGGATTTGCTCCTCGAGCCTTGGTCGAGACCTTGTCGGCGCCCTGCCAGGCATGGTAGTATGATCCCGGAGTCAGCAATACGAGACCCGCCGCCAAGGCCTCCCAGAGCTCCTGGGCAAAGGCCTGCTCCGGGTCTTCGAGCGACTGGCCCTCGAGCTCGGCGAAGCGAGGGACCCCGTCGAAGTAGAACTTGGACCAGACGAACATGCCGGCCCCAGGGTCTACGTAACTGAAGACGGGCCACAGCTCGCTGTTCTTGCCCGGGAGGCAGGCGACATAGCCCTGGGCTGTAGGCACTGGCGACTCGGCGGCCGGGACAACCGTGAACTGGTCATAAAAAGCCGAGAGGAGCCAGTTGCGCCTCGTCTCGTACTGATACTGCAGATTCTGCAGCCACGATAGGTACCCGTCAATTCCCCACTGCTTGAAAAGAGCGATCGTAAAGGCCTGACTGAGGCCTGCGGGATCCTGGGTCTCGACCTCCGTCACACGAAGAAGTCGCTCTGTGAAGACGGGGTTGGCGACAAAGTAGCCTAGTCGCAGGCCGGGGAACAGCGTCTTGGAGAATGACTCGAGACGGACGACGCGACCTTGGGTGTCCATCGAGAGGAAAGACGGGGTTAGCGATTTGAGGAAGTTTTCTGTGGGCACTGGTTGAAAGGGCTTGTCCTCTTTCTGAGGCGAGTACCCCGGGAACTGTAGGAAGTAGTATGGATCATCTTCGACAATGATCAAATCTGGATTGAGTTAGCAGACGAACTGTGAGAGAGCCGAGCCGGGTACAGACCAAACTCAACACAGACCGCGTAAATTTCCTTGCGCCTGCGTGCTGAAATTGTGATACCCGTAGGGTTTGATCCAACCGACACGAGATACAACCTGGAAGGCACACCGTTAGTTTGTAGTTCCCATGACTTGGATAGAAAGAGTGCGTACAGTTTGGGTCGCCCCCTGCCCCTAGCCTTTTCGTCCCAGTTCTCCAGTAGATCCCGCAAACTAGTTACCAGGATACCTTCTGCGTCCGCCGCCACGGGGGCCGCTTTGATTCCGAGTGGGATCCAAAGCGCCTGAGCCGAAGGATATGTGTATTCTTCAACAATGACGTAGTCGTTGTCCTCACAAAGCAGACCGACCACCTTTGCCCATGCGTTTGTGTTTCCCGGGTGCAGGAGACACTCATACTCGCACGGCGGAGCGTGCACTCTCTCGGTGAGCTGTGTTGCAAGTTGAATCATTTGCCGGTTACCGGCACCAGATCCTGGGATTAGAATGTTAGTTGCTGATGGCAACACAAATCGGAGAGGGCTCCTCATACCGTATTGTAGAAACTGGGTGAGGTCCAGATCCCCTGGTGATGATCCGCGGCCAAGGTTGAGGCTCACGAGCCCGTCCTCGGTCGTCTTTTGGGACGGCGCCGTAGGAGGAGCAAGGCACTCAAACTTGGCCTGCTCAAGAGGGAACAAAGACGGATGAGGAAGACCTTGGGTACATTGTTAGCTGGTGACATCGGTGACTGTCTTGTAAAAGTACCTCCAGCCAGGCTGATCATGCCATCATAGCCCATAAACTTGATAATGTCCTTGAGCGGTGATGGGTGACGAGACTTGCTCTTGATGTTGATGTGGTGGGAGAGATCCACCGGCGTCATTTTATCCTTGATGCTACCCATGGTTGCTTCTCTGTGCTGCTGCGTCGAATTTGTTCACGCGTTGGGATTGGTGTTAGTCAAGATCTGAGATGTGACCTATTAAGCATCACTCCCCCTTCTATGATGCCCGACAAGGGTCTACTTAGCTATTCGAAGACTTGCGAGGTTGGGCAGCCCGGAGCGAGAACAAGGTCCGCCCCGCTGGTATCTACCCGAATCCTCGGCCGGAGATCCGTGCGGGGGCCGGCCCACCACCGATAAGGAACGGAACTCGGCAACCGACAGACGGATTGACTAAGTTACCTGTGTCGATGATTCAATCATCAAGTCCTCGGACTCTTTCTTGGCTGTGGTTCGCATCGTTTGTTCGGCACTTTGCACTCAAATCACACTGTCAAGATGGGAAACACAATCTCGTACAACGAAAAGGCCTTCGATCTGCATCTGGGCGACAAGGGAGTCATCCGTGGTCTCCAACTTGATGAGAAGTCGCGTCGATATGCCAGTATACCCTATGCTCTTCCTCCAACTGGGGAGCATCGTTGGCGCAAGCCGAGACCGCTCCCACCAAGTTACACCTACGGAAGTGTCACAGACGGCCCGTTGGATGCCACCAAGTTCAGAGCTGTATGCCCCCAGAAGGCATTCCATGTCGGCAAGGCCGAGGGAGGTGATGGGGCGTACAGTGAAGACTGCCTTTTTGTCAACATATGGACTCCTGTGGGAGACGAACGGGAGAGTAAGTGGCCCGTCATGCTTTGGTTGCACGGTGGATGGTTCCAGATGGGTGACCCTTCACAGGAGCCCGGCATGGACCCTACTGAGCTCATTTCCACTGGTGGTCTCAACGCAATTGTTGTGGCCATAGGCTATCGCCTTAACATATTTGGCTTCCTCGCTGGTCAGGATCTGGTCGAGGAGAGTGGCGGCGTCTCGGGTGGCAACTTTGGACTCTGGGACCAGCGGATGGCGGCGGAATGGGTCAAGGAGAACATCTCCAAGTTTGGAGGCGACCCGGAAAACATCACACTCGCGGGTCGCAGCGCTGGAGCCTACAGCGTCGAGGCTCAGATGCTACACGAATTCCGCCGGCCAAGTCAAGGGGCTCCCCTATTCCGGCGAATCTTTATGGATTCTAACGCGATACCTGCGCAGCCGAAGTCTCTGAAGGATACCCAAGCTCAGTTCGATGAGTTGTGCAGGCACTTTGAGATCCAAGAATCTTGGCCTGCCGATCAGAAGCTTGCATCCCTGAGAAAACTCAGCGTCCAGGAACTGATCGAAGCCATCCCCAAGCTGACACATCATACCTTCCGACCAGTCACTGATGATCTCTTTATTCACTCTGGAATGATGGAGTATGTACAGAGCAAGGAATTTGCCGATGAGTTCAAAACCAGGGGATACAAGATACTCATCGGCGAAGTTGCCAACGAGGAGACTCTCTACTCGACATATAATAGTCCAGAAGAACCAACTCTAGAGTCTCTCAGGATCCAGGTGATGAACTACTATGCGCCGGAAGTCACAGACAGAGCGATTGACTGCTACCCGCTGCCTACATCCGACGACTTGGCTGCTTGGAAGAATCTGTTTGGTAAGACAGTCCCTTCGCCGAGAAATGTCATCAGAGGGCTAATCCATCCATTTATAGGTAACATCGTGTCTGATGGTCAGGTCAGAGCACCATCAAGAGCACTAGTGAAGCACTTGGAAGAGAATGGTGTGAGCATCCGCGATATATGGCGCTACCAGATTGCCTACCGGCTGTCATTTATCGATGAGTCGGTGGCACCGTTGTCATTTGGAGTTGCACACGCGATGGATAAGCCATTTTGGAAGTAAGTCCGGCCATCTCGCATTTTCCAAGATCCTAGTTTAAGGGTAAAGCAGCTTCTCGATATCATACGGTCCGACGCCCAAGGAAAGGCAGCTCATGACTGACTGGATTCGGATTCTGGTCGCCTTTGTCAATAACGACGAGACTTACGAGTACGGAACCAACACAGTGCAAGAGATGAAGGTTATCACGCCGGAAGGTACTATCGAGGCTCAGAAGGATCAGCGTTGGGATGAGCTTGTTAGAATCGGCAACATTTTTAGTGGTGGCAAAGCCTAGGCGAAAGTTAATTAACATGGTGAATATTGAAGAATGATAGAAGCCCGTGCAATTGAGGTATTATGCTAACTGAGAGAGCTTGGAAGAGGATGGTTAGCTGCAATGCGATTTCATCTCCCAAGACCTAACATAGAGAGTGGTAAGCGTTATGAACCAGCGTACGGATGCAACGAACTCATACAGAACAATAACGAGGATGAACTTATTAATTAAATATACTCGTATAATTAAATAGCTCTGAATGGGAGGTTGAATTACTGATCAGTCATGTGTGGTTTGACAGCTTTAATAGCTACCTTGCAACTATGAAGTTCTTTAAGAGCCCTCCTCCCTTTCCTGATACCCTTCCCATGGGGCAGGAGACGACACAAGTGCACCGAACTAGACCGCTGACAGTCTGACTTGATCGCCACCCCCAAAATCAATTAATACTTGTACTTGAAGTGAATGTTCTCCCGATCAGTCATATCAGCCTCCGCATTCTCCTTTCCGAGGCGCAGGCTCTCCTCCTCAGAAATACCCTGCTCCCGAATCAACTTAGCCCGTCGGCGGTTCTCCCACATGTCTGAGGAATCGAGTTAGCTTAGGCTAGACAGGCAGCGTCCCGGGATACTTACAGTAGGCTCGCCACGTTCCCATGCTGCAGAACTCGACACAGTAGAGGACGGCGCAAGCGGTGAGGCCTCGGATGTATCTAGGTGCGTCCGAGGCAACGAACATCTGGGCACCGACGGCATTGCCAACGCAGTAAGCAATGAAGAGAATCGTGGCCGTGACTGTCTTCTTCGTTCGGCCTGCGACGTTGGATGGCAGGAAGGTCCAGATCACTAGCGATGACGTAGTGAGCAAGTGGCGGGATCATAAATGCTCGTACGAGGGAATAAAACTCACTGAGTCCGGGGAGTGATCCAAACACCTGCAGGATATACATGCCCCATCTCGTCCACTTCATTCCATCCTTAGGCAAGAATGCAAGAGCCATCATACCCGAGAAGGCTGGCACGAGGGAAAACATCATCATGACGACTAGTCTTTGTCAGCTAGGAGTTAACAGAAACACGACGGAAGCTTACATCGAAGGTTGGGCTTCTTAAGCGTAACATAGCCGACCACGAGGAACCAGCAGATGCTCACACAGTAGTAGGGTGTAGACCCCTTGAGCAGCGTCTCCAGGGGCGTGAAACCAAACGACTTCCAGATGAGCTTGGAAAAGGTCGTGTTGGCACCATTGGGCAGAGCGTTTATAATGGTAACGAAGAAGAAAAAGTAGGTCTGAGGGTCTAGACATGATGTGAGCAGTGTTTACTCGATTTGGTTCGGATATCTTACCTTTGAATGTGGCCCAGACCTGCTCCCACTTGAACTCGGATCGCTTCTCGCGATCCGATCCCGTCTGGTTGGAGAGGACGCGGGCAATGGCGGCGCGCTTCTCATCCTCGCTCAGCCAGCGGACCTCACGAGGAGTTCCGAGGACAAACCAGACGAGGATGCCGCAGGTGATTGTCAAAGCTCCCAGGAAGAATGAGATGCCCTTCCACTGTTTCAGGGGTCAAGTGAGTTAGCTATACTCTCGGTTTACAGCGGGGCAGGGGTTGTTTACAGCAGCCAGACCACCAGGGTGCTTCTCAGCATGGAGACCAATGCCATACATACTAAGACCAGCCAGGATGTTCATACCGGCATTCGATGTTCCCCAGATCAGAGAGCGCAAAGTGTGCTCCTGGGAGGTATACCACGCGCCAGTGATGAGCATAAAAGTAGGAGAGATGGTGCATTCCAGAGCTCCCTGAAAAGTCCGAAGAACCATGAGATGGGCAAAGTTCTTTGCAAAAGCGATGCACAGCACAATGACACCCCAGAGGACCATGACGATGGACAGGAACTTGCCCGTGTGACACTTTTGCATGAGCCAGTTGCCGGGGCCCTCGCAGACCATGTACGAGAGGTAGAAGATGGTGCTCAGCCAGTTGAACTGCTCGCCCACGAGACCCGTGTCCTCGCGAATGCCAAAGACGGCTTGGGTGCTGAGGGATGTCTTGTCGGCTTGCTGCGTGCCGTAGCAGATCCACATGAGGGGCAGAAGCCAGATGTCGATCTTCCAGAGAAGCTTGCGGTAGTAGGCGTCCGAGTATTCAACGGCCACGTCGTCGATGATGCCCTCTTGGACGTCCGCATCAGAGGATTTGCGCTTCATCTCCATGTCGTCGAGGGCTTTGGGGATTTCGCTTGTCATTGTTGCTACTTGGAGTTGAATGCAAGGCTGCCGTGAAGATGGAGATGATGGATCAAGCAGCCTGAACGGCCGATATATGAGTTAATCACCATGACCCCAGCATCAAGGCGATATCACCATGTCCCCGCCGGTCTCGCTTGCTAACTAGCTCGAGGTTCATATCGTCGGCCGGATCTCCTCCGGACTCCTCCTCCCTAGCTGATAGTGTACCCGGGATATTCCCACAGATAAGCTTGGCTGGAGCCAGAAAAAGCCCCGTTATCTGGGCCACCTGCTTCTTCGTATCTCCCCCGCAAACAAGCGAAGCTAGAAAGGCGGGGAAATGAGGCTAGACTTGCACGTTTGCCTGCAAGCGATGGGGTCGATTGGGTTGCCGTCTTTACGGTATTGGGTTCCATGCGACCGCCATGCAATGAATGCCATGGCAGCTAATGGCCTCTTCCCGAGATGTCATCGACTATCAAAATGTCTCCAGCTGTCGGGATGTCGGGCGAGGGATGTCGGGCTTGGCATTGGACCCGAGAGTCTGGCATTGATGATCGCTGCGATTATTCACCTGGTGTTGAGGTATCCACCACTGGTGCACAAATGCTGACGCGCCTTGATGGACATTGGATAAAATCGTTTTAACAGAATAATATTAAGGGCTTCGTAGTTCCTATCAGGGAAACGAGAGTTGCACAGTGACTTCAAGGTCACAGTTTCATAGCTGGCTCTTGTTGTTGCTCAAGGCCGAGCACTGAGTAGAACAGTTCAGACCACTGCTCGACATTTCCTCTCCCCCTAGAAGCCAAAGGGTGAGTCTCCTTTGCTAGTTTCGCGTTGAGGCTTACCTGGCATCTGGTAGCCTCCATGGCATGAGTGTAGCTCACGGGCCGAGATCCGGAGGTTTTACCCCAGATAGGTAGACTCGTCAATCTTATATCAACATCAGGCCATTTCCACCAATCTTTCGGGTAATGCACCAGGAACGTATCCGCCAGCTCAGTCGGCTACGAGTCAGGTTGATTGATACCCGGGCAGACTCAAGCAGATGATGTCGGCTGAGTCAACTGGGAGTTCCCATCGATTGATAAAGCACACGTGAGATTAGGCGTCCGATACAGACACTTTCAGTAACTACACACACACACACGATGAGGCACCCAGCAGAGAGTACCGCGCCTTTCCCTCTGGCCTTTGGGGTGGGGACGCTGTGGTTCGAGGAAAGTCGCCAGAACATCAGCCGCAAGATCGTCGATGGGATAAAGACGGCCTTGGAAGTAGGGTACCGACACATAGATTCAGCTCAAAGTAAGCCTCTACATGACCTTAAAACTCTCCTTGTACTGATATGACTCAAAAAGTGTACAACAATGAACGGGAGCTTGGGGTCGCGCTTGAAGAGTCGGGAGTGCCAAGATCCGAGCTGTTCATCACCAATAAGACTCTAAATCTTGACGATCCAGAGTCAGCTCTTGCAGATACCCTCGCCAATCTCAAGACGTCCTACGTGGACATGCAAGTTATCCCCTTTCCCCTCCCATCCCTCTCGTCCATGTATAGCTGAGCTGACCGTCTCCATCCAGGTATCTCGCACATGCCCCATTCCCAGCCACATCTCCATCTCATCTTCAGGAAGCATGGCGCAAGATGGAGGTCTGCGTTGACAAAGGCCTCGCCAAAAATATCGGAGTCTCTAGTTTCAGCGAGCAGCATATTGACACCCTTCTCGAGACAGCCAGGATACGCCCAGCGGTTGATCAAGTAGAGATGCACCCTTACTTACCACAATCTCATCTCAAGACCTACCTTGAAGGAAAAGGGATCCCGATGGAAGCCTTTGCGTGTCTTGTTCCTCTCACGAATCTTCAACCTGGCCCAGTTAACGACCTCGTCAAGTCGTTGTCAGACAAGTATCGCGTGAGCGAGTCGACCATACTACTCAAGTGGGTGATTCAACAGGGGATTCGGGTGGTGACTACTAGTGGCCGAAAAGAACGACTACAGAATTATCTAAATGAGCTTGCTGCTTTTGACCTTGAGGAGAAGGAAATAGAAGGTATTGCGGGTGCTTCCAAGGATACACATGTCAGAATGTTTTTTGAAGAAGAGTTTAAAGCATTAGACGGTAGTTAGCTTCATCTGATTAAATCATGCTCCCAAGTCCTAGCCATCAAGTCTCAGCTAGCTATGCTAACTCACAAATAATTAAATGATTGCTTCCAAGGCAGGGCCAGATTACGGATACCACTCAGAGAGGTGATTGGTTTTGAAGTAACTAACAATACATATCTCACCTGATCAGCGGTTACCATCTACATGCACTCTTACTCGACAATTTCAAGAGATTCCAGCTCCACCGGACTGACTGATTATGGATATTCTTAGTGGTATGCAAGGTATGGTTCTAGCTAATAACTGAAACTCCCCTTCCATGATCGTTTACTTGTCCTCATTTTTTCTTCCTTCAAACTTGAACATTTCGTTGGATGGCACGCTGTTCCTGTCCCTCATCTTTTCCGCACCCTCTGACCCAGCGACGGGGACTCGATACTCGAATGAGCCTGCTTTTGCATCCGGTAGGTCGTACGGGAAAGGCAGATACTCGGGCATCAGGCCAAGCTGCTTCAGGACAGTGCCCTGGTCCCACGAGATGTGTTCATGGTACAGCCTATCCCCTCGGATGTTTACCACGGCTGTGAAAGGGACTTCTGCCTTTCGTCCTGTAGGAGGGACTCCAGGGATGCTATAGACACGAATCAGCAAAACCGTCGGGCTGTGATCCACCTCAACTTATTTGCGAGTGACTTACAGCCAGTCAATCTCTCGATCGTGAGTGAATTTGAAGATGAACTCATCGACCACTGTGTTGATGCCTAGCGTCCGGCTAATGAGCTCCAACTCAGTGTCGGCAGAGTTGTTGAAAATGAAATTTTGCCGATAGAAGTTTGTCAACTTCTGTCGGCCAATGCCGCCGGTCAACTGCAGTAGTGTCAGTCCGGTCTGGGATGAGCTTCACAGCTATCAGCGTACCGTGGGGACATGGTTGACGTAAGGCTCTTGCACCATGGTGCTCATTGTATGCTCAACAGAGCGGTCAGCGAATTCGTAGTAGGTGTGTTCTTCCCAGATCGTTTCCAGGTCGAAATAAGGGCCGCTCATGAGGGGCTTGAGAAACTGGAGGCTCCTTGTGTGCGATATGGATTCTGTGATGTAGTGATAATGCTCACTGGCGGGTGTTGCAAATCCATAGCCTTTCGCCGTGGGATATTGGTACTGCTTGGCAGACGCAGCGGACGGAGCAGTCTGTCCAGCTACATGGTTCAATGTGGGGATCTTGACTGCCGCGAGATTGTCGAGGGCCGATGCATCAATGTAGGTGATGCCGGCAATGAGCTGGGGGACTTGGGCCAGTGCTGGGGCTGCTTTGTTCCAGAGATCAGGCTCGTAGGCTGTGGATGGTCAGCATTGGGGCGAGAGCGAGGCAAGGAACTTCTACTTACACACCAGGCCCACGTTGCCTTTTGGATCGCATCTTGAACACTGGTCGAGTGCTTCTACAGCCTCGCGCAACACATCCTCAGCTGGCCTGCCTTCGAAAGAGGTGGGATCCAGTTGAACAACGGCATATCCCTCTTCCGCCCATTTGAGCAAGGGTGACGGCGCTCCATCATAAAAGGCCAGCGGATCTTCCGCGTGTCGGTGCAGGATGATCAGGCCGGGCCCATGGCCACGCCGCGAAAGGGGAGGCAGCAATACCATGCCCTTGCTCAGCGTGGTGAGCTCCGAGGTGGGAAGCGGGGCTGGCGGCTTGGTGATGTCTGCGAACATGATGGCCGGAGAGTAGGTAGTAGGCAATGCAAGGATTGGTCGATGCTAGCTCGGAGCTAAGTTGAGTCGGGTATGTAGGTGTTGGAGGATCAAGGAGCGGTTCAATATTTCACATCTCACCAAACTACACATGTTCTACCCAAGACACCCATCTTGTGCTTCCTAATGCGAGGCAAGTCACTGGCCGATCCTGCCGGCTTCCATTTGTGGTGCCGATCGGCAACCGCTACGCCCACCAACTGCACGGTGCCCTAGCCGACGATATACGTCGGGCCGTGTTCCGTACCGACAATCCGTCCTGGCCTTGCCGCAGTCTTAATGCGGCTCCCGACTGGGAGAGATACTAGAAGGATTCAATTAATTTGTTACCGTGTAATTCAGCCTCTTATCATTCAAGCTGGCAGATTTTGTCCAACAAATCAAGTTTCAAGCACGGCGCACCAAGCATGACCTCGTTTGCTCCCAGCCAATGTTGCTCCCTTGGGAGCCTCCATGAGTGAGTCCCCAGCAACTGATAATACGAAAACCAAATGCTCATTCAAGGACAGAGGTAAACCCACTGGAGACCTGATTGTGCTTGACGGCCAGGTCGACGCATACCTGGCCACGCCGCCCAGTCATGTAGAGTCGCAGAACGTTGGCATCCTCTATGTACCAGATATCCTCGGGATATGGCAGAACAGCAAACTCATGGCCGACTTATTCGCCGCTCAAGGCTATACTACTCTGGTCTTGGATATCTTCAACGGCGATCCTGCACCCTTTCAAATGCCTGATGATTTCGACATTATGGGCTGGTTATCGCATGGGTCCAACGGAAGCAACCCACATACACCAGAGGCTATTGATCCAATCATCCTCCAGGGCCTTGCTCACCTCAAGTCTCTCGGGTTGACCCGTATAGGTGCTGTTGGCTACTGCCTAGGAGCCAAGGTGAGACGCTGTTCCTCGCTGTTCCTCGCTGTTCCTTGCATTGTGTCTGCATACCATTGAACAGTACTAATTGCATTTTCAGTATGTTATTCGCCATTATAAGCATGGAATCGAGTGTGGCTTCATCGCTCACCCTTCCTTCGTCGAAGCTGACGAGCTGGCTGCTATTTCTGGGCCGCTGTCAGTTGCTGCAGCCGAAAACGACGACATCTTTACTGTTGAAAAGCGTCACGAGTCAGAGAGAATTCTTGGAAAGGTAGGCCAGCGATACCAAATCAATCTCTTTTCTGGCGTGGAGCATGGCTTTGCGGTGCGAGGAGATCCCTCCATAGCTGTGCAGCGTTTTGCCAAGGAACAGGCATTTCTACAAGCCATTGCCTGGTTTAAGGACATTTTTACGTAGCATCATTATATCCACTTGGAATATTAAAACCTAGACACGTGTCTTTACTTACCTAACTTTGCCTTGATGGACAAATCTCGAGGTCAAGCGGGTAACAGGAAATTTTTGACCCCTCTAAGCTTTCAATCCCCTTTTTTCTACTGGAGCCATGTTATCAGAAATACTCTGGATTCCAATTCCCAAAACAAAACGGCATAACCACCTCTGTCATGCAGTAAATAGAACCAATTAAACCCCCTACCTTTTGGGTGGCCTAACGGCCTGTTTTTCTGTATCACAGCCTCTGAGTCTCTCGGTCCTTTCAGTGCTGTGCCAGGCTCGCTCCAGGGTAGGAGGTATGCCCAAAGCCACTCAGTTATTTCTGTCAGTGATTCTGCAAGTGTATCGAAACTGTGCTCGTGCGTAATGCATGATGTTGTGTATGCGGCCACTCGAGTCTCTGCATCATGAAATGGACACGTCGTGAAATGGGCCTCAGCTTCATCGGACATGAAAACAGTCCGAGCACGACAGTCAACAACCTTTTAAAGACTATTGATACGATATTACGTTCTTTTAAATAGTAATGCTCGCCTCCACAATGGACAACAACCTCTAAGATGAGGAGATTCGCAAACAAGGTCATACAAGAAACATCCGATCGTCGGCCGTTGGAGATGGTCCCTTGGGGTTCTAGCCAGTCACAGAATGAGGCCATCCAAGCACCATCAGGCACCCCTGAAGGCATCCACCAATTATATCTTTCACATTTGCCTAAAATCGGAGCTGCTCTCACTTGACCCTCCTATTCCAGTCTAGCCCCTCGCCTCCAACATCTGCTTCCAAGCTAGCTTCTAGAATAGCGCGAACCAATCTGCGGAGCTGTTGACTCTCTCTGCGGGGAAGTTTGGGGGACATCCATGTGATGTGCCTGGATTTTAAAAAGAACGAGGCCCGTCCTTCTCGAGCAAAACCCCGGCCCGTTCATGAGATCCACGGCCATAATAAACTCACGCGCCGTTCAAGCGTCGATCGATCCGATTTGCTCACCAGCAAAACGTGGGGGGTGAAGAGTTGTGAATGCCATGCCGCCAAAGAAACGGCCCTATGTACCAAAGACGAAGGGTCAATACAGCTTCACTGTCCCTCAAAAACAATCACTAACTGTTATAGGTTGCCACGAGTGCTCGAAACGACGCATTCACTGCGACCGCAACGAGCCTAGCTGCAACAAATGCGCCTCTCGTGGCCTAAAGTGCAGTGGACTTGGGATTCGTCATCGATTCAACAAGGGTGTTGCTGCGAGGGGCAAGTGGGCAGGAAAGACCATCGAAAGGGTCTATGAAGAGTGGGCATACTCACTGAAGCTGTCTACGTTGTTGTCACTAACAGTGGTGGTAGGAATTCATGGAGTCTTTCCGGAAACGACAAACATGACACGATACCCTCAAAGTCGACTTCCACAGTGAACCTTGTCCTATCGGATAAGACGGACACGCAACTCGACGGCGACACTGAGGAGCAAGACGATGACGACATTGAATTCATTATATCCGACGACCAGGACCTTGTACCGGGAGGAATTGGTTGGTTAGAGGACCACACCATCTTCTGCAGTGTCTTTCTGCAGGAGATCCCCCAGAGCACACCAGGATGGAAGAGAAACTTGTTTCTACACTGTATGTAACTTCAACTGAACCGCTACATTCAAACTCTAACAAAATCTAGTCTCTCAGTACATCTCGACCGAGATGGTCGCTATTGACGGCGTACTTAACGACTGGCGTCACATACTACTCCCTCTAGCCCAGACCGACCAACTTGTCATGGACGCCGTTCTCACCGTCTCAGCTTTTCACTTCCACATTAATAAGCTGTCCCACAACCTACACGCTAATAACCAGCAGCACACCATCTTTGGCGGAAGTTTTGATATTGATGACTTTTACGTCCCGGATCCGTACCAGCTCTGCGGACGCACCCTTCGTGGTTTACGACAACGACAGGAACTTGTCAACGCTGATCAAACCGAGAAACACTCCGTCTTGATAAGTCTCTTGCTTCTCATCACAGCCGTGTTGGTGACTGGAGGTTCTGACTTTCCGGTCCTGTTCCGGATGATGGAGTCGGCGTTTGATGCTATTGGGGGCAAAGAAGGGCTCGGGACTGGGACCCTGGCCGAGTTTATCATGCGGGAGCTACACAAGTAAGTTGACAGACTCTCCATGGAGTTAGTCCTCGCGTCTAACAATGCTGTCTAGACTTCGAGTCTACGCTGCTCCGCACCTCGGCGAAGAAACAGGCCTCGAGATGATTTCCTCACAAGCCCGAACCGCTCAACTATTCGGATGTCTCAACCACTGCATAGACCAATATCCCCAGCACTCATCTCTATCTTCACAATTCGCAGATCTCGTGTACCAGGCGCGAGACATTTATCTCCAACAAGTCATGTCAGATCAGACTTCTGCATTTTTCAACTTTGAGCCAGTCCCAGGTAACCCAGGCTCCGTGGCCCGCCTCGAAAAATTCATCGAATCACTCAAGAAGATTCCACACACGTCTCCTGTCGAGCACATGCTTATCTGGACAACATTTGTAGCGGCTTCAGATGCCCAACTTGATGAGCACAAGGCGTTTTTCGAAAAGGTGCTTCGAAGACATCATGCGAGAAGTGGATTTGGGAATTTGCTCAAGGGTATAGAATCACTCAAGAAGTTATGGAGTCGGAAACCGGGGGAGAGGTGGACTTCTTTGTTACCGCAGGAAAAGGTCCTTGTTGCGTGATTGAAAGCTGGACTTGGGACGAAGACATGACGACCAAAATTGGATACGAAGATAGAGTTTTTGTATAATACCCTAATAATCTTGACTCTTTTCCCATGCATGTAAGGATAGGCCAAGTAAGGGTCTGAGTCAAGACATGCATTCACTTTTCGGCAGTAGAATGGCGACACCATGACTTTCAAGACACGGCAATGCTGTACAGGGAAGAACCCAGCTGTCGAAAACCCAAGAAATGCAGAGGAATTTCACGTGGACCGTGCTTGAGGTCATGTCCTTACGCTTATGCCAGATCGCCGACTAGCCAGATGCTTGTGCAGGCAGGGTTAGCGTGACTGCAGTCAGCGCGGGGAGAATTGAAATGCTCAGGAAGTTTATTAAAAAGTCACAGTATGGGGTCGTGAAATGTGCGTATTGCTTCAATACCGCGGTGGTAACATGGAAATGAATGTGTGGCAGCAAGCCTCCCTTCACCTCTTTAGCTGCCCAAACAATAGCTTACAACGTGTTGACTAAAAGTCCTCAATTCGATAAACCTGGTAAGCAACCTCTTCATAAGGATGCGCCCTGCACTTTGTCAGCAATCAGCCAGCAATATTACTATGGACACGTACTCCTTCAGCGCCGAGACAACCTTCTTGACAGTCTCCTCCCCCGCGCACACAGTCTCAACTCGGACCTCGGGGATCTCCTCAAGCTTGCCCACCTCTCCAATAGCCGGGTTGGCCGCGTCTCCCGGACGAAACTGCCCCGTGCCCGTGGCCTGCCAACAGCATTCCGTGTAGCCCCCGGGCCCCGGGTAGCGGCCCGCGCCGGCCTTGAAGATGGCGGCTTTACAGGCAGACACGGACGCGGGGGGCGCGTAAAAGACGAGGCTGAAACGACGAAGAGGTGGGGTTAGTGATGCCATTTTTCACCAAAAGGCGATTGCCGATGAAGATTCTCGGGGAGATGCGATGAACTGAGAGTGGCAATGATAACTGTTCCGGCCCGGAGATGCGAGATAAGCGCCGAGATGTCCGAACGATTTTGCTTCTTATTTTTGATGGTTCGAGAAATTTCAGCTAAAGCCTTTGAGGCACAGTCAAACAAAAAGAATGCAAAATCTCCACCAGATATGCAAGCCTGCAATCATGTGACGTCTTCAGACGAATCTGCGCAACCCATTTGATAAGCCGCGAGGTCATCCATGGCACCATGTCTGCAGCTGAGGAGCGGACACCTCCGATGCGGGCGAATCAGAGGTAGGCTCTCAACCGGGCGTATTTGCCGGGTCTATTGTTTTACGAATTCGAAGAGACCATAATGGTTGTTGAGGAGGGTCCGTCATGTTTGGGGTGGTGGTATTCAGCAAGGACATACCCAAGAACCAATCATCCTTGCACTGGCACACTGATTCTATTCTAGCTTTTGACGGTTGGTGCAAAACATCTTGAGCCGTATCCTTCCAGAACAGTTGTCCAAGCATCCTCCACTTCATCGGGAATATCAACACGAGATGAGCCAGACCCTCGTCTATATCCGTCATCACTGTCCCGTACTACCGGCATCTCCCCGAGTATACGGTCCAGGAAGCGATCCATTGACCATAGTCCCTTTCCGTCATCCAACTTGACGCCATATGCCGTCGACTCCGGTGCCAAGATGGGCCAGCTGCCTATCTTTGGTCTCTGCACACACTTGCTATAAACGCTCTCGAAGCATGCGACTGTTCGTCTGCTCATGGCTGGATCTTGGACCACAGTGATGGAACTTGGGCTGTGAATCCCATGACTCTCCAAGACCTTTTGCGTTTCTTCCGGGCTGGCTCCGCAGTTGATAGAACGATCAGCCATCAAGATTGTCAAACCATGATTCTCCAAATCACTTGGTGATGGCGTCAAATTAGACCCCCCAACATCCAACCCATAAAACCTCTCCGCAATTATCTTCAAGACATGCGCCTCCGGTTTCCCCTCAACACTGTCAAAAATGCACGAGTACCGCGCATTGGCCTTGACTGCATCATAGACGAACCGAGTAGAGGGTCCAATGCCGCCGCACAGGACAAGCACCATCCTCCTGGGATGTTCCTGGTTGCTTTCCGGGGTTGTCTTCTGGATATACCGGGCGGCCCACTCGAATACCGCCTCGGCAATGGCGAGGATTGCCGAAGCGCACAGGACGACTACATCTGTTGGTTGGGACTCGGTGATGTTTCGGAGGGAGTCGAGGTAGGTTTCGAGTTCGTTGGCGCTGTAGATTTGTTCGAGGGCGAGGAAGCGTGAGATGAGGTTGGCCGAGCTGAAGAGCTCGTCTGTTTTCTTATTGAAAATTTGTGAATGCATTTTGAATGTCTTGACAGGCAAAGTATCCGGAGTGTTGGGACTAGATGGAACAATCAGATGGATGTGGAGATGGGTGTTGTGTGGGATATTTGAGGCTTCAATCCACTCAACACCTGTGTGTTGAAATATCTGGCGAGTTTCTTCCCCTCCTACTATACCAAAAAAAGAGGAAACATGAGAATAAAACACCGACATGTCTCAATCCCATCATCAAAAGATCGACTTAGTAAGATTTGCAGTACTAACTAGCTGCCTCGGAGACGTCTTTAGAGTTTGTGACTAACTCTAGCCTCACGTAACATCAACTCCCCGCCGGAATCCCTTACCTGTTTGGGTAATCGAGACAACTCCACCGGATGTCTCTCAAGTTGCTATTATCCTATAGTTATTCAATCAATGGTCATTCTCTGTCTGTGCGTATCAGGTGAATCATTTGTTTTTGCAGAAAGAGGCTCTTGGTGTCGCTCATCATCTCGCAATTGGGTGTAGTCGTTAAATGACCCCGGGCGGGCGATGAGAGTGCTTCATGGGCGCAAGTGCAGGTCTTGGCTTCAGGACAATTCGGCATTTCCATGCATCACACCGCGGCTTAAAAATAAATAAAAAATGATTCACATCTTTACATATGCAAAAGATGCCATGTAATGCTTGGCCGAGTATTTGCTTTGTCAAAATGTCTCTGTCGTGCACGCCAAGGTCAGCCAAGCCAAATATCAATACATCACCAAAGCTTCGCCAAAAGAACAAAACACTCCTCCAACGGTCAAACACGGAACATAACGGAAGGCTTATGCACAAGACAAGTTAGAATTTCACCACGGCTTGGCTACTACCTCATGCAAGATTTCGTCGTAGATAACCGAGACCGAGTGGGGACGAGTCGACGGGAATTTTTGCCTCCCAAAATGTCATGCAGGTCCAAGAGATGGCTTTAGATTCGAATCTTGTGAGAAAAATGCTTAATTTATCCGTTTGTATATCCCAGTAAAACTTGTAATGCCCGCTCGCTATGTAATGAAACCGCCAATCCATATCCTTTCCATACCTAACCCAAATGTACCTAATCCCTCAACGCCTTGTTGTATGTACACTGTCCACACCCAATTAAGGGCTGGAAGGCTCGGACTCGGAATCAACTGGGTCCTCGACCTGCTCAATCATGCCCGTCTTGACATCATACACGTACCCCGTGATGGGCACATCCAAGACCAGGGGGCTCTTCTTGAGGAACGAGACATCGTCCAGCACGCTCTGCCGCAAATCAGAAAAGGGCAGAAACGACATGTGGTCGACGTCCTCCTTGAGCTCCTTCCGGATCTTGGACCGGAACTCGTGGTCGGAGAAGCTCTGCATGCCACAGCCGGTCTGTGTGTTGGGAAAGCGTGGGGTTAGCTTTGCTTGAAAAAAACACCGGGCCGGTTCATATTTTCTTCTGCCGGAAGAGGAGGGGGAGACAAAACATGGGGTCATCTTACGTGGTGCATGACGATAATCTCCCGGGTTCCCAGCATCTGTTGAGAGATCAAGATGGAACGAAGAGCTTCAACAGCTCTACCACCAGCTAGAAGAGAAAAAAAAGTGTCAGACTGGATGATAACAAGACAGGCGCAAGAACGGACCATTTCGAATGACATGGGCGTCGCCAAGGTCCAGCCCTAGCATTTTGGCCGGGTCGAGTCGCGAATCCATGCAAGCCACAATTACCACCTTGCTGCAAAGTCGCGTTGTCAGCCCTTGATCCATGTCATAATTCACCTCTTTGTGTAGATCTCATACCGACGGGGCGGCGAGGGCAGGTGGGCCTCGTTGAACGTAGCCGCATACTTCTTGTTGGCAGCCTCAAAGTCGGACTTGACAGAGGAGGAAAAGAAGTTTGTCGAGGGGATGATGGAAGGCATGCTGGGTAGAGGTGGGTGATGCTCTGGTCTCTTGAAGAGGGAGGAGAGGACTCTGTCAACCAGAGAGAGAATGTGTGGCATCTCGACTGCGTTCTGGAGTGCGTCCCTTCCAAGGCCTTTTATTGTTCAATGTCTTGGAAGGCTGGGCCTCGTACGAAATATCAATATATACACGTTTTCTGACATGTCCATCCGCGGTGGCGCTATTCCCTTGATCCGAGTGTGTGCCGTCACCCTTGTCCATGAGAAGGGGACGGAGGACCCCGACGAGGAAGCTGGAGATACCCCTCACACACTATGCCGGGGCAATCTTTCACATTCTGGGGGCAATTGGCTAGCTTCGGATAATAACAGTACAGCGGTGACCCATATCGTGCCATGCCAGGGACATCCACGTCTGGAACCGGATGCATGGTGGCCCGCCCACTATTCAACTATTTGGCATCTGCATATCCCCATGGCACCATCCATCTCGGCGATAGCCTCACTCCGAACCTCGTTCTACGACCCGAGTAGGCGACCAAGTCCGTCTCCCAAGAATTTTGTTGAAACGTCAGCTCTGCCCAGACAAAGCCACAACTGGGTCATCCTGGTGCCTGGTTGGATAATGTCGAGGCCAAGATGCTGGGCCACAGACTAGGGGGGGGGTCTATATCAGCGCCAGATTCAGCCAGTGACTGGTGCGTTATTGCCAAGGAGAAATCCGGGGTAAATTGGCATGCATCTTGACGTTTTTGTTATCAATGCGCAAATCGAAAGTCTAGACGCTTGTTCCCCTCATCTGTCGTCGTATCCAGGTAATGCTGTCTTTGTTCTTCCGACATGGCGTTCCACCTCTGCTCACGCGTTTTATTACGCCAGACGTAATAAACCTTGACGAGCAGATACAGGCAAATGTTGACGCAGGCCAGGACGATCAGGGTCCTGTTGCCTCGGCGGTAGCGGGGCTTGTCGTCGGCCCGGTAGATGTTGGACGCCATTATGCCGGCGGTCTGGACGCACATGTTGTACATGGCGGCCGAGACGGTGCGCAGCCGGACTGCGTTGGAGTTGCGAGAGTTCCATCCCACCTGTATGGCATGCGCTGCACCCCACGAATTAGCGTCGTCATATTGTCTGATGCAGATGTATCTTACGAGATGGGTAGGCCAGCAGTAGCGTCAAAATCATCCATGCTGCCCATTTGTTAATCTGCGTGACATCTACTACATACAGAAAAATCAGAAACGGAAGCGCCCAGATCTGAGATATCATGGCTACGAGAGCCCTCTCGTCAAGAAGGTCAGACAGGTACGTGATGCCCATGATGGAGCACATGGTCAGAAACGTGGTGGGAACAGTTAGCAGATTCGTGACAAGGGTGCTGAACCCCAGCTCGCGGAGTATAAGCGTAAGGTACTGGTGCGGCGGCGTCACGGGCTGGCCCCAGACCAGGCCGAGCGCGTACAGTGGCCAGAGGTCGTAGTCCAGAAGGCTCTGGGCCAGGAGGCTGAGGGTGATGGGCTGGCGGTTGTGCATGTCGCCCTTACTAGGGTCGTCCCGGATCACCCGATTCACCATGATCACCTCCTCTCTTCGGTAAAGGTCAGCAAGAGGGCTTCGAGAAGCTAGATATAGCAGGGGGGGCAGTTAAATACCGCTCATCGAACCACCCCTGCTCCCCGCGGAACCAGTTCGCCGTCTGAGTCGGCGAGGGTGGCATCAGTCCGACGGCTAATAAGCCCACAACGAAAGTGAGAGCGCCCTGAGTAAAATGATGAGTCTCTTTTAATGCTCGACATGTTTTTCTTCTGCCCACTCACCTCGATCAGAAACAGGTACCGCCACCCTTCAAATCCATGCAAGCCTCGGAGCTGCAACAGGCCAGCTGCGAGAAACCCAGCCATGATGTCAGAGAGTGACATGGCAGCCCAGAAAAAGGCAAGACGTAGCGAAAGCTCATGAGATTTGTAAAAGTAGCTAAGATATAGAATGACCTATAATCTGCGTTGGCGTTTCGAAACTTGGCAGGGGTATAAAGGTGGTCACACTCACGTCGGGGATGAAGCCGCCTTCGCATATCGCCAGCAAAGCACGACTTACGAGAAAGGATGTCTTGCCTGTTAGCCAGAATTGGCTGGCTGATACCACACTCCAGACGCATATCTGCATGGGAACCCATCTGTCTGGGCCGACCCATTTGCTGAGGACCTGCGAGGGGAGCTCGGCGCAGAGGAACGACAGTTTGAAAACCGTGTTCCCGAGGTTATAATCTGGGGGAAATCAGCTGTTGATCGAGGAAAGGGTTTGAACAAGGATGCGGACCGTCAGTGGTGAGGCCGAGATCTGGTAAGAAATTATCCGAAAGTGCCTGGCTGAGGTTCGCCCTGTCCAGCTGTAGAGCCATAAACATGACACAAGAAAAGACCATGATGCGGATATCAATCTTTCTCACGAGCTTTCTCTCCTCGTTCCAAGTCCATCTAGCAGAAGGGTCAAAGCGATGAATATTTTCCCAGTCTGGACGAGGCTGATATCTCTTTGCCAGCTCAGGATCGTCAAACACTGATTTCTGAGTCGCGATGGCATCACCATCTGGTTCATCACCTCGTTGCCACCAGTAGCGTTTCTCCGTGACTGTTGAAAGGGGCTCCAAGAGGTCAAGGTCTTTCGTGGAAACTGGTGGCGTTTTGCTGTCGCCGCTGAGGAGGGGGATCTCATCTTCTCTGCCAGATGTCCAGATGACAGCCCCTGTGTCTGGATCTTGGTGCTCGAGGTGCTGATACGTAGCCCTGGATGAACTCCGCGGCAAGCGAAAGGAAGAAGACATGTTGCTGGAAGACAAGATCTACCTCGACAGATACACTCAACTTTTCAGTAGTTCAAAGCTCAAACTTGAGATCAAAATGAGAAATCCAGCACCCAAATACCCCTACTCACGAAGCACGACATCGCGACGCCGTTTTGGGATTTATGACGCCACATCTCTGCTCGACAATCTCACCCACGAGTGAGACCTGTCCTCGCAAGCCATTGGATAAAACACCCCACGGAGAGCGTGGGATTCAGCAAGAAGCGCTGAAGATTGTCGGAGGATGCCTCGCAACTCGGTCTGATGGTTCTCTTATTGGCTGGTTTGGGTCACGTCTGGCGCAATCGCCCTTGTGATGCTTTCGTGATTGGAGCTTGAGATGACGAGTTGGTGCCCCGCTTGATAACCTCCTCAGGCCTGACAACGTTGGAGTTATCAACGCATTGTGTACTTTGTAATCAATTTCATCATCTAGATATGATTGCTATTTTATGTTAGTGAAGTCGACACAAGACAACAAAATCAGCTATCTCATCATAATGGTGAGTGGGGTGCAAGTGAGAGGCGTGATAAGTTTCGAGAGAACCTGGGAGGTCAACATGGATTCGAACAATAGCAGTTTTGAATTTTAGAGTTTTAAATAGTAAACATCGGACGCGTACTCCATCGTGTCAAGATCGGCTACCGGATTAGATTGGCGAAGAGCAATGGAGCTTCTGATGTCAAAAGGGTTATGGGGCCGTAGGGTAACATTGCGGGATAACATCCTACATTGTTCGTCTCACTTCAGATCTCCGTTAATCTCAATGCCTTCAGAGAATGCTACTGTGGCAATGTGACCTCGGTTCATCTGTAGTATTTCTCGGCTCTGAGATGGAAATTTCTCGAATTAACGGTCTTCTGGCTCAGTTATCCCTCAAAGGCCGGGCTTCAACTATACTGAAAAAAAACATATTGTCAACACATAACAGCATCATATCCCAACAAACACAGCTACCTTTTATATCATCAACACTGTTCTTTGAAGGACGTCAGGTGAGGCTGGACAAGCAGTGTGGATTCCCCGCCATTATCAAACGTCACCATTTTCAACTCTAGATCTCGCATCACTTAAAATTCTTCAGACCTATTTTATTCATTAAAAAGATCTATCTGTATCTAGGCGGACCAGGCTGCATGCCGGCCTGCGGCATCTGATTCCACCCCTGCGTTCGGTGTGACGACTCGTTGTGCCAGTAGTCATGCACCTTTTGATTCTTGTCCCCCATTCTCGGCCATATCGCCTCTGGTAACCGGGCTGCCGTCGGTGGAGCGTGCCCTGATACTTCTTGAAGCTTCTCCTCTATCATCTTGGGCATTTGGCGTTGTGCTGCGCGGTTCCTTTTCGCTTTTCTGTGTCTTGTGCAGAGGATGATGCTTGCAACCAGGATGGTCAAGGCGACTGTAGTTTGTTAGACTGATATGTCACAATTTGAACACCAGAACTTACCCAGAATTCCAAAAGCAATGGCAATCTCGACAGCCCCAATAAACTTGATACCACCCCCATTGTGATTCTCCGCGTCCTCAGCAGTGCTCTCCGACGTGACCGTGACCGTCGGCCTTGCTAGAACCCCACTCGCAGCCTCAGTTTGCGGCACCAGACGAGGTGTAATAGATGTAAAGAGTGTTGTTGATTCGACTGCCGAAATGATTTGTGACACTTGGTCGTAAAGTGCTATGCTCTCCATTTGGTATTGTGTTGTGTGATGTATTCGAGATATGAAATCGATAAAGGAAACGATCGATGGATCAACAGAGGACGGGAAAAGTCGTTGAATTCGTTTTGATGGCCAGCCAATGAAGGAAAAGGTGAATCAATCACGCAGTAGGAAAATTAATAGGTCGTTAAGGATAGTCGTCGTGAAAAAAAAAGGCCAGCTGATCCGTCAAGGATTAGAAGAAGAGAAGGACATCCGTCAAGGATTGCGATCCAAAAAGAAAAGAAGAAAAAAGAGTGCAGAAAGACGACATGATATGTGGAGTCTAAAAATACGGTCAGTTGCATCTGTTTGAGATTTCCTAGATCCCGCTTATAAGGCGAAACCGGGACTCGCTCGAGGCGGCGCTGGTGAGACGACAGATCAGACACTTTGACCCCTGGTTGGCCTCAAGCCGAGCCCACGTCTCAGCATCATCTGGTGCCAAACCTGTAACTTGGCAGCCGAGACCGAGTCAATGCATTGATCTGGCAGGCTTTAGCCGGTTACCGAGAGGTCGCATCGAGTCGGCTGGTGCTGATTCCGCGCCCGTTACGTGGCTGAGGCCCTCCCCCTTTGCAGGCGCGTTTAGAGGTCATCAGGGACTGGAGCGCCACGGTTTCAATTTTTTCTCCCTTTTGCCCAGCCAACGGTGCATTTCAGAATCAGGCTTTTAAAACGTCGACAGAAATAGCATCATTCAGTTTTAAAATGTGAGCCGCCCATTATTAGGCACAGCGACCTCACGTGCTCACCTCGTCGACCAGCACACGACGCGCGTGCCCGGCATTCCACTCATTCTTTGCCGATTTCAAATCCCGAGTCTGTCTTCCCCGCAAACTCCCTCCACAAGCACAGCAACCTCTCCAGAGTCTGGGGAAGCTAATCGCAGGACGTGATTCGTCCATTGACACCGACTTTCACTGTTTCTTTCCATTTCCAGCATGTGAAAGGATTCCCAAATCTTGAAAAATGGCTAAACTGCTTCCTCTACGGACCATCTTCAATCCCCGAACTGCAGGGCAAGCGGAGGAAGGGGTCTTCGGATATCCATCTAGCGCGCTTCGTGGAAAATTCTACCTTCTGTGATCTTTTGCATCAAGATCAATTGGAGGCTTGTTAATGAAAGAGAGCATTTATTGACCATTTGGTCACTTCCAATTGGTCTCTCAACGGCCGTTCAATTGAGTAGAACCTCCTCGGATCCCTCCTCCACCTCGAATCGACTGCCGGAGGAAGAGACGCGGCTCTCCCACATCCCGGGAAGCTCACATACCTCACCTCTCAGCCGTGGCGAGATCCCCTCACTTGCCAAAATCAACATCCGTCATGGCCATAGTCGACCTCCTCCTGTCTTGGTGGACGCTGCCCATCGGGGTAGCGGTGCTCGTCGGCACGTACCTCTACGCATACTTTGTCACGTATGGCTACCTCCGAGGCATCCCGGCGCCCTTCCCTGCTCAGTTTTCAAATCTATGGCTGCTGTACGTGTGCCGGCGGGGTGAGAGGTATGACGTTATGGACAAGATCCATAAGAAGATGGGTCCTGTTGTTCGAATTCAACCAAACCACGTATCAATAGCTGATGATGAGGCTATCCCCATCATCTACGGCCATGGAAATGGTTTTCTCAAGTCGTAAGTCGACAGATTTAAATGTCAATCTCTCGCCACTGCTGACAGATGATAGCGAATTTTACGATGCCTTCGTATCTATCCGTCGAGGACTCTTCAACACTCGAGATCGCGCCGAGCATACACGCAAGCGCAAGCTCATCTCTCACACCTTTTCCACCAAATCCATCAGCCAATTTGAGCCATACATTCACTCCAACCTCGAGCTCTTCGTCAAACAGCTCGACAAGCTCATTACATCAGGAACGACCAAGGACAACCAAGGCCATCAACAGGCCCTGATCGACTGTCTTCCTTGGTTCAACTATCTAGCTTTTGACGTTATCGGCGACCTTGCGTTCGGTGCCCCGTTCGGTATGCTCGCAAACGGCGCCGACGTAGCAGAAGTCAGAGCCACGCCAGAGTCTCCTCCAATCTACGCCTCAGCGATTGAAATTCTCAACCGGAGAGGCGAAGTGAGCGCTACACTCGGCTGCTTCCCCCAGCTCAAGCCGTACGCCAAATGGCTTCCAGACCCGTTCTTCAGCAACGGCCTGAACGCCGTTCAAAACCTCGCAGGCATCGCCATCGCACGCGTCAAGGCAAGACTCGACAACCCCCCGCCAGAGGAGCGAATGGACCTCCTCGCGCGTCTCATGGAAGGAAGGGATGAGAAGGGCGAACCGTTGGGTCGTGAGGAACTTACTGCGGAGGCTCTGACGCAGCTCATCGCCGGTAGTGACACGACCTCCAACTCTTCGTGTGCGTTGCTATACCATGTTACTCGGACTCCAGGAGTTCTCGAGAAGCTTCAAGCTGAACTTGATGCTTCTATTCCTTCTCACGTCTCAGTCCCAACGTTCGACATGGTCCGTGACCTTCCCTACCTCAACTGCGTCATCAACGAAACTCTCCGGTACCATTCCACATCAGGCATTGGTCTTCCACGACAAGTCCCCGAGGGCTCCCCCGGTGTCACCATCCGTGGACACTTTTTCCCAGCTGGCAGCGTGCTCAGCGTTCCGACATATTCAATCCATCATTCCAAGGAGATCTGGGGTCCTGATGCCGATGATTTCAAACCAGAGAGGTGGGAGGATGTGACTCCCCGTCAGAAGAATGCATTTATTCCCTTTAGTCATGGACCGAGGGCATGTGTTGGGAGGAATGTGGCTGAGATGGAGATGAAGTTGATAGCGGCGACATGGGCAAGGAGATATAATGTTGAGCTGAAGCAGGAGATCATGGAGACGAGGGAAGGTTTCCTGAGGAAGCCTTTGGGTCTAGATATTGCTCTGAAGATAAGGTAGCGGCTTAATAACTGCACACTCCTTGAAGAGGTTATAAGAAAGTAGGGTTAGGGTAAAAGTAATATTACTTATTTTTTCCTAAAACTACCTTAGGGACCTCAGATTCATGAGGCTTTAAATCTAAGGCTTTACCGAGGTTTTGGGAACTTTTTGCCAACTATAACAATCCTATATATATAGGTAGCCTTATCTCATAATCCTTCTCTTGGTTTCCTGTTTAATTGCCCCTAAGGAAGGCTCCCTAGGTATCCTACATACTGCAAACAGATGGTCATAGCGCTATCGCCAAAGGTTTAAGAACCTTATACTCGTACAATGTACAAGCAAGTCATTCATGCGTTGAAGCATAAAGTATACCAGAGATAAGTCACGAACGGTAACTGTTGGGCGCCAAGGATATCACGTGAGGCTGCATTCTCTCATGCCCAACTGTCCTATAAAGTTGGGTTGAGCCACCAACCCCAAGCACACTCCACAACACCTCAGCACCATCGAGAGCCACCATGGCTACCCCTCAGTCTCAATCATCGTTTTCCAGGCTCTGCCAGAAGTGCAAAGTTCTTGAGCTGGACGAAAAGTCACTCCCCGACTCCGCTCTGGACGCATCGGTGTCTGAGTATGAACTCGCCCTTGACTGGGGGTTAGTGACGCCAATCGACATGCTGGATACGAAGGGCTGCGACTTTTGTCATCTTGTTTCCTCGATTGTATCTTCTCCTTGGGAGGCACAAAGTGATCTAGCACGTCTCCCGAAACACAACAGGCGTGTGTCACTATGCTATGTGATCCGTCAAAAGAGACTCGAAGCTCTCCGTGTCAAGATTCACCACGGTGCGAGACCCAGGCACCGTTAAACTCTTGATTAACACACTAATATACTTTAAGATGGGGTGGATCATGTCTATTTTGACTGCTCTATTGCCTCCACCACTGCCCATCCCCAGGGATCACCCTTAGGTCTTGGGAGTCCTCTAACACATCTCGATCACAAGCCACTTGCTTGGATGGAATCAAAGATTAATTCATGCTTGACTCATAACCACACGCGGCCACAGCGGAACTTTGTGCCTGACCGACTCATCAGAGTCGACCAAGGCAAACTCTCTCTTGTCCTCACAAAGGACTCCTCTAACTCGCAGTTTCATCGAGGCCTATCTACTGAGCTGCCACACTACGCTGCTTTAACTTACTGCTGGGGACCACCGCCGCATTCGGATAGACAGCTCAAGACATATCAGACCAACCTCTCGGATCACATGAGGGAAATTCCAGAGAACAAGTTACCTCAGGCCATTAAAGACGCTGTCTTGGTCACCAGAGCGCTATCTATTCCATATCTATGGGTCGATGCTCTCTGCATTCTCCAGGATGTAGGCTCAGACTGGGACCATCAATGCACCCAGATGGACAATATTTATGGCAATGCACACGTCACCATCAGTGCTGCAGTATCTAAAAACTGTGAGGAGGGCTTCATTACGAGGAAGGATATGATAACGGTTCCCTTTCATCTGCGAGGCATCTCTGTTCATCCGATACCTGTTGCTATCTATTTCCCCTCATACCACAAAACGACCTCCGAAGACATTGCCGCCGCGAATTGGGTGAACAGAGGATGGACATTCCAAGAAAGGATGGCGTCAACGCGCATGCTCATGTTTGGAAAAAGCAATGTCCACTTCCAGTGTCGAGATGACTGTTTCTCCATGAGCAAGTACCAACTTGACTATCACTTCAGCGTGGTCAACCGGGACCTCCTAAACGAAGGTGATGTTGCGTTGATCTACGAGGAGTGGGCTACCGAAATTGCCATGGAGTTCAGCGCCTACGGCCTTGAATTCACACGCGGAACAGATATCTTGCCGTCAATCGCCGGGCTCGCCACTTTGTTTTCCCATCGCTTGCGCGATGACTATCTGGCTGGTTTGTGGAAGAAGGACCTATACCGGTGCCTCAAGTGGGATCTGCACCGTCCAGGCATACTCACGGGATACAAAGACCTCCTAGACGGGCTTCAGCATCCTGCTCAGTACATAGCACCCTCCTGGAGCTGGGCAAGTAAATCGGGCCTGGTCATGTTTCCTGTTTACTGGGGGGTGTACATCAAAAACGCAAGGAGCGAATGCGCTGTCCTGGAAGCTGCAGTTCAGCTCAAGGGCACGAGCGCATTTGGAGAGGTGACGGGAGGGTATTTGGACATTTCGGCCAAACTCTACACTGGATCACGACAGTTGGTGTACCGAGAGATGGATGATGGACCGGGAATTGCAAGACAGACGTTGCACCTGGGAGATCAGTACCTGGTGGATTTTGAAACTGATTGCATTTTGGGTGGGCTCTTTGAAGAAAGAGATGGGAAAAGAGAGCTAAGCGCACCGATTAGCTTCCTACTCATTGGAAGTACCATAAGTGAGGAGAAGAATCAGGGGGGGAGAGGTCAAGACGAGGCTGAAAGCACGAATGGCCGAGGCTCAGAAGATGGCGCCAAGCCAGGCAGAATGGCGTATGGCCTTTTGATACACCCAGCAGAGAAACCTGGCGAGTTTGTTCGAGTCGGGACTTTTGAGTCCCAATCTTCTCAACTTGGCGGTCTTGAGTTCTTTGAGGGATGCGAGACAAAGACTGTACGGCTTATCTGAGTTGCCTCTGGAGCTGGGGCTGGGTATTGGATCAGAGAACTTCCAACCAGGAGAGATAATAGACTTGGCTGTAATATTATAAGAATTTCATAGCCAGCCTGGCTTACTGGGTTGACCTAGGCCTTGGTCCATATGAGTGAATGGGTCATCAGATTAACAATGGCTTAAGATTAAATATTCCCACACGCTACCCAAGGTATACATGACCCTCTGCGCCCGCAAATGAAGTTAAAACACACACCTCCTGACATCACCCACTAGCTCCTCACCGTGTGCGACGGCGTGTGTGAACCCTCTAGCTCAGGAGTAGCCGCCTCGAGCTCCGCCGGAGGGTACCTCGGTGGTGTGCTACCGTCCACTTCCGAGATGTAGTTGCCTGGTGCCTCCGACTTTGGCTCTGTTGTGGGAACAGGTGCCCGCGTGTTTCGCTTCCTTCGCCAAAAGAATAGACCTGCTCCGATGAGGAGGAGACCAGCGACACCCACGCCTACGCCGATGCCTGCCTGGGCTCCCGTTGATAGACCTGACGAGGGGGCGGTATCAGCGTCGGATGTATTTGAAGCCATCGTTTCGCGGGTGCTGCCCGTGGTCTCGCTTGATGTACCGGTCGAGGAGGGAAGGTCTGAGGATTGGTAGTTGAGCTGGAACATGGGGGCTTTGATTGTGACGCCGTCCATCGTCGACAGGCTCTCGTCTCCATCGCTGTTCGTCTGTGTAAAGGTCTCGGGTAGTGTGAGCCAGTTGAGAATGGAGTCGCCATCGGAGCACGACACGACTTGGATTGAGCCTCTCGATGCCACACTCTTGCACGTTTGCGGTCCGCCGGGTTGGTCGCAAGTGTAGCCACTACATCGCATCAGCTTCCATTCAGGCCGACAAGCTTCTGTTGAGCTCACCTCGGGCAACATCCAATGACGGTCTCGTGGTCGAGGACGGAGAATTGGAAGTTGAAGTCGCCCGTCATCGATCCGGTCGCACTGCAGGCGGGTTCGTAACCATCGGGGCACTCGAGGCCGGGGGAGTAGTAGCCCCATCCGTTGAGGGCATATGGAGCCGTCCTCGACGTCTCTCTCGGCGGCCAGCAGTCGGTGTCATCCTGAAGACCCTGTGTGTTTGCCTTGTTGAGCGTTCCGCACGACTGCGCCTGCCATCCATAATCGCAGTCGGTACAGCCGAGGGCTGTCGCACTGCACTTGGCTGGGTATGTGAACTTGGTCGTCAGAGGACCGAGGTTCGTTCGTGGGGACACCATGGCTCAAGAAAAGAATGACGCTATCGAGAAGAGACGGAGTCGACAGGTGTGTTCGTCAGGGAGTGGGAGTTGTCGATCTTGTCATTGCTTTGCGCAAGAAAGAATGGTCGGACCATAACGACAGGCGGTGGGGGGAGTTCCCAAATTAGGCACCGTCGTGCGCAGCAATCTGCAGATTAAACTAGTTCCAATCAAGACAGGGCTCGGGTGGACGAGATGGGGGCCAAAAGTGGCAGTGATGCTAACTTTTGGTGTTGATAGGTCTGTGGAGCTGCACTTGTGGCAGGGACCATGCCTGTTGTGCTCAGGGGTCCTGCACAGAAAAGGAGTGCAGTTAGGCTGGCGCTTCTGGAGAAGCTGAAAAATCAGGCTCTCGTGTGACTCGGAATTCTGAATCAACGACGACCACACAGATTAGGATTGTCGTCAAGGAAGAACCAGAAGAACAGGCGTGGGAGAGGCTGTGCCCCAGATTCGAGGCTGGGGTTACATCGTCCGAGGAAATTAGCCCAGCCTGGTGGACACGTTGGAGCTCGATCCTTGCTCATTCGTCCTGTTGGCAGGGCTAAAGCGGTCAGATCCTGCGCGACCCAATCTCAGCCTCAGGAAGCCAGCCGAGGACTCCATCGCGTTGGTAAATCCTGGGCTAATACGAGATCCACGTAAAGACCTTGCAGCCCTGTAGGGATGAAAGGGAGGTGGAGATGTCCGTGTGTGTCCTTCGGACTTCGGGGTTGAGCTTTCATCCGGGCTTATCGGTTATCTTATCTCTATCTTATCGCAAAATCATCTTATCGAACCAATGAAACTTAAAGCCCAACAATACTTTGACCTCGTTTCCACGATTCGATGATTCGATCCAAACATCAAATCACAAGCCACCCATCTCCAGGTGTGGTTCCAATCCCGGATTTTAGGTTCATTGCTGTTTCATGGCAGTAATTTGAAGAGCCTCTTTTTACTGCATGCTGTACTGTGAAATGTCATTATTGCCTTGTTCTCTAACATTCTCCTGTCCTTTCTCTCAGCGCTGAAAATACCCTACAGTCGCAGTATCGCAACCTCGAGACCTACCCCGTCAGCTTCTATGATACCTACTATGACCCTCCAAACGCTAAGGCGGTCATGTATTCATTTTATATGCACTCGATCTTTGAGTTGGAACTAGTCAATTGATGTGTTTTATTAAGATTAACAACAGCAACAGCCACACTATCTTCCTTGCTTCGTCATTGTCGTCTTACTTCCGTCTCCCACTCCTCAGCTTCCGACATTGGTATGTACTCATCCGTTTGTACTAAAGTTTTGCTAAACTTGACCTTTGTATTCTTGATGTATTCAGGAAGTGGATCTCGGCCATCAAGATCAACCTTTTCAATCTCGCTGCTCAGACTTGCCCCCCGCCCCAGTCGAAGCAAGGTTGAAAAGGTATTACTAAATGAAGCTCCGTTCATATATATTGCTAGCAGTCCAATACACACGGTGAGGGTAGAGCACGCGATTCCAAGGCCGTAGGCGAGCCAAAGGCGACTTCGGGCGTAGATGTAGACTGGATGCATGGTTGAAAAGGTAACGGTGGTGTTTTTGGGCTTGAAGGCCGAGTGTTTGTTCGGCTTGGGAAGACGGTTAGTCCTACGCGCATGTATGGAATACTACCAGGGACTTACTGTAGGAGTGGTGAGCTCATGAGACTTAGTGTGATGTTTTGGAAGAGCTCTTCAAGTGCCTCTTTCAGCGGCGTGGTTCTCTGCTCTCCAGGTCCGTTCCACAGTCCTTTGTAGACCCACTCATGGTCATCCGGCTCTACCTTCTGGAGTATAGGTAGATCTTTAGACAAGAGTGTCAGGTCGCTGAGAATCTGGAGCTCAGGTGTAGCTGTGAGAACTGTGCTCTGGACACTCGTGTTTCCGTGGAAGACAAGGGAGTCATCCGTCTGGCGACGGCGGAGGGTCAAACTACCGATGAGCACATCCGTAAAGGCATCCATTAGAGCCTGATAAGATAGGTGGCGAAGGATAGAGGGATCAAAGGTGCATTCAGAGTCCATGTTGAGAGGCGTGCAGCTCGGGTTCTTGCTGTTTGTGTTGCTGCCCCAGACGCCAGCGATGACATCGAGCGGTTTCTCTTCAATCTCCTTTACCTTTAGTTTGACCTGCTGGTTTCCATTGGTGACGTTGAAATGTGCTTCGTACGTCGAGTTGCGGAGGTCCCAGCGTAGTACCGAGGCTGTCGAGTCAAATAATGCCTTTCTCAGCACCTCTTTGCCTTCACTTCTGCCCTTTGAGGCCATTTCGCATGCGAATCTATCGTCAGGCCTTGAGCCCAACTTGAGTGCCGCTGGGACTATGGCCATGAAAAGAACCAAATCATTCCTTTCGGTCTGGGTTTTATCAACGGCCTGCCATGCCTTTCTGCCTTCTCGATCAAATGTTGTAAACCCGTTGTAGATAAAGTTGGTAACTTTGTCCGCTGTTTTAATGAGCGAGTACGGTAGTAGTGACTCGGGTTTGTTGTTGGCTGGCGTCCAAGCCACATAGCCTGGTGCTTGTTCGCAATAGCGGTCCGTGAAGCTGGTGATACTTTGTTCAATTCGGCGTCTGGTATCTCCAGTGACCTCGTCGCATCTCAACGTTGGAGCCAGAAACTCAAGACTCCAGCTTGAGTTTGGAGCAGGTGCATCTACCGCAATGATGTTTCCCTGTGCAGCAGTAGCGACAACTACTTTGCTAACAGCATCACTCGGCCCGTTGTACAAGTAGTTGGTTAGATCATTGTCGCACTCGGTTGGGCGATTAGGGTTGTTGTTGCGGTCACGACATGGAGCAGGTGATATGTCCCGTCCGGGGTTTTTCGGCATCATACGGAGTAGACTGAGTCCAGTAAATGCGACATTTGGGACCTGTAGAGACGTGTCTGGGGGAGACGCGAGGCCGACCGAGAGAGTCGCAGGGGTGATGATGGACACGACGGGAACAAGCCTAAAGAAGTCAGACGCCGTCACTCTGAGCTGTAAGGATACACATACCAAGCTATCATGGCAATAAGAAGAAGGAGAGGCCCCTTCAACCATGTGGAAAAGCTGACCAAGGAGATGGCATTACCCAACGCCGATAACAGAACGTCCATGTTGGAGATGTCTATTTCGCGTTTGCTGCTCTTGACGACATGCCAAACAGCCTGAAAATAGGCCATTGACACTGCGGAAACCACGGAGCTCTTGAAAAGAAATGCAAGTGTTGTGCCAGCCGCCAGGTTCAGCTGCTGCCTTGATACCTCGGCGCCAGCCACCTCAAAAGAATCTGCTGCAACTGTAGTTCCCGCCAGGCTGGCATAGAAGAGGTCATGGCCGAGAGCAAAGAGACCTCCGATCAACAGTGCGCCAACCATACTCACCGGCGTAAGCCAGTGAATCTGGCGGTTGATGTGTCGGGCCATTGCTGCAATTCCCCTGGTTAGAATTGTCGTTGTTGATTAACTCTAGTAAGGACTCACTGAGACAAAAATGACCACAAATGGAGACAAGCCGCCGTGATTACTCTACAGAGTAATTATTGCTCTTTATTTTTATTCCTCCTTCCGAGTGAAGTCAATATGACTGGCGTTGGTCGCCCGTTCTTATGAACAGTCCGCAGCCTGATTATGATTTTTGCAGCATTTCAGCCCCCTTCGTGCAATATGCCTAGGTACCTATTTTTATCGAGTCTAGGCAAATTTCGACTTGACTGCGGCCGAAAGGTGCTTGTCAGCCGAATCTCCTTCTGCAGCTAAGAAGTAGACCTTCCTGATTGATACAAGGCGCTGGCGCCAACCAAGCCAGCGACCGAGGCCGTTGTGTTCTTTACATCTGCTTCTGTAGAACGACGTAGCTTTCCAAGGCTCCCTAGCTATAGAATCACGTTGGAGCGACAGAGGCGCGTTTGCATCTGGTGTGAAACGCGCCCTGTAACCCACCTGAGTAAGAGATTGACATTGTCCCATTCTCACAAGACTTGGCCATGCAAAATTTTACCGAGGCACAGAGGAAGACTAAAAATACCGCAGCCAAGACGCAGTTGCTTCGCCTCTGTGCGTTGTTATCAGTTGTGACAATGAACATGCTCATGTGATTGGTTGTAAAACGAGCAGTCGCTCGCTTAATTGAGTCCCATGTGCTCAGCTGGGCTGGGTAATCTTGATCCTACTCCTGACGCAGGTCAGCTTGAGAAGGGGTTTCAAGGTTGGAGCTATCGTGTCCATGACCCTTGACGGCCTCTCTGCTCTTCGCGATGGGAATCGCACTAATGGCCGCAATTCATTAAGGTTAAGAGTGACAGCGTATCTCGACTGTTTAAGATAGTTCTAAAGAGCAACATGATACTCAAACTCTGGGTAAACTTTATCATTTCAACAGTATTTTTACAACTCAACCTGTTATTAAACCATTTTTATAGTTTGAATTCAATTACATCGCTTTACCTTGTAAACTAGCTTCCTATGCCCCTTTCGCAACATCTGTGTTGCAACTACAAACCCTCCAGTGGCGGGCAGTGTCACGCCAACACCTCAAGCGGATCCCTGATGGCCTGCTTTTTCAGGCTGCCAGCAAGATAACGACTTCATCCAGTATTCAAGACAAGCAATTCTGCAACCAGCCTCCTGATGTGATTCATCAAGCTTGCAGTACCACTGTCGCCCATAGTATGTGCCACACCTAGAGGGTTTCTTGATTGTACTAACATGAACTCTACAGCCCAAAGACTTCTACTCCGGTGGCATCGCTCCCTGCGCCTTCAAAAGCAGGAACCTTCCTGGTATAGAGATCGACTACGAGAGGAACTCTACGAAAGGAGGCAAGCAAAGACCTTGTGTCAGAAGCTCAGTGAGACTGCCGACGTCTTCTACATCACCAGCCGCTCGCATCACGATGGATACCCCCTGCGACGCCTACCCAGCTTCGCCTTCTCGCATCTCTTGGTGTACGCCTATCTCCTGCCGAAATATACACTGAGGTGGAAGTTTTACCGCTTGGCTGCATACTTGTGTAGCTCCCCGAACCCGGGTTTCGTGCGCGAGGTCGTCAACCCTGCCAAGGACCACAAGCTTCATGAGGTGGCCAGTCGCCATAGCATCGACCCGGAAACGTTTGCGCGGGTTTGCCGCCGACTCCGATATTTTTGGCCCCTTCTTCCATGAATAAAACACTGGGAGATGTTTTACAGGCTGGTCAGAGGAGCACATAGGCGAGGCGCATGTCGATGCTGTTTGTCCTGAGCCAAACATATTTTCTGAGTTAGATATCAACAAGCCGATGAAGCATCACCATGGCACAAGAACTTCTCCGATTGGCTTTATCAAGCGAGCACGTCGGAATCACAATGGATGCTTGCAGATTGGAAATGGAAACGCCCGTTTCTAGGATGCGGGAGGTCCACCGCAGCGTGAGAGAAGACAATCGGAGACTAGTGTCTGAGGGTAGGTGTTTGATGGCAAAGCAGATCCTGGGCATGGAAGGATTGGTGTAACAGAATAAAGCACATGGTTAATTCACTTGAAATACTCCCTCTGTAACTCCCTTTGATCATACTTTCACCCAGCCTTGTCTTTCTACCTACCTACCTCGGGAAGCGCTTTGGAATTTCCACACAAGCGCGACACCCTCTCAACGATGGAAGCTGCGCCTGATCAGGTTCTCGCCGACATTCCGACGGTATGCTAATCTGCTGGTTCACCTCAAACACCGCTAACCTCAGGCAGATGTCCCCAGCGAGCGACAAGCCGATCGTCATCGGAGTCTACGGTATATCCGGCTCAGGAAAGACTTTCGTGATGAACGATCTGAAGAGCTGCCTCTCAGCCTATAATTTCGACTTCTACGAAGAGTCTGAAATGATCGCCAGTCTTGTGCCAGGCGGCCTCGAAGCATTCCAGGCTTTGGATGAGCAACAAAAGATGCGCTGGCGCGCACAAGCCATCGACAAGATCAAGAATGACGCACTTCAGAATGGCACCATGGCGATAGTCACCGGGCACTTCATGTTCTGGTCTGAGGGACAGACTGCTGGTCAATCAGTATACACACCAAGCAATCTGGATGTCTTTACCCACATTGTCTACCTGGCGACCCCAGCCGAGCACATCTTTCAGCGCCGTCTGGACGATAGACTGAGGGACCGACCTCTGACATCTGTTGAGCACTTGCGCAAGTGGCAGGAGGCGGAGGTCATTGGCCTGCGCCATCTTTGCCCCCCGCATGGTATATTGTTCCATGTTCTCACGAATCCAGTATCCATGTGTAGCCAGGTCCGCGCCGCAGTCGGATTTTTCTGCAAAGATAAATTCGAGTTACCTACCTACTACAACAACAGGCTTGACCGGGTTGATCGTTTCCTAACTGTCCGAGACAAGAATAGTCAGCTGAGAACCGCTTTGGTTCTGGATGCCGACAAGACCCTGGCGCCGATGGACACGGGTGCATTGTTCTGGCAGAACCTAGATCGGATCCTGCCGCGGAGCTCGAGCCTCTGTCCACTACAAGAGCTTTTTTGTGGTCCTCTGGGATATACGGACAAGGCATTTCATCAGGCAACCTTACTGTACGAGGGGGCCGCAGACGACGAAGAGTTTGAGAATCTGTGCGAAACCGTGGCTTCGTCTGTGGTGATGTATCCCGAGTTTGTCTCACTCCTCCGGGCTGCTGCGGAACACAAGCACATTTACTCAGTGGTTGTAACCTGCGGACTTGCTCGTGTCTGGGACAAGGTCTTGAGAAAGGAGGGCCTCTCTGGCTCTGTCATGGTCCTGGGCGGAGGGAGATCTTCTGACGGACTTGTGGTTTCGCCAACCACCAAAGCCGAGGTCGTTGTTAAACTTCGCAAGGAGTGGAATCTGTATACCTGGGTATTCGGCGACAGTCCTTGGACATACCCATGCTCAGAGAGGCTGATGAGGATATCGTGGTGGTTGGAGAGGAGCAGGCCAGAAGTTCCAGTATGGACGCCGTCTTGGCCAGGGCTCTGGAGGATGAGCAATTCAAGGCACGACAGGCTCTCCTTCCCAGTCATGTATCTCCTCGTCTGGACCAGACCAAGCTGCCGCTGGTACACCTCGATGTCCCAGACTTTCTCGAATCGGTTCTGCGTCATAGGTTCGAGGTGTTGCACGCCACAGAGAAGTGTGCAGCGAAGCTGCTGATGTCCCCGATGCGTGATGCGTCCGTCTCCGGCCCTCCCCTGAGAGCTGCGCATCAACGGGTGGGATTGTATCTGGCCAACGAGTTTGTTTCACAGCTGATTGGCGTCGAGGAGTATCCTATCCCACACGTTCAGGGACACCAGTCGAACGGTTACAGGTTGAGACATGAACAGCAGACTTCGATCGTGGCCCTTATGCGCGGCGGTGAGCCCATGGCTTGTGGTGTCAGCGAAGCATTCCCTACCGCCATGTTCATCCATGCTGCTTCCGCATCTGACATCAAGGATCATCATCTGAAGAATCAACGCACGGTGATTCTGGTTGACTCGGTCGTCAACAGCGGGAAATCGATTACTGAGTTTGTCATGCGTATTCGCAACTCCCATCCCAGCATCCGCATCGTGGTTGTGGCCGGGGTTGTCCAGGCCGAGGTGGTCGCCAAGTCCCATGACTGGCATAGACGTATGTGGTGCTTTGGTATTAGCCTCGTTGCGCTACGATTATCTGAAAACAAGTTTACAGGGACAAAGTCGACTGACACTGGCAATCGGCTCTTTAACACCACACACTTGGCTCAGTTGGGCTTCTTTCAAACATGTAGGAGAGGAAGGTGTTTGGACTGGTTAGTCTAGCAATGAATAAGAACCATGAGATTGGCTAGGGGTTTAGATTTTGATTTGACTGGCATTGGCATGTGGTTCTAAGCTGTGTCCTTCTTCGCCCTCCATCGTCAACTAGACAAGCAGCTCCTCCGCAACAACTCAGTGACCAAGTTCTTAATTATCCGGCAACCGTCCAAGCCTGTAAGGACCGGCTACACGTAACCCATCAGATTTGCGCGAGCCCACCGTCGACGGCAACCTCGCTGGCGGTCATGAAGCTGCTGTCCGGCGACGCGAGAAAGGCAGCCACAGCGCCAATCTCCGATGGATCGGCCATACGCTGGAGCGGATTGCCCGAGGCGAAGACTTTCATGCCCTCCTCGCCTAGCGCTTCCTTGGCGAGCTCGGTCGCCGTCGGACCTGGCGACAGCACATTCACCCGGATGCCGGTGCCCTTCAGGTCCTCCGCCCAGGTCTTTGCGAGGTTGCGCACGCCCGCCTTGCTCGCGGCGTAAAGGCTGAATGCTGGGGAGCCCGTGGTGCCAGCGCTCGATCCGGTGAGGATGATTGAACCACCATGGCCCATCAGCGGCAGCGCCTTCTGGACCGTGAAGATTGTACCCTTGATATTGGTGTCGAGAATTTCGTCACAGTGCTCGACGGTGATCTTGCCGAGTGGAAGCTGGCTACCCGCCCCGGCATTGGCAAGGACGATGTCAACGGTTCCGCGCTCAGCCTTGACCGCCGCGTAGAGTCGGTCGAGGTCGGCCAGATCGGAGACTGAGCCCTTTACCGCGCGGGCATTGGGCCCAAGGTCGGCCAGGGCCACATCGAGCGCTTCCTGTCGGCGGCCAAAGATGAAGACAAAGGCACCCTCCTCGATGAAGCGCTTTGCTGCTGCGAGGCCGATGCCGGTAGCGCCACCGGTGATGACGGCCGTCTTTCCATTTAGTCTAGTCATATTGTGTATCCTTTGTGAGAGTTGTACGGATCGAGGTGACTGGTGGATTGGCAGGGAAATATTGTGTAAGGACAGGACCAATTGCTGATATCGTGAGGTGTAAGAGGCTATTTGCTACCACGAAGCGGTAAATGACTTGATAGAGCTGGTTGAGCAAGAGCATCTACCTGGAATAAAGAGATGACTGGTACCCTTTATAGAGAGGCACTACTAGCATTTCAGTGGATCTTATCGATCTGATCAATCTTATCAATCAGATCAGGTTACATGATTGATAATCCTGTAGGACGCGGGCGCGCGCGCTCCGGACGCAACAAGCGCCTTGTATCTGTAGAGCGCGCGCTCCGGATGTAATAAACGCCTTGTATCTCTAGATCAGTAATCGCTTTGAACTGTCAGATGCGGCTTCTTCCCCCCACGTCTGGTAGACCAATCCTCAAGTTCAAGCTTGAATCTCCGAAACCAGTGTTGCTTGCCGGGCAGGGTCAGGTCTGCTGGGTCTGTAGAAGTGCCAGAATCGCAAAGGGAGGATGCTCTGTCTACAGCTGATACTACGCTGGTAAAGTTCAGATCTAGGCTATTGACTTTGTCCTTGGCCGCCTTATTAGCTCGCTTGAACGCTTTGCTTCTTTGCCGCTTCGCCCAATAACTTTCATTACAATACGCAGCAGCGCCTTGTTGAAAGGCATTGAGGTCGTTGGTCACAAGGTTCCACTCCAGCCCGCGCGGCTCTATCGGATGAGCGGCATGCCTTCAGTTGTCCATTTGAATATGAGCAGCTGATAGAGTAAGCCTTGCTGTCAAAGATCGGCTGTGGAGCCTTGTAAGAGTGAAGATGATGTTGGCCTCGCTCCGAGTCCCATACCACAGGCAAGTTGACGTTTAGCAATAACTGCTACCTGATAGGAGCAACGACTAATATCATTGCTTGATTAAACACACCACACTTTCATATTGCCCCACGTTCAACAGAGCTCGCGCTTATGATTAGTCGTTCGATCACCGGAGGTTCTGTACGCTCCGGCCGTCTGACAAATTGCTTGGGCTGACAAATTACTTCGCTGACAGAATGCTCCGACTGAAGGCTGCAGCATGATGCGTCTTTTTGTCACATCAGAGCGACCATGACGTGCTATGCCTTGATAAGGATCAATATACGAGCCATACACCACTGGAAGTAAGAGTGTAGAGTGCTATAAATACGACTGTATCCAAGCACTTGATTAGAAGGCTTTATGCTATAGAACTTGCGTTTAACTTTCCCCTTTTGAGGCACAGCCAAGTACGAAACACTCTCAAGTAACTCATCCTTGATCGATCCAGCATTAAACCATGGCCGCCAAATCCCCAGTTGCCCTCATCCTCGGTGCAGGTCCTAATATCGGCCAGGCCATCGCCCGCACCTTTGCCTCCAAGGGCTACAAGGTCGCCCTTGCTTCTCGCTCACTGAAAGAGGCCGACAGCACTGAGAACCAGCTGAACATCCCGAGCGACTTCTCCAAGCCGGACGATGTGGTCAATGCATTTACTAAAGTGAAGAAGGTGTTTGGCATCCCCAGTGTCGTCATCTATAATGGTAGGCCCTAGTCCCCCTGGTGTCATCTCGGTCAACTGACGTATCGCAGCCAGCGCCGTGCACTTCACTCCCGCCGACGACCCCTTCGCCATCTCCTTTGCCGACTTCAGTGAAGACACGAACATCAACATCCACAGTGCCTTTATCGCTGCTCAACAAGCCGTCTCGGGCTTTGCACAGCTTCCGGAATCGGCTGCACGCACCTTTATCTACACAGGCAATGTCCTGAACGTCGCAATGCTCCCGAAATTTCTCTCCGCGGGTGTAGGCAAGTCGGGCGCCGCTTACATGATCTGGTCGGCCTCGGCGGCGTACAAAGACCGTGGATACAAGTAAGCCTTCGGCCCGCTCCCGAAATTTGGGTTTGGGAGACTAATGAGGTCAAGATTCTACTATGCCGACGAACGGAAGGCAGACGGATCGCCTAAATACCGCGTCGACGGCGACGCGCATGCAAATCTCTACTGGGAGCTGTCCCACGCCAAAGAACAAGGCCCATGGTTGCAGACATTCGTCCAAGGTGTGGGATATAAGAGTTTCGACACCATATATACACCTCTGGCGTGAGGCATTACTATTGTGCATGTTTCGGCCTCATCAACAAGTTGGGAGACTGGTGCAGGACTATCATCCCCGTTAGTGGCTTGCTCGGGTTTGCCACCATCTCTGACGCAATAGGATGTGTTATCTGGTTAGCACAGAAGTGGATCGAAGTCATGGATTGGTTTGGCAAAGAACAGGCTGAAGGCTGCTTTGGGCGAGAATTTCCAAGTTGATTAACTAGCCTAGTAAACCTCTACTTCTTCTGAAACTGGTGCTACGTTGTGTTCAAGGAGCCAGGCCACACCTGCTCGGACATAAACCTCCCTTCCCTCTAACTGATCTCTGGAAAGTGTGATAAGAAGGACGTAGTGCATAGGCTCCCGCGATTCTCGGCGTTTGTCCTTGCCAAGTACGACCCCCCGCAAATCTGAGACTCGAATCTCAGCCTGTTGATCAAGTTTGACTCTGTGAATGAGGTCTAGACGACTCATGGTCAGTTCCCTCGCCAGTGTCTTCAACGCAGGTCCTTGAGTGTTCGTGGCAATCTCGGAATCGGATGGAAAGACACAGTCAGTGGTCCAGTCAACCTGATCGAAAGGAATTTCCATGTAGGTGATAGGACCCTGGTAAGCCATCCACGACCAAGATGGAGGAGGACGGCTCTTCGTGCACGGAATCAGATTTAGAAACACGTCTTCCTGTCGAGACCAGAGCAGACTCCGAGCCAAGTATACCTCAAAGATGCCAAATCCGCCACGGGTCTGGAACGCGTCAAGAAGGCGTTTCTCAAGACCGAGTATGGCAACGGAACGGTCTGATATGTGACTGAAAGAGAGCCGCGAGTATGTCTGGTAAAGATGTTGGAACAGAGTGATTCTGCCGCCTTTGAAGTGTTTGAGAATGGCCTGCGGGAAATCCGAGTCTGCAAAGAGAGTTGCTTGTGGGCTGTATGTCGATTTCAGTTAGTGGAAATAGAGACTGGAAATTCACACTTACTTCGACAACTTGAAAAGTCGTTCGCAGTGTACTCCCGCTCCACATTCCCAATAAACTTGTGTCTTAGTGAAATGAAGAGTTCTCCTCGACAACGCGCGTTCCTGTAACACCCACCCGCGAGTGTTTAATGGTGCCAGCTCCAAGTCTTGGTGATAGTCCTCCATGAATTCGGAAACATGGAGGATTCCCCCACCGGGAGCTTCGATCGCTGCAGAAAGTGGTGGGTCCGTTTGGCGAGCGAGAAAACCCTCGTCGGACGCGGCCGCCGAGGTCGCTGCGATAGTGCAGTATGCGTTGCTGAATACCTGGCCCATCCGGCCAGCTTCCCGCTCCCAGTCCGCCAAGTCGTCTTGGACAATACACAAAGAGTCTATCCAAAGGTATGGGATCCCTAGCGCCCTTGCTACCCTGATAGCCTCCTGGAAGTTTAAAGGGAGAAGGTTGTGGGGGATCTCTTTGCGGAATGCCTCCAAGTTGCTGGTCAAGGTACATAGCTTGGGGCTGTTACCCCAGCAGTGGCTCAGAGCAGCATAGCGCAAAGAGGAAGATCCTTGGATGACATCTAAGCGCTCTCTCGAGTCTTCAATGTGGATAAGTCGCGTTGGCATTTGCAGAGAATCCTTGTATGCCTCAGGGTTGTGGCCATGTTCGGTGTCGCAGACATGGAGCCACTGGCGAAGGAGCTGGTATTGCAGAGGACTGTCTGTGGGAAACAAGGTTGGGTATCCCACCTGAGAAAACTCAAGCCCATGGGTGTTACCTGCCGTGGCGATGGTCAGTGGGCTCCGAGAAAAGTCTCAGTCGACAGTCGACACTCACCGGGATCAGCAAACAGGGACAAGACTGGTTGGTTCTCGAAGTTCATAGTCGATCCATTTCGAACGCAGCGCAGATGTTCATTTTCCCTGAGGCCTACTCTCTTTGAAACGGAGTATAGCAGTTTACACATGCCGCACGTGGTGGATCTAGCCTTGAAGCCTCCCACGCTCCCAGATATTTTGGACTCAGGCTCCCAGATGCGAAACGTTGAACACACGGGACACAGCGCGCTACTCTTTCTAGGGACCGGAATAACAGCCCTAGAGAAGAACGCCTCAGCGGGCTTGTTGTCTGTAGTAACCGTCCATCGATCGCGCAGCTTGGCAATTTGCTACTTTGGTGAGTACGAATTCCACAGGTGGGAGCAGGATGATGGAAAACATACACGCTAGAGATGATATGAGTACTAAATATCAAAAGTAGTTTCCGATAGGGTATGGCTGACTTTCTGGACAACTATTAGCCTCAACACGCGAATCATTGATATGGGGGCCCTCTTCGCACTCACATTCTGTATCCCGCGCACCCACCTACTTGTCAGCATTGCCTCTCCTAGTCCTCGGATCCTTTGATTTCACTGACGTACTGTCACATAGTCTTAGTGGCCTTGACCAACTTGGTAGGGTTCTCTTTATTTGACTCACTCTTTGGGCCGCTACGTTGTCCTGGGGAACCGTAGTGGTTGTTAACCCCTCCGAGTTAGCAAAAGGTTCAACCTCGTCGAAATTGACCTCCAGCGTTGCCGTGTTACCCGTGTTAGAAAGCTGCTGCTCTCTCAGAGGGATATCCAAAAAAAGGTTCATCTGTTAGGTCCAGGGGCTTGTAGGAGAGCGCCAAACTTACTGCGATCTTGTATCGCCTTCAAACGATCATGCACTTCCGACGCACTGCACCGCTTTTTGTAGTCGACCACAAGCATGCTCTTCTCGACCAGACCAAGGATTTCTCGGAAAATGGTGTCGTCTCGTGTCTGCGAAAGTTTCCGCTGTAGGTACTTGATCCACGTCTCCACTGTTCTGTGAACATGATAGTGTGACAAGTCTTGGGGAGCACGAGGTTCAACATCTGGGGGCACGGGAGTTGAAGGCTCAAGCTCCCAGAATTTTGCGGAATTTTGCATTTCATCGTCGAATCTCTTGTACATACCTTTGCCGAGCCTAGCCCAGATGATGAACTCGACGAAGATGCAGCCGAGTGACCAAATGTCGAATCTGCGGGATAGTTTTGGGCTGTCAGGGCCCTCGACATGATCCCTAAGTTTATCATCACTCAGCCGGTGGAATTCTGGTGGGCTATATCTCTCTGTAGCGCTTTTGGCGGTCGTTCCCTTTACTCGTTTGCTGGTCGCCAAAATATGAAACTTGGAAATACCGACGTCGGTGATCTTGAGAGTGCCGATGTTTGTGTCATCATGGAAAAGTAGGATGTTCTGCGGTTTGAGATCGCTATGTCGACAGTTCCAAGAGGCCAACAAAGTCAGCGCATCGCTGAGATGAATCATTTGATCCAACATCCAAGGAATGCGGCCATCTGGGGCGTGCTTTTTCCAGAACTTGTATAAGTCTCCCCCGTCTGCCCATTGGAAGAAAAAGAAAGCCCGTTTCTCCCTAGTGCAGATGGCAACTGGTTTGATGAGATGATCGTGGTCCAGGTGTTGCAAGGATGTCAGATTTGGCATCTCTCGAACGAGACACTCAGCTTGATCGTCGATATCCAAGTTGAGTTCCTTCATGGCCAGGACGTCCTTCACTATATTAGCATTGGCCCAGATTCCATGCCATACTAATTGACTCACTGATGGCTCTTTTGAGATATGAGAAGGGTGCACCTTGACTCTGGAGACGACGCTGAACCCTGCGGGGGCGCCATCATCTTTTTCGATTAATGGCAAGGCGATACCCGGTCGCAATTCGAATTTGAACCCCTTTCCAAAGATGGGCGACAGGAACTGCCACTGCTGGATTACAAACCGCTCCATGTAGGGGTAGGTAAGCCCGCTGTCCCACAAGAGGTTGTCTGATGAGCGTGAAGGCTGCGCTGACTGCACGACACATGCGGAGTCATCTTCGAAAATACGTATCGGTAGATCTTGATCTGAAAAGTTGCTAAAAATGAACTTCTCGACCATATTCAGCATCTCAGCCCGAGCTAGAATCAGAAAGATCTTCTTGACAGGGGGGTCGATACTGCAAATGCGCCTCAAGATGCCCTCGTGGCTGAGTTCCCCTAGAGCCCTTTTCACAATTGATTCGGTGGTGAGATTTTTGATAGCCGCGGCTGGAACGAATTTTACGGAGTCTCCTTCGGCTGTCTTTCCTTTCTCTTTGTTTGGCCACTGAGTAGCGCGCGTGATCTCCCGACGGAGACTGTACTTTTCCCGGCCCATCGATGCCATTGACGGTTGGTTGTGAAGGGAAATTGATCGAGTTTCGTATGTCTGACAGTGTAGTGTGAAAGAAGTTCGTACATGAACGGGGAAGGCCCTCGCAGTATTAACTATGCTTCTTTAAAAAGCATCACGCCACCGGTTTTCCCTAGCGGATTCCCCCGTCTGCTGCTGGAGGGTCGGAAGCAAGACAACTTCACCTTTGAGGCCCTGGTCAGGCAGCATGACCCTTCGCGGGGTTGCTTGGCTCACCAATCATCTGGTCTCTTTCGCGACTTCGCAGCTGTGCCGAGGACTTGAGCCTGATTCTGACGTAAATATACGTTGCTGGTTCCGTCTAGTCGCATTTGATCAGGCTGTGCTGACCACCATCACCATGCACACTTTTCCCAGCAGTTACCTGCCAATGTAACTCGGCTACCTGGTCTTGCCCTTGAGACAGCTGCCGTAGCAGTCACAAGCTGATGATAAGAATGACAGGGGGCAAGCTTGGCAGCATAAGCGATGTCACCGAGGTCTCCCTTTGTATGGGCCCGCGTTAATCGCGTGACAGGTTAAATGTGCTTCTGGGCCCAATAGCACCAGGTTGCCGAGCTTGTGGCTGTCGAGCCTGGCTCAGCTCGAGCCGAGTTGCGGCAGGCTGGGGAGTGACCGCTGAAAAACAAGAAGAGCGAGTGAATCATGAAGCTGGGTAGAGAAATTGGTGGCGCAAGCGTTTATTGGGTGTGGTTGTCTCAGTTCGGGTCTACGGGCTGGTTCATTACCAGGGCAACATTGGAGAGACCCGGAAGTGCAATCAGGCTCTCTTCAGCTGAGACGGAACAAGATCTCCCGCAAAGGCTGATAGATAATAGATGGGCGTCCCGTAGCGAGTGTCCATTGCAGGTGAAATGTGTGACTTGATGGAGATAAACCCCATTTTCCCGGCTCCAAATATGACGACGACTGCTAGCTACGAAAGGCCACCTGTGGAAGTTGCCCTGCTCAGAGGAGCACTGAGCCCAGAGTTACAGCCTGGGGGTGGGGAAAGGCCCCTCAGACACTCAGAGATATCAGAGAGAGAAAGCGCAACAACATTTCAGACCGTCTCTGACATGGGCCACCGAGACTGGATCAAGTCACTCAGGGATGGGAAAGCGTCTGCCACCCTTTCTGAGAACCTTTGGAAACCCATCAAGGTCGAAGTCTCTTCAATCCGGTCAGAACTCAATAAAGCCTGTGTTAAGCCTGCCAGGCACCTTGGGAGTGAACACGCCTTTCTCCCTCTAGGCCACCTCCTTCGAATTTTGAGCCCAAAGAATGTTGACGGGCTACTGCGGCAGAAGTTTCCTGGAGATCTGGAAAGGTTTGACCACCAAGTATATGGCAAGAACGGCGACCCAAAAAGACTCAAGATAATGGGTACCTTGATACTGATGGAAAATCTTGAATTTCTCCGGGACTTTGTCCAGGCAGGCGTAGAGGATCTCCAGCTTCCTCTTGCCCTTGAAGAGGAGGAGGAGCGGATAGTATTGTTTGATCGACATGGCAACATGATAGAATCTCCCCACAAATGGAGTTGGGGATATGGCCATGCTGATTTCTTCATGTACAAGCAGATGCAGGTCTGCAGTCTCTTCTGCACACTCAAGGAGGACGGAGCATACATGGACCACTTTCGACTCCCTGGAAACTTCATTCTTCCATTCCGGAACTGCAAGCCTCCTGTGGTGAAGTACGGCGGATTTGGCCAAGTCATCAAGGTCGAGATCGAACCGTCTCACTTACTGTACAAGGGAAAGTCTCGAAAGCCGGAGTACTTCTGTGTCAAGACCATTCGGCATGATGTGCCAGAGCACCCGGACGAGGCCGACTCCCTGGCAAGACGGCTAGTTATCAGGGACAGGAAAGATCGAGAACATCTCCACCGACTTCTTTTCTCCTTTCGTCGTGTCGACTTCTACTATCTCGTTTTCGAATGGGCTGATGGTGATCTGACCGAACTATGGCAGGAGATGCCAAAACGATATAAGCCAAGCGATCACGAACATGTCTGTTGGTTTTTGAGACAATGCGTCGGCATCATGAGAAGCCTACACGGCCTTCAAAATCACGCCTCGTCGTTAGCTCCGGGAGAGGGGGGAAGACCAGTCTTTTACGACGCATGCCATGGACGCCACAGCGACCTCAAGCCAGAAAACATCTTGTGGTTCAAAAACTACCAAGACAGCAAAAAGGATCATCTAGTCATCGCCGACCTTGGACTCACGCAATTTAGAACCACCAAGTCCAAGTCTCGAGTGGCATGGGCAGATGTTGGGGGTTACACGGAGGCTTACAAAGCTCCCGAAAGCGATGTGAAACACGTTGTTGGGGGCAAGTATGACATCTGGGGGATTGGGTGCGTCTTTCTTTTGCATGCTTCTGTGTTTCTCCGAGGAGATGCCGGGTGTATCGAGGAATTTTCTGAACGCCGAAAGGCGGAGGCCAACAAGCATCCGCGGCATGGAAACTGTGTCGACAATGCCTTCTACTATTTAGTCCGTGAGGGGGAACATGGCGATATCAGTTCGAGAACTTCGAACAGAACCCAATATCGAGGAGAGGTTAAAAAGGAAGTCCGAGAAGTGAGTAGATTTAAGACCACTCGGCACTCCCATAAGAAATAGGTAGCTGACTGTGACAGTGGATCTCAAAATTGCAAGCTGACAAGTCGTGCTCTGCCCCCATGCGCGATTTTCTAAGACTCATTGGCGAAGGAATGCTCGTAGCTGACGACTCTAGTCGATATGATACGAAAAAGATTCTCAGTGGTTTGAGTAACATATATGATGAGCTACAAAAGCCAAAAGATGCTGGCTCTCCAAGGAATACGCCAACGTGGCACGACCTGCAGAGCGGAGTGAACAACCAGCATTATCGTGACGCCACTACTCGCCAATCCGAGGCCTTGGCAGGTATGGCAGGATGGCAAGAGAATCCGGGTGCAAGCATCAAGAGAGCAAGTGAGATCGACCTTGAATCGAGGCCCAACGACCATGGCCCCCACACGCCCATTAACACCTCCAGCGACTTACCCCTGCAACAAACAAGTTCCGTCAGACAGTTGATTTTGAAGTTTGAGCGGCTAAAGAAGAAAGAGGACTCGAGAAAATAGGTGTGTGTGTTTGAGTTATGTATGTCTAGTTTTAATAAACATGAGTTGATGTCAATCAATGGTATGACCTTTGCCGATGTGCAAGTCTTTTCCCCTTTGTTGTGTAACAGTACCCAACACTCCATCTCTAGGAAAGCGGATCGCAATTATCACCAAAGAAAACCTTGAGATAATCAAGAGAGCTTACCTTGGGTTTAGGTTTCGATACCAGCCTCAGCTCTGCCATTCGCCTATAACGCCTTTGTCGGCGAAAAAGAGCGGATAGCAAAATTGGTGAAGCTAAAGAAATACATAGGCGTGAATGTGATGGTGATTGGCCGAATGAGACGCCAGCCATTGCGACAGCACAGCCGTGTGACAGCTCACCTTGGTTTTCCTCTCGCCGTGATATTCAGTCACTCCACTCTAACATTGCTCAGCCGCAGTTGACCGACCAGAGGGTTGAAAATATGCGTGCCGCATGCGGGTATCGTTTCGCCCACTCCTTCAGTTGAGCCACTCACCAGCCTGACAGCCTAGTACACACATGATCCCCCTGCAGCTTACTCTGCGACCGCAAGACAAGCGGCTGCCTGAGGAGATAGAGTGAGCATATTTTGCTCCGTCACCCCGCCGAAGACTTGCATCTCAGACAAGGCTCACATTTGTTCCAGGCTTGGCCTTGAAGCCAAAACCTAATCGAACTTCAAATCAACTGCTCTCGTAAGCCTTTTAGCGTCTCTTTCCCAAGAGTGAGATGGAGCCCAACATAGGCAACCAACCTGAAGGCGGCCTATGCGATCGTTGCAGAGGCCTGAATCTGTCCCGATACAAATTCACAACCCAGGAGACGGCAACGGCTTCATCTGCAACGATTACAGGAGACTTTGACGCTGCCGGCTTGGACTCGGCGGATTTGGGTTTTCTCGACGAAATATACCAAAATCGCGTTACGTGCTCCTTTTGCCGGCTCCTATACAATGCCACCCACTCAAGCACCGGATTCGGCATCGGCTACGATGGACTCAACGACCAGGGGAAGAGGATTCGCTGTAGCATGGAGTGGCATCATGATTGCAGAGGTGGTGACTCCATGCCGACTACACGGAGACTACGTGTCTTCAGTGATGACACTGAGTTCACGGGGTTCTACGTTGTACCCATCCTACCGTCCTCAACAGAGAAGGTATCACTTCTGGGTAAGTTGAAGGATTGTGATGCTGTGGACTATCAACTTCTTTCAAGCTGGCACGAGGTATGCTCAGCCACTCATGAGAGCTGTCAAGAGCACCAAAAGAAAGGCTCGTATCCCTTCAAGCATCCTATACGACTTATCGACGTCAATACCATGCGTCTTTGCGAAGTAGACATGAAAGTCTCTCCCGTCAAATACGCCGCATTGAGTTACGTCTGGGGCGGGGCGATACCTATGGATCCCCGCCAAAGTTCACTACTCCGAAGGTCAAATTTGCAAGACCTGGTCGAAAGAGTTCCCGAGGAGTCGTTACCTAGGACCGTACAGGATGCTATCACTGTTGTCCGCGAACTCGGACTCGGCTATCTTTGGGTCGATGCATTCTGCATCATTCAGGATGATATGAAAGACAAAGACCAGCAGCTCGCATCCATGTCGCAGATCTACCAGCAGGCGACACTGTCCGTATGTGCCGCATACGGGGCCGACTCGGGCGCCGGAATTCCGGGCGTCTCTTTGCCGCCTGGGGGTCAGAATGTTGAATTGTACAAGGAAATACCGCTTACCACGCTGGTGCCAGTCGCGACCATCGTCGGCACGAGTGTGTGGGACTCCAGGGCCTGGACATTCCAGGAGCGTCTTCTTTCGACAAGGTGTGCTATCTTCACCGCTTACGGGATGATCTGGCAGTGTCCGACCACCACTTGGCGCGAAGATATCGAGTCCTCTCTGAGCAGGCCGGCATGGACCTTGGATTCAGTTGCGTCGCCGCTACAGGCACTCCAGGGGAACCCTCTACGCAGCTACATCAACTGTGTCAACATCTATTCCGGTCGCCTGCTCACGTTCCTTGGGGACAAACTGGTGGCCTTTACCGGCCTCACTCAGATTCTCAGCCGAGGGCTCTCATCAAAGATTGAATATGGCATGCCACTGCGGTATCTCGACTGGGCCCTTTTGTGGGAGCCTGAGTCCACCGGCAAGCGGATCACGGCAAGTGAGGACGTCGGGCTGGTGAGCTGGTCTTGGTGTGGATGGGAGCAAAAGGTCAACTGGAGATTCTCAACAATCGAAGGGACGTTATTCAACCTGCACAACTGGTTGACGGAGCATACCTGGATCGTGTGGTATCTTGGAGATGGTGAGAAGTGGAATCTGGCCTGGGATATGAAGGAGTGTATAGCCTCATCAGCGTCGCTCAGTCGCTGGGACGGCTATTGTTCTGGATCCCATGACGAGTACGGAAGATCTGGAGAGGTCATTCGACTTCGGGACAAGCGCAGGCTCAACACCGACAGGACTAGCGAGAAGGGTGACGTGAGGTGCCTTGCAGTGTTCAACTGGATTCGACCCGGCAAAGGGTTTCTACTATTCCAGACATTTACCAGCTGGTTCGCACTTTCACGCAAGAGCCACTCTAAACAAACAGACATGGGCAACGGCTTGTACCGCTTCGGCCTCACCGACAAGTTGGGAGATTGGTGTGGGACAGTGATCCTGGACAAGGAGTGGTTCAACAGTGTTGGCGGCTTATTTGAGTTTGCTGCCATTTCCGATGCTAAGGAGTTTAACTTTGAGGAGCTCGATACATGGAATTACTATATACCTGAAGAGAGGCAGCAGGCTGAGTGGTATTGTTTCTACGCTCTGATGTTGAGCTGGAAGGAGGGCATCAATGGAGAAACTGTGGCCGAGAGGGTTGGGTTAGCCAAGATCTATCAGTCTTCGTTTTTCAGCAGGTCCTTTAAGCCGTGCTCTTGGAGGTCTATAGTGTTAGGGTGAGAGTTAGGGTCACCAGGTAGTTGTGAGAGAGGATCGCAAGTTCTTGCAGCGTGTGGACAGAAATGAAGAAGGTTTGATGATTTACAATACATATGAACAATAGAGACAAGAATGGCCCACTCGCGATGACATGACATAGTCCACCAACTACTTAATACAGACTGACTCGTCTTGAGAAGCGATGCCGCCAAGTTATCACAAACATAAACCCCAGAGCCAGAGCCAACGACCCAATAGTTAACCATTGGGTCACCAGCTCCACATGATCTACCGTCCAGTTCAATAACTGCCCATCCATCCTCTGCCACGACCGTCCCGCGGCGTGGTGAACCACAGAGTCCCCGTAAAAGTCGTCAAAGATGCCCAAATTGCAATCTTTCTCGTCGTTGAGCCATAGATACTGTTGAAGAGCTGACGTCATCATCATCGGGCCTGTCGACCAAAAGACCTGAAGATATGGCAGAAGTATCCATCCTGATGCTGCACCGCCACGTCGTTTGGCTTCTTGAAGTGCCCAGAGGAGAAATTTCGATCCTTGTTCCGCCATGAAGAAGTGATTGCTTATCCCTGCACCGTCTCCAGTGGGAGGAAAGAGTTCTTGGAAGCCGAGATGTTGGAGGCAGATTAGTCCGTCGACTGACATTAAAAAGGCGTCCAAATCTGCATAGATGCCTCCTTCCGCATGTGCTATCACAAGCCTTGCCATGTCTGCCCGTTGAATGTTCTCCGGATAGCTATCATAGGTCGACCAGAGCCAAGAGTAGTTGGTCTTGATGAGCGAAACAACATCATCCTCGGTCCAAAGCTTGACCGTGTAATTTAACGGTTCAAATGCCGCCTTCCAAGATTCATGTGATGCTTCAGCAGGGTAGGTGCTGACGTCGGCTGTCTTCCAGATCTGATGGATCACGTTGGGAATGAAAAGTGCAGATTGATGCGTCTCGTTTGCTGAGTCGGGAGGAGGGACCTGGCATTTCTTGACCGTCTTGGCTGCCGCTGATCTTGGCTCGTCTTCGACATTGCTGTTGGCATAGCTCAAAAGATGGAGAAAGACAAGTGCGGCAAGAAGTATTGGTGTGAGTAGGAGGGTCTTGTGCAAGCTCCTACGAAGATGTTTCTGCATTATTCACTGCAAGACCGGGCAAAGTGAAGAGAATGAAGGTGCAGATCTTCAGAAACGACGAGAGGAATAAGGGTCCAACGCTAGATTCAGTGAAAGGGCTGAAGTGGGCACAAGATCGCCCTGCTTCTAGAGGTACTTCAGGACGAATGCACTTTGTCTCAAACATATTGAGAAGGCGCCGCCCATTCATTTGTATCACCCACATTCGCTTCATTCAGTCACACAAACAACGCTTCCAAGGCCATCGCTAACAAGGAAAATCAAAGAAGGCGTCTGTGATACGCTGTTGGTTAGAGAGCCAAGACGGTAGTTTGGGCATCACGTTGGCGGGCATTACAGTGTGACACGGCCTCTGCAACCACTTTGCTCCCTTTTTCTGTCACGGGGCAACAGCCTCAGCCTGCCACGTATCGACGCCTCGATACCAATCAGGTAATTTGGTGGCGATGGCTGCTAGGGCTGAGGATTCTAGACCTCGAGCTGAGGTGGGCGGAGCAAGCCCCTTAGGCAGAGTGGCAGAATGTGGCTGTCAGTGCCCAACTCGCTTAATTCAACCTCAAAATGACAGGGCACGTGATACATCCCCACCATATGAAACGTTTCCCCACTGGCATTCAACTACCGGCTCTAGACACGTTCAAATGCCGACACTGTCACGATGGAGCCCAGACGGGATTTTCGATTTGATCACTTCCATTCTGATCATGAACTAGGTATTCCTGAAGACTTTGACGATGGAATGCTTGATGGAATCGACTGGTCCAACCCCGAGAGCTTCCTCGAGGCCATGGGGATTAAAGGTCGGATGCCCAAAATGCTCAGCCCCGCCGAAGTTCGACGAGAGGCCAAGGGCAAGTCTCGCCTAATCTTTGCTGCTTACGAAACTCTGAGCAAGATCATTGAGCGCCATGAGGCCACTATCCAAAAGAGATGGTCCAAGAAGACAAGGCAGCAGAGACAACAAATTCTTCTCAAAGCCTGGCCAGGCATGCCAGCCTCCCACCGTCCAGACTTTGAAGCCTTGCGAAAAGAGTCCAAGGAGCAAAGGGAGAGATGCACCAAATACAGGGATCACTACATGTGGCCTAATATCAACCAGGAGGACCTCACCCAACCGAAAGTGATGCCGCTACTCCTCAATTCCAGAGGGCGCTATCCTCCCCCCACTTTCGCTTCAGCAGACAACGCCTCGGTACATCTCGGTCTTGCATCCAAATCATTGGTTGCCATATTTCACAACGAGCATGTCATGGTTCTCAACGGGGCTACTACAGCCGAAGGATATGGCACCCTGGTCGCGTGGGCGGATCATCCTGACGCCTTTGAGTGGATGCACACCCGAAAGCAGTTCCTCCCAGGAGAGGGACTTATTATTCTCGAGGTGCAAGCTCGTCTCATGGACTTTCTTGTCGACTTTTGTCATCAGATCCTCCACGAGATCCCAGAAGCCGAGTTAATCAGCGATGCATATCCCGTTCAGCCAGAGCCTCCCCTCAAGACAGACAATGATACCTCTGGGTTTGCAAACCTGTCGGCGATGGCATCAGAAGCTCCGTATAGACTTCCGATGCGTCTTGATTTGGCAAAAGTCGAGTCTCTCCTCGAGGCCAAGAAGTCGGCAGCAGAGGATCACGTCTGGGCACTTCGTGAAGATCCCGCGTACTTTGCCCACGAGTTCCTTGAGGTCAGGGACCACCGACAGGAGATGCTCAAAGACTCTCAAGGACGCTCACACCCCGCGACTAACAAACAGCGGGAACATATTGTCTGGGCTAGAATCACTGGGACCATACTCTCGGATGCTTACATCAACCTTGAGGCCTTTACTGAGCTTCACCGACAAGCTCAGCATGTGCGCAGCTTACAGGACAAGTACAACACAAAAATATCGCCTGAAAAGGACTTGCCTGAAGAGTACATGGTCGCGTTGCTGCGGTTCAGGTACTTTCTTGAGAAGGAGGCAAAGACCCCGTTGCAGAGGCTCAAGAAGGCGGTCGTCTCATCGCCGCCAATGCAAAAGTTCTTTGTTCACGCTCCCCCAACTGATCCCAATTCAACAACTATAATCATGTATGAGAGGCCCGGAGTCAAGAAGACCAAGGATGAGGAGCATCTGATCTGGCTCCTGCAGAACCTGTTGCAAGACGAGTATACCCTCTTCCTGATTGGTCTACCTCATTTCATGGATGAGCTCGAGCGCCTACTACAGGCGAACCCTGAGGTGGATGTGCTGGTCTCAGCCCATGTGATCAAGATCATCGGTGATCTATCAATCATGGCTCAGTGCTCAAGACAACTTGAGCTCTACCAACCATGGGCTCAAACATTTGAAACCAAATCCGTGGATCATGTGGATAACTTGAAAGCCGAACATGAACAGTGGAAACAGCCCTGGACGCAGTTTTTCCCCTCCATTAAAGACCAGACCCTGACCAATATTGGAAGACTCGCTGAACCTTCTGGTGGCAAGTTTTCTTACCCCTTTGGCAAGCGTCGCACGAAGGATACTGTTGATGCATTGCGGAGAGCAGAGGCCAACCTGGATGCCATTTGGGACAAGATTGATGAACGCTTGCGATCCAAGGCGCCGGCGCTGCAACGAACAGCTGTTCATCGTTTCCTTTCGAAGCCGCGCACGCTTCGGAGAACTGGAGAATGGGTTGAACCGACGGCGCCGACGAAAGACAAGAAGGTCGCAGACCCTGACCTTGACGTCTTGAACCGACCGCTTTCAAATGTGTTTTTGGATCATTCAGAGGATAAAGTCCAGGGATCAAAGGCTCAACAAAAGGTCAAGGCCAAGACCAAGGGCGTCTCCTCCGCAAAACCTGCCGCGGCACCTGAGGCACCCGAACCTGACCACGCGGACCCCCAGCCAACATTCCACGTGGATGCTAAAACGCTCAAAGTATTCCGCACCCTATTCTTCAACCCCGAGGTGAACTCGACTCCCGGCTCGGTTCTCTGGAACGACTTCCTCCACGCAATGGTGGCCACGGGATTCCGAGCGGAGAAGTTGTACGGCTCCGTCTGGCAGTTTTCACCCACCACGTTGGATGTGGGGAGGAGCATCCACTTCCATGAGCCTCATCCCAAGGGTAAGATTCCTTTCGAGGTGGCTAGACGGCATGGGAGACGGTTGACAAGGGCGTATGGTTGGTTTGGGGGCATGTTTGTCTTGAAGAAGAAGTAGTCGCCCGCCCATATTGGAAAGCTGCTAGAGAGATGCTGCTGAATCTCTGCAATGTGTATCTCTAGGATGTCCTCCACAGCTTGAGGGGGAAGTAGTTTCCAGAACTGACAGAAAGGAGGAAGGCCATGAATGAGACGATAACCATTGATGTATCACCAGAGCCCCCTGGTATTGATCTACTCATTGGCACACCAAGGCATTGAAACCTCATCCTCAAACACCATAACCTAGAGCAATAACCTTCCATGGCTGCTGCCAGGTATGGTTGGAAAGCTTCCTTTGGCCTTCAGGTCAAGATGTCACCCTTCTTCCAAAGGGAGAAGATAAATGCCCTGGCCTCTGCCTTGTCACTCTTGGTCTTGACGTCTGGAACTATCTTCATCCACTTCGCTGTGCTATTTATGCACAGTCAACACATTGCCAAAATCCTGTGGCCAGCCGGGGCTGGCAGGGGGTTGATCGGTAGGTCGTACAATCCATGAGCATGGAGAATCAACGACTACGAGACACTATGAGGCCTGTCCCTGGAGATGGTAGTTCATAGGAAAAAGGCTTCCGACCTTGAACTGCCACTGCGTCACTCTGAGCTGCTCAGACTTCCTGAATGGGTGGCTCCCTTCAGAATCGATTGATGAGGGCAGGTTGCCGTGGCGGCTGGTAAACGAGAGAGCTCGGTTCCCAGTTTGAGCGAGTCCTGCACGCCTGCTTCCTCTCCAACAACATGAATCGCCCAAAAGTGGACATGGGGGTCTGCATGATATAGGGAAATTGCATCCGAATCGTACCCGGCCTCGGGCTAGCCGAATGACTGATGAATGCCCGATCATTATCTTTTTCAACGGTAAGTCCCCGGGGGCTACCAGCCACAGCAGCAAAAGACATAGTTATCGATGCATGGCGGCATTAAGACCTAAGACCGTAACATGGTGACCAAGCTCATTTGGCCTTTGATGACGGTAGCTATCGAAGGACCTTTCCATCTGATGCTTCTATCGCTGCCGCCATAAAAGGTCAAAGTAGCTTGGTCACCATATTACGATATTGGGTCTTGATACCGTTATGTATGGTTGCCTGGTCAGAGTCATGGAATTGGTCGTCGATTCTTTGCTTGTGGTGGACTAAACGCAGTCCATGTAATTAATTATCTGGTGTTGGGTAGTTTGCGGGTCATGTTTTCAGCTCTCTTGCCCCGGATCGGGCGGATATTCGGCTACTCCTTCTTTGAGGCGACATGTTGTTCTGTCCAATGCTTGGTTTTGCTGCATATTGTTTCGTTGATGGTCGAGTCGAACTTGGATTCTGTCTGCTGGATTTCCTCGTCTTGGTGTCAGAGCGCGACGGGGATTGCGGGGAGAGTCTCCGAGAGGCTTGGTCGGTTGTGGGTTTTGGATGGACGGGAGATAAATGTGGTTGGTGATCGAGAGTTGGCCGTATGGCCGTGTTCTGGCCGACAGCATTGTCTGCGCCATGTTCATTACGTTGGGGGGAGGATTCGGGGGCATCGTCTTCACGATTTGTATCTTCCGAAGCGCCGGATGTATCTGCCTCATTGTGTTCTAGGTCGTCGATAGATTCCGGGCGCGGACGTTTTACTTGTGGCAAGTCGTCGGTATCAAAGTCCACAGAGTGTTTCCTCTTTCGTTTTATGGGCGTCTCAGGTGCGCATGATTTGGGTGGTAGCGATGTCGAGTCTCTTCCAAATGTTGTCGAAGGCGGGCACTCTCCGTCACCTTCTGGTGGTGACGGAGGCAACTCGGGGTGTTCTAAATCGCGGGAATCGGGAGTCGAAGGCTGCAAGCTGGCAGCGAGGCCTTTGAGCAGCGAGCTTCGGGCGTTGCGCTCTTCGGATCGCAGGAACATATCTGTGATCGAGTTAGCCTTCCTTACTACACACGCGACGGCAGCAGACTGACCCAGAGATGGCATCATGCCCTTTTCATTGGGCGCCAGAAGTGATGCGCAAAATGCGACAAGGCAGTCAAGACTGGCATAGCGCTGGAGGCGTAGACGATGGAACCGTTGGTTCTCGGCGAGTCGAGTGTAGCCCGAAAGGTGAAAGACCCCAATCTTGTCTTGCATATCCTTCAGTTCGTCCAACCTCTGGTCTCTTCTCATCTGGAGACGGGCGTAGAAGTCCTCTTTGTTAAGGGCCTGGCGTGCGATCTCGTTGACGTCGTGGTGGAATGCGTCAGGGTCTTGGATAAACATGGGAACAGTGTTGAAGCGCTCGTGGAGGTCTCCGAAAAGGTCGTCTTCGTCGAGGTCGACTTTCCAAAATGGCCACCGATACTCGGCCTGCTCTTCGAAATTGACGCGTGGGGGTTTTCGCCACGGCATGTTGACGGTGTCTGTCGTGGTGATGATGGCGATGGCGATAATGCAGGTCTCGGAGGCAATGGAGGTCAGTGTGGTAAATGGAGGGCACAGTGGTAAATGGAGGGCACAGTGGTAAATGGAGAGTCGGCGGCCTAATGTTAGCCCGGTCCGATCTTCGACCAGCCAGTTGGGTGAAGAAATAAACGAGACATCAAGGCAGCAAAACAATACATTCCGGTTCAAAGATTTCAATGATATGTAGCTAAATTTCCAAGGTACTGAAAACATACCTATTGTGACATGGGTTGATTCTTATTTTAAATCCTCTATATTTCTTTTAAATCCAAGTCCATTCCTATACAGGACTTGAACTAGACATTAGATGCTGAGCCTGGTGTCTTTCCGCCTATGTCCCTTTTCTTTTTTCAACCTTTCCACCAGTCCCGTTCGTGAAAGTCGATCATGGAGATCCAATCAACGACGTCCTTTGGTGGCATGGCGAGACGGCGCACGGCGTCAATCGAGAGTCCGTACATATAAGTAGTCCCCCCCATGTACCGCCTCTCAAAGCATACTCAGCGCTGGTATAATGTCCAGAACGGCACCGTCTGAAGATGATGGCTCCGCAACGAACCCATTTTCGTCTGGTTTCTTCGAAGCCCGTCTCACCTCAGAACACGGTAACGATGCCGCCCAGGATGAGCCAGCCGCCCGTGAACCCCTCGGCGCGCCCATTGCGATACAAGACCTATCCCTCAGTGAGATACCAGCTGGAGCCGAAAATGCTCGCCTCGTCATATCTCCGCGTGGGCCCCCGCCACTAGATGACAGTGAAGCACTCGTGCCGTTCGGTCACGGTGAGCAGCTTGCTGTTCTGCAGTCTTCCAAGTCAGCTTGGTTTTGCCTCACCTTAGCCGTCGACCTCCAGTGCACTTTCTACTACGATCCTGCAAGCGATAACCTCGTTCTGCGTAACTCAAGTCGACAGCCTATACAAATTGGCCGCATCCAGGACGACGATGGCACCACTGACCCGAGCCTGTGTACTCTGGAGTATCGCGATGTTCACGTTGTTTCACCTGGCCCGTGGAGGATATCCTCGGCGAAGTCGTCCACTGTGCTCATTGATCTCCTGGTCCTCCGTCGACGATACCTTCTCGAAACGCAGACGGGAGGAACGCAACCTGGGTCGAAAAGGAAGGACGTCCTGTCGATCGAGGCTCCGGCTAAGAGACATCGAATTGGGGTTGGGAGCGTTGATCAGAGCATAGTGCTAATTAGCAAGCCACCCAACGTAAGCGATGTAAACTCCAGTAATTTTTCAAGTGTGTTTGACCAACTCAACCCTCTCAGGATCCGAGAACAGAGACACCCCAACTAGAACTCATCCGTACCGGCAACCCCCTGATCAGCCTCCAGCCTGGTCAAACGGTTTTTGTCACAGCTCCGGGAGGAGTCCCTGCAGTTGGACATCATTCCCACGAGGAGGTCGTTGCTTCGTATTCCGAAGATATGCCCGAGAGCTATTCACTCCTACATATGCGGGACATTGTCAGCACCAAGGGGTTTGCATCCGTCTTCAGCGCTCGCCACGGCGTATTTGGCAACACAGCAGTCAAGGTTATCCGGACCAAGCAAGCTTCACAGTATTCTTATATTCCGACCATGGCCCAAAACTGGAAGCATGAAGAGCAGATCTTGCGAAAAGTCAAGCACGTCAGTGAATCACATCCCGGCCGCAGATGCATACCTTGCTAACCCTGTGAAGCCGTCCATCATCCGATTCTTCGGGTCAGATGCTCGCCTCTATTCTATATATATGGAGCATCTTCCCTTCCCGGATCTTAACGCATGGAGGAATCGGCCCCATGATCACTATTTTGTCGGCACCACTGATGATGCTGAGCGGATCCTCCGTGATATGGCCTCAGCTCTCGAATACCTCCATGGACAAAACATTCAACACAACGATATCAAGCCCGGGAACATTCTCTACGACCGCGAACGTGGCCCTGTCCTTATAGACTTTGGTCTAGCATCTTCACACGGTGGGCAGTTGTGCAACGGCGGCACACCATGGTATGTGCCACGCGAGTTCATCGATGATCTAGAACGGGGACCCAAAAGCGATGTTTTTGCCCTCGGCGTGACTATGCTATACCTTCTGAGAAAAACCCCGTTGCCTGATGTGACGCAGCGTGGTTGGATAATCTACAAGGCTCCCCGGGATAGTTCGGAGACGACGCTCATGGAGGAATGGTTATCGAAAGTGTTGGCGATGCGGGATGAGCTCAATAAGGCGAGCCATATTGAGTCCTTGGTGAGGGACATGCTGAGCCCTCTGGCTCGCGACAGAAAGTCCGCAAGAGAGGTTGCAGAGGTGGTGTTACAAAAACCTTGAGAAGTTGCGGGGTTGGGGCAGCAAATTACAAGAGGCTAAGGATAGAAGAGAGGGAAAAACTTACTTACAGACTAAGCTAAAAGTAAGCTGCAAATACAGATATATTTCGACGGCATCGCTCCCGCTACTAAGCTTGCCCTTCTTCTTCTCTCTCCTGTCGAGATCGGCCAGCTACGCTACAAGGTACTAGAGGAGTGATGGTCAATCAATGCAGCCTGATCAAGTCCGCCTGGATGAGTTCATCAAGGCTCATAGCATCTCACAACCTAATTTTCAACATGGGCAAACAACTGTACTGGGATTCATCTAACTATATCCCGCATCCTCTGCCAACTCCCCGGCAGGAACTCATGCATCCTCATCTCCTCAGCACGAGACCGGATGTTTTGCCACCATTCATCCATATCTGACTCGACGGTCCTGTCATACATGCCACTCTGTTGAAATGTTAGTCGACATGACCCGTATGAACTTTACATGACTGACTTACACATTCGATCGCCTTGTTGACGAATGCTACAGTGAATGCAATCCATCTCTTGGTCCGCACAGGGCCTCGCATGTGTCTACCACCTCGAAATTCGACTGTACCGGACTGAGACTGCGTGTTTTTGAGGTTCCACAGTACGTATCGGTTGTTCGACTGCATGTAGTCAATCAATTCACTTTCATTTCGTATTCCTCGAAGACGTTCTGCGACGTAACACGACGGATGCTCAATGTCGTCCTCCTCGCCTTCTTGCAAATCCAGTCTCAGCTCTTCCGAGCGAAAGGAACACGGGCGACAGTAGTGGTTGTCGATTCGTTCTTGTGGAAGTATCTGCAGAACGAACTTCTCCTCCGTAGCCACGGCATATGCGAGCCTTCTCAACTCTTCTAGTGTATAGCCATGGTCGCGCGGAGCAACATGGACATGCGTCCCGCAACTAGTATTCGTTTCGATGTCAAAGAGTTCCGTCGTTGCTTCCCAGAAGAGGTCTATCTGTTTTTTGAGCTCCTGAAATTGCATCATTACTGGAGATACAGCTTCAAGCGCGACTGTGGTTCCAATTAGTTACAATCGCCCATGTTTGCAGATGAGGCTAATGGAGCAGCAGAGGTGCAGGCTACAGCGTTTAATTACTCACCCTGGTAGTTGCGCGGCTGAAATCGAAGTGAGGCATCGTTCATGATGTACCATCGATCATAATCTCTAGGGCGCCGGCTTGTAACCGCGTGTAAGTATTTCTTGCTGTTCATCCGATCAGCGAGCCGACGTCGCCAGTATACGACATCCGCGTTCAAAAAGTCGTTGCTATTTGAATCGTAAACAGTTTTCGGGATTGCAACTAGCTCAATTTCTACCCCGAAGCTGTAGTCTTCCGGGTTTGTGATCGTGCAAGACCAAACGTCATGAACATCACCCCAGTCGTCGTGCCTCAACTCCGATCTGAAGAGATCTTCCATGTCGGACAATCACCGGGAGTGTAAGCTGACGGCGGTGTGCTTGAGGGGCTCTCAAGGAACGATAGAAGTATGATCAGAACAAACTATTTGTCTCTCAACAAAACCCTCTGTCGGATTTCCTCTTGTTAAGAGAGAAGATGGGGTTTGCGGTGGCGCTGAAAGAAGAGAGAGGGGATAGACACTTCTGAAATAGGCAGAGGCATAAGATAAAGTATGGGGGTCACACGGGCGTCTCATGCACTGTAAACGCCCGATATATTAAGGTCATGATGCACAAAGGCCTTGACATCTTCAGCTGCGGGCTTATTACCAGTTCGAGGTTGGCGTGGCAGGGGGAGAACCTTGCTCTGCTTCCTCTTTGCTCTAGGCTTGAGCCACCCAGAATCCGAGGGCGAAAGCACCCAATCAATGGGTGGCTGAAGGGCCGAGCCTGATCTGAAATCATTGGATGTGAAGGGCTTGTTGGTTAATCTGCTGCAGCGAGGAGGGCCAGGAGGCCCTCAGCCGCTCTCGCTACCAGGTAAGATGAAGCCAGGTAGTTAATGCCTCAGTCCACCATGATAGGGGTGTAGCAAGATCCAGTTGCCGCCTTCGATCCAGGGGTGCTTGAGTTCTGAGTCGCTTATGGTCACTGTCACCTTTCATGCAGGCGGGCCTCAGCTTTGGCTCAGCCGTCCATCAACTCTGGTCACTGGTCCTATATTGCGGGAAATCCAAGGAAAGATATCCCCGGTCCTAGTCGATTGTGATCTCAAGGCCTTTCGGGCTCAACGGTTGGCTACTCATGGAAGCACATGGAAACAAGAAGCGGCTAGTTGACGCTAAGATCGACAACTCCCAGTGACTATCAGTGTCAATTGCTGAGCTGGCAAAAACGTGTTAGGAAGGACTTCTTGGCCTTTCATTATCCCATGTGGGCTTTGAGCTCGTCCAGCAGGAAGATATACGCGTATATTTCGCGCTCCTTTCTTCATTTATTTACCTACTACAGAGTATACACTCCAGAGCCAAAGAATACACAATGGACAGCAATGCTGAGTCAATTCCTCAAGTCCCGCAATGCCCGACATGTCTCCTTATCAGAATTCGAGACACAACTCAAGAACGTATCCCGAAAACAATAAACGAGGCGCTTCCCAGCGATGCCGGTCCTGTTACCGAGTCGGAACTAGCCTCTTACTCCAAGCCATTCGAACTCGAACGTGAGAGACATCCGACAATATCTTACGAAGTTGCTTTAGACTTTTTCCATGGCGAACCATGTGGAAATATTGGTAGAGCCACTTCCGTCTGCAATCTTTGCGACCACTGGGTCAATGGTATCTTTACCAGAGAATGGGGAGACAGGGACCCTATAGCACGAGTATCTTTGGGTACCTTGATAGAGATTCAGGCTCGATCTGGATGTATTGTTTGTTGTTTCTTATGTCAGACTGTATTGCAATCACCCTTTACGATAGACAATACTCGACCCCTTGCCCTTGAGCTGGCTAGAACTCCTCACGTGAGAAGCTGCAAGTACCGAGCTGCAGGAACCATTCTATACGAAGATGTAGAGGAGTTCCAGCACCATACACAGATTGACAAGAAATATCCGCAGTTGGCGGTTTTCAACAAAAACGATATCATACCCGACTTTGCAAATGCAAAGGTCAACTGGGAGCGCCTTCGACAATGGTATACCGAACTACCCTCTACAACAGGCAAGACTTGTCAGAGTTCTTCTGTTCCGAGAGACAAGCACGGTTACATCGGCGATGCCTTGTCCAAGGGTTTCTGTCTAATCAAAGTCTCTGAGGCATGCTTGATCGAAACTGATGGTGTCCAGATTCCGAGCTATGCGGCCTTGAGTTATGTTTGGGGCAAGGAGATTATAACAACAACAAACAACTTTGAGAGCCTCAAACTCCCAGGACGCTTTCGAAAGAAAGACGTACCTCTTCTTTTCCGAGATGCTTTCGAGGTCTACTCTCAGCTTGGAATAGATTATTTCTGGATTGATAGGATCTGTGTTGTTCAAGACGATGAGAAGAGAAAATCAGCCCAGCTTGAAGCCATGGGACGGATCTATTCCAAAGCATGCTTCACTATTGTATCTTCTGACCCGCATTTCATAAATCAAGGTCTCCCTGGTGTCTCCCAGCCAAGAAAACCACCACCCAATCTCTTGGTTGGCGATAAGGTGTTGATACCTAGGATATACGGATCAAAGAAATCCACTTGGAAGACCCGTGGTTGGACATATCAAGAGGGACTTCTCTCAGAAAACGTACTGATCTTTGGGCAAGATACGGTGTATATGTATAGCCGTGGTTCCGAGAATGTGACGCCCGAGGGGTTTCAAGAGTTCTCATACGACAAGCCTGATTACATATCTTCCAGTCTTGTTCCTCAGGACGAGGAATACTCAGACCAAGTCCACGAATACTCAACAAGGTTACTGACATTTGGTTCGGATAAAGTGAACGCATTTCTGGTAGTTCTGAATAGCTTTGGAGAACATCAATATGGATTGCCCCATACAATACTCGACCAAGCGATGTTGTGGAACTATACCTATGAGCCTTCTCGTTCGGGCCCAAAGATTCCTGGACAGGAATTTCCCAGTTGGTCTTGGGTTTTTACCGTTGGGCGTATCGAGTATCGTCATTTGCCATCAAAGGACAGACCATTGTTTTCTCTGGCAACCTGGGCCATTCTGCAGTTGGATCAGGCGTCCAACAAGCCTTTGATCAAAGTTCTGGATGACTTGCAGCCTGGAGAGCAGTCTGAGGCTCTGCACCATTTGAATACCATCCGCAGTCATATTTCACCGTCGGAAGCGCAGACAGGATATGATCCGGTGGCGATAGCCATGGCCGCTAATCTTTGTGAGCGGTACAGGCTCATCCAAGAGGTGCTGAGCCGCAAACAGCCTAGCGATGGTTCAGAAACTGGTCCAACAGCTGGTGAAAACAAAGCGGCAGAATCGATTTGGTGGAAGATGATCGTTTTTTGCTTGAAGCTACCTCTCAGTATATTTGGCTTAGAAGATAAGTCCCTCTCACAAGTACGTGCGAGGATGAAGCCCTTCAAGAAAGCACCGTGGTTTCAGGATCTTGATGATGCTATAAGACAAGTCCCTCACAAGTCCGCGTCGAAACGCTATTGAAAATCGCCAAGCCATCTTTGCCAAACTTACTACAGCGGTTCTCAACAGCCAAAGTGAAAGCTGCCACGAAGCAAAGGCAAATCGTGGTTCATGCTCCAAAAAGGACGGTCCAACTCAAATATACTCAACTATGCTTCAAAGGGACTCATATCTGGATGATTGGTTATGGCGGTAATCTCATCGGCATGGCAGAACTAAGTGAGCCAAGACATCGGGAAGTTCTGGCGTCAATATCCCAAGATGCAAGCCAGGACAAGGTGGAGGCGCACTGTATTGCTTTATCTTTGATGGCATGCCGTGTTAGATATACTGAACAAGGCCGCCGAGACAACTCGAGCACGCAGGATTCTCACTCTACAGTTTTTGCCATGATTGTATTGTTACCATTAATGAACTGTTCTCACCGTCTCGGATTGGGGTTTATAGATTATTCAGATTGGTCTTCTTTAGGGGAAGTTCCTATAGAAACGACGATACTGAGTTAATTTGAGATTTATGTTTGACACGTTTTGACACGGATTAGATGATTTCCACACAATTTTACTCTAGTATTATGAGACGAAACTCAAGCGACATATGACTTAGCACGGGTGGCCGCTCTTACGGCCAGTTCGTTCCCTAGCTCAACTTCGGCCCAGCTATTCATCAACCCCCCTTAGCCCTCAATCAGCCCGAGTTTCTCTTAGAGATAGAAGTGGCAGTTGTATAGATATTCTTCTAGCGTCGTCCACCAGTTCCTGCGTCGCTCTTCGTCCTCTCGTGCGTTTTCCTCTTCTTTCTCAAACACAATTCCTCCTAACTAACTGTCTTTCAAGTCCCGGGGCTCTCATCAGGCCCAGTCATGTTGAACTCGGGGAGGTAAACCCTTGCAGTAACCGGCCGGGACCTCGACCGAACAAGACAAGACTTCCTTGCTAATAGGTCCTCGCGCAGTTCCGCCTCTTTCTGGAATGATGACACAACCGCCTCCAGCGGCTCCTCTCTCCCGGGCCGCACCCGGCGATGGCGGCGTCCAGCGGTCCAGTCCGCACCGGAGAGCTCTGAGTCTCCATCAAGCAGACTGAAAAGGTCGAAGGGCAGATCTCCTGCGATTGATTGAAGTGAATCGGGCTTCAGGGTAGCGAGAAGGTGGAAGCAGGAACATCTAGACTCGTCTTTGGCATTGAGAAGCGCAGCAAGTTTGTCACGACCAAGCAAACCGTGCCCAACCCTGACTAGGATATCAAAATTGGATACTTGGCCGTGGCTGATGCTGGTAAAAAATGCCGTCCGCCCTAAAACGTCTGTCGCCTCGAGGTTGGGCCGACTATTGAGTATTCGGGATAGAATCTTGGTTCCGGACTGGCAAGAAGCAAAGTGTAGGGGAGTCTGGCCCGTAGCGTCTTTCTCTTCGAGCAAATGCCCGGCAACACCCAAGACGTACTCCACCAACTCGTCACTCCCTGAGGCGATGGCAAGATGTAGCGCGCTACACCCATCCGCGGCCGATGCGTTGACGTTGGAGCCCTTCTTTTCGAACCACTCCGCCGCAACCGCATTGTTCTGTAAGACAGCGAGCAAGAAAGGCGTCAAGCCAAACTCGTCCCGGCTCTCAAGGTCGAGCCGCAAGTTCCTCCAAAGAAGCTCAAGGATAAGCCGTTGGTGGTTGGGCTGGTCCATTTTCGCCTCCTCTGGATCGTCCCTGATCTCGTTTTCGTCTAGGTACACCCACATCTTGTCGTCGGAAAAGTACCCCTTCCCGAGAGCAGCGAGGTGCAGAAGCGACGGCGCTCCCTCGCCAGTGTGGAACCTGTGCTCATACTCTGGCCCGCAGAGTGTTGCCACAAACACGGGCCGGATCAGCAACACCGAACTCTGCAGCGCGTCGAGCGAGCCCATACAGGGCCGTGCCGGGTCAACTCCGTACCGCAGCAGGGCGAGGAAGGTAAGCCAGCAGTTCTCGACGATGGAGAAGTAGATGGGGCTCGCGCCCCTAGGGTGCGCCCCGTACGTCTGGTAAGCCTGGAGGTCCAGGTTCAGATTCTCATTGTCCCCGAACAACTTGAAGATTTTTTGGTAGTGCTCGATGAGCAGCCAATTGCTCGAATCTAGCCATAAAAGCTGGTCACTAATCCGCTTCAGCTGCGACCAAAAATCAATCGCCTTATAGTGGCCGTCTCCGCAGATGTGGCGAATGAAGTCTTTCTCGGCGATAGCTGCTAGGTCGGCGCCGCTGGCTAGAAGGGAGATGGCGCGGTGAGTGCGCCCCTGCTCAAGGACCTCCTGGATGGGGTTGCGGCCGCTGTCGAGCTTCCGGTTGATGTCCAAATTGTGCTTGGTCGTGAGATGCTTCATCAGCCGCGTGAGGCCGTGCTCGGCGCAGATGCGCAGAAGATTGTTCAGGGCCTTTTCCCGCTTCGCCATGCCTGATATCATGTTGGCGTGCATTTGCTCCCTCCCCCCGGGACCGTTGTACATGCCTATCATCATGAATAAAATCGAGTCCATGTCCTCGTTGTCCAGGCGGAGTTCCTCTGGCAGCGCGCCGGATACCTGTAGCGCCTCAAAGGCAGCGGGTTCGTCACTGAGCAATGTGTTCACCCAGTTTCCTCGAAGGTCCGGAACGGCGTGGCCGACCTCTGGCTGGCGTAAGATTGGATCGGTGCGATTGCTCTCCTTGATGCGCTGGTGGTCAATGTAGGCAGACGACGAGATCCTGAGGAATCGAGTGACCGAGTTCCAGTCCTCGAACGTGTCCAGGGCTAAGGCGAGGCGGTCCTCAAACGAATCCCGCGACAGCGTTGTGCGAGATTCCGTCTCACTGTCCATATGGCTGCTGAACATCTTGAGAGACCACTTGAGTTCTTTCTCTGCATCAAGGGGCATGTCACGGAACCAGCCGCTCTTGTAGTATAAAGTCATGTAGATGGATCGGTAGGCGTCACCCAGCCTAGTATTCTCCGTCATCTCGATACCCTTGGTCGCGTACTTCTCGGAGAGCGCCAAGTCAACCGGGACTCCATAGCCCACTCCGTAGATCTGGTGCAGTATCAAAGTTGCTGCCACAGAGCCTGAGGGGCCGTCTGCGTCTTTGTGTAGTTCTCGGAGAAGAGAGGCGTGCATCTCTGGCGTCAGGGTTTGGAGCATCCTCGCGGAGGCAAACGTACCCCGGAATCGGGACTGAATGGGATGTTAGTCTCTCTCTAATGGCAAAGGCAAGGCAGCGCACCGCCCATTCTTGCCATCCCTGTCTCTCGCCTGGGCGTTTCCCATTAACAAAAAGGCGATCCTGGAAGGCGTATATCTTAGCGGGCTTGCGATTGCGGGATATTCTATAGGCGTGAGCTCAGAGCACCTTCAATGGTGAGGCAGTACCTACTGGACCATCGGTAACGCTGCCGAAGCCCCGAGCCTTACGTCGGGCGGTCTGAGCATATTCATGACGACAACGGGAGCCATTACGGGAAGATAGCCAGAACAATATGCCATCTCTCCGTCGGCGGTTTTCAAGCGCCATGCCGCCTTGGTGGAGTTAGCCTCGTCGAAACTTCCAAGGATCGGGTTCGGTGTTGGATACTCACCCGCCCCTCGTCTCTGAACAGCAGCTCGTCGAAGATGACCTGGGTCTTGAAAAGAGGATCTCTCTTGATCTTCTCGATCATCATGCGATAGGAGAATTCGTGGACCGGTAGCTCGTCCTCCAGCTCAGCGTTAAAGCTGTTGGCGTCGTCCTGCGTCGCAATGACCATCTTCAGGCTGTCCAGGAACCAGGTTCTGTACTTCCTCTGCACCTCCCCATTCAGCTTTCCCTCCCGGAATGACTGCCGGTTCTTCTCCCACTCCGGCCCGCTGGTCGGGCCTAGCGGCAGCGTGCTGCTCAGGACATACCAGATGATGAGCCCGCACGAGTACATGTCCCGCTGGGTCATCCGTGCAAACTGCCTGATGTCGTCGGGGGCCTCGGGCATGCACTCGGGCGCGTTCCAGTACTCAGTCCCACCGGCGGTGTCCGACGCCAGCCCTCGGTCCTCGTGAACGTCTTCGCAGAACCCAAAGTCGGAGATCTTGGCGACGACGGGTATCTTCTCGTCCAGAACGCCGGCGGTTTCCCGGCGGAACAAGAGGATATTCTCGGGCTTCAGGTCGCCGTGCACGATCTTCTCCTCGTGGATTGCCGTAAGGCCGGAGACGATATCCGATATCATCCAAGCCTTGGAGTCGAAGTCCCGAGGATCAACCTGTTGCATGAACTGCTCCAGCGTCGAACACCCCGGCGCGGCGAGGTCCATGATGAGGACGGGGACCAGCTCGCCATCTTCGGCTGTCTCCCAGGTGAAGGCGAGCAGCTTGGCTATGTTCTCGTGGCCCTTGAGGAAAACGTCGGACATGACCCTGATCTCCATCTCGAGACTCGCCAGCACCACCTTCAGATCTCGCTTCTGTCTGGTCTCGTTGTGGAACGGGCGGATCCGCTTGAGGGCCACGGTCTTGCCATTGACGTTACCCCTGAACACGGTCATGTTGGCGCCAGCTCCGATCAACTCCGAGTACTGAACCCGCTTGTTATCGACAATCTTGACGCCGTACTCCATCGCCGCAAGGACCAGTTGGTAGGTGCCAGCCCAGCTAAAGTTGTCACCAAGACTGGGTTCTTGGCTGAATTGTTGCGAGAGATCGCTCCAGTGCTCCAGATTGAGAAGACTGTCCGTGGTACCAGAAGTCCCTGATGGAAGTGGATGCCCTGACGCCTCTGGAGTATCGTTGCTAGGTGGCGCCGGACATGAAGGCTGCGTGTCATCGTCTACCGTGGTATCTGCGGTGGCCCTGTCATGAGCCAAGCGTAGTTCATCATCATAGCTGACTCGTGCGACTCCAGAGCCGTCTGTCCGCAGCTGAGGAGGCTCCGAAGGTGGATGAAAGCTGAAGAGAGCTCGACCCCAAGAGCTGTCTAAGGAGAGACGTCGACGAGGCTCAGGTGACGATCTGCCCGAGGACGTGGATCCTGGGTCTTTTTGGATTCGTCGAAGCGACATCTTGAAAGACCACTGAAGGCAGATACGTGGTTCAACTAAGAAGTTCCCAGAGCAGACGGGGAACGTCAAACAATTTCAAGTGGAACAGGGCTGTACTTGTACATTTGCGAAATCACCATTTCTCAGCCGCAGCTGTGAAGGGCGAACTATTGAAAGGCAACCAGCGCTGAATTTGGAATATAAAATAGAAAACGGCTAGACCGCACACGCGTCTGCCCAATCGCCTAATGGCAACCCCGCCTACGTATCACACATGCCATGCGCCCATCCAGCTAGCCACGCAAGCACACAGATGTGGTTGACGGACATGTGCCTATTCCCCTCAATCACATTGTTGCTACACACTGTGCTTCTGGCAATGGTTGATCCTCCTGCGTCAGGCAACTGCAGGCGGTCAGACTAGTGAGCTCAGCTTCAGCATCAACATGCACATCGATGCACACACTGCCTTGCACAACCTCATGCTACCGCCGCCACCAAGGATCTTGGAACAGAACGGGCCAGAAGTCACGTTACCTCAAGGCCTCGTCCCTGCAGCAGCTGCTGTTTCCCCTCAATCCATTCATCTTCAGCCTGGTTCTTCCCCCTCCTCAACAATAGCGCTTTCGATGTCAACCCGTTTTCTCGCCGCAACCACCCGCTCTGTGTTGCTTCCAGACGACGAGGACCAGGCAGGAGCTTAGTAGCTTAAGCCCAATGGACGTTTTCCAGACAATAAGCACTGGAGCTACCATCATCTACAAATTCATCGACTCGTACGCCTCCGCATCCGACCAGTGGCGGTCCCTTGCCACGAGGCTGAAATGGGACCTTCGAGTAATCGGCCAATTCACACAGTACTACGAGAAACGCATCAAAGGGGACGGCTCCCTGTCTCCCGAGGATGCTGAGCTCCTCGACAGCAGCGCCCTCTACCTGAGCGGGCTCGCAGCCAGAATCACCAGCATCGCACAGCGTCTCGAGTCCAAAAGCCGGTTCCGGAGAGAGCTGAACAAGGCGCTATGGTGGCATCGCGAGGACGAGGTCCGCGAGCTGGAGGAAGAGCTCTTCGAGTGGACGACAAGGTTGGATCTGCGGCTCGTCGGCCTGCCGAGCGGGCTCAAGACAGCGATCAAACTCGACGGCCAGGCGATCAGCAACACACCCAACTTTGCCGCTAGCCGGCACATCGAGAGCCTCAAAGCCATGACTGAGAAAGCTGGGCAGGCCGTGGTGGCCAATAATATCTTCCACGAGGGCGTTGACGACTTCATCAACAGCATCAACCCGAGGAACCACGAGAGATTTCAAGCTATTGGGGACGCAGGCAGGCAGGTCCTCGTCGAGCGCCGGTTCCACAGGCACCCAAAGGACTCGGCCGAATGGAAAGAGCTAAAGGCCGGGCTTGTCCGCCTCGCTAGCGCGCTGAACTGCCTCGACGGCACAACCGTGAGTCTGCTACGCTGCAACCATCTCTTTGAAGACTCCCGGGATCCCCTGGCGCCAAACTTCTCCCTCGTCAACTCCGTCCCCTTCCCAGTAAGATCCAAGTGCCCGGTCCTAAAGTCCCTGATCACCAGGACTCAGGGCAAGGTCCGGCTGCCGGCGAACCACTCGCTCAGCGAACGGTACGGGCTAGCCCAGTCCCTTGCAACGGCTGTCTTCTTTCTCCACAGCGTGGGCTTCTTACACCACAACGTCACCTCACACAACGTCTTGATGCTATACAGACTAGGGGCGCCGGCCCAGAAGCAGTTCCCTTACTCCCTCGGCACTCCGTTCCTGGTTGGCTTCGAGGAGGTCAAGGAGTTCCACACCTTGAGCGATCAGCGAGAGGCATCCGACCCGGACATCCTCTACCAGCATCCTGACCGGCTGCTCGAGACGGGGCGGCCGAAGTATGGACCGGAGCACGACATATATAGCCTTGGCATGGTGATGCTTGAGGTGGGCATATGGCGGCCTCTAGAGCGATACACAGCGGATCTTTTGGATCTCGCAAGAAGAGGCACAACGATTTCGGAGCTCATCAGGTTGGTCGACGTCTCCATGGGTGCCAGGTTCAGGAAGGTAGTCGAGTGGTGTTTGAACTTGGAGACGAGCTCACAGGTCGATCCAATTCGCCTGTCGAGAGAGGTACTCGAGCCGTTAGAAGAGATGGCATCGTCTTTGAGATGACCCGGTCCTCTGGTCATCAGGTGATATGAGAGTGCTATGTGGCAACTTCAAGCTCCCTAGGTAAATATTTCCCTCATATCTAGCATCGGAGAACTACATAGTTCGGCCAACGCATGAATGCCGCCTCCCTGACAGATTGCGTAGCGCTGTAATTTGCAGTTATGAGGTACATGAAGAAGACTGTAACCCACTATCCATGGCTGCATTTCTATGCCTAGTCTCGATCCATTTATGCATAGCTCGAGACATCTAGTGTGGCAGTGTAGTATCTACGACTGCACCTTGAGCCCGGCCCTTTAACCGCATCGATAGATGCACGACCTCCATCAAGGGATACCCCGTGCTAGAGAAACCCGAGCACCTCCCTGCCAAGTGATTAATCGCCAGGTTATATAGCAACGGGGGGTATTATAGATGTGCTTACGGTTCTGGGCTGCTTGGTTCTCGGATATACCGTCTACCGTGATACATAATATTTAGGAAGGCTGACTAGAGTTTGGTTACTGGGAGCCAACATCCCGCATGAGAAGTCAAGGTTTCTCCCTCTAGTCCTAAGTATCATTAAGAGGAATATAATGTACATGAAGGAATCACCAGTCTACCTCTTACATAACCCTAGATTGATCTCAGATAGGTGAAAATTCTACCAGCTAGGCAGCACCGCAGGCTCGGGTTTCTTAAACTGCCTGGTCACAAATTCTAGTTTAGATTCTTCAGCATGGGAAAGGTTCACTGGGGCCTAAATTCGGGAATTTCTCTTCTCCATGTTGCTAGTAATGTCAGGAACGATAAAGACGATCGGAATGCGGCGCTTCGGGGCGGGCCGTCAAGTGTCACTTTTAGTTCTGATGGCGAGGGGATGCTTCCTTTGATTGAAAGACCCTGGTCAAGCCCTCCTGCTTATTAGGCTCCTGTCCGTTATATCCATTGCTCCTCGGCAGCTTGTGAATCTCCTGGAATAACCACATGTATGGGGTTTCTCTTGAAATCTCTATGTCCATTGTCTGACGTCGCTGACCGCATTGATTGACTGACGATGCCCGGCACGCCCTCCGTCATGAAGCGACTTGCGGCTGTCATTAAGGTAAGAGTAGTTGTTGTAAGAAGATAGAAAGAAAAAGCACTAAAATAAGCCATTCAGGGACTTACCTATACGATGGTATAGATTTTCCTGGGTTACTTGATGTAGAGTGCTACAACAAGATGCCTCCGTCCTCATGACCCTTCTCATACCTACCTCTTCAGGCACGGGATGATGGGTTCAAATAAACTCGACCAATCGGCCAACGCCTTGCCAGGATGCAACTACCACAATACTTTAAACCCAATGACATATGCAGACATACAAAGTGATTGTTTTATTATTCTGCAGAAGTCAAGTCCCGAGCAAGAACGGAATGTTCAACTGTGACACAATCAAGTTGTCTTGGTTCACATAACATCGCATTGTTTCTATATAACTTCTAAATTAACTTCAACTCAGGGTTTCGTTCCATGGCCGCCAACTCTGATGTTGGAAATCTGGCATGCACCTCACCTCACGTGGAGGCTCCAAAACCCATTCAATCTCACTACTCTCCTCGTCCTGCTCCCCAACCATGTCTGACACGTATCCCTTGAGGTTTTTGATGTCTGCCCCACGCTCGTCTGAATATTCAAGATTAACCGTTGGCACCACGGCAATCTTGCGATATCCCCTGAACCAGAGGTCTTTGCAGAATAGTTCTGGCTCACCCTGGAAACATTCGCCCTTATCGCCGTGAGGAGAGCGGAAGCGGAGTCCGTGGAGGAGAGGAGCTGCAGTGAATGCAGTGGCTCCATTCCAGCAGGCAAAGACCTGAAAGGGTAGGTGTCTGTTGTAGCGATCCTTGGTTTCTGGCGCGTTCCAAAAGAGGTTCCACGCCGAGTTCCAATTGCCATCATCTCCAACTCGGAAGAATGAGTCACCAGATAGAGCTCTGGCGACCCAGATATCATAAAAGGTAGGATCGTTGCCCACATAAGTCCAGTCCATCGCGCAAGTCATGTCAGCGCCGATATTGCGGCGCTGTAGGGCGAGCTCAAGGAGGTCCTCGGGACAGGCGGCCACATCGTTAATGAACAAGACAGTGGTCTCTTCCGTGACTGAGACTTTTTGCTGATACAATGGTCTAAGTGCCAGGTTGCGTAATTCAGCCAGCTTCTGAATACGGTCGCCCTTGGACGGGTTGACTTTTGACCTGTTGTAAATATAGGTTACGCCGAGGTCTTTCAGCAGAGGGCGCAAAGCGAGAAGAACATCGCCTGTTCCATCTGGTGAGTTGCCTTCCACTATTGAAAGGGCACAGCGATGGGGACCCAGGAAGCGGATGGCTTCTACAACACTGCCCAAAAGACGTGGGAGAAGGTGCACGCATTCGCGCAAGTTGAGGGCGAAGAAGTAGTCAATTCGCTCGTCCAAAGCATTTTCTTGGTCGTCTCGTTTCTCCCGTACTGCTTGAAGAACTTTGTATCGTTCTTTATCTAGGGCAGGGCACTCGAGTCGGGGAAGTTCCGTTGCTGTAGGATCGAGGATTGCTGATACATAGCGAGAAATCTGCTCGGCTGAAAGGATGGTTCCTACAATCCATGAGAATCTCGCGATACCTCCTTTAAGTACAAATGCTCACCATCTTGTATTGACGCGGCAGGTGAAGCCGTCGCAGACGGAGTGGAGGTGTTACTTGTTGGAGGGACGAGGGTTGGTATGATCGACGCGCTTGGCGTAGAGGCACTCGTTTGTTCGGGATCCGAAACTGTCGTCGTAATCGAAATCTTGGTGGGGCTCAGCGACGATTGCGCCGGTTGGTCCTCGAACGGGAGATACGTGTGGGAGATGCGACTCAAATGATCACGGCCCAAGTATAGACTCGTGGCGACAAAGAGGAAGCAGAGAGCCGGCACTACCAGCACCAGCACAAGCTTGTGACGCATGACTGTCCCGAGATGTGTTTTAACAAGTTCATTGTTGAGCAGAAGAGGAGCGGGGAAATGAAGAGGGACTTGTACGCGCAATGACCACGGGCAGTGAATAGCTGCATGAATGCTACCCAGCAATTAACTTTGCTGAGACATCTTGTTTCAGGTACAGTACCCTCTGTCCACGGTATCGAGCCTATGAGAAGCTGGCGGACCCCTGTTGTGTTCTAATTTCACAGAGGCTAGCCATTGGAGGTTATCAATCCTTGTCAGTTCTTCACGTTCGCGCGGGTGTGACTCGCAGCATCACATCGGATGGGCGCATGGCATCAGGCCTTTGTTGACCGGAGAGAGTTTGATTGGTTGTACTCTGGATGTAACTCGGCAAGACACGCTTTCATCATGCTTGCACGGAAGATTTTCGCGGGAGTCCCCGTCATGCATCGCAGGAAGAGATCCATTTTCGACGCGTTCGCCATCGATAAGCGCTCCACATCCCTGCTTCGTCACAAATCTCCCTGTCGAGGCCACAACTTTAGCCGCGAAGAGGTCGGAAATCCGGCTCTACCGGGTCGTGATGGGCTCTCAGTTGGCGAGTTTTGCGCGACAAGGACTTGTCCTCCAGCCGGTCATCGACTCATATTCCAGCCTCGGCTGGCCTGGCACTGAGTGTTAACAACGGAATTGTACCGAGGTCTCCAACTTGTTCATCAGGGCATTCCTCTCCTGTACGCGCTTGTGGAATGGGTTCAGCGCTTGGCGCCTACAAAATCTGCAAGCCATTAGTCATGCTCTACCCTCCAGCTAACCGCTGAGTCTAATTATCACGCAATATCCCGGTATGTGAAATGTCGACTGTGGGGAGCTGAGCGTGAATGTGAGCTTAACTGAGACATAGTGGATGATGGTCACCTTGGTCAGGACGAGTGTCGAGAGGTATGAGCTCCGATCCTAGCATTTTTTGTGATGCAAAAGATACCAGAAAAAAAAAAAAAAAAAAAAGAAGCTCTAGAATAACTTATTAGCAGATAGAAATTCTCTCGACCACCTCCAACACCGAAACTCATCATCTTTTCTTGACGATTCAGCCTGTATAGGGTACTTCTTTCAACTGACCATCGGTCCGATGATGTTCCCCACCCACACGAGCCAGGTGTTGAGTCGGCGCTTAACGCGAAACTCAAAATATTCTCAGTCTTGAACACCTGGAAACAATGGAACGAGCCTCCCAGAGCCAGCCGGATGCCATCGCCGAGGGCAGGCGCATCTACATAGGCACGAAAATCCTGAGCCTAGACTCGGGCCTTGAAGGCTGACTATTTGACCTCAGGTAACCTCCCTTACGAGGCCAAGCCCTACGACGTCGAGGAAGTCCTCTCCAGCAATGGCTTCGGCAATCTGGACAAGATTCACATCTCCATCGACCCTGTTAGTGCCCGAAACCCGGGGTACTGCTTTGTCGACTTTCCCGACCGTGAGACTGCTCAAAATGCTCTCGAGTCGCTGAGCGCAACTATTCGTGGACGGTCCATCAAGGTTGGTCCATGTGAGCCTAAAAAGCCTCGACGTAACTTTGGCGATGAGCCTGCTACTTCTCGTCGATGGGGCGACTGGCGTACCAAGTCCGAGGAAGGCGGGGTTCCTATCGGGCAATTGAACAACAAGGGAGAGGAGAAGGGTCCTTACTGGGCAATGGATCACTTTGATGATGCCATTCGCAGTGAGGAGGTTCGGAGGCTGTATGTCGGTGGTCTGGGCAAGATGATTGACCAAGCTCAACACCAACGTGAAATCACTGAGATTTTCACTGGCTTCAACCCGTATGCGAGATTTTTATCTTGAGTATATGTCTTCCAGCTAACATGTGTTAGAACTGCGATTGGCAAGCGAATCACGCCGCATGAGAGCACTAGGGCACAGCCCGGTAGACACCACTACTGCTTCGTCGACTTTGAGACCAAGGAGGAAGCCCTCGCCGCAGCCGACGCTCTGAACGGCAGCACCACCACAGGGGGGCCGCTCAAGGTGTCTCTGGCGGAGAAGATCCCTGCTAAGTTGGTAGCTCGGCATCCCGATAGGAGAAATGGTCGTCGAGTGTATGACAAGGCTTATGCGCGTCCAGGAAACACTGGATCTGAAAATGCGACGGAGTCGGGTAGTGCGTTTTCATCTAATAACTGGCGCAGAAAGGACTAGAAGTGTTCAGCAACACCTTCAGTGTTTGGACTCTCCATTAAGACACGAGGAGAGTTCACCGCAAGGTGATATATACGTTAGAAGCTCAGTAAGTAAACGCTACAAGCAATACAGTTATGAAAGGCTACCAAATCACGGCCCTGATTAGTGATTCTTGATGATATAAATGGCTGGGGGAATGGTTTTGTACCTACGGAGACGTGCGTTTTTCTCGTTTCTAATATGAGGGGCCCTCATGATATACCCCGGTCCCGCCACTGTGTTAGCATTGGTATAGGATGCTATGATGTGTCGACAGTGTGCTCTTTATTATAGTTGAAGCCCGGCCTTTGATGGGTTAACTGAGCCAGAAGATCATGCCCCGGTCCTGTCCACTTCTAGCCTGGCTGGTGGAGGCGTCTGACTGCACCCTGGCAAGCACACAGAAATAACCCTTATGGATTCTCATATAATTATGATTTTCACTGTTCTTTGCGACTTCTTCCAACTGTAAGCAACTCATTCAACGAATTCTCTAGAGGTGGCCAGCCATGCAGTCCCAAATTGCAACCCAGGGTTTCAACGAATCAGAATCACTCAAGGCGTGGTGGCAGAGTGGTCTAATGCGATAGACTAGAAATCTATTCTCTTCGGAGGCGTCTGTTCGAATCAGGCCCACGTCGATTCATTCTTTTTGCCGACTCTGGAGGTGGTGTGCTTTGTTTTTGCCGTCAGGAAGCTTGCTCTATTCCCTCATGTAAAGGTTTGCCGTCTAGGCAAGTATTGGCGAAAGGCAACTCGGAGCCATCAACCTCAAGTCAGCTCTCAGTCAAGCCCTAGTCCAGACAAGGCAGGAGGCGTGGGTATTTCTCATCTCTTACTTGTTTGCTTGCCACTCTGCAAACCTTGTGCAGGGGAATTTGATATCGATGTTGGTGTTTTGTAATGTTACCAGTGACAGCTGAAAGTGAGCACCAGTTTAGGAGGCCCACAATGATGTCAGCATGACCATCGCTTGTTGTACCCGATGCTGTCTCAGAGTCGGTCAAGTTAACCGAAGTCTGTGGTCCAAGGATTCGAATTGAGAGAATTTACCCTCAAGGCGGGGGTGACACCTTTAATCTTATTCCCGGTCACTGCATTCTTTAAGCGAGCGTGATGGGTGATGTTCCATGTCTCCGATCCTACTCAACCCGCAGTGTCGTATGTGCGTAAAGCGATATTCCATGACACTCCCCGCAACTGAACAACTTGGGGCAATGACTGACTCGAGTTACTCCATCATGGGGATCATTGTGAGTCGTTCGCATACGGAGTTGTGGAGAAGGGTAAATGGCTGCCTGAGCATTCAGCAAGGATTCACCCATCAACCAACACCGAACAACGAACACCGAAGCTTAAACCTACCTCTCTCGTTCCTGACCTGGTGATCCAGATGCTTCATCTTCCCTGATTCGGCAGGTGATGTAACACCGTCTGACATCTTCCCCAGGGTAGAAGTTGTAACCACCACTCGTGCTGTGATGACCTTGGTTGGTTCCCCACATGGAGCAGGGAACGGGTTCCCTTCCCCAGCCTTTCCATGTCGATCTCTGGGGCTCCATGTTCCCCAAGCCCGGCATGTTTCCGAAACCATGCACTTGTGTACATGAAGGATGTTTTACATTAAGGTAGCATTATATATATCAGCTCAGTCTGCTGTATCATCGTCACTCTGCTCTTCACACATAACCAAGACCTACTTCACCAGTCAAGATGCGAACCTGGTTCGGCCGCGGCAAAAAGCTGCAACTAGCAGTAACATCATGCTGTCTCTGCGCCTTTGTTCTCTACGGATACGACCAGGGAGTTTTTGGTGGTATTCTTGAAAATGAAGACTGGCTGAGACAGTTCAATCATCCCGGTGATACACTGACCGGTTTCATCACTTCAAGCTACAATCTCGGCTGTCTGGTGGGCTGCTTTGCCAACTTTTTCGTTGGCGAGAAGCTTGGTAGACGATGGACCATTTGGCTTGCTATGGGGTGGATTCTTGTTGGTGCTGCTTTGCAGACTACTGCGTTTACTCGGGGGCATTTGATTGTGGGGAGAATTGTTACTGGTGTTGGAACTGGTCTCAAGACGTCTACCGTCCCGATGTGAGCATTCTTTGAAACAAATCAGGCCAAACTTGCTAATCATCCTAGGTATCAATCTGAGCTTTGCGAAGGCACAAAGAGAGGCCGACTCGTCTCTGCTGAGGTCATGTTTGTCGGTATCGGCATCGCCTTTGCCTACTGGTGGGACTTTGCCTTTAGTTTCGTCGGAGGCGCATTCGCATGGCGATGGCCCCTCGCCTTCCAAGCCGTCTTTGCCCTTTGGGTTATCGTGGTCGTCTTTGGTATCCCAGAGTCACCACGTTGGCTCCTCAACCATGGCAACAGGGAAGAGGCCATCGACGTGCTATCCGCCGTCTACGACAAACCAGTCGACCATCCTGATATCCTCCGAGAGGTCAATGCCATCGAAGCGGCTCTTTCCATGGAGGCCGAGGCCCAGGGAAGTACCTCGTGGGCGTCCACCTTTCGCAACGACAAAGTCAGCACTCGATACCGAGTTTTTCTCGCTTGGTTCGTGCAGTTTATGAATCAAATGGGTGGCATAAACTTGGTCGTATATTTCATCTTGAGTAAGTGCAACCCGTCGGTTTGTGTATGAAGCCTTTTCTAATTTCTTAAAGCTGTCTTGACAGATAATGTTGGTCTTGAACACCGGCTTGCCCAGATCATCGCAGGATGCATCCAGCTCATGTTCCCAATCGGCTCACTCCTTCCCTCCTTGGCTCTTGACCGTATGGGTCGTCGGTCAACGATGATGTGGGGATCAGCAGGGCTTTGTGTCTCGATGCTCATGGTTTCTGCTCTCCTCTCTCAGGCCGACGACACTGCTAGAGGAAAGGCATTTGCGTCTGGATCAATCGCCTTCTTCTTTACTTACATGCTGGTCTTTGGAGCCAGTATGAACTGTGTTCCTTGGGTTTATGTGCCCGAGATTCTTCCTCTTCATGCTCGAACTAGAGGAACGGCTATTGGAGTGAGCTCAAACTGGCTCTGGAACTTTACAGTTGTAAGTGTTTGGGTTATAGCTCTTTCAAATCACCAGAAGCTGAAGATAGTAATTAGGTCATGATCACTCCCATCATCATCAATCGCCTCAAGTGGAAGGCCTACTTGATCTTCATGGCCACCAACCTCGTCTTTATCCCCATCATCTACTTCTTCTACCCCGAAACTTCAAACCTCGCCTTGGAAGAGGTTGATTACATCTTTGCTCGAGGAGAGAACGCGGTGGAAGTTGCTCGAGAGATGCAAAAGGAGCTCGCCAGAGACGGACGTTTGGATGTGGAGAGGTCACTTGGTGGAAAGACTGAGCCAAGCGCCTTCGTGGACGGGACAGAGAAACAGGCCGAGACTGTGGAACATGTCAGCCCTTGATGCCTTGGACAAGTAGAACTCAGCTTCTTAGAAACTCTGGAATAAGGTTTCCGCGGGGGATTAATGAAGAGTCCGACGGAAACACGAGGTTCTCTGGGTAGCCAATTGTCAAGCAAAGGTAGCCTGGATCCCCGTTAAATACATAGCTGAGTTGAAATGAAACGCCATTACCCTACTAGACTCATTGAACAAGTCACTTCTTAATTCCAAGGAGGCACAGTAGGGCATTACGATCTTCGGGCTCGGTTAACCAACCCATCGAGGGCCGGACTGCAACTATAATAAAGAACAGATCTTCAACACATCATAACATCATGACCCAATGTTAACACAGTGGTAGGGCATTACGGCGTGTCGATGTGGCGATGTGTGCAAAGCCTTGATGAGCTAAGTTCCCAATGGCCTTCTAATTACAGCTTAATGGATGCTGTCATTGAGCCAAAATGCATTCGGCTATGATGAACTTGTTGGGTTAATCTTCCATTCCCATTGCTGGGTTATCATGATGTATTGTTCAGATATGCAAGGTAAAAATGTTGGTCAAGTACATCAACAACGAACCATGTTCACCAATCATTGTCTAAACACCAGGGACATATATAAAATTGAACGTTGTCATATCCATAAACACTAAACTACGCAATAGCTAACAACTCAAAATGTCGCGTACATAATGCAAGATCCTCTAATGCACATTCTTTTCTCCCTCTCATATCGCTTAAACGGGCAGAACGACCTTGACACCCATGTACTCTCTCTGATGCATAAGCTTGCCATCAATCAGAACTTGATCAGCACCGACTCTGTTGCGCACGGTATCTGTGGGATCTGTAACCGTAGAGATCTGGATCTCGCGCCATTGTCGGTTTGTAGGGACGAGCTGGCCCTGCGATGTTCGCTTCTTGAACTCGGAGTAGACGCCTTGGTCTTCGACGCAGCCCTCGCGCTGAATGAGGGGAGAATCTGGAGGTTGTGTTAGTATGTGCGATAGCTGGTGAGTATTGAGTAGCTTACCTTTGGCGGGTGTCATGCGGAGATCGCCGACGGAGCTGTTGAACAGGACGAGAGAGAGACGCTCTTGCTGACGCTGGTCAATCGGAGGCTTAAAGACACGGTGACGGGTAGCCTTGAAGTGACCACCAGAGACAATCTCGAGAGTATCACCAATGTTGATGACAAGAGCACCAGGCTTGTAAGGAACATAGTACCACTTCTCATCCCGACCCCAAATCTGAAGACAAGAAATAGGCACAGAGAACAACAGTGTCGTCAAGCCAAAGTCTGTGTGTCCATGCATACGCAGACCCTTGGAAGCCTCCTCGGTAGTCTTTTGCACGGGTCGGAACAGAGCGTGGCGGAAGTATCCCTCGCCGGTAGGGCTACCGTGGGATTGGACATTGTCCCAGAGGTAGTCGTCGGGGAGCTCGAGGACGCGCGAGAAGAGGGTGAGGAGACGGCGGTTGACGGACTTTGTGAGGTAGTTGGCAAAGGCCTCGATCTCGTCCATGAAGGGGTGGAGGCACTTGGGGACGCGTCCGTTGGAGTCCTCCCAGTCGGGCTTGTACCAGTTGAACTGCTCAATGCCATCAGGGGGGCCACGCTCGCGCTGGAGGAGATGAATGTTAGTGATGGCTCGTGGGTGTGGGTAGATGGGGTGTGTACCTTGAAGCCGTAGGGATGCTTGTAGCCGGACCAGACACCGGTCTCGGGGTGGAAGAGCAGACGCTCCTTGTCTTCCTCGGTGATGTTGTGGTACATGTACTGCGCGATGGAGAATTGACGGTGGAGCTATACCTTGTCAGTCGTCACAAACTCTTGCCCAATGCTCTAACACATACCTGCTCTAGCGAGATACCATAGTTCTCAAGAAACAAGAAGCCATCATCACGAATAGCCCTCTTGACTTGCTGGATCAAGTCCTCAACAACAGCAGGATCTTCCGAGTCAAGTAGCGAGAGATCAATGCTCGTAAGCTCTGCAAAGTTCTCCTTCTCCTGCGTTACAGGAGGGGGAACCCATTGAGGAACGGAAGGCTTGCCGGGGAGGTCGGCGGCGGGGGGGTTGAAGGGTGCTGCGGGAGCCATTGCTGCTTAGACTTGTGTGATTGATAGAAGAGGTGTGGATGGTTTGGTTTGTTTGATGCTAGAGATAAGATGGTTGAATCGCGTTCTTCTTATACATCTATGAGCTAGAGACGGAATTAGACAAGCCGTCAAAGAGTTCAAGTCTAGCCGGCTCTTCGGATTCGAGCTCCGCCACCAAACGAAGCAAAGAAAGTGTGTAAGCCAGAAGATCCGGTGTTTCCAGCTTGCTGGTCGCGTGCAACTCCTCGATCGGCATCCAATACCATCTCCGATGCATTGCTTTTGCTCCTCCTCCAATGCCGACCAACCTCCTCCCCCAATATCTGTCATGCATCTACTCCTCCGCTATCTATCGCCCCCTCCGCAATCTCTCCTCCTCCCTCCGCCGATGATCTTGCCCATACCTGCCAGAAGTGGTTAGTGCGCCCCGGGCCCCGGAGGTTGGGAGGAGCTCCTCCCGGACCCTTGATCACGGTCCCGCTGAGCTCCTCCGAGATAAGCAACAAGATCCAATCGGTACTCGACCGATGTAGATTTAAAAAAGCGACAAAACGGACAAGGGATACTTCTTCTTGTTCAGCATCAGCATTCTAGACCATCTTACCATTATCACGCATTCATCGTACCACCTTTCACACCCTTACACCTCAGCAACCATGTCGCGCCAACTCATTTCCAGCGAGAAGTTCCCTCCCAAGCCCCACAACTGTAAGTCGAGTGTCTTGGCTCTCTTGACGGGTCACTAACATTGACAGGCCCCGCTACCAAGGTCCCGGGTCTTGTGTTCTGTGCTGGCCAGACTGCCACCGGAGAGATTAAGCAAGCCACGGTATGTCTTACACTTGATCAGCTTTTGAGCAAATCGCTGACTTGATTCCAGAGAACCGTGCTTCAGAACCTCAAGGAAGTCCTCGAGCTTTCGGGATCTTCCCTTGAGCAGGTTGTCAAGTACAACGTCTACCTCGCCGACATGAAGGATTTCGCCGCCATGAACGAGGTCTACATTGAGTTCCTGCCCAAGCCAATGCCCTCGCGATCTTGCCTCCAGGCTCTTCCCCCTGGTGATGGTACTGTTATCGAGATTGAGTGCATCGCTCAGGCTTAGATTATTGGAAATGGATATAAAAGATAGATAGAAAGGAATGCATCAATGTTTTTCGTCATGACCTTCACAAACCATCACATTAACTTGCTTCTGCCTATCCATCAACTAAAGTCATTCGTGACTTGGCGGGATCATAATTCAGCACCCTCTATAGATGCAGCCAGCCGCTATTATGGCAGAAAGTCAATATAGAGAGCCTAAGACATGAAAATTGCCACTTTCATTCGACGGTGTGCAGGATGCCAGTTAATGGGATTGCAAGACGAAAGCAGTCTCTTATATGCTTCTAACTCATTGAGAGAAAAAGGAGAGATAAAGAGGCCTTTATTACCTGGTACCAGAAGAAATAAAGCCATGTCTTAAAGTTTCTAGAATAAACAGATATGTGCAGCTTTCTTTAAAGGGTGTGTCCTAACCTGTACTTCAAAATATGCTGGAAGGCCTTGATAAAGCAAAAATTGTGCAGTTGCATATCACAAGCTTAGTAAGGGTCCTATTGTTTAGTGGTTATGACGTCGGATTTTGATTACTCTCAAAAAGCCTTCCGAAGACCCCGGTTCGAACCCGGGTAGGACCTCAAATTTTTGCTTTCCAACCGTTGGCTGCGTTTCTTCACAGGCAGGTCCATCATGGAAAGCCGAGTTTTTTTGTCGTCTCGTTTTCTTTTTGCGTTTCTCGGCTTGGCCAGTCGCCCGAGAGATCGTTGCCCAGCGTTCGTGAAGTATGGTACAAGTCCATAGGAATTCCACGTTATGCGCCGTTGCAATGTCTGTACAAGAGCAAACCCCTGCGACCGATCAGGCCATTCCTTGGGATCCATCGGAGGATAAACCCCTTCGGAGACCCCGGAGAACCCCGTCCCCCATGTCTTTTTCATGAGGAGGTCGCCGGTGACATGAATCGACCCAAATTTTGGTCTTTCGTTCTTTGTGTTGTACATTTAAGCTGTGGTGACCTACTTATTTCTGTAATGAATCTAAGCATCCCATTATGATCTTGCCCAACTGCCACCGCTGTCTCCGTCCGAACACCTTTCTCGCCCACGCCAGCGCGGCCTCAGCGTCTCCATCCTCGACCCCCACGGCCTGCATTGAACCCAACATGCTCCCCCTAACAAGTTGCCAGGCAATCATGAACGCCTTGTACGCATACAGCGTTATCCACGGAGCCTCGGCGTCTGGCTCAATTGTCGCGTCGAGATAGCGCAAGAACCAGTCGACATGGGGCTGTATCGTCTTGGCAGTATTGGATTCGCACAGAAACTCGCAGGACGGCGCCAGGTAGCTCAGCTGATGCAGCACCGCATCCATGCTTCCTCCCACGATACCCCCGGTATGCGACGGAGACCATATCTGCACCTCAATCATGGCCGACTCCCATGTCGCCTCACACAATGCCGCATGCGCTACGTCTGTCGATTCAGGTTTCGAACGGATAAAAGGACCGAGCGCCAGGAGTGATGACCGTAAGGGTTCGAGTCGTTCTGTGCTGAGCATTCCCGTCATTGTACACCAACCAGAGATCTCTTGTGCGCTCGAGACGAGAAAGTGAGTAATGTTGATGGCGCCGTAGGGGTCGAATGCTGGGAGAGAGCTGAGATCTGCACCTGACAAGAACCGTCGAACAGCATCCGGATATTGGACCGACGTGCCAGAATTTCCCGCGACCAGCTTCCGATGCGCCCAATCGACCGAAGAAGACGCCGTCCAGTGGTCTTCTGGACATGGTAGTTCGTGCTTGATCTCCAAGTGTGAGAATTGGCGAGGTATCGACAAGAGCTGGTACCACAGGGTATCAATCTGATGGGCAGCAAACAGCGTTCGCTTATGTGATTCCGTCCTGATGAATTCCCGCCATAATGAGTCGAGGTCCTTGGTCGTCGTCGGTTCCGTCGGTATCGGTTGCGACAATCCGCTGGCTCGGGCAAGCGAGATCATCTTGGAGTGTGTCTTGAGAGCATACGCCGAGTTGTTTCCGCAGAGATACATCATGGCATAGATTTCGAGCAGCAAGTATGCTTGTACCATGGAGACATTGTGTGTCGGGTCATCTGTCTTGTCCTCATCGGCGAGGACGACAGTACGTGCTCGATGGAAGCACCGCTCGGACAGGCTCACACCCGATCCTGGTTGGCCAACGCAATCTGGATCTTCGCCGTACTGATAGGCGAGGCAAAGCATGCTAAGTAGTAAGTGGTTGGAGATGTGTGTGGTGTCAAAGGTAGGTTGGTGGAGGAAGGGTACGAAGTGGGAGACGTGGGTAAAAAAGAGTTGGCAGCCGTGTGCAATTTGTGAGGTGGAGGGCGACCAGTCCTCCTGGGCTTGTGTGATGTCAATTGATCCGTACAGTAACCTCTCCGGGCTGCCTTGGTCAAAGCTGAAGCCGAGGATGTTGGTACCAAACGGAGCAGAGTGTGGCATGGTGACGGCGTCCATCTGGGCATTACTGGCGTGCTCGAGAAAGTCGGCACCTAGTAATTGCAGGTCGGCCGAGCCTTGGACGATGGAGGTGATGCATGATGAATCGCTGATGGACGTTGGTAACGTCAATGGAACCGTGACTGTCTGGGCATGATCGCCGTCGGTGGAGGGCGCGGCGGCAAGGTTGATAGCCTCTGGGTTCTGGTCATTCTGATCGAGCCATATCCCGCTATCAATCTCCAAATCATCTTGGTGGCTCTGCGAGGGCGAAGCAGATGAAGCCTTGTCGCCTTGAGATCTCCCATCACCCCCCTGCGAAGGCGGCGTCGGCGCCTGCAGGTCTCGTTGTCGCTTCCCCTTGGAGCGCTTCTCCAGATGACCCATGTGTTTTCGCTTCATGTGGCGATGACGTAGATCGGGGCGCGAAAAGGTGGCAGAGCAAAGTTCGCAAGGGAGAGAGGCCTCGCTGGGTGAGCGCGTATGAAGCGCAGCATGACGCTTCAGGTTCTCATGGCGGGTGAAGCGACTGGAGCAGACAAGACATTGGAATGGCTGATAGGACGATCTCCTCTCGACGGCGGGAGAAGCAGGTATAGCGGAAGCGAGGGCGATATTCCCGGCCGGCGATGCCATTTTTATGGTTGTCAGTTCCAGGTGAAGATGCGGGCGGAGAGAGACTCGACCAGGTCGGGTTGTCCAGGCGCAGGTGACGCTTTCCCTTTCCCCCAGATAATTCGATTCACTTTCCTTCCCCGCAATCCAAAAGTGGAGCCTAGACTTATCTGGTGATCCACTCCGGTGGTTCTCCTATCTTTTTCGCGCCTTTTGTCATTCGTTGCTTGGAGAGTCTTATCACGAGGAACGCTGAGTAATTTCACTATCGATGGGTCTGTTGATAGCGTATCTATGCAAGAATGTTTATCCTCTATTCAATTCTCCTTTTCTTTAGCTTTCGGTCCGATATATATCCCTCAAACTTTGTGTCTTTGGGGCTTCTCAGCGGTGTGGCGACCCCGTGGCAACCCCAAACCGGCCTCGTTTTTGGTGCCTATCTCCGCACCCGGACCGCTAATCTGTATTCCGTCGGCTCCTCGGCCCATGACTTTGAGATCATGAATTTTGACAATTGACTTCACATCTTTGAGAGTGGCACATCACGGATATTTGATCCAACACTATTGGCTCTAACTAGAACCTATGTAACGGGAGACCGTCCGAATTTACAAGCCGACATGGTCTAACGAAGAGAAGAGAATTCCTACTACACCCAGCACTCCGGGACCTGTTCCGATACCTAACATCAGTACATCTCGTAGCGCCAGCCGAGCTGAACCATCTCCTCAGTGACACCGCCCTTGACAACCTTGGCAATCTGATCGGGGTCCCCTGAATCCAGACGCTTGTTCTCTCGGAGAACCAACCAGCGGTAAAACGTGATGGTGCCAGAAAACAGAAAAGCGCAGCCCATGAGAGTACCGAAGGCGGCGTAGAACTGAGGGGGAGCATAGTAGAGATATGAAGCCCAGATGTTGGATGTGCCACCGATGGCATTGACCAGGGCAGAAGCAGCTGCTCGCTTGGTGACGGGTCGTGCAAGATGGAGGTTGATTGTCTTGAAGAGGACGAGCTGAGGACCGACCGAGGCGAAAGGCAGAATCATCATTGAAAAGTAGCGGGCGCCAATATTTTGAGTCGACATGGGAATGATGTACATGCCGATCGCAATGGCAATACATCCAAGGATGATGGGGTAAGCCGTGTTCTTGCGGTCAGAGTACCACATGAGAACCCAGTAGACACCACCGGCAAGGACATAAGGAGGCGCGGTGAGGAGCAGACTGACTGTTCGGTTGAAGTCGAGAGACGCGACCAGGGTGGGGAAGTAGTTGGCGATGGAACCCTGAGCCTGAGAAAGCATGTTGCACATGATGAGGAGCAGAAGCTTGGGATCCTTCAGAGCGCTGGTGAAACCCTTGAGGGTGCTCTCCTTTTCAGTACCCTCAGCTGCACCCGCATCGGACTCGACACGCCAGACAGCCAGATCACGCTCAAGCTGGGAGAGGATTCGGCTGTTGTAGGGGAACTCGGGCATGAAGAAGGCGCAGATGAAACCAATTCCAACTGTAGCAGAACCTTCGATGATGAAGAGCCACTGCCAGCCGCGGATACCATGAGCACCATCAAGCTGGAAGATTCCGGCGGCAAAGAGACCACCGAACGCGTTGCCGACTTGCTGGGCAATGTACAGACTGGCAATACGCTTTCCGAGCTCAGTCTTGGTGTACCAAGCAGAAAGGTAGTAGATGGCTCCAGGGAAGAAGACAGCTTCAGAGACACCTAGGATAGCACGAACAGCCAACAGTTGTCCGTAACTCTTGACAGCAGCTGTGCAAGCCGAGATGGAACCCCAGATGACAACAGCGCAGCAGATATATAGGCCCGGTCGAGCAATCCTCGAGATTATGAGGTTGCTAGGGATTTGGAAGGGGAGGTAACCGACGAAGAGGATCGAGATGGAGGTGGCGAATTGCTCAGTTGTCATATTGAGGTCCTCTGTGATGCCTTGAAGCTTAGCAGCAGCCAAGTTCTGACGATCGATGTAGTTGAGAATGTAGAGGATACCGATAATGGGAAGGATGATGAGGTCGATTTTTCGAACGAGCTTCTTGTTCATGGCCGACACTTCAGCTTCGCTGAGGTGAAGGAGGGACTCTGGCATCCGCTGGTAGGCGGTGCTTGTGCCCTCAGCATGAGACGAAGCAGGCCGTTTGGCATCCTCCAGAGTGGCGGTCGTCATGATGACAAGTGTAGTTGGGTCAAAGATATGTTGAAAAAGGTGAAGGATGTTGTGAGAAGGAGTTGTGAGTTGTCGTCGGGCAAGCGTGGTATATATCGACAACGAGTCAAGAGATAACGCTTATCTCGCCCACTAGTTTCCGCGTTATCTCGCCAACTCTAACAAAGACGACGAATGATTGAGACTCTTTTACAAAAGGATCTTGATTTGTCGATATCATTCCCGATTAACGGGTCCCTTTTAACGCATGGGCAATGATAGAGAGCGGTGGGGGGAGAAGAGAAAAGATTCGGAGGAGCCCCAAAAACGACGATCTCTAGCCCCATTCGGCACGTTACCAAAAATCCGGGGTCCGGGGTTGGCGGCGCGATAGCGCATTGGCTGGGCTTATCGGGAGGAGGAGCTCAATCCCATGGCTTGCAGGGAGGCGTTTGTTCCATGGCCTGCAGGGAAGCAACCCTGATCGGCGCTCATCGTGCAGCCATCTCGGGGGGGGGGGGGGAGCTCCTCCCAGTGGGGCACAAGATAACCAACATCACGAAGATGCTGTGTCTGCAACCTACGAATGCCATCTTTATCTAGATGACGACTTTTATCTCGGCGAGTAGAAAAGAGAGGCTTGGAAATCATAAAGACCCTTGTTTTCTGAACAGACCATCTCAATCATCCCCCTCCTTATCATCATCAGACCATTTCAAACCACCAAGAAAAAAACCAACCAATCATTTCTCTCCATTCATCCATCATGACTCAAAAGACCTATCCCACTGCCCTCACAACCGAGATCGAGAACCCTCGGTTGAGGTTCCTCAACAAGATCAAGGCGGGTGAATACCCCTTGATGACCTTTGTGGCCATCCCTTCTGTCCGCCAAGCCCAGATCGTTGCCCTGACTGGTCTCGACGGCGTCATTCTCGATTGTGAACATGGTCACATTGGAGATGACTCTATGCACAACTCTGTAGCTGCCATCTCGGCTCTCGGAGTCTCCCCCATCATCCGCATCCGTGGACCCGCCCACGACATCATTAAGCGTGCTCTTGACACTGGCGCCCACGGCATCATGGTTCCCCAGATCAACAACGCCGAGGAGGCCCGACAAATTGTCCAATCCTCCAAGTTCCCTCCCCAGGGTGTTCGCGGCCAGGGCTCAGCCTTCCCCGCCATCGGCCACGGTCTCACGACCCCTGAGTACATGAAGTCAGCCAACGAGACGATCCTGACCATGATCCAAATAGAGACTCGCGCAGGAGTCGAGAACGTCGACGAGATCTGCGCGGTCCCTGGCGTGGACATGGTCTTTATCGGGCCCAACGATCTGGCCCAGTCTCTGCTAGGATACGTCCCCGCCCGGGGAGATGAGCCCGAGTTCCTGGCTGCTATTGACAAGATCATTGCTGCGGGACGGAGACACGGCAAGTGGGTTGGCCGCATGGTCAACAACGGTACTGCAGCCAAGGAGGCTAGGGAGCGGTATGACACTGTGGCCATTACTGGAGATACCAAGGCCATTCAAAATTGGTACATGGCTGAGTTTGAGATTGCGCGGTCATAAAGAGTAGTCTTGAGGGAAATTGGTTTAGATGCATATAGATTGGTGTCAATTCAATGTTGGTCAATTGTTCTAAGATCATCTGCCTTGCTTAAACATTGACCGCCTTGTCCAAACCGAAGTCTTGTCAGTATCTATCTCGTAGTCACACCTTGCTCATATCCATGCCTGGAGTGGCACCCCACGATGAAAGACCCTGCAAATCTCATCTTTCAATCTCCGTACAATCTGTCATGTCCTTATGATCGGCGGTGTCATTGCCGTTCTCGTTAGGCTCCTCCTCCGTCGGGTTATGCAGCCACGGCCTTCCCCCCGATGCGAACCCACCCACCTGGTGTGCTCCTCCAACACTTCTCCGCACCTCCTCCTCCAAGACAACCCGCTAATTATTTATTCGCCCGATTTTTCTAACCAGGGTCCGCATCATCCTTGTTATCTCGATCCCGTGTTCCAAGACACATTGTCACGCACAAGCCATGTCTACTTATCACATCCGAGAGGTTGATAACCGCCTACAGGGGCGTCTTGCACTTGTGACTGGAGCCAGGTGAGTTATCTCAGTCTCCAATGTTTTGGACTAGAAACTGATATCATTACTTGAAGTGGAGGCATCGGTTCCGCAATTGCCAGAGCTCTCGCCGCAGAGGGCTGTGACGTGGTTCTTCACTGCAACTCAAGCTTGGTAACAGACACCCATCCTTTCAGCACAACAGTGAGTTTGTGACGTATACTAACAATTCTCACGGATAGCACAAAGTTGAAACCCTCTCCAAAACTCTACAGTCTACCCACCCCGACCAACTCTTCCCATGTGTCTCGGCCGACCTTAGCTCTCGAGAGCAAACACGCGGTCTCGTCGATGCCATATTCCAGAACCCTACAGTCTCCTCCAAGCATAAGGCCATATCCATACTTGTGGCCAATGCTGGCCTTGGCAAGCGGATTCGAGATGTACAAGAAATCGAAGAGGATAATTGGGATGAGATGATGGCGGTCAATGCCCGAAGTCAGTTTGTGGTGACAAAGAGTTGTTTGCCTGGGATGAGGGCGCAGTCTTGGGGACGAGTTATTCTTGTGGGGAGTATTGCAAGCAAAGGCGGTGGAATCAATGGCTGCCACTATGCCGCCACAAAAGGGGCGCTCACGTATGTTGGTTTGCTCCTTTCAAGATGTGATCTCACTGACGGTTACCAGTTCCATGGGTTTGAACTTGGCCACCCTGCTCGCCGGTGAGGGAGTAACAGTGAACACTGTAAGCCAGTGCCTTGCCCCTGTTGATAATTATGTTAACGAGAGTCTAGATCCTCCCTGCAATGATCGGCGCAACAGATATGATTCCAACACCAAAGTCTACGTGCGTATACACACACTACCTTGGGAAGACTGATTTACTGACGGACAACCCCGACTAGAACGTGGACAAGCGATACCAACCTAGAAGCGCTGAAAGCCACAGACCCAGGTCTTGCAATTGCTGCAAGCATCCCGGTCCATCGACTTGGTCAGCCCGATGAGGTCGCCAACGTCGCCGTCATGTAAGTGGCAGACCTACATCATGCTAGTGAAACATACTGATGACGTGAAAAGGATGGCGAAGACGGGATATCTTACGGGACAAGAAATCGTACTCTCCGGCGGACTGAAGTAGGACAGAGATTGAACACGGGGTCTTGATGAAGGGCGGCAGGATGTGTCAATTGTGTAAAGATGTTAAACACAGCAAATGCGACGTCTTAAGGACAAGAAGGCCGTCACCTGGGCCACCACATGCGGAATGCCCGTTTGTAGTTCGTCCTCTCGTCTCTTGATTTGGCTCCAATTGTGCCAGCTCGCCTAAACTTGTGAATTGGAAGGACCTTTCCATATGCCACCGATCCTGCCCTCTTGCGTTGAGGCAGAAGAGGACAAATAGTGGAGGAAGGAGCCAACTTACTCCTGTCTGTTCCTGTCTCACCGAGGGTTAGCGGCCGGACGGGAGATCAATCACTTCCCCCGTCTGCCTTTGATCCCTCCCAGGTCACCATCAGCATCCATCGAATTGCATTTCTTGAACATTCTTCGCGCATCAAGTCTTCCGAGCCCATCGATATTCGAGTCGAAGACATCCCCTACGAATCGGATATCCCGAAAACGACGACGCTACATCGAGATGTCGCAATCACAACAACTCAACCCCACCGCACGATACCAATTCCCCTTTCCTTGTGCCAATGTGAACGGACGGACCGCCTGTAGGGGTACCGGTAGGCTGGTATGCACATCTTGCATGTTGGTTGCAGTAAGCCCTATCATCTGCTTCTGCCCAGGGGAGTTTCTAAACAGACATCCAAGTATTGCGACCCGTTTTGTCGGTTTCAAGATCAGACCCATCATGCACCATATTGCACGCACCCGTTATTAGATTCGACATGGGTCCCAACCTGGTCAGTCAAAGGCCGACAGCCCACGTTCGGTCGGGAAGGCTACGTGACACCCTTCGCGACACACAAAACCATCTGGGGCGATGTTCCGGCGCTGGATATCCTGAAACTGGACCAGAACGAGGGTGTGCAATATTATAAAGATTTGGCAATACTGTTTGCTGGTAGGAATCGCCCTAACCCTCTATGGTAGTGTGAACACTGATGATCTCTAGCATCTGGGGATCTTCGCAATGTCATCAAAACCGTTACCTCCCTCCCCCGGACGTTCCGAAACGATCTCACCATCACAATCAACGACAATGATCTGGACATCGTGGCAAGGAACATCATCCTACTTCTCACTGCCCTCCTTAGTGCCAAGACTGAAGATGCAGCCACCCGCATGATTCACATCTGGTATTCTGCCTTTATACGACAAAGTGATCTCGAGTTTTTACGCGGTGTGGTCCGCCCCAATATCCAGCGAGTTTGCAGCAACCTTGAAGGTGACGATTTGAAGCGCCTACACACGGCAACCTTTTCAACGGGGGCCTACTCCACGGTCAATGTCGTGCTGCCCAAGAAATCGTGGTTTGCACTTCTTAAGTACTTTGAGGTGCCGGAGGGCCTGACTCTTGACCAAGCTCGACAAGTCCGAACTGCTGTTACCCTACCAGCCGGCCACATTGACTACATAGAACACAACTACTTTACCCTGCTGCCAGCACAACGCATCTGCTGGCATCGGTTCCGTTTAGATGGTGTTCTGTTACCCTTTGGGGCATCCAGGAAGCCATTTGACACACCAAATCCGTTGGTGAACCCCCTCTCTTGTCCAAAGTGATGCTGATACGAGCAACTTTTCTAGGACATTGTTTCATAGTGCCCACTGGCCGTACAGAGGAGATTTGCAGCCTATCCACGGATGGGGATTTGGTGAAGTCATCAGGGAGTCGACTGGAGAAGCTTCCATGGACCACTACGGGAAGCTCTTCTACTATCTTCAGGGGGTCTTTGTTAAGTTTTCCCGGGATCTGAGATCGAGAAACCTATATTTTCGCCTTGACAACCAAGACATTCAGCACTTGGCCGGAAGGCTTGAAGCCCAGTCCTTTGCAAGGATCGAGGTATGTCATCGGCTGGGCCATGGAAGGCCACGATGTTTTGCCCTCGGCTGACACTGGGTAGTTATCCAACCTCTCAGAAGAACGCTACATAGAGCCTGACCTTGTCTCGAGATGTCTTGTCCCTCTGTTGCAAGTTCAAACCATGAATCCTTACGCCACCCTCATCATGCGGTTCACAAAAGCTGTGTGGGCGCAGATAAATGCTTCCTACGAAATCCCAGCCCTGGCCAAATGTGCACCCACAATGGCGACCTTGATACCTCAAGTGGTGATGCCACCGGATGAGCGGGACCCGATAGTGTCAAAATTTCTTTTGGGGATGGGACTCATCATCGACGTCGACATTTTATTCGACAAGTGAGTTTTAATTGCCAAGAACAGGAGACGATGATGGCCCTAACCCGTTTCTTAGGTATTTGGATTCCAGCCAAGCCCATCGCCTGAATTGTGAAAGCATGGCTGTCAAGGAGAAGCACACGATTGTTGAGAAGTGGCCCTTTCGGCCCAGGCTCACGCCAGGGCAGTGTGGTACTGCTGAGGAGCTAGCGGTTATACTGAGCTCTGCAGCTTTAGGGCTAACAAGATACGTGGAGTACACGTCTCTATTATCCTGACACCTTTAGCCAGCGCAAAGTATCTATTCGTCACCTTACCAGAATGCTTTCTTAGGTCGAAGGTGGTTTTGAGGATGGCTGAAATAGGTAGTCTCTAGATAAATAGATGAACATCATAATGCTTGTATTGGATTCTTTCAGCAACGATGCTCTAATTGCCCAGAATAAAGATATACCACAGCCACTTTTACTTTGGTGACTTGAATATGGATCAATACTAGCTAGTAATGTGAGGAAACGGAGATCACTCTGGCTAGTCTTTGTTGTTTCCGCTCGGACAGTGTTACTCACAGGGTGTCCAAACTTGGAAAATTTCACCAAGTCCGTAGCGATATCTGCCTTGCAAGAATCCTTTGCTTACAGCTTCCACTTCCACCTCTGCTTGCCGTCGGTTCCAACCATGGCCTCCAGTCTCACCCAAAACACGGCAACCGTCGCTGCACACATGAGTGTTCCAACCAGTATCGACATTCGCTCATATGCCTTGGGCCCAATGTTTGTGCTCGAAGTCCGGATGAGGACACCGCCTACTGGAGTGCCGATCATGGTGGCCATGCCACGAACCATATACAGCACGCCGTTGACCGAGGCAAAGTTTTGTGGTCCAAAGAGCTCTACCAGACTGGCGGGGAACAGGGAGATGTAGGCGCTGGCAAAAATGCCGTAGAATATGGTGAAGGTGATGAAGAGGTTTTGGGAGCTGGAAGTTTGGCCATGCAAGGTGGAGGGCAACCAAAAGCCCAACGTTACTACAGCGCTCAGAAGGGTCGTCATGAAGAGTGAGTTGAGCCGCCCGATACGATCTGCTGCATGCCCGATAACGATCTTCCCAACGGCGTTGCATGCGTTGCTGATTGCGATAAAGTTTGCGCCCGCGGTGGTGCTGTATCCAAGAGTGGCAGCGTAGGATGCAAAGAAGAAGACCGGAGTGTAATATGCGGCTGCTTGGAAGATGGCACTGAGAGCCTGAGCTAGGAATCTTTGTGACTTTGCGACTCGGAGATCGACGAGAGGGACGTTAAAGATGCCATCGGCGCGGCTGACGCGAGCTGCATTAACAACTTGAAGCTGTGCTCTGGTCCTCGGTTCCCAGGCCATGGCGAAGCTTGCAGCTGTGACAAGGACGAATGAGACGCCGCCGGTAAGTCGGAGGGTGTTTCGGAAGCCGATTTGATCGTTGCATGCCTTGAGAGCTGGTGCCCAAACAAGACCTCCAACGCCGGTTCCGGAGAGGATGATTCCCATGGCCAAACCTCGATGCGTAGTGAACCAAGTCGGAGCAACCGTTACAGCCGTCATGTATGATGAGCATGTACCAAACCCAAGAAGCAAACCTTGACTGAGCGTAAAGTGCCAGAGCCTGGTACCAAAGCTGGCGAGGATGAGGGACAGGCCAAACACGATGCCGCCGACAAACGAGACCCTGTGGGGAGAAAAGCGCTTGGCCCATGCCACGATGAAAGGCGCACCCATTGTCATCAACGAGATGGATAGCGTGCCGATCAAATCGATTTGTGCAGGAGAGGCTCCTGTGAATGGCGTATTGGGCTTCAGAGCCATGGCTTCGTACAAGGCTTGGTAGACACCAAAGGCAAAGTTGAGACCGCAGCAGGTGAATACTATCGTGAATGAGGAGACGACCATGATGATTGACTTCCTGTTGAGGTGTTAGTATTGGGCGAGCTGGCTGTATGGATTGAGTCACATACCACTTGGGAATGTCAAATTCGTTCGTTGAGACGGCATGTTCAGAGTTGGAGGGTGGTTGCTGCAGGTTCTCTTCGAGTCGTGGAATATCTGAATTGGGGGATTGGACATCGTTTGATGCCATTATTCTTGATGAAGCCATCATTGAGATAGCTGCCAAGCTGATTGGGATGATGGAGGATGGAAGTGCTACTTTGGCGTTTGCAATTAAATCCCCGAGTGGGGGAGGCCGGGCTCAACGGGAATACCGGATCGGACAAGGATGAATCATACCTTCTGCCGAGAAAGGGCGCGAAAGACAACACGTACGAAACCAGAATGCTGCTTTGCACTGCTCTGACTCATTGCGATGGGGTCAAACGGCTATTGTTGATGTCGACCTCATTTTTCCGCAGGATGTGGTGAGCTGCCTGGGCTAGACCTCTTGATATTCCCTGGAGGAATTATCATAACCCATTCAGTGGACACCGCTAAGCCAGGAACGTGAGGGACTGTTTGCTTCTGTCCTGCATGATGTGCACATCACTAGCTGACAAATGCCGTTTCTCGTCATCACGGTGCCCGCATCTTTACGCAACGGATGCCAGCTCAAGTCAGCGAACGACACATCACGAATTTCAACAACTCTATCAATCAACATGGTTTCTGGCCAAGACAATATTGGTAGAAGTTCTTCTACCAATCATGTCGCAAGGAAGCAGACATCGACGGAACGACGGATACAAAACCGAAAGGCCCAAAAGGCATACCGTGAGTTCAGCCAGTGGAGTCAAGTCAAGGTACTGACTGAAGTCAGGTGAAAGAAAACGACAAAGACTACAGGAGTTGGAGAACAAGGTACATGCTCTAGAAAGTGCATCGTTTATACAGCCTTCAACACCGCAGTCTATAAGCAACCTCGACACCACACCAAGTCACAATATTGATGCATCTCTCGGCCTTCTTGGAGATGCTCTAAACGGCGATTCCGCTCATGAATTTTCCAGTACAGCAGCTGGTTTGACCGAAGCCTCAGCCTGGACTGACGCCGACATGTGGCTGGATCCAGCACAGCTAGATGGCAATTTCGAAACCGACAACGTTTCTAACGACACGGAAGAGCTATCTCTATTGAGACCGAATCCTACTCCTGTCTACCAAAGCTCTATAACCCAAAACACGCCCTTGTCGACAGACGGAAAAGCCATACAGGTATCTCGACCTGGCGGGAATATGATGTCTTTCAGTCCTCGGGTTCTACGAGAGGTCTACACATCACTACCAAAAACCACAAGGGACGAGCTTCGAGAATTGGCAAAGGCGGGCGACTTCTCATTCGTAGATGTCATCAAGTCACGACTTGGGTCTGGAAACAACTTATCCAGTCAAAGTCCAAGGCAAAGAACTTTGGAAAGTTCAACGTACTGTCCCTACCGGAACGTTATGCATATTGCACGATTCTCCTACTTTGCAGCACTATTCGCAAACCTTAGTTCTCTCGGCTTCGACTTTTCGTTATTCCTCAATGAGACAAGCGTGTCTCCTTTTGTCGGCCGCTCTGATCTTGGTGATACCGACGTTCCATTCAGCCTTCGGCCGTTGGCATCACAGCGTTCCATTTCTCATCATCCTTATATCGACTCGCTTCCGTTTCCCGAGTTTCGACGTCGGGCGCTGGCCGCTTTATCGACGGATCCGCCGCTTTTGGATGAGGATGATCTCTGTATCGACTTGATGTTGAACGATGGACTTGTGTGCTGGGGGTCGATGAGTGAGAATGGTATGGATCGAGGAACGCCTTGGGACAGTCGAAGCTGGGAAGCCAAGGGCTGGTTTCTGCGGAAATGGTGGTGGCTCGTGGGTGGCCAGGATGGAGAGCTCTGGCAATCGTCCACGTGGTGGGCGTCACAAAGGGGTGAAAAGATATCGACGCGGGAGAGGAACACCGAAGGTAAGGATATCGCCGTGGGGGTCTACGTGGGTGGTACACCTTGATGTCGGTGAGGCTCATGCCTAATTGAAGACTGACCACGGTGTGTTGTCGTCCCAGAACCGGGCTATCGGAAACAAAGTAATCTGACCAACTAATACATTTACTCATCAAACGTTTTTTTCGCGTGTCACCGCTTGAATACAACGGACAACGCCAACGTCGCGGTTATCCCGGCTATGGAGCCGCACCAAGATGAGCCCACTCTCGAGCCATGTGGTGTAGACCCACGGTTAGAATCCGGGGTCGTGCGAAAGAATCGACTTAGGGTGAATTGGTAAACGCGGGGAAGATTAGTCTAAAGATGCATTGTAGTATTGAGAGGCTCGAAGGATTGTTCTGGTGGTTGCTTCTTCTGCGACGGGGTTGGGCGAGGCGAGAATATCCCGGAAGCCCCGGTGTGGTTCCATGGTCACGGTATTGCGACACGAGGGTGAGGATGTTGGGCATTGATTCAAGGGATTGACGTCTGTGAGGTGAGGCTGGAAGACGTCCATGTCATGATCAGATGAGACTGCTTCCTAGCAGTCATCCGATTCGCCAGGAGTATGCGGCAATGCAAGATGACTTCCTCTTCAATCGCTTCCAGGCCTCGCCACTGGCACATCCCGGAGTCGCCCGACCAGGGTCTGACATGCGCCGTCACGGTACTCGACGGTGATCATCATGCCACCGGCAGTCGTAAGAAACGTTCGATATGGGACGGCCGAGGGTAGAATCATGAAATTGAAGCATTTGGACCGTAATTATATAATACCCACCGTTTCCCTCTCGGTTTGAGGTCATCATCAAGTACAATTGCAATCATCCAAAGCATACAAGGCCACCTTTGCCTGCAATTACCACCAAAACAATCACATCATCTACAATCATCCCAATGCTTCCTATTGCCAACGCCACTACTCCGGTCGGTACCAAGTAAGTTTACCACCTAATTCCCCCTCAATTCCACCCATTCTAATGAACTACAGGGTCCTGCCCGTCGTTCTGGCTGTCGGAGGCGCCACAGTAGCTGGCGGCCTCGCCCGATCCCAGCAGCGAATAAACCAATTCAACCAGGCTCAAAACAAGACGCTCGCCGCACCCGACGCCAAGTTTGTCAATGTGGTTCTCGAGTCGATTTTTGCATAGAGAAAAGGAGAGGACACTCAAAAACGAGTGCGGGTACGATATGGATAGTGTACAGCATAGGATAGAGCGACAGTCTGGACGCATGCATTTTGACATGCCTTTACGAATGATATTTTATGAACTCGTCTTGATTCATCATCTGTGATCATTTTACCCAGCGTAGCATCTCGTCGCTAGTCTTGACGTCACAGGCTGAAGGCGGGGCCCCATAGGGACACGGGTCCGTACATACACGCGTCATCCATTAGTCAGCAGCGTCCACTGTAATCTCTAGCAACACCCACTATAACTTTTCCGCCTATCTCACCGCTACGGACTACTTTGGTATCTCAATGGGCAAGCTTTGGCACCTCTTCTATGACCTTCTTTATGGCATTTGCTACAGGTAGGCTGCTTTTTATCTTGTAGCTGATCCTGTAGCTGGTCTCTTGGCTGGTCTCTTAGCTGGTCTGGTGGCTGGCCTTGTGGCTGGTCTTGTAGCTGCTCGTCTTGTAACTCATCTTGTAGCTCGCCTCGCAGCTCATCTCGAGATCGATGAAGCTCGTGATTGTGTTCAGAAAACCGGGATTCAGTACGAAATTCGAGAAGCCAATTTCCGCTGGGTTTTTGCTTCGCAAAGAGAGAAAATTGACAGCCGGAACGAAACTTATTACATGAATATGTAACGGTAGTTTGACCGGAGGCATTAGTGGATGATCTTCGGATGATAAGTTTGAAGCCATTAATTGCTGCCCATATGTGAAGATCAAGAGATAGCTCTTCGTGTGATCGATACCATTGCTGTAGAGAGAAAGAAGCTGCTGTGTTGGAATCCATCAATGGTTGTGGTAGTAATTCGTAGCGGTGAGATAGGCGGAAAAGTTATAGTGGGTGTTGCTAGAGATTACAGTGGACGCTGCTGACTAATGGATGACGCGTGTATGTACGGACCCGTGTCCCTATGGGGCCCCGCTGAAGGCCAGTCAAAGGCGATCCTGTCCCCGAGATCGCATTGTACGCGACTCGACAGCATTGTCCGTCAACGCATATGGTAGATTTCGTCCGTGGCAAATGCATGCATCCAATGGCGGGCCAGGCCACTGTAACTCCAAAATCCTGTCCCGAAATCACTGTTTCTCCCGTCAAAACATCGAATCTGCAACAAATGTGGCGTGTGATGCTTTGCGTGCTAGAAACGACTCTAAGCGCGCTAGAACAGGGCCGATGTCTAAGATTACGTAGCTCAAGATTGTTGGGGTAAGGGAGACGATAAACCAGGCATTTCTTGCTGTGTCCTGATCATCGAGTCCGTTGCATCCGGACACGGCACGCTTCTCTCTTTGAGCAAAATATCTCGACAATGAGACTGCATATCGCATTGGTATTGACCTGCGACGCCTTTTTGGCGTCGGCATATCCTCGCCCAAACCGCCTCTTCTCGCGATTGATCGTGTTTGGCGACAGCTTCAGCGACAATGGCAATGGGGCATGGGTCGGAAGCAACGGAACGTGGCCGGTAGATCCGGCCTACTTCAACCACTCCTTCTCGTAGGCCAACCTCCTCATTCTCATTCATTCCATTCTGACTGTCTAGAAACGGCCCTAAATGGAATGATCTTGTTGCCGAAGTTCTGGATCTGGAGCTCATCAACCTTGCTACTGGAGGCGCTACTACAGACAACGACTTTGTAGCTGGCGGTACTGGAGCCAGCTCAACAATCCCGGTTCCCTCTGCCGATGATCAAATCACCGCGTTTTTGTCGCGGGATAAACCGACAGAAACCGATATCTTTGTCCACTGGATCGGGGCCAACGACATCCTCTTCAACACGAATATTACAGGCATAGAGGTCACCAGTCTGATCTCAAAACATGCGAACAGATTATACCGTGCGGGAATAAAGAATCTTATCCTGGCTAATTACAACAATGCCACGACCTTTCCGGCGACGTACAACTCGTCCGACTACAACGTCCCCAGCGTGCAGGCCTTTGTCGGCGATTTGAGCATCGGACTGATGGACATTGCCGCTGGTTATTCGGGGTTCTTCCGAACCGCCTTCGTTGACATAGGTGCTTTATTCTCGGATATTGTGAAACGGCCAGCCAGGTACGACATTGACCGGAAATATGTCGATCCGCCAACTGCATGCTTGACGGGCGTGTACACAAGCGAGGGCGTTCCCCGGCATTTATGCAGCGATCCTGAGCGTCATCTATTCTTTGACTCATATCATCCGGTCAAGGAGGTACATGCAATGATGGCGAAAATGTTCATCAAGGCAATCCAGGGCTTGAGCCGTGGTCGTTGAGACCCTGGTCTGCTCGCGTCAGCGTGCAGCGGCAGATGGGATAAGCAGCTGGGCCTGGTGGGTGTATGTGGTGAGCAGGACTTTGAGATTTTTATTATAAAAGAAGAGACATGTTTATAGACATGAATTTAAGCTCACAACATATTTATCCCTTTCAATTACTCAATCTACATCCCCGAAACCAGAGTTCCTCACAATGGCATCTTTTGGCTTTCACACCACTTCTGACGAGGCCAGCAAGGCTCTCAAAGAAAACATCACCGGCAAGACAAGTAAGATGAAACAAACTGTTTATCAATTTTTTATGTACTAAGGAGGCACAGTCGTCATTACGGGCGTCAGTCCAGGATCCCTTGGTGCAGACACAGCCCGGGCTATCCTAGCCCAATCCCCTGCCAAACTCATCCTAGCCAGCCAGACAGAGTCGAAGCTGCAAGAGGTCATCAGGTCTCTTGATACACCTGCAGGGACTTCTGTTTATCCCCTGGTACTGGATCTTGCCTCGCATGATGCAGTTCGCAAGGCTGCTGCCGAGTTGTCGACCTATGTCGATGCTATTGATGCCATGATATGCACTGCGGGAGTCATGGCTTTGCCGTTATACCAAAAGTCCAAGGATGGCATTGAGATGCAATTTGCGGTCAACTATCTTGGACACTTTTTGTTCATCAATCTCTTGGTCGACAAGCTCCTTGCTGGGAATGCTACTGTGGTCACTTATACCAGCGAAGCCCACACGCGCGCTGACTTGGGCTTCCTCGATGGCCTGACATACAGCGAGGGAAAGACTTACGAGAAGTGGACTGCATACAGCAACTCCAAGGCTTGCGACATTTTGCTTTCGGTTGGATTAGTCGAGAAGTTTGGCAAACGCGGTCTTCGTTCGTTTAGTGTCGATCCCGGCATCATCGTCAGCACCTCATTGACCCGATCTGTGCCTCAAGAAGACTTTCGAGCCATGGGTATGCTATCCTTCCGCTTCATCTTGTGACTTATGCTCATCAATAATAGGATGGGTTGATGAGAGTGGCAACTTGAACTCGGCCATCAAAGTCAAGACACTGGCCGAGGGTGCTGCCACTGGCATCATTGCTGCATTTGACCGCAAACTTTCGAGTAGGTTTCAAATTGCCCATCTACAGAAAATATTCAACTAATTATTGATAGATGAGGAGGGATATTTTCTTGCTGATGGAGGTCTAACTGAGCAGGGCCTCCTGCCAGCTGCAGTTGATCCTACCAAGGCGGCAAAGCTGTGGAACATCAGTGAGAAGCTGGCCAAGTAACTATGGTCAAGCATAGGTAGACTTGATAAGTTGATATTGGCTGGATAAGGGTGTGGTTTCGAATTGGCGATGGTGACGAGACACAATTGGTTCATCATGATGGACTATCAGTTATCCCGATGCCGGCTGCTGCCTGCTTACTGCTTACACCGCATCTTGGCAAGAAAACATGCACCTCTGTCTCTTCTTCCTTTGAATTATCTCTTCCTGTGAATATTGCAATGACGCAGTGTCTTCTTACTATTAAAAATGGCTTTCTCTATCTTAAGGAACCCGAGCGCGACCGCCAAACCGAAGACTCCTCGGCCAGAGAATGGAAGGAATCGCACCTTGACGACATTTGCCTCGAAACGTTTCAGCCATCCCCTCAGCTACAACCGCATCACCGTAGTCAAGGAAACTTTGGGAGGCTTCCCAAGAAGCTCAGAGCACAGCATCGTCTAGTGAACCAAGACGGGGTCATGGCCATCACAAACCCTCGAAGTTGGTATTCTCGACTGACGGGCAAACGTGCCACAGTCGACGTGGAGCCAAGGGATCAGGATTTCCCGAGTCCCTTGTTCAAGTTGCCCGTCGAAATACGACTCTGCATCTATCGCCATCTGCTCACCACCCAAGGCCTCGCTGTTCTTTGCCCAGACCCGGACGGGTTCCGTATTTTACCCCGAGAGTACTATGATGGATCTTTCCAACTATACCCCGAGATCCTCACGACTTGTCGTCAGATCAACCGAGAAGGCACTTCAATCCTATACTCGGAGAATGTGTTTCGACGAGAATTTCTCTGGAGACGCAATTGGACCAAACATGGACGCAAGCCTTACCCGCGCAGCGAAAGCTCTCCACTTAGAGAGGCCAATCTACAGTGCATCTCACAGGTTCGCATCTTCCGAAGCTACAAGCAATGGTTTCGTGATGAAAACCTCAAAGTTTTGCACGACTTTCCAAACTTGAGGGAGTTGCAGGTGCACATTGACGACAACGACATTTGGGGCGAGCTCGACCCGGGTCGTCACTGGAAGAATAGCATGAGGGCCATCGACCGTGACCGCCCAGACTTGAGCATCGTCAAAACCCAGATTCGACTCGCTTTTGACAGACGCTATCGGGATTGGTGTAATCGCTGCAGGAGCAGACGCCTTGACTTTAGTGTGCACAGGATCAAGAAGGATGAGCTTGAGCAGTGGATACGGAGAGAGGGTCTGTTTGCTGGTCGGGGGCTGGTTTGGTCTTTTAGCACGCAGACTTCTGAGTATTGCGGACCGTCCTGTATAGTTGCACTCACCGTTGATAGCAGTCGCAGGGACGCAGATACCATCGAGTGTCGTATCGGATCGGAGCAGGGCACCGAGTTTAGTACGGAGCCAACCAATATTGTTGAGGAGGGTTAGGCTGGGGCATGAACAAGGACCAGTTTGGGCAGTTAAATATGCAATAAACACACCGCGAGCAGATAAGTAGAGCTCGGTGAGTCTTTACAAGTCAAGATTGGCGATATCTCCCGAGATGCTTCAGGGGAAAAGCGGACCCCATGATTTAAACTTTCGAGGCCCAAATTAGTGGCGCCCCGTGCCGTGTTCTGGCGTCTAACGCCCGTACATGTACGCGAATAACATCAAGCCCAGAGTCGGCGATATAGTATATTGACTTTTCTGAAAATACGGTGTGAAAACTATTGCCTTCCAGGCTCGACACGGGCCTGGACGATGCCTGAATCGGCGGTGAAGTATGACTCGAGTTGGAACTGACGTCGTTCTGACGCAGTAAAGCGCTCTTGTCGACGAATTGGGGAATGTCATCAGCCTTGCGACATATCAGATTGATGGAATGGCAGGCCTCAAAAAAGGATAAGGTATCTATAATACTCCTTGAAGGTGTCTCTTGGTGAGCTTTCAATTAACAACAATCGTTTGTATAACACTTTACTCTCCACGCCGCGGAATGAAATCATGGAGATGAATTACAGACCTATCAAGCCTGCTCCCCCGTTGGATGGGAGACATCGAGTGGACAAATCATCTCGATCAGCACAGAAAAGACCACCGGCAACCAAGACGGCTTGCTGGGCATGTCGAAAGCGAAAAGCCAAGGTATGCCATCCGCAGAACTATCTCACAAAGATGGACGAGCTCATGTAGTGGTTTAGTGTGACGGACAGCGACCAGCATGTGCAAACTGCATCAAGTCAACCAGAGAATGCGTCTACGACACCAAGATGAGGGACTCAAACACAAGAGCGCTGCAGCTCGCCAACCAGGAGCTCCGGGAGCAGCTGGATGCTTCAAACCTGCTTTTGAGACAGCTAGCGTCAGGCGCTCCAGAAGTCCGAGGTCCTATTCTCGACTTTTTGGCTGGCAACAAGCAGCCCCAGGAGATTATTCGGGCGCTGAGGATCGATCATAGCCTTGGGCTTCGACCCAAGTCGACAGAGCGGCGGCAAGGTACGTCACGCTTGCAGATACCCATGCCTTGCTTTTCATCATTTACCAAGATTCTCACACCAACTTGCAAGACAAGATCGTTTATCGATTGCTGGACTCACAAACTCCGGACTCGGCGAGTCTTTACACGATGGGGAGTGAGCATAATGACTATGCGCCATTGTCGCTGCCCACCCCGGCCAACTCGGTTACTGATTCAACCACCTTGGCCGCATTTGGTCAATCCTCATGGCATCCTCCTGAGATGAATTCTTCAGGAACTCCGGGTTCCAATATTCTGGACAACCCTCCTGTAAGAACTTTGTCTTAGTTGGCTTCGGGCCGCCTATTAACATAAGCAGATGCTACTGGATGGGCCTTCCTCTCTCGAACCTGTGGCATCTACCTTGACTCTTCCCGCGAACACCCTCACGATTCATTCGTATTTACAAAGTCCAGCTCTATTTCCCGAAGCATCTATAACCAAAAGAGAGGCTCTCTTGTTTTTCTTGCCATTGTTCAATCGCCTAGACTATCTCCTAGGTGCTCCCCTCGATAATCACGACGCTAAACAGGACCCTGTCAAAAACAAAGATCCGATGATTCATTATGCCTCTTCCAGAGAAGCTTATTCAGTGGCAGCACCTTTTCATCTTCTTGACTCTTATAATTCCTACCCATCTTCCATCTCTGACCAGCTAGCTGATCTCGGCGAACCGAGACTACCCGTGCAAACCGGTCAAAGTCTAGCTGCCTTTCTCAGAATCCATTCCAACTATGGAAATTCATTTGGAAATCTTCCCCTCTCCAGCAGTATCAGAGCGAACAACTACCCTCCGGACGTTCAAGATGTTCAGCTCCGAAATTTCACGGTGCCTATATGGGCTGTGACGACACTGAATACGCTCCCTGACCCAGGTGGCCTCCGAGAAGCGTTTACCAGTGTATACAACGAGGCCACGAGGCTACTCCAAGAAGGCTCCGACCTCGAAAGGGTGGTCAGGGCACATCCCGAGATAGCGGCATTATTCGACCAAGAGGAATTTGACAAGTCTAGCTTTCTCTCGAGGTGGGCTGCGCAGATGGTACATAGCGTCAAGCTGAAAGGTATTACGCTATGGAGATGTAGCTGAAGATCTAGAAACTTATCAGGTCACAGGATATGACTTTACTTGTTTTGCGTCAATGTGCATCTTCTGGTACCTCATGCGGTGGATGATCAGTCCATCCCCTGAGACATATGCCGCCATGCCGGAATGGATTAGACCAACGTGAGGACTATTGTTCCTGTGGGTAGTACATCATGCTAACTTGTGCAGGCCAAACCAACTTTTCATACCTCATATTAATATGGTCGACTTCGCCATCTGGCCAGCTTTTCGAGAGCTTGTGGTTCAGCTACCTTCTATGCAAGAACACATGGAGTGGCTGATTGACTTGTCCAATTCGATCCAGTGCGAGTGGCCATATGAGCTCGATCAAGCACTATGCAAAGACGAAGTCACTGGAGGTATTGATCTTGTTGACTTGGCCAAGGTATGATCCTCCTCGGAATGGATCTGGACTACGATGCTAACTGGCGAACAGCAACATGTGTGGGCTCTGGGGTGCTGGTCTGTAGGCCCGACGTTTCGGAGTTACTTGTTAAACGCCGATAACTTTGTAAATATTAGAGTTGAGGACCTGGAAGTTGGCGCATCCGCAGATACTGAGCTGGGGCAAGAGATGTGACAGGGCGTGATGAGATCAACTCTATAGGAGAGGGTGTAAACTTGAACCAATTTTGTTTGTCAATAAGCTTTGACGTCTATTAATTATATACAATGATACTTTTCCTCTATCCTCTCTAAGATGTGGCAAAGTGTCCCTACACAGGACGGTCGTCATGTGGCGACAATCATGCTTGTAGGCTGGGCAAGCTTTTGACAGAACGGGCTCCGTTTCCGAAGGACCTCTCCATACCGGATAAAAACAAACGGAATCAATGCTAGCACCAAAGTGATGAAGGCAAGTAGTGAGCATGCCCACTGAACCCCGAGTTTGTCGTACATCTGTGGTGCCGCCAGGGGTAAGCAGACAGCGGTAATGGACCGCAGCGTGCTGGCAGACGCCTGGGCTGAGGCAGAGAATTGCCTGTAGGCGTCGGTGATGTAGTTCAACAGGGCCATGAATATTATGAGGTAGCCAGTTCCGAACAAGAGGCCCGAAATTGCGGGCACTGCGGGATGAATGTTAGGGTAGGCTGTCCATCCGAGCCAGAACAGAGATATGACGATCCTGGATTCTGTCAGTACTCTTCCGATAAGGCAAATTCTGAGTCAATTCACTCACACTGGGCCACCTGCACAGGCGAGGGGAAGTCGGCGATGCTCGATTTTGCTTGCCCAAGGAGCACCTGCTTTCATGGCCGAAGAGTGGTAGGCGCTGTAGCAGAGGAAGATCACCAGAGCTAGGACAGAGCCACCAGTCACTGTAATCTTGTCAGTGATTTCTTGGATATCTCGCTCCAATCTTGAGTCAACTCGCCTGGTAAGAAAGTCAAGCCGACTTCACCATACGACAACCCGTACACCCCTGCAAAGAGTAAGAGAACCGCTCGAGATATAACGGCAGGCGGCCATGCTGACCTTGGAAGATGATCGGGTATGCTTGGAAAAAGAGGTATAACGTCGAATAGATCAGCGCCAGGTACAGGGACGAAAAAAGAACAACTGGTTCCCTGGTGGTCATGACAAAAGGCCTTGAGAAGACGGTTCCAAGTTCCTGCAGAAGCTGATACTTTTTCTTCTCTGGAGAGGGTAACTCCAGTGATATGTCGTCTCCATTTTTCCTGGCATACTTTTTCTTGAGAACAGGGACATAGGTCTCGGGGAGAAATAGTACGAGCGGAAGGCAGACGCCAGCAATGGCGAGGCCTATCCAGAAGGTTAATCTCCAAGACACCCTAGTTGCATATCCCGAGATTATAGGTCCAAAGGGCGGTGTCATAGAGGTGGCACACATGAAGTATGCCAATGACCTTCCCCTTGGTTCAGGACGATCATATATATCGGCAAACAGCGGTCCGACGACGGCGTTGGGGGCCGCTGCAGCTATACCACAAAGCAGACGAAAGAGCAGCAGCGTTCCATAGGTAGGGCTCACGGCGCAGCAGAGCGTAAAGATCATGTAGGCGAGGTACGTGCCTATGAGCACGAGACGGCGACCGACATGCTCGCTAAGGGGTCCAAAAATGAGGGGTCCGATTGCAAAGCCAACCATGTATATCGAGTTGAGTAGGACGAGCTGCAGAGGGGCGGTGACAGAGAACTCTTTGGAAATGTCGCTCGCGGCCCCGGACGGTAATGACGATCCGAGGGCGCTGTTGACAATAATGGCCACGCCTGCTGCGACAACCCGAGCCTTTTTACCCTGCAACATTTAGTTAGACACAAAACACGAATAAGGATAGGTTTCTGACAGGAGAAAAGTTGACAGGGTTCTTGTCGTCTGGAAGGTTGACACATTCGTAGGGGTCTCTCCAGAGACTCGCTCCCGTCGATGCCATTTCAACAGCCATTCTCTGAGATGGGCAAGGGCTGTAACAATTGCAGTGCCGTATAGAAGTCATTGAGCAGCGATAAAAAAAAAGATTCCGATGTCAATGAAATCTCGGTTCGTTGATAGGCCCCTTTTCGCCTGTAGTTCACGCCCTACGCCCCACGCATGACATTTGGCGACTTGCCCCCGATTTCACGCCTGAATTACATGTCCGATCCCGGCCTCGGCAACGACCTCTTGTTTGATGTTCGGGCTTTACGGAAATTTCTGTCAGCATCAAAAACAGCCTATCGATTGGTCATCTCACGCATCTGCCAGCGAGCTGTTGGCCTACACCTGTTTGTGAAGATGGTCTCACAGATATTAGAGCATTTGGGAAAGCTGCATTGTTTACACAACGTAGTTGCTAAAATATTGGCATCAAATCTAATGAGTCATGATCGCGGTGTAGATTCTTGTTAACAGAGAAATACTCTTCATTGATGCTTTTATATGACCAGTTCTATCTCAAGACTCTTCTACAATATCGGCCCAGTTGTTCTCTTCCCGGCCATACATGATGTCCGACATCCGCTCCCTTAGCAAGAAAACATGTCTTGCTGACCCCATACCGACATTGATAGCCTGGCCATTGTACATGATCTCGCTGACCTCTTGTATCCAGAAAGCGGTGCCAACCACAAACGCACCAATCAGCCGGCCCTCATTAGCAGCACTTTCCACTTCAGCCATAGTGATGACTCTCTCAAAGACCTCGCACGCCATCTCCTCCTCTGCTTTTCCAGGGGCAAACATCTCGCGGCTAAGCTCGATGATGCTGCGTCTCGTGTTGCCCGCCAGAATGAGATTGTTCTCGTCCAGGGGGGAAGTGACCATCTCGACAGTGCCAGAAGCCGCCTTCCACATGACGAAGATGTTGGTGGAGCCAGCCTCAGTGATTTGACGGTCGGGGCCGTAGAGCCAGAGAACTTGATCATAGCCTTGCTTCTTTGCAAGGGCGTGCTCGACAAGGGCGGATCCATAGTTTCCTCCAACCTTGGCAGCTCCAGTGCCTCCGGGCCATGCCCTAACTGCTGACTCACTGCTAGCAAGTAGTCGAGTGCCGGGTGCAGCGCCTCCATTGAGAGCGGCAGGCTTGGGAGGCGGCCAGTAAACCATGAAGATGTACAGCGCCGCCTCGTCGGGGACCTTGAAGCCCAAACTCGAATCCGTTCCGATCATGGTCGGTCTGAGGTAAAGTGCCGACCCAGGCTTGTCTTTAGGAAGCCATTTGGGTGCCTCGAGAACGCACAGCTTGTGGATGAGCTTGAGGAGCTCTTTAGGGTCGAAACCAGGTAGAGAAATGCGAGTTGCCGATTTGAGCATGCGTTCACAGTTGTATAGAGGGCGGAAGAGGCGAAGGCGACCGTCGTAACCGCGAAACAACTTCATGCCCTCAAAGCATTGAGTTGCATATTGCAGGGCGCTCGCAGATGGCATCAGGGGCACTGGACCGTAGGGGACCACTTGTGGATTAGCCCAGCCTTGGTGAGCGGTCCAGGTGGCCACCACCATGCGATCCGTCGAGACCTTCAGACTCGCCAATTCGGGGCTTTCGACATCTGGAACGGGCTTTGGGGTGTCATGTGCCTTTATCTCGAGTTTTGAAGCGTCCAAAGGCGCAAGAGAGGGTTCAGGTACCATGATTGCTTCGAGTTTGATTGGCAATAGTCGTTGATGAAATTTTACCCGGCAGCTGGATGGAAAAACCACCGGCTACATAGCAGAATGAGTCTCAGTAAAATAGCCGAGGAGCCTCTGCATTCCTTGATACCGGTTGCGCGAAATGTGTAGATAGTCAGGGCGTAGGGCGTAGGGCGGCTTATAACTTGACAACCACGCTGTTATCATTTTGACATGATTTCCGTGTCTTTCCATGACATTTGGTAATTCTTGTGGAACTCGACATCAATTTCACAATGACCGCCAGCATGAGAAGGGCGTGCATGATGTGTACCGTCGTAGCATCCCCGCAGCATGTAGATATTTTTAAGGCGTGGGGCGTAGGGCGTGCAGCAGAGCGAACATCGGCTTTGAGCTCGGGTTCTCCAACCGACCTTGGATTGAGCTGGTGGCCAATGGTCTTCTTTTAGAAAGCAATTAGAGTAAATCACTTAGAAGTTTAATTTTCTTACAGTATCGCGGCTTTGAGAAGCATCGTTACCTGCTGGTTCTCAACCATGTCTCCACCTGATATGGATATGTCCGTCTTGATTTACGGAGCTGGTAGTATTGGAGCCATTCTCGCCTACCTATTATCCAGGAGTATCCCAGAGAAGAACATCTACGCCGTCTGCCGCTCCAACTATGATACCGCCAAGGAACAAGGCTTCACCATCGACTCGAATCTGTGGGGAGATGGCCTATCTGTACACCCATGTATCGTACGCTCTGTCGAAGAGGCTGTCAGGTCATCACCCCAGCCATTCAGATGGCTTCTTGTTACTACGAAGGCTACAATTGATTGCCCCGAGGCCGAGGCCATCAGACCAGCTGTTTCACCCAACACAACAATCGTCATCCTGCAAAACGGCATAGCCATTGAAGAACCATTCCGGGCTGCATTCCCTCAGGCACCAATCCTTAGCGGTGTTCTATACACACCTGTCAGCCAGACAGGGCCTACCACCTTCACACACGGGACCTTGGATGAAGTGTATATGGGAACATTTCCAGCGGACGCCCCTGTCCTTCATATGAACGCTTGTGCCAAGTTCACTTGCCTTGTGAGAACAGGAGGCGCAAAAGCCCACTACGTCACCGACATACAGATCGAACGATGGAAGAAGCTTCTTATAAACGGCTCTGAGAACCCAATATGTGCTCTCTGTCGTCTTCGAGATGCCGAGTTCTTCAGGAGCTCTTGTGGTGCGACGGCTTTTATGACGGATGTCATGTCAGAAATTGCTGCGACTGCGCGAGCTGCTGGCTATACTTCCATTGACGAGGGAGTAGTCCAAGAACAGTTGGAACTGTTGACGATAAGACCGCTTCCTGGGGTTATGCCTAGTATGATGGCAGATGTGCTTGCAGGGCGGCAGATGGAAGCGGATGTTATCCTGGGGAATACAGTCAAAATTGCTCAAAACCACCAAGTGGCCACACCTCTTCTCAAAGCATTGCTGACTCTGACTACAGCTCTCAACAAAAGCATTACAACTGAAGATAGATAGATAGTGTATTGTAAGAAGGTAATCACGGCACTCATGGATCCGGTTAGACCATTGCAGAACTATAGTCGAAGTGAGCTAGTTTCAATATCTATCTATTTGCCTAGCCTCTATGCTCGTGGTAAGAGGAACAGTAATTTCCCTAGGCACCTTTTTGTTACCCATAAATCTCATCATCTTCGAGGATTCAACCTGTTGTCCTACTTCTTCAGCAATAACCACTCAGCATTGGTCTCCGCCACAGTGTCTCTGCCGCCTCGTAGCTCCCGGTTTGTGCACTGGATCACCACCCGCTTGTAGGTCGTCAGACTGGGAATCCCATTATCCTTAACCTCCAAGACGATGTGGTACTCCTGTCCCTTCTCCAACGGCTTACCGCTTCGTTGTTCAAGGCACGAAATCTCAGGGGGTGGAATTGGTACCTCCACCTTGCGCCCCAAGCCCTCTGAATCGACGTCTCTGATCTCAAGGTCAGGGACCATCTCTCCGAGGAGTCCAGAGACACCAGTTGGCTCTCTGTACTGGAACCAGTGAAACTTTATCTCTCCGCCATCTGGGTCATAGCTCTTGGAAGCATCCAATACAATCTTCTCGCCAACTTCCACGTCGATGAGCAGCGGCTCAGGCCCACCCGTACTATCATTGACGAATACAACAGGGGCGTGATTGGCATCTTCAAACTTGTCCGTCAAGGTCCACTGCATGCGAGCGGCAAAGTCATTCTGGAAAGCCGGGCGCCATCGCCAAATGGTAGCCCAGTTGCTAACATAAGTCTTGCCGTCTATTCCCACTACAGCTTCGACGGCATCCGCAAAGTGTTTGCCACTCATGCTAGGGTCAAAATAGGTATATCGGCCTCCCCAGCTGCCCCAGTGAGGATGTTCGGGTGAGCCAAGGCCATTCTGGATGAGGTAGAGGAACGTAGGCGTATCGCCTTCGACTAGAAACTTGAAGTCGGGGTATTTCTTGCCCAGGGGACCAATTTGAATATTCTCCTTAATCCACTCCTTGGTAAACTGGCTTGGATCCGAGCCGCCCACATCGGTAGGACCTGAGATGCCTGTCCATGTTGCGCAGTGATACTGGCACCAGCCGTGGATAGAGCAGATGTAAAAGATGTCCGGGTACTTGATCCTCATCCACGCGCCCGTGTCATCTTGGTCAGAGATGGCGTAGACTCTGAGCTTTGAGCGGAAATGGGCACTCTCGGAGGGAGATCTCGTCTTGTCGACGTGAGCCACGGCCTGCGCGAGGGGGTTGGCACCACCCCAGCAGAGTACCCAAAGAGGCTCCTCGGACTCGTCAACGCGGTTGATGAGCAACTCTGAGCCACCAGAGAGAGGCGTGTTAGGTTCCAGGGCGAGCTTCCCATACACAGGCGGTCCGCTCCTGATCATATCGCGAAGAGTCTGAGGATCAGGGTACCGATTCTCCGGGTGCGCGTGGACATTCAGATTGGCCACAACCTCGGCGTATCCGTTGACAATATCTTCAATCTCTTGGGGGGCCACGCGGGACATCATGTGTGTGGACGTGCATGCCACAAGTCCCCTTGTGTCGAACTCATTGCTGTAGAGAAGGTAACGGACTAGCGACTCAGAGTCGTCGGGTTCGTTGGTGATATCGGTCAGGATAAAGACCCTCGTCTTATTCTTGCAGACGCGGAGCTTGGCTTGTTGAGACATAGTGAAATGTTGTGAGTAGAGTTTTTGTCTTGGAGTGAATAGCCACGGCAGACATTGCCATGATCATATATAGTCTCTTTACATCGTGAATACGAATAAATGCGAATAATCTAACGCGGAATAGCAATGCGCAAGATCCCTCCCTCGCATCCAATAAGTCCACTTGAACCTCCCCACGGCGCTTAATCTTGCCTTTCATAGAGCACAGTCGAACCGGCGGCCCATTAGGGAACCGTTAACCCCGCCATTCTGCCTGAATGAGCCGTTGGCAATATCTGATCACGAGCTCTCGGTGGGAGATAGGCCGAGGGCTGAGGATAGATGATACCTGACCTGAATCAAGGTTTTGACACCGTCGCCATGTTAAAGATTCATGTGTGACCACTTTACAAGGCGCTGTGCTTATAACCTTGAGCCATGGTCTACTAATCGGCGAAATACATCGCCGACAATGACTATTGCTTACTCGTTGAGCCAATTGAACAGTCAAGGTATACATATTGTCTATCCTTGTGATCAAGAATTATCCTGTCTACTCAGGTATTGAATCATGATTCACATAAAAATTATACGTCTTTTAAATGGTCTCAAAGACCTCTGTCACGTACAATGACCTCATGGGTATAGATGGCTTCATCCCGCACGAGCCAGTTCCAGTCATCGCCGATCTGGCTAACTCCAGGCAGTCGTGCATACAAAACATGGGTTATACTAATCCCGCTCCGTTTCTGGTTGGTCCTCAAATCAAGTTTTCATCAAGATAATCTTGACTCGCCTCAAAATTTGATCACAAATTAAACATGGAGCAACTCGCCCCCGAGATCCTTTCGAGTATCGCTTTATGTTTGTGGGAAGACTCGGAAGAGTCGCTAGCCCCATTCGCAACCTTGTCTCGGCAATGGCAACCTTATATTGAGGCTCAGACATTTCGCCGCCTGTTTCTAAACCCAACCAGACTCTCAGAGGCAATAAGTCAGAGCATTCTTACTCCAACACGCCTTTCCTGTCTCCGCTACTTGCGGTGCGAATTCATTTTCCCCGCTCATGAAACTGATTCCACAAATCCGGACGACGCGGATGATGAGATAGTCTTTGTCAAGATAGTTACGCAACTTTTCAGCCTCTTGAGTAAAACACCTCCCTGCAAGGATCCACTGGTGTACCTCTGCCTCGAGATCCCAGTACCCGGTGTTTTCGGGTCTTCAGAACAGTATGCCAGCGACTATGGCGAACCTGTAGACTACCCATTTGTCGCTCAGGGACAAGTGCGGACTTCATATCTAGACTTTCCGCCAGGCTACGAAGAGGAGCTTCCGGAACTACCCATGGTGTATAAAATGTCGACCAATCTCATCTCTAGAAGCGTCGTCTTTTCTCCGCGTTCGATCTGCTTGATAGCGAGCAAGATGCCCAGGTTGAGAAAAGTGAACTGGGAACTCAGCGACGCGGAGAAGCTTGATACGGGTATCAGAATCCAGCAAAGAAACGGCAAGTCCCTGAAATTACGCCCACAAGTTGTTCATGGCTAATTAAACTTTTCATAGGCCTTGCCGGCACGCTCAAGAGGCTACCAATGTCCATCGAAATGTTCCATCTCACATATGTTCGAGAACTACCAAACAACCACTCTTTTCAACCTCCCAGCATCATCCCGCCCGACTCCCAGCAAGATCCATTGAGCGAAGCGCTTTGCGAGTTCACACAAAGGATAGGGCTTAAAGACTTTACCTTTTCCGGTAGTGTTGATCACACTATATTCTGGCCTTCATCGGAAAGCTCAGACGAGCAGCCCTATTGGCCAAGTCTCAAGTCTATAGACGTCTACCCTCACGAGGTCCTCCCTTCAGGGGAATGGCTTACCATGCAGAGACCAGGCAGTCGGCTACCCCCGAGTGTCATGATACATCTCGCAGCCGACATCCCAGGCGAGGGACTCGAGCGGCGTTTCCGAGACTACCCCGTCTATTCACTCATGGATCCCTTCTTCCGCAACATGGGGAAATGCGTAGCCCGGATGCCGAAAGTCGAGTACTGTTCCATCAGCTTCAGCGACGCATGGCTCTCAAATCTTCATTTCTGCACAGAGTTTCCCGAGATCCCTTGCCTTGTACTAGCTGGTAAGCCAGAACCTGAAGTGGGAAAGGAGACGTCGGATATCTGGCGGGAGGCTGTCAAGGTGCACAACAAGGACTTTCGGCTACATTTTAATGCAGACGACCCATTTTCTTTGAAGCATTTCTCGGGAGTTTACGAAGAGATGGACGTCGGGGAGAATTCCGTGTAATAAGAAGAAACCATGCCTAGTTCATCCAAGATGGCCATGTTCATCGCACTGTATGGGTAGTGAATGTGGCTCTAATCAACTCAGACCCCGTCAATATGGATGCCATGTGATGCCCAAGAAAACAAGGCTCCCCATCTCAATGTCTATCTAGGTCATCCCGGCGGCCCAACGGTGTCATCTTATGCACGCTGATCAGCCAAGTGCGACTCTAAATGAACAAGCACTGGCCCAAGAATGCTCAGTGTCTGGCCTCAAGAGAAGTTCCTTGGCGTTTAAAGCAGTTGCACACACCGAGTTGGCATTCCTAAGTGAGGCTGACCTCAGGCCCAATGGTATCTAGTCGCCCACCTCCAGACAACCGCCTATTGCATGTGTCACAGCCGAGATGGCCCGATATCAAGGCAGGCTGTGAGAAACGACGGAGAATGAGGCTCTAAAGGCCTCAGCTGATCCCGGCAGTGTCAGCATGGCACAGCCTGCTCCTGCAGTGTCTACTTGCCCCCTCTACTTAAGCCCATCCCCTTCAGCTACTTCTAGAGTTCTGACTCACACCCCGACAGAAGCTAGCACAACTCCAGTCACAATGCCGAGGTTCCCCACAAAGCATCACTGTCCAATTTGTAAGAGCATCAGCAAGACCATGTCCAGAGCAGGTCATTGCACCAAATATCAGTGGACATGCGCCAACGATCACAGTGAGTGGGTTCAGGGAAAGAACCAGGCTTGCGAGAAGTGTGGAAGAGAATATGACGAGAACTGCGCCAGATGCGACGAATAACTCGTAAGTATTCCGGCATAACTCAATCATTTCGGCAAGACCAAGCTTTAACCACGATTTAGATGCCGAAACCTGTTGGATGAAACCTACGTGGCAAGTTTGGAAAAGTTGGGTGATGTGTTTTGTCTGTTTCAGATCCGTAGCTAGTAACGTTTGTTGACATGTCATCCTCATGAAGGCACAACATAGCACAGTGGGTTGGGAGAGTGGGGTGTGGATCTCTAGTACCTATGCAGTAAATATGGATTACTTAAAGCACAAATGCACCCACTATTCTCGTAGTATGGGAGTTCAAGGCATCCAAAGTCGTTAACCCAGAACTGCTCTTCAAACACCGCCGTGAACTGGTATGATGTCTCAAAGCATTTTATTTCCTGATCCAGGTTCATAGCCTGCTGACTAATGGCGAGATTAAATGAAATCATATAAGGCTGGGATGCTTTTGCTTTCCTCACGTGTTTATTTCTTTCCCCTCTCTCAAGTTGCACACGCACACCGACACTCCCTCTCTCCCCTCAGCGAAAGATGTCTTCCTACTCAAGCGCCGACGAAGAGTATGACTCTGACGAACCACCTAAACTCGAGCTCAATATCGATAGCCTGAAAGATGTCGCGTCCAAAGCCTTACAGGCCCCCTGCATCAGTGCTCAACCAATGACACGAGGCTCCTCACATGAAATCTTTGTCCTTAGGTTCCAAGAGTCAAGCACCACTTCGTATCAGTCTCTAGTGCGCTCCAAGTACTTCTGTATAGCTCGATTTGCTCGTGTCAGGGAGAGTTCGCTCAAGGAGGAGAGTGAAATTGCCACCATCCGATACGTCAAGCAACACACCAGCATTCCTGTGCCAGAGATATACTACCAGGATTTGAATCCCGACAACGAGATCGGCGCGGCCTTTGTTTTGATGGAGAAACTTCCTGGTCGGCATCTCTATAAGATCTGGGATGGTCTGGCACTCGACCACAAGAAGGCTGCACTTTCACAGATTGCATCCATCATCGTCCAGTTTTCCTCCCTTCGCTTTGACAAGATTGGATGTCTCACCAAGAACGGAATCGGCCCTTTCATTAGTCCTTGCCATGATTCCCCTCAAGGACCTTTCACCTCGACACTTCAGTATCTCGAGTCGTTTATCTCACCCGCTTCTGTCAAATTATCCGAGACAAAGGAGCTATTTGGACAGATCAAAACGGAACTGGCCAAAAGCACGTCAAGAGAGGCCGCTCCCTACCTCCAGCCTCCTTTTTCAATGATTCATGCCGACTTTGACGGGCAGAACATGCTATTTCTAGATGCCCCAGATGGTTCGGGCCCAAAGCTCACGGGGCTAATCGACTTTGAGTACGCCCATACTGGCCCAGGATACTTCCTCTATGAATACCCGATATTCATCCAGGATGTGTCTTGGTCTAAACATCTGTACACCAAGAACAAGGCCTTGAGGGCTCATTTCGTGTCGCAAGTTTTTAATGGTCTGCCAAGTCCACAGGAAAAGGCGACCTTTATCTCGTGCATCAATTCCAAGAGCTTCTTACTCAACGGCTTTCGGGATGCTTTCATGACCTTACAATGTTCTGAGAGAACGCGAAAGAACTCGGCATTTTACTATCTCGAGTCGTTAAAGGACGGGACGGGGCTCGCGTACTCTGGCCGGGTTGACTATAAACCAGAGTTCTATTCCAGAGAGGGACAGCCGATGCGACAGATAGATAAAGCCTTTGGAGGGCCGATGGGTCAGCCGTTGGATTCAGGAACTACCCAAATTAGCGAGCCAGGAGAGGTATTCGAAGTTTGCATGTGCGTGGGACACGGGGGTTGAGATGAGTGTTCTTGTTTCTTGTAGAATTCTTGACATTGAAGGATTAGAATCACGGTTTACAATAGCCGAAAGCCCCCTAGATGAGGATAATATCACGACTACTGAAACTGAAATCAGACTATGTTATGGGGTTGTTTTCGTTTTATTGTCTTCTTCAATGCCGCGCCCAAAGGGAGCTATCAGCAACAAGAGCACAATTCAGTGCATAAACAGATGTTGATATTAAACCCCAGTATTTTAAATCACCGGAGTACTTGTCTATCCGCATGTAAGACTCAGCACTAGTCAGCTATGTGCAGAAGGTCAACAATGCCAACATATCTAACTACTTAACTGCATAAGTGCCTAGTTACCTAGCGCCTCGCTATGCTTGACTTCCAAGGCAAGCCTTTCTATCGCTCATGTTATTCAGAAATCTACTCTTACACTCTTTCACCTCTGTCTCAAAGCACTTCCACCAAGATCAATCTCTTCAAGACTTTTCTGCGCCCTCAAACAACACTCTTTTGTCTCTATTAACTGGAATGGAATTGCCCGCTGACTTGCTTCCGGTTCATTCCTGTCCACATTGTGAAAAGTACATACTCGACCCAAACGCAGACAGCCAACCCGACAGCCATATCCGTCGCCGGTCGTGGAAGGCTTTTGACCCTGAGCTTACCGTCGGCAAGCTCAAGGAACTAGGACAGCATGGCTGTCTATTTGGGGAGTCGGTTCGTTCCGATCTAACACGCTACGAATCGCCATCTGATTGCTCCCCTGTCCTGTATTGCTTTATCCCCTGGGCATTTGACAAGACTCGCTATCAAGCAGTCATGTTTGGGGTTCCAGAGCCTCCAGATGATGATGAGGAAAGCGAGTGCGATCATTATCACGATCGTCAGGACAGCAAAGACAAGTTCCAACCAAGTGGCATAACGGTGTACCGAAAAGTGCGACACGATTTGATGACAACTTCAGGTATTTGTCTCATGAATTTCGGTGATAGTGACGGCCAAGACTGATCAAAGGTGCCTAGACAACGCTGCTTCTGGTGTCATTCCCCGTCGTCCGATAAACCTTGATCCTGCGTCAAGGAGATCGTTTGATCTAGCAAGAGGGTGGTTTCAGACATGCTTGGCTGATCATAAGACATGCCCAAAGCCTAGTCTCGGCTTCATGCCCAAGAGGGTTATCTCCATCAGCCAAAACCAGAGCGGGTTTTCCCTACGCCTACTCGAAACAGAGAGTCTTCGCGATATGTATTGTGCTTTGAGCTATTGCTGGGGTGGTGATCAAAAGACCAAGGCAACAAAGGAAACCCTCCCACAGCTGAAGGATGACATTGCCTTTAACAAGCTTCCAGCAACCCTCCAGGATGCCGTCACTACAACGCACGGGCTAGGCATTCGGTATTTGTTCGTGGACTCGCTCTGCATCCTTCAAGATGATGAAGAGGACATACACACCCAAATAGCGCAGATGTCTGAGATATACAGCGAAGCAGCCGTCACTATCCTTGCTTCTCGGGCCAAGGGTGTCGACTTTAATTTTCTGCACAAACGACAACACTCACTTCCGAGCTCCCGATTAAAAGATGATCGTTACAATATGTCACTGAGGTGCCCTAACGGCGAGTTAGGGTCGGTGGTAGTACTTTCAGGCTACTCGAGTGGTAAAGAGAGCTCAGGACCTCTCGATTCCCGAGCTTGGGCTCTCCAGGAGAATCTACTATCAGCACGTACTCTAGACTACGAGGACGGCCACACTACTTGGCGATGCTCGACTATGAACAGCCTAACCGATGGATGGCTGAGTACTTCGGAGTTCTTGCAAAGGCTTGGTTTTGCATTGGCCCCTGAAGCTCTACGTCCTCGCTCGGCTGTAAAAGCAACTGATGAGATTGAGCATCGTGATGAGCGACAAGAGCTTTTCCGGCAATGGCTTAGCCTTGTTGATCATTACACGCGGCTGGAGCTCTCGTTTACCAGCGATAAACTACCAGCAATAAGCGCCATAGCCGGACGCATGGGCTCAGCTCTGGGAGACAAGTATCTGGCCGGCATTTGGAAATCACGTCTAACCCAAGACCTACTCTGGGACGTGCGTCAAAGGCACCCCAGGCCAAAAAGCTTCAGGGCCCCTTCATGGTCATGGGCGGCTGTCGATGGTGGCCCATCTCGCATTAGTACTGACAATGATTCATTCAGCCTAGAGGTGCTTGAGTGTCACACTGAACTTAAGTCCCCAGCTGCACCGTATGGCGCTGTAAAAAGTGGGCATTTGGTCTTGAGAGGGCGACTGCGGCGAGTTGTCCTATCAGGCATTAAGGGGCGTGTCTGGACTCCAGTCGGAAAGTCAGCACCAGCCAAGGTCAAACTTGCAAACCTTTTCCACATCGTGGAACCTGGCCTGAAAGGGGCTGAAGCCTGGATTCCAATGAGCTTCGATGCAGTCGAGCAAGAGTTCCAAGACAACGCTGATATGGATATCGCCATGTTGGAGGTCTGTGAGCATGAGTCTGGGCCTTGCTATGGGCTTGTTCTACGACCGGTTGGGCCCCGGAGGTTTTCAAGGCTGGGTGTCTTTGGCTATTTGTATGGCCCAGAGTACCTTGATCAAGGTTCAAGTCCAGGATCTGATACTGATGGAGAGTTAGAGGGGGTTGAAGAATGGGAACCATTATATGAGAATTGGCTGCAGGGATTTAGAGGGTACGATCTAACAAGTCTTACACTTGTCTAGATTATTACAAGTTTCCACGAAAATTTAGGTTCAGTAATTACTCTGGATAAGTCCGAGCTTGGATTCATCCATTCGTTGCTATCTCAGAGAGCAGCTTCAGACAGGGTCAGTGATGTCTCAGTCCTGCTCACTTCTTATTCCTTCGCCTCTCTCGACTGCTTTGTCCAGCATTGAACATGGCTTGCTTCGACGCCTCTTGTTTATCTTCCTCTTCCTTCTTCTCCTTTTCTTCCTTGGCCTTTTGTCTCTTCTCCTTGCTGGACTCCCCAGCTGCCATCATGACATCTTCACAGTCGTCTTGGTACTTTCCCTCGCTATCGCGGCTATCGCGGTCTGCAGACATCTAGTATTGATAAAGTTAGACCAGCTGCTGTAAAGCCGTGTTGGTGACCTGCCTTCTTTTCAGGGCATTAAGCCATTCACGTTTGTAAGGAGGGGCAGTGCAGTCGATGGTTCAACAAAGGCTCGAACAGAAAGCCTTGTTGGGGGTTATATGCGATATCCGATCTTTCGATGGATTGATAACGTTTTCCGCGAGCAAGACCAGGCATCTTTATACTTTTCCCTCTTGGCTTGCAGCACACATCTGTTTTGATGCAGAGTGCGTTGTCCAGCCGCGCCGTCTTGGCCCCCAACCGCTCGCCCGACACTGTTGGTCGCCCAGAAAAGTCTGGTTTGCAGATCCGAATGGTTGCATCAGAGAATCAGGTCATTTATTTTTCTTGTGGCAGCATTCTTTCCATGTTTTGAAGAGTGGATGATCCGGAGCTACCAAATGCCATGAACATTGGTCTTCTTGGGCTAAGTACCGAAAACTACCTCAACCCTGTTTTTTGTAAAAAAAAAAAAAAAAACTTCAAGGACAAAAATTCACGATAAAGTTGTCTGTTGAAGTGCGAATTCACAAATGTGTGCTGGTTGCAGCCTAGAAAGCTTGCTCTTCTAGCAAGTTGGCTCCAATTTGATAAGCATGACCAACTTTTGGGGGCTGGCCATGCAGTTACCTACACCACGTGTCGATCATTTGGCCAGATTTGCTCAGACTGTGTGGCGACGTGTACTTGTTCTGCATCAACCACTTATCAACCCAACGAGCATCACGTCGGCGCCGGATGTCGAGGTACCTACTTGCCGTTGCTTCGCCAACCGCTTGAGCCAACTGTGTTTCAGCTTCGACAACCGGGCTGCCGTTACCCGATTGTCATGTGTTCTTGAGTTTAACACCCCCGGATTTAGGCCCTCCGTGCTCCCTGCAGCTTCATCGTTCACCCTCTCTTTCGCCGCCCTCACTCACCCACCCAGTAGCTGTAAGAATGGCTGCTAGGCAAGAGTCTGACAACCTTGCCTGGGACCGGAGTGATGAGCTCTGGGAGGAGGCAACAAAACATGTCCGGCTGTCGTCCACATGCCGGAAGGTTGAAGCTTTTGCCGAGAGAATATTAGGAAAGCCGGCCACTCTAGTCCCACCCCTCATTATTGGCGGTTTCAATGTGCTTTATCCCATGCGAGTTGAGGGTCTTTCCACCAACCTCCTCGTCCGCCTGCCCTGTCCCAACCAGATCATCGCTCCTACAGAGAAGACTCTCGCAGAAGCCGCGACAGCATCATTTATCCAGCAACATACTCAACTCCCAGTTCCTAAAGTCTTGCAGCATGGTGACGACCCTGAAATTGGACCATTCATGATTATTCCAGACCTTGGCACCCGACGCGGGATGAGCGAGGCCTTGGAAGCGCCCCGCGAGGATCCCAACGATACACCTGCATTGGATCCCAATATCTCTGAAGATAAGCTCAGGCGTCTCTACGGTAAAATGGCACGCTGCGTTCTACAGCTTGCACGGCCGACATTCCCACGTATCGGAGCTCTTGTTGAGACAAATCCTGGGTCCATTAGCGTGTCAGGGCGGCCTATCACTCTCAATATGAACAACATGGTTCAACTTTCTAATATCCCAAAGTCAATATTTCCTTCTAAAGGTACTACATACCAAACTGCCGACGAGTGGTATTTGGAACTGGCCAAAATGCAGATGGCAACTGTTATCTTCCAGCACAACGATATGATATCGTCCGAGGACGATTGCAGGAACAAATATGTCGCTCGTCAATTGTTTCTCAGATTGGCCAGGCAAGGCCGGTTATCAAAGTTTGGGTTCTCTGACGACGACTGGTCTGTCTCTTCCAGGCACTCTCCAGCAACATTGCCTTCGCCAGATAATTCGGCTTCTTTCCGCCTCTGGTGTGATGACTTCAGGCCTGTCAACGTTCTTGTTGGTCAAAATGACGAGGTTCTCGGGGTAATCGATTGGGAATTCGCCTACGCTGCCCCGACTCAGTTTGTTTTGGACTCTCCCTGGTGGTTATTGCTCGATGTGCCTGAAATGTGGGATGACGGCATCGATGACTGGGCAAGGGTCTATAACAGACGTCTTGATACTTGGCTTTCTGCCCTGGAAGAGGCCGAACAAGATACGAGTCCCAACTCCTTACCACTCTCGGCATACATGCGAGAGAGCTGGTCGACAGGCCGCTTCTGGCTCAACTATGCCGCAAGAAAGAGCTGGGCGTTTGACACTATCTTCTGGAAGTATCTGGACGAGAGATTTTTTGGTGAGAGGGAGAAAGAGATACCCAAGGAATCACTTTGGAAAACTAGGGTGAGTCTTCTAAGTGAAGAAGAGCGGGCTGCAATGGAGCCGTTGGTTCAGACTAAGATGGAGGAGTCACAGAAACGAGTCCTGGTTGATTGGGATGCTGAAGAAGCAAGAAAGCATTTGTCATCTTTTCTATTTGAGTAAACATTATGGAATCCGGCCAACGCAAGTGCCCTCTTGAAAGATGCCGTGTCTTCCACTTCTCTGAACCAGTTTTGGAGGACTGGGGAGAGCCCAGCGACACTAATATAGAGGGGAATTGACCCGTTGAAGTCACACAATGTCATTCTCGGGTTGCTGGCATTGCTAAATGGGAGCTTGAAATAGACTACCTGACTAAACCTCGAAGGATCCTTTGTACATGAAGGGATGAGTGTCCGACCCATCGAAATTAACCCTAAACCGAAGTCCCACGCCCTCCTCTCTCACGTCAAATCCAACGCAGGGATATCTTTTCCCATACTTAAAGGCCTCCTCATGTCCGTCGAAAGCATTTCCTACTCTGAAGTCAGCACGGCGGACAGACGTTTCCCATCTCTGGGCTGGTAACTTACCCATATCCAACTTCTTGCCATTTCGCGTACAAAATCCTTGTCCTGTATTCACGTTTAAGCAAACACCCACAACATCGCCAGACTTGAATTCTCCAGAGTGTCCAAAGTCTGAGCTCGGAATGGTTAACTTGGCGGCCGATTCAATGCACAGCGCTCCATCGTCACCGTGGTATCCCCACGATCCCTTGAACCAACCTGGCATTTGATCATCGCCGTTGCTCAACCCGCAGAAGCCGATCCCGAAAATTCTATATTGCATCCTAAGTGCTTGTACTTGGAAGCTGTGGCATGAAGTGAATTACAACTTACTGGAATACTGAATCTTGAAGGACCTGCACCTCAAAATAAAAACGGTCTTGGGATGGGGGAATGCTGTGATCGCTGCGTATACACTCGAACCAGGCATCCCGCAACGCCCCAATAACCTCGACATCTGACAAAAGTTACCTATTAGACTTTGAGTCTTGGGAGTAAAGAAAAGAGAGCAACGTACCGTGTACTTTGGAGCAATTTTCATGACCCTCAGTGACGCAGGAGGTGACTTCGACAATCGATGGCTCAGAAGAAGTCCAGATCATGGTTGTTGGCTCCCCAGGCTTGCGTCTCATGTCCGTGTCCAAAGGCGGTAAGTTGCCGACAAGGCTTGTCAAAGTTCCATCACGATCGAAGCGTTTGGCATAGTCCACCAATGACCAGTCCTCTTCGTCCAGCCCCCCTTGAGGGGCATTTTGCTCTTTCAGAATCTCCACGAACTTGGCATCACCAAGCAAGATTGCTAGATGGTAAGGAGTATTCAGCTTCTTCCATGCATCCTGTTTCAGAGCCACCACGAATTTGTCGATTGACTCTTGAGCGTCTTGGTAAACTCTGTGATCGAAAAGCCAGAGAAAGTATTCAACAATCAAAGGCGTGTCCGCCAACGTCTCAAGTATATCCCCAATGATGCTGTGGAACACACTAGACGAAGAGGTGGTGAACTCTTGAAGGAAGCGGAGTCGTTCTTTAGGGGCAGTTCGGTGATCCTGGAGTAGCATTCGGGCGGCATTTGTCCGATCCTTTCTCACAGCTAGTCTCAGTGGCGTTTCCCCTCTGTCACTCTCTCGATGAAGTTCTGTAGATGGTTGCTCAAGCAGGAGAGCCAAGCACTTGGAATCTTTCGCTTCGGCAGCAAAGTGTAGTGGGGTATACTTTTCCCACCCCCCGGCAGTCTGGTTCACATCCAGTCGCTCACTGCCTTCGTATTGTAGTAGCTCTTTCACAACGTTGCTGTGCCCATTCTTACAAGCCCATGAGACAGGTGGCTGCTTGTACCACGTATCCTGAATGTTGATAAGTTCGGGCCATCGCTTCAGGAGATGTGGAACGATTTCGGAAAAACCATGTTTGCATGCCGCGACGAGCAGCGACTCGTTGATGTCGTAAGGTTGTGTTTGCACTTGTCCAGGACCTGCGAGCCCTAAAAGATACAATGCGGCATCGTCTTTTCGCTCAATGGCCGTGTGCAGCGCAGTCTTGCCCTCTGAATCTAGTGCCAGCAAGTTGCATTTCTTCTTGATCAAGAGGTCGATCATTTCTCGGCTACGAACGTAGTGAATCGCAGCCTTGCCATAATCGTCAACCTCATTGACAGAACCGGGGCCGCTCGCACCCAGCAGTGCTTGGGCGACCTCAATGAGGTTTGCCTGGACAGCGGACATGAGCGCTGTGGTGTTACGAGAGTCCCTCGCTGATTGCTTCGCTTTCAAGTCTTGAGTGAGTATTTTGACCACCCCCCCATGGCCGCTGAGTATCGCATAGTGTAAAGGCGTTCGCCCGTCATTGTCCCGGGCCTCGACGAGCTCGTCAGAAAGCCATCCCATTTCCCAGAGTTTAGAAATAATCTTTTCGTGCCCGAGCTTGGAAGCGATGTGAAGTGCCTGACGACCCCAATTGTCTTTCTTCGTGAAAAGTGCCTTTGCTTCAGCCGCTGTGAGAAGTGCCTTTGCTTCAGCCACCGCGGACAGCGATTCAAGACAAGCCACGCTCCCACTTCTTGCCGCCAAGTGAAGAAGTGTCATGTCATCAACACCGCTTGTTTGAATGGCCCTCTTGCGACCCTCTTTGCTCAACTTGTGGAATATCTCCGAAAGGCTGCGAGATGTTCCTGCCAAGACAGCGAAATGGATTGGACTCCGCCCTAAGTTGTCAAGCAGGCTGGGCAACCGCTCAACTGCGTCGCCGGACATATTAGAGAAGATCCGATGAGTATTCGAATCACCATCAAGAAGACAGCCATAGTGATACAGAGTCCATCCAAAGATGTCACAGGCTTTTGTACCCTTTTCTGGTTCGGTGATAAACGATGTTAGCAGGCAGGATTAACTGTCGATGGACAGATACAAACGAAAAGCCATAACTAACCATCTCCCATGGCTACCGCTGAGATATCAGTTTCAGACTGTTGTGTCATTAGCCGAGGCTGCTTATCAAGGTAGTTGCTTCATGCCACTCACGTGTCCCGAGTCACCATCCTGAACTGTCGCAAGGTGGTACTGGGTAAACCCCAGAATGTTCTTGGCAAAGTCTTTATCTAGGTTACCAACCGAGCCTTCTGGATATTGAAGGATGTTGCAAGGTAATCTGTCGCGGCGCTGGCGTTGGTAAACAGGCGCAAGCTTTTCCAGGATGGTAGTAAACTTAGGCAAAAGAAGTTCTTTCTCAATAGCCCTAAGCTCAACGTCCAGATCTCGTGGAGGCTTCATCTGTTCATCATATGGCTCATAAGCGAAGGACCAGAAGTCCATTGAAGCCGCAACAATTCCAACACTCAACCTATCTTCCTCGCTCACCTTGTTTGTCTTGATCGTTTTAAGCAGCTTCTTGTGGCAGATGGCTATTTCTACCCACCCCCGGCTGGAGCTAACACGGGGCATGAGCTTGAGGACTGCTTGATTCGGCAAAAGGTTCCTGGAACTCAGCGCTGGTATCATGCAGAGAAGTATGTCGGTAGTGCTTCCTAGGCCGTAGGATTCCATCTTTCGGACGATTTTGGTGAGTTGGCGGTGGCGAAGCTTGATTCGGAGCCAGTCCTGAGCAAAACTGGAATCGTATGCGTTGAACTCCTTGGGGCCTTCTACCTCTACCTCTTGTTGAATTTCATCAATGCCAGGGTTGAGGCAGTTCCTCGGTAGGAGTTCCACCACAGTCCACATGAAACTGGTGAACAGGTGCTGCGCCAAAATGATAGGGAGATGATCATTCGAGGTAATACCAAGCTCCTGTGCGGGGCCTGTGCATGTTCAGATGGATTTAGTTCTGACAAATGTAGGCGGGTTCAGGGCATGAGCCACGGGGTGCTTACCATCGTGCGGGTTGTTGCCATTGAATCCAATCACAAGATCAACATCACTGGTCCTTGCTCTGCTCCGAAGTCGTCTATTACCCCTGGCATCCTTGGGATCGTCACCACTGTTGTCGTCGTCTTCCATCACAGGAATGCTCTGCTCGGCGATAATGCTGTCGACCCACCAAGAGATATCCCGCTTGAGCACCTCATCATTCAAGTCGTCCCCAATGATGCGGCCAAAGCTGCGTCTCAAGTCATCTCCAACCTTGGTGCGCCTCCAATCAGGCGATGAGTCACTAGAATTCTCCCCCGGACCTGTGACTGGCCTGTCTTTCCTCAAAGTCGGTTGGACATCTCCGCGCTGTTGCGCATCATTTGTGCCTTTGGCCTGCTTGGCCTTCTTGACCTTCTTGGCCTTCTCGTTCTCGGCCTCATAACCCTTCTTGGCCTTGTCACCCTTCTTGGCCTTGTCACTCTTCTTGGCCTTGTCACCCCTCTCAGCCACGATGCTGGCCATCCAGAGAGACAGTACCGCATCAATCTTGGCAATATCCACTTTCCATTTGCCATCTGAGTTCCTTCGTACCACCGGAATCTTGACCCTGTCTGGATTTTCAGACACGTCAGTGGGGGTGAGTTTTGTAGCTTCAATCAGCCAGTTCATGGACGGCGGGGATTTTTTGCTTTCTTTCTTTTTCGTAGAGGGTGGCAAAAAGGTGTTCATGAAAAGCTCGATAGACTGAGATAAGGACAGAGCGCTCTCTGAGGACTTGGATGTGAAGTAGCATAAGTCGGCTAGTCTCTCCCGCACACGGATGAGTTGTTGACTTGATGATGTTTTGAAATCTGGGTCGGCTCTACTCTTTTGGGATGCAGTACTGGAATTTTGTGCAGCTGGCTCGGAAGTAGCACTGGAGGCTTGTTGTTTTGACTTAGGAGTAGTACCCTGCCGTTGTCCTGACTCGGATGTAGTCTCTCCGTTCTTCGGGTCCTGTTGACTGGTAGGCGTTGATTGAACAAAAAAAGCATTCTGTTGCTTGGGATCCGCAGTCCTGACTTTCCATCTGCAGAAGTAGCTCGGTAATTTGTCTCCTCCATAGTTCTTCTCACCCGTTTCAAATTGATCGGATCGGACATTTGGATAGAAAACGAGTTGTGTCGCCAAAAAGTCGAGCTCGTACCCTTGAAGCGCAGGACAATGTACCGGGAGCTCTCCCAGGCGTCTTCGGATACCAGCTCGAATGAGCGCCATGATCAAGATAGCG